TTGAAGTTATATGATTTATTATTTGTATTTTTTTACAGTCTAGACGAGTTTTACTTTGTCCAAAATAATCTACCTTACTTCTAAGCTAGTTCTAATTATTTATGCCTCACTTATTTTGCATCATACATTCGTTAACACTATTTAAATATCAGTCCCGTTCCACCTTTCCATCCTGGCCCTTCTCCCTCAATCTAGGATTTCAGGAACTGGAAAGTTCCGGCGGCCAACATTCAAAAGTGCGCACCCACTCCAAATGCCCGGCGCCGCCGATGCCCTTCTCCGCCGGCATTTCCCCTTGAGCTGATTTCCATTGTCAAGCTCGCCGTCAACACCAGCGCGCCGCGCGTACCCGTTGTTTCAGAGAACGCCCGACCTGATCCGTTGACTCTCGGCGGATTGTGTGTGAGCTTTCCATCGTAACTCTTCTTCTTGGTGGATAGACGGGGTACGATGGGTGCAGCCACGTAGACTTCGGTATTCACACGTATATGATGTCTGCCAACCTCTGACTGTGTTCTCTTAGTCAACGCCCGTTTTTCCACAGGACGCGGTGACTAGTGCGCGGCGGATCGGCCTCATCCTCGGGTCCTCCGAGTCCTATATATACATCACGAAAGACTCAGACCCATAATCCTCTCTCCTCTCTCTCTCTCTCTCTCTCTCTCTCTCTCTCTCTCGTCACCGTCATCCCCAATTCTCCATTCTCAAGGAGCATGGAGGGTCTACATCCTCGAACCGCCGTTCTCCTGCTGCTGTTTGCTCTTCTCGCGGCGGCGGAGTTCCACGAGGCCCATGCAAACCCTGAGACTCCCACCTCGCGGTGGCTAGAGAAGGTAACGAAGAGGAAGACCGGCAGGCATTCCGGGTGCTCCGCCCGCCCCTGGGTCTGCCACCGCGGGGCCTTCCCGCAGCCCTTTGCCAAGAAGACGACCTGCTGCAGGAACCGCTGCGTGGACGTAAGCAGCGACGAGAACAACTGCGGGCTGTGCGGGGTGCGGTGCCCCTTCTCCTGGCGCTGCTGCAACGGCAAGTGCGTCGACCCGAAGAGCAACCCCCTCCACTGCGGCGGCTGCAACAACCGGTGCGCCGCCGGGTCCAGATGCAGCCACGGGATGTGTGGCTACGCGCAACACTACCAGCCTCTTCCCCACCGCACAGCGCCGCCGCGACGCGTGCACTCTCGGCACCGCCACCATTATCGTCCATAAAATCCTCCCACCGCGTAGATATTCTTTATTGAGATTTCTTGTGGCGCCGAGACTATCTCTGTCTTGTCCTTGCGAGCATACTATCAGACGTCTCCTTCCAGCCGACAAGCGGCAGGGAGCCTGAATTCTGTACTTACGCTGTGTGAAGATACATTCAAATTCTATTTGAAATACTCATTTTTTTTCGGCATGATTTCAATTGAAAATGAATCCGATGTGCAATTTCTAATTCATAAAATCGAGTTTTCAATCTTTTGTATCGTTCCGTTTTCCACTGAGGTTAAGAGAACACGATTTATAATTAACTTTATTTTATTAGTATTATTTAATATGGATTCAACACTAACTAACACTAAAGTTGTCCCCGTATGCCGGGTAATTAACTTTCTATTTGCCATCAACTTCCAGAAGACTCACTTCGTAGCTTAATGACGTAGAAACTTATACAACCAATTCTGTTTTTAAGACTGAACTTTGCGAGAGAGAGAGAGATTCCCCGGCGGGGACTCGCGTCGGATGGGAATGTCACCGTCGCCGTCCTCGCTGGCGGCCGCGGTGGCGGGGGAGCTGGATTCCTTCAACTTGGTGCCCGGTGGTAGTCTGCCTGGGATGGGTAGCAGACGGAGCAGTGACGAAGGCATGGCTACTCCAGAACCTCACGCTTGGCTGCCCTGCCGCAGTCAGGCGAAACCATGGCCGCATCAGTGGAACTCAGAGATTCCCCCTATGGTTAAGCCAATCATCACCTATTACGGTCTACTGTGACCCAGGCGTGGTGGAAGGATGGGGAGTTGACTGTAGGAGCGGCGTCATCCGGACTATCCCCGATTTCTCCTTCCCCTCAAGGTACCAATGACCACAGCCATTGCAATGACCTGAAGAGAAGTCCATTGTCTTCTCCACTGAGTCTATCCTCTTCGCTTCTTCTTCTTCTTCTTCTTCTCCTCCTGACTTCTTGAGGCACGTGATGGAGAAAAGACCCGGCGAGCATACAGAAATCACGACCAAGTGAAGAAGGGTGGAAACTGCCCACAACCCTGCCAGACGGAGCCGCAAGTTGAGTTCTCTCTCGGTCTTCGTCTATATCCTTGGAGGCCCGTAGATGTCGTCGTCTTCTTGTTCACTGTAGGTCAAAGGACGCGAAGATCCTAATGTCAAAGTTCGGGCACCGTTGTCTTCGGCCTACCTCGAAGAAAACTCACGTTAGTTCTAAACGCAAGCCCTCCACCCTCCTCCCCGCCGCCCCTCCAACTACCACAGTCAACGCTTTTCTCCCTCCCGCCAACGCTCCTCCCTCCTTCCTAGTCGACGCAAAACATTTTCTGACTTGAAACTGCTCACGAAGCCTGCAGAAAACCGGAGCAGAGGCATGTGAACATTACGTACGTACGCAGAACGACGCCGCCGATCTCTGAGTCTCCGTTCTTAACTCTCTTTTACTCGATACCCACTATCGCCAAACTCTGACTAGACCTCCGGTCAGCGTCAGGCTTTCTGACGAAGGAGCGTGAGGGAGAGTACATCCTTCGTTGACTCTCGTGGGCAGATGCCAACAAATAAGACGCTCACACCTGACTATCCGCGGCTCGTGCAACCCTATACAGGCCGCCGGGAGAACCCAAAGACTCGGTTGCTAGTTCAAAACTGAGTCAAAGCCAAGCTGATCATTAAAACTTTCAAGAAATGAAAACAAATATCGGCACGGAGAAAGGAGTCTGCCTACTATGAAAGAATGGAGTGTTCGTAGGGAGTCTGGCTGGGTTGTACCAAGTCCGCATTCCTCCTCCAGCGTGTGATGCTGTCAAGTACGTCATGCCCAATACACATCTCATGCAGCTGCGCTAAGTGATGGTCATCGTCAGAAGATATGGTGTCTTCATCTAATATTTGGCATGAAAGTCTACGACCAAGCCTTCAAAGCAATGCACGGTTCTGCTGTTGTAAAAATAGAATGGTACAAATACCCAAGTAGAAAACTAATCCCAAACGTGTTACCCTTTTTCTTAAGTTTGAATGTATATAAAATATCAGAGGCTAGATATCAAGTTTGCATACAAATGAAAAAGCACTGAGAAGTGATATGTTAGGATTTACGTGGGTCAGAGAAATCTTCTTACATCCATGGAGAGCTAGCTAGAGATTTTTTTGGTAGAAGGACAGATAGAAAAAGGGCATTACAAAATGGCTGCCTCGCTTCCCCTTGGCAGCGCACCGCTGCCATCTCCGGCACCACCCTCTTCGTCCATAAATCCCGCCCACCACGGTCACGAGGATCTCCCACCGCCGGCAAGAGTCTGGGAGCCTGAATCATGTACTTACCCGGACCGAAGATACCTTCCAATTCCGAATTTATTTCAAATACAGCAAACTATATTCAGTCACGAATACCCGGTTATAAAATGATCAGTTTGCTATTTGTTCACATTTACACCAAGGTTTCGTTATTCACTTATGTGCGTGATCTTTGAAATTACTGGACACACTTACCGTGTTTGGGAAATCAACTCCCAATTTCCCGTGTCCTGGATAGCACTCGCTCGTCAATATCCTCTATGGAGGCGTAGGCACGAAGAAAATTGTTCTAAAGAGTTGCTTCGAATTGGGAGAGATACTGTAAGGAAGCTGTTGCGGTGGTGGTTGTGGGGGCGAGGGGCTTGGGGGGAGGGATTACGTACATGCACATAGGCTGGATCTCGTCAAAGTTTTCCCCTTCACCAATTTATTCATGCTAGAATAATTTTGCATTCTTTATTATAAAATGTAACCATGTAACTAAAAGTGTGATCTAAGTCTACTCATTGACAACTACGTCCTAGCTTTTTAACACAAGGATCTTAACGTGTCCTCAGAGTTGACCGGTTGATGTTGAGATGTGCAAATCCCATTATGCTGTTGGGTCAATGACGTTCAAAAGACAACTCATATTGAAGAAGTGTTTCTGGGCAATCCCATAATCGTTCATGTCGTTTAATAAAATAAAATAAAATGAAATTATACCTTATTGTGTATTAGCATAATCATGTGATATTTAACGCAAAACTGAACTCATTATCTATTTGTTTGAAGTTCTATAATTTAATACATATATATTATCTTTTAAAATACTAGACGAGTTTTAATTTGTTCAAAATAATATGCATTAGTTCTAAACTAGTTCTAACTATTCAGACCTCACTTATTTTGCATCATATATTCGTTAACACTATTTAAATATCAGTCCTGATCCACCTTTACCCTCTCTCTATCTTAACTTATCCTGGGCTTTCCCCCTCAACCTAGGATTTCGGGAACTGGAAAGTTCCGGTTGCCAACCTTCAAAAGTGCGCACCCACTCCAAATGGCCGGCGCTGCCGATGCCCTTTACCGCCGGCATTTCCCCTTGATCTGGTTTCCACTGTCAAGCTCGCCGTCAACGCCGGCGCGCCGCGCGTACCCGTTGTTTCAGAGAACACCGACCTTTTCCGTTGACTCTCGGCGGATGGTGTGCGGGCTTTCCTTCGTAACCCTTCTTCTTGGTGGATAGACGGGGTACGATGGGTGCAGCCGCGTAGTCTTCGGTATTCACACGTATATGATGTCCGCCAACCTCTGACTGTGTTCTCTTAGTCAACGCCCGTTTTTCCACAGGACGCGGTGACTAGTGCGCGGCGGATCGGCCTCATCCTCGGGTCCTCCGAGTCCTATATATACATCACGAAAGACTCAGACCCATAATCCTCTCTCCTCTCTCTCTCTCTCTCTCTCTCTCTCTCTCTCGTCACCGTCATCCCCAATTCTCCATTCTCAAGGAGCATGGAGGGTCTACATCCTCGAACCGCCGTTCTCCTGCTGCTGTTTGCTCTTCTCGCGGCGGCGGAGTTCCACGAGGCCCATGCAAACCCTGAGACTCCCACCTCGCGGTGGCTAGAGAAGGTGACGAAGAGGAAGACCGGCAGGCATTCCGGGTGCTCCGCCCGCCCCTGGGTCTGCCACCGGGGGGCCTTCCCGCAGCCCTTTGCCAAGAAGACAACCTGCTGCAGGAACCGCTGCGTGGACGTAAGCAGCGACGAGAACAACTGCGGGCTGTGCGGGGTGCGGTGCCCCTTCTCCTGGCGCTGCTGCAACGGCAAGTGCGTCGACCCGAAGAGCAACCCCCTCCACTGCGGCGGCTGCAACAACCGGTGCGCCGCCGGGTCCAGATGCAGCCACGGGATGTGTGGCTACGCGCACCACCATCACCCTCTTCCCCACAGCGCCACGGCTCCCCGGCGCAGGCACTCTCGGCACCACCAGCATCGCCGGCACCGGCACTCTCGTCCGTAGAATCAGTGCGCCGTCATCAGCAGCGAGTCCTCCTCACCAGGGCTTTATGCATCGCGAGATATTCTTTGTCAAATATTCCATACATCACTTTCCTCCATGAAACCCAGCAAAGAAGCTCGGGGGAGGCTCAATTTTTTTGCATGATTTGCTCGAGAATACCTCGAAATTAGGATTTTTTTGAAAAATAAATCAAGATGATTTCAGGCATCGCAAAACGTTCCACAACGCCCCCACAAGATCTCGAGAATGATTATGCAGAAGTTTTTAAAATCTGATATGCCACATTAAGCATCATAAAGGCAGCTAGTTCATAAATAATCTATTCTATTCATATCCTGAAATGATTTTCCTATTGTCAGCGGATATTATCTTCACTTCGACAATTTGTTTCTCAAGTGTTTTTAAGAGCATATTGGTTACAATGATTTGCTGTAGTTCTTTCTGAAGTTCCGCTTGTATGTTTTGGACAAGCTTCTATGATTTCTGCGAGTAATATATGAAATCGGTGGAATTCGATGTACCAAGATTCGGGGAGTAATCGCTCTCAATGAATATTATATATAATACAGAGGCGTTAATTTTTTTAAAAAGATGTTATACTAATTCATCGTCTTCTTACACGTAAAAATCCAGGCTCCAATCTTTTAGAGTGCATTAGAGAGAGAGAGAGAGAGAGAGAGAGAGAGAGAGAGGTGCCGGGGAGGGACTGATAAACACACGTGATGCCTCATGCGAAATTGGACTCCACGTGCTGCAAACGCGGACATGGATTCTAAAGAATCCCGTTTCTGCGTCTTTCGAGATCAAATTGACTTCGGGAGGAGAGAGAGAGCGAGAGATGCGCCGGGATGGGATTGACACGTGGCAACTGATAAATACACGTGATGCCCCATGCGAAACGGGACTCCACGTGCTGCTAACGCGGAATGAATTCTAAAGAATCCGGTTTCTGCGTCGTTCGACACCAAATTGACTTGGGGAAGAGAGAGAGAGAGAGAGAGAGATTATGAGCATACTTATCCAGGGTTGAGATGTCGGCAAGCATGTGGTCCTTACTTTGAGAAGCGTGACTTATTTTCGCATATTATTAGCAGCGAGTGAGCGAGCAAGTGGGCAAAAACCCTCGCCACGTTCCAAGCTAGCAAAAGCCAAGGTCTTTCATACATGATCACTTGTCCTTTGGGTTGCCCAGCTGCCTTCCCAAGAACACCAGCCCAACAGAGGTAATCGAAGACAATATAGCAGATGAATAGCACATCGTTAGCAGAGCTCCCCTCAGCGACTGCGGAATGTTATAAATCAATAAATAAATAAATAAATAAATCAGATAACTGAAAAAAAATCCGAAGATTGCTCGCTGTACAGAGGCGCTGTCTTGCTGCCCATACCTTGGCTAGCAGCAGCGCGTTGTCATTGGCATACTGCAACGAGCTCTCGGGTATGCTCTGAATGCCTTGGCTTAACCCCCAGGAAAGAATCCTTCGAAACCCAAAGGTTAGATATGATCACTGGATCGTGTCATAAATGGGTTGAAGAAGTGGAGAATCAGAACAGGGCTCGGCGAATTATACCCAAAGATGAAACCTATTGCAGCACCAATGTTGGCCTTCTCTGGCGTCAACTCCAATTGTAAGTCCCCAAACTGCAGGGCAGTTGACCACCATTAAAGCCTGGATTTGAAATAGATGCGGACCATAGAATCTACGTCCGAAATCACTCAGCGGGCTGCTTTCAGGGGGGCGATCAAGAGTGAGAAAAAGAGTTCAAGCTGCCAAAAGAAGGACATGACTGTACTGGGAGTCGTTGAGCCAGAATGTTTTGAAATCCACGTCGACCAGGAAGCCCACCTTCAGCATCCTCGCCTCTGGTATACGCTTTTGGTCAGCTGATGTCACCGAAGTTGCAGAGAGAACTTTCCCAGCCTTGGTCATAGCCCTCGCAATCTACAACCAACGTGATATGTAAACAGAATTATTTCATTTTTATCCCAAAACTAAGATGCCGAAGATGCGACCCCCCCTGTCGTCTTTGAATGCCCTTTTATAGAAGAAATCAATTCTACATGCTCCGAAAGTATAGCATAAACATCATTGGCAAAAAGGTTAAGATGATATGATCGGAGAGTCTGATCCAGGATGGGAAGAAAAACAGAACAGCTACAGGGAATCCATTGAATCCATCACTCTTTCCATTATTTTGTAAAACACAAAAAATACATTGATGATATCTTCGAGTTTTTCAAGCCATGTAACGAAAATTACGGTGTTAATGTGAATGTGTAAATAATATTTAATAAATATGTGAAGTATTTCAACATGTGATGGCTGTTTCCATAGATTTTCAAATAAATTTACTGATAATGTTGATGTGCAGAAAACAATGAAGCTTATGGCTCGACTAAGTTCAACAGCATTTGACACTAGTTGCATTCTACAAAGTGCTTGCAACAGAGAAAAAATATTATAATTATCCAGTACCTGAATTCGATATTATTCTTGCAAAAGTCACCCCGAAATTGTCTCGATAATTATGATCCTTCTGAGAATATTAGAAATGTAAACTTGACTAGGACCGAGATCAAAAGAAATCATATGCAATCGGTAATCCAAATTAGATGGTAAAAAATGAAATATTCCCGAACAACCTCTAGGAAAGATACAGTTGAATGAGGATAAAAGAATGTCCCAGGGATAGTCCTCGCAGAGGCATATACCCTTTGTAGCTCTCCTTCTCCATATTGTCCCATGCCCTGAAATCTCCTTCCCGCTGACAACAATCGTTTACCGATCGCTGGAACAGGAGAGAACATTAAATTGGGAGCCATGTAATCCTCGCAAACATACAACAAAGAAATATATAATCCAATCCTTGCCTGATTTAACACTATCTTTCAACGAATTATGAAGCAATGGGAGCTTGCTTGCAATGCTACACGAAGTGGAGGTTTCAGCTTTTTCCCATGATCTTGTAAGAGACAAAAACAATGCCCCCAGTTCTTGGCCACACTGGAGATATAACAGATATATGCGCATTAGATTCTGTAAGAACTTATCTTTTACAAATAAAACCGAGCCTAAAACAGTATTAGTGCATATGATGTAGAAACATGCTCTCTAGGGCATGGGCTGCAAGGTGCCGTAGACTATACGAATGATTTAACGAGTATCAGGTGCATTGGATGCCCTCCAGCTTACTGGTTTCCTTGGGAGCGAAAATCGGCTTTGATAGGAATGGACAAAATAATGCTACCATGACCAGTGGATATGGCGGAAAGTCGGGCAGAAGAGCCCTATTTTCCCAAATGAGAGGGAAAAGCACTAGAGCACGACTAACCTCATCGAAAACGGGCCCATTCGAGAGGTCGAATGCCGCGTCATTCAGCTTCCACCAGGAGCAGAGGACAGAATTTTCGGTTATTACTGTCAGGAGAAGACGGTAAAAATTCAATAAATTCGCGAAAATAGGATAAAATTACTTCACGCCTACATCGAGCCGAAGGTCCTGAGGTAGCTTCTCCAGGTAATCCGCCGGAAGGTCTAGGCTGTCCTGCAGAAATAAGGTCGCCACTCCCGGGGATCAGAATCCAACTTCTACTCCCGAATCGCACACATCTGAAAATCGATACTCATACTCAGGTTCTCACGGCGATCTCTTGAAGGAGGGGGAGGAGCGCCTCCTGCTCGAGGGCCTTGGGAGAGTCCGACTCAGCGAGGGCGAAATGGATCACGAGGCGTCGCCCCCCAGGGGCCTTTCTCCGGTCCGATTTCCCCCGGAACAGGGCGGCGCCGCCAGCACGAGGCCGCCTCCGGGGAGTGGAGCGAGCTTGAGAGCAGCGGGAGCGGGAGCAGGGGAGAGCGGGGGGAGAGAACAGAAGAGACGCCATCGCCATTAAACTCACTCGCTCCACAACCGCTAAAATTCGAGGTCGTCGTATAACGACCACCACACTATAATCCCATCCAAACCGTCCATTTCAATCGATCGCATGGGCTGGCGTACATTTGGCCAATCGGGACCGTCCTTTGGGTTAAAGGAACAAGTTTCGGATAGAAAACTCTGTAAATAAATTTTAAAATATTGTAATACTTATCCTTAATATTAATATAATTAATATATAATTTTAAAACCAGTTTTTGATTTAGGATATTTTCCATTTTATTTTCGAAGGTGTATATATTTCCCTGTTTTGGCGGGTATTTTAATATTTAGGAAAATGACCGGGAATGCGGTATTTTTGTAAAAGTCCTCTACTGTGTTTTAAATACTGATTCACCTCTTGATAGACAGATTTCGTCCCGGATCCCTCGTCCGAGGGGGGGGGTGGGGGTTGTGCGTGTGATATTTCAGAGAATGTTAACTTGCAGGGGCTAAAAAGCGATTTATCTTTTTTCTCAGGACAGGTGACCAATTATGGGAAGGTATAGGGTACGGAAGAGCAGATCTATGAGGAGAGGCGGGGAGATTCCGAAGTAATATGTGGACGGCTGCACAGGGTGAGAGGGGAGTGAAGTGAAGATTGTGGGATCTCGTTCTGCATTCGATCGTCCTCAGTTCCTGGCCTTCCTCCATGGCTACACAGGGTCAGATCATCACCTGCAAAGGTAAATATCCGGATTCTCACCTGAGACATTGGATCTCTGTGGCACGTCTAGTCTCGATCTCACCCTTTTTTCTGTGATGCGCAAAAAATTCAAATTCACAGCTGCCGTGGCATGGGAAGCAAACAAGCCTCTGGTGATAGAAGACGTTCAGGTTGCCCCACCGCAGGCCGGGGAAGTCAGGATAAAGATTTTGTACACTGCGCTCTGCCACACCGATGCTTATACATGGAGCGGGAAGGTTTGACGATCTGTTTCACCTAGTCAATATGAATCTCCAGCATCTTCCTTTGATGCCGGTTTGAACATCTCGCAATAAATTCTTTGAAGTTTCTTACAGTCGTGTTCGTTTAAAGCCGATTTTCTTTTACTTGGTACTGTAGACTAGTCATTGTTATTTTTTAAAACCGGAATTACTTTATGTTTTAGAGCTGGGGATTCGTGATAGAATCTCCTGATAATTACCCTGAGCATGTCTATCTCTTACAGATCCCATCTTCTGCGTTGCATAGTAGCTGCGAGATCTTTGACCGATGTTTGCTTTTTTTGGCGGAACTTGACAATTCTCTATACTTTTTATTGCTTTAGAGTTATTTCATTTTTTGCATAATGTAATTAAGATTTATTATGCCTTGTGATATATAATGCTCATGAGTATCTTGTTTCTCTGTTCATTCTTTAAAGTGTTCATGTTTCTCATTAGTGAGTTTAGGATAAATAGCAGACAACTTTGGTAGCATTCTTGGAAAAAGAAATGTCGAAAGATGTATGTCTCAAACGTAATTGTCCTCAACCATCCATGGCGATACGCGATTTATTTTATGTGCGCTTCCTTACTCTTCTCATGTGCATCTTGGGTTTGTTCTTGGTTCTGTATCATTATTTCATGTTGAAACCTTCCATTCACTATTTTGAAATATTTCACTGGCTTCCAGGATCCCGAAGGTCTTTTCCCTTGTATTCTTGGCCATGAAGCTGCGGGGTATGCACATGCTCTACACACTTGCAAAAGCAAATTTGAAAATCGGACTGGAAGCTGAACTTTCTTAGGCTTCTGTTCCCTTGTTTCATTGGAATAGTTGTTTATATTGGATGAAGGAAACCAGACCAAATCATTGACCAGAAATTCGATGGCCTGTTTCTTTTTCCATCCGTCTGATGAAGTTTATTTTATAAAACTATCCTTGAAAGTTTCGAAATTGTCTGTAGCCTAATACTACCTTTTTATTCCTATTTGCCTTAACAGAATTGTGGAAAGTGTTGGGGAAGGAGTGACTGAAGTTCAACCTGGAGACCATGTAATACCTTGCTATCAGGCAGAATGTGGAGAATGTAAATTCTGCAAATCTGGAAAGACAAATCTGTGTGGAAAAGTTCGGGCAGCTACCGGAGTTGGTGTAATGATGAATGACCGTAAAAGCCGTTTCTCAATTAATGGCAAACCCATTTATCACTTTATGGGGACATCAACCTTCAGCCAATACACGGTCGTTCATGATGTAAGTGTTGCAAAAATTGATCCAGCAGCACCTCTTGAGAAAGTCTGCCTGCTTGGTTGTGGTGTCCCAACGGGTTAGTCTTGGACCAATGTTTTATTTTATTTGTCACTCCAGTCATCTCAGGAAACTTGACTTCAGCATTAGTATCTCACTAAGATTATCTGTTGTTGCGTTACCTCTTCTGTTTGAAGCCATTGTACTGTAGTTCGATAATCATGGCTATGAATCAAACAGTGTGCCTCGAATTTCAGTTTGAGTACCACGATTTAGTGACTGAGTGGTTTTTTCTTCGAATATGGATTTCTGTACGATTTTAATGAGAAAGGAAGGTTTGAAAAGAGCATGGAAATGACATTGTATTATGATGTCAAGAAAATGACGTTGTGATGCTTTTACAATTTTCAGTTAAATTTGATTATCAGGGTAATTAAGGTCTTGGCTTTTTTCCAGGACTTGGTGCTGTTTGGAATACTGCAAAGGTTGAGCCAGGCTCTATTGTCGCTGTTTTTGGCCTTGGAACCGTTGGGCTCGCTGTTAGTTCACTGAAAACTGCTTGATTTCCTCCAGTATTACTGAACCCCTCCCTTTTTATGTCCTGATTCAAAACAAAATTTCGTATTGTATAGGTTGCAGAGGGTGCAAAAGCAGCGGGTGCTTCGAGAATAATTGGTGTTGACATTGACAGCAAAAAGTTTGATATTGGTATTCCGTCATGCTGAATAGTTGAATATTCGTCATTATAAATTCCTTTGCTTATTCCTTGTGAGGATTTATGAATCATTTTTGTCCTTTGACACTTGTCACATATGAACTACAGGTGCTAACAGCAGAACCGCAGCATTTGTATTCTTAAAAATTCCTAATCAATTTTGGAAACGTCTCTTCTGTGGACACATGTCGTTAAATTTTGCATCTGGTTTCCTGCTTTTACCTCTCTTTCATGTTTATGCATACGGAGCCATTGTTTTCAGTTGGGAGGGAGTAGGAGTGGAGGAGCGATCATATAGAACATGCAGATGTATTTGATGTGGCTGAAAGTGCTCTTGAATGGAGATAGAATGCCAGTTTGTGTGTAAAAACAGAGGAATAGATGAAAAGTGATTGCCATTTTGTTGTAGGAGAAAACTTAATGCGGCTTTATTTTTTGTGTAGGGTGACGCAGATCAGCCAGCAGTTTCTCTTTTCCGTTTTCTTGCTGGGATGGTGGGAAGTATCCAGATAAGTGAAAGGAGGGTAGTGATGAAGAGGTTGCTGTTCTGCTATTTTTCAAACTGTCAGAGGGGAGATGCTGATTGCCAATTGATGCTGAGGGAAGAAAGAAGGATGAAGAACCAACAAAAGGCTGTCATTCCATGAGAAAAGACCGAGGGGGAAGATGCATGAACTTTGAAACATGGCACTTGAAGTACTGTGGTTAGAGAGGATAATTGGTATGGTGGTGGAGGATACCTTAGTTAAGCAAGAAATGGCCTAGGCCTAAGCTGATTGTAGCAGGAACAGATCTGGGCTTAAGATTGCTGATTGAAGCAAGGGTAGACCTGAGGGTATAATATCATTGATCGAAGCAAGAGGAGACCGAGCCCTGAAAGGGAGCTAGATGGAGCTAGCGGGGGCCTGGGCTGTTTAAGATAGCTGGATGAAGCAAGAGGAGGGTCTGCGCTGTTTAAGATAGCTGGACGAAGCAAGAGGAGGCCTGGGCGTGTAAGATAGCTGGATGAAGCAAGCAGAATACTCGAGACTTAGATACCTGATCGAAGGAGGATGGGACCTGACCTCAAGATAGCTGATAAGAGCAAGAATAGATATATTTTCGGAGCAAGAAGAGATCTTGGCCTTTAATGGCACCCCAATAGGCATGCTCGTGTGCATGAGTAAGGTCGATGGTTGGGTACTCCCTGAGGCACAGATTACCATTGATGGCTGAGTTATCACAGCATGTAGATTTTTTCTTGAGATGGGTTGTACTGAAGATTTTTTTCTCTGAGGCATATATTTTTTAGAAAGATTTAGAACGAATCTGTCTGAATATTGTGATGGGGAGATGTTGCCCACAGTCTCCCTAATGCGGCCGCTTCTGTGCTGAAGAGGAAGAAGTTGGTAAAAGAAGGTGTCTTATCGGGTTAAAAGGAGCTGAGGTCGGGGTGAAGACTTGTGATAACTATCCGCATACTCTTTTTGATACTAATATTGGCATCCTTTTAAACGGTACATTGCCAATCGATGTCCATCTCAACGTCACTTCTTGATCCCCGTTATGCCCAAAAAGGCATAAAAGAACAGAAATCTGCTTGCTTCACTTACCTTGCATTGTTCACGGGCATCGTTGTTTCTTTCTTCTTCTTCTTTAACATTTCTATTCAAAATCATGTGATTTTATCATCCAGCTAATGCGGATTCTATTGCAGCGAAGAACTTCGGGGTCACAGAATTTGTGAACCCCAAGGACCACGACAAGCCGATCCAGCAGGTCCTTGTCGACCTCACCGATGGGGGCGTCGACTACAGCTTCGAGTGCATCGGGAACGTCTCTGTGATGAGGGCTGCCCTCGAGTGCTGCCATAAGGTTGCTGTTTCTTCCGAAAACCTCTCCACTTCCAGCCATGGCGCCTCTCTCTCTCCCTCTCTATGATGGATCTGATCGAGGGGCCACATTAATGAAAAATGAATGAATGAATGACGCCAGGGTTGGGGGACGTCGGTGATCGTGGGCGTGGCGGCCTCCGGCCAGGAGATCTCCACCCGACCCTTTCAGCTTGTCACGGGGCGCGTCTGGAAGGGCACCGCCTTCGGTGGCTTCAAGAGCCGCTCCCAGGTTCCCTGGCTCGTGGACAAGTACATGAAGAAGGTGCCCCCCCTCTCTCTCTCTACTCCCAGCCCCTTTTTCTCTTATCAGGACCACCATGCATTGATGACTGCGTTAGATAATGACTCAAATTTATTATGCACTTCGTTTATTGCAGGAAATCAAGGTGGACGAGTACATCACCCACAACATGACCTTGGGGGAGATCAACGATGCCTTCCATCTCATGCACGAGGGGGTCTGCCTCCGCTGCGTACTTGACGTGCATGCCTAGGCCTCTTTTCTCTCTCTCTCTCGCCCTCTCTGGTACCGTTCAGGGAGATAGTGGTCCTTAAGTGGCTCACCTCTCTGAATCTCTCCTAAACCCCCCCCCCCCTTGTTGCTTGGAAACACTGAAGACCTCGCAGGGGATCGTTTCAAGTCACTTATGTAGCTTTCCTTGCCAGCACAATGAGACGGGCTGACCCAGTCAGTGGTTGTTCTTCCAAGCAGGTGTGTTTCTTCTATATATCTATATATATACAGATAGAAATTCAGCGATAATCTGCACAAGCTGCCCTCCTAAAAGCGGATGGCTTCTGATGTTTATTATAAAATAAAATAAATACGAAATAATTTCAAGCCTCCCACGCGTATATGGGTGTGTATATAGATAGATGGGAAGAGAGAGAGAGAGAGAGAGAGAGAGAGAGAAGGGTAAGGTGAAAGTGGGCATGCTTCATCATGAGTAGAAACAAGCCTGAATATCTGCAGGGAACAGTTGCACACGGGCACATGATCAAAGGAAAACTGGATGGGAAGATCTAAAAGCCCAAGGACCGTCCCTTTCCTCGATGCTCGGATGGAAAACTGGCCTAAACCCTCCAATTCCGAGTAAAGAACCGGGATTTCTGGAGATAGCATCCATGGCCATGGCTGTCTCGAGCGCCAAATCTCGCCACCTCCATTGCTAGCCCCCTCCACTCTTTGCAGCGCCGAGACCTGGACCAGAGCAGCGACCATGGATCAGAAACAGCAGAAACCCTAATGAGCAACTAGGCGAAAATAAACGACCGCATCCCAAAACTCTCAACGCCTAGAATGCCATCCAATTGCCTTCCCTAAAGCTCGAGACTCGTGGGCAAGTTCATGTCCCCGAGCTAACTCCTTCAAAACACTTTTAGACCAAAAGCGATCAGGCATCTTCAAACTGCTGCACGAAAAACCTCGCAGATCCAGAAGATGGGGATATGCATACGGGCTTTATTTTCTTGTTCGTTATCATTAAAAAAAATACTGATAGACGAATACTGCTGAGCCGACAGAATTTAGGGATCATCAGAACAAGCCCAAGATGGGGATATGCATACGGGCTTGCTTTTCTTGTTTGTTGTCATTAAAAAAAAAATCCCAATAATTTCTCAAAAATATTGATAGATGAATACTCCTGAGATGATACAACGTAGGAATCATCAGAACAAGCCCAGTGCAACCGAGGAACCAAGCAAATCAAACCGCTTAACAGGATCCAAAAAGAAAAAATTCTGATGGAATGTATGAATGATGGAGTATGAACTGGGGATCAAACCAACCCGGATATGGAAACCAAGCAAATCAGCTTGTGTTTGTGATGATTTTTACTGACCCACCCTGAGTGGATCCCGGAAATACAGAATTTGCAACTAAGAGCGATAATTTATCAACCCCCAGGAACCCACTGCAATTATCAGCATACACATTTTCTATTAATTTTCCCAAACTGATGGGTTCCACCAAAACGATGTGTGTAAGAACTGGTCTACGTGAGTCAATTTTTATAAACTCTCGTCCTCTTGTGGTGAATTAAGTGCCCCCTGATGCTACTTATTCTGAATTGAATCCATTGCAGAGCAACGAAGAAGACAATTCTAGAAAAAAAAATCAGCGGAGGAACAGAGAATGGACCGCAAGGTCTGTCATGGTGGAGGAAGATCCGGTTTACCTTCGGGAGACTGAGAAGGCATTCTACCGTCAGCTGGGGTCCTGTGCTTGGCGTATGAGCCGTTCCAGTCTCCTCCATCTTGGGCGTAATAATCCATGGGATAGTGGCCTTCTTTTTCCTCTGCCTCCACGGACTTGCCGCTGGGACCGCATGAACCATCGCCGCAGCTGGCCGATCCATTCTCCTCCTTCCTCGTGGCGCCACAGGGACTAGAGCCCTGTGCCGCCGGCGGCCTCCTGTTCTCCCACCAACCTGGGAGGAAGCCCATGGCGATCTCCAACTCGAAAGTCGTCAGAAGAGGCTTCTTGAAGGCCTCCCCCCAATCTATCGACAACCGAGGGCAAGCGATCTGCACCCAGGCGTCCACTGAGTCTCCGAACAGCTCAATCCTCGCCGGAGACAACTCAGACATCAGCACCACCGTGTAATCCATCCCCTTCTCCTCCATCCGCCCCAAGATCCGGTTCAAAACCCTAGTGCTCCCCTGCCTCCCCAGGGTCCCCAAGACCACGCCCCATCTCCTCGCCTTCTGGGCCGCCATAATCGCCTGCTTCCTCGCCGCCTTCATCCCCGCGTGATCGTACTCTTCCAGGAAAAGAACCCCGACATAGGGGTCGTAGCGAAAGGCCTTGATCTCTGGATTGGCTATCATGAAGGCCTCGAGATGGAATCGGCCGTCTGCGACGAAGACGAGGGCTTCCGCTCCGCCATTGCTCCTGCCCACCGTCGGAGCAGTGCATCCGAGGACCTCCCCGGCTGACAGGGGTTTAGCCTGCGGCACCAAGACCTGGTAACCGTGCTCCTCCAAGAGCGATACTCTCGCAGAGTGGACGGCGGAGTTGAATTGCACGGTCCCGGCGAGAACCAGCCTCGTCGAGGGCTCGAAGTTGGACCTGACGACCTCCACGAGGCGAGCAACGTCGACCTTGATGTCGACGAAGACGTAGAGGGTGGGAACCTTGGAGAAACTGACCGGGACGAGGCAGCTGTGGCCGTAGTGGATCAGGAGGTCCACGCTGAGGGCGGCGGCGGCGAGGTCGTCGATGCAGCAGGCGCCGTAGGTGGGCTCCGCGAGGACGACGACCTCGTCGGCGCCGGCGAAGGAGCGGAGGATGTCCGCCAGAGGGAGGGAGTACATGAGCAGCCCGTCGGGGAACTGGAGGGCAACGCGGCGGGCCGAGGAGGAGCGGACGCGATGGACGCACTTGTGGACCTCGAAGTTGTAGTTCGAAGGGAGGAGGGAGATGGCGGAGTTGAGCGCGGGGTCGTTGAGAATCGACTCTGGAATCTGAGACTTCACGAATCGCCTCGGAGCAGGCTTTGGTTTCCTCGGTTCAGTGGCGGCGGCGGCAAGGACGAGGGGGCGCTCCCCCGTAGATGCCTCCGCCATGGTTCCTGCTTCCGCGGCTGGAAGAAAGGTTTATTACATATTTATACAACGGTTTCGTTACAGCCCAATTACATACAAATGGGCCCTCTTATGGACGATCTCTTCAACCCATCCTTATTGGGCCCCATAATAAACATATAGGCCGTGCAGAATCGGTTTCTCATTATTGGGCCTCACAAATTCGCCGAAGCAGACTGCAGGAACATAAATCACCTCACACCAGTTGGAGGCATATGGCCCACTACTTACTGGACGATTGGTCCATTTTAACGGCCCACTAGCTCACATGGGGGCCTATTCGGTCAACGAGGGTTTGCCCCTCCCATTATTGGGCCTGCTGAGATATAAGGGCGTCCGAAAAATATCAATTTTTTTCTTCTTCATTCTTCGTAGAGCAAAGAAGGGAAATCCACGACGGCCGAACAGGAAAAGAATCAAAGCTCGAAGTTCTCGTCGTCTTCTAGCTCGAAGGCCGCGGCGGCCTCTTCGTCGTCGTGAACGTACCAGTACGGGTTCCTCTCCACGGGCTGGAAATTGTAGAAGACGAAGAGATAGAAAGCCAGGCTGGCCCCTTCCGCCATGGCGGCGCTCACCCAGCGGTGGCGGTAGCCGAGGACGGCTCCCAGGGCAGCAACGGCGATCCTGGTGAAGTAGAGGTAGCCGACGACCACGACGTAGAATTGCCGGAAGAGTGTCAGCTTCGCCAGGTTCCGAGCGGCCTTCCCGTCGGTTTTTGAGGCCTCTCTGAGGCTGCGGATGGACCAGATGATGGGGAGGAAGACGGCGAAGCAGCAGATGACGTCCACCAGGAGGAAGATCTGGTTCCAGGTGAGCCAGTCCCTCTCCGACGGCCCCGTCTCGGCGATGACCACCGATGCCACGTTCTCGATCACTTGCAGCGGGATGACGACCATCAGGACCTTCTTCTCCCTCTCCTGTTGGTGCCCGGGCATGGCGGATGGTCACTCTAATGTATGTGGGAAGGGGGAGGAAGATGATGGTGAAGTTTAATGGAAGACCTGGAGGTAGGGTTTGAGGAAAGACCAGCCGGTGCCGATGAGGACGATCACCGTGAAGAAGGTGACCCCCTTAAGGAAGCCGAAGATGTAGAAGACGACGTCCCAACCGTGGGGGGTCCCCGTCCGGCCGACGAATGACACGTCCTCGGCGGCGCAGACCAGCTTGAGGGCCTTGAAAGCCAGCAGCATCCCCATGATAACGTGTATCGTCTCCACCGTCGAGCGCTGCCGGAAGCAGACGGCCGCCCACGCGACCAAGAAGGCGGCGTACACGACGGAGAAGACGAAGTAGAGCCGCGGCAGAGGCTTGTGCCCGGCGGGGAGGTAGTCCCTCTCGCCATCAGCGCCGACGTTGTACATCTCCGTGAGCACTTCCATGGAGACCTCGAGGCCCTGCCGGCAGTTGACGAAGAGAAGGCTGTACTCGTCCGGTTCTTCGATGGCGACCGAGCCATTTCCAGTCGAATCCGCCGCCAGGCTCTGGAAGGGGAGCACCGCCTTGACGTAGTGGCTGGACAGCGAGCAGAAGCCGCCGGAGGAGTAGCGAGACTCGTTTTCGAGCCGCTCGTACGAGGTCTGCCGGATCAGGACGAAGCCCATCCACCGGTGGGGGTCTGCGGTGGGATCCGGCGACCTCCAGGAGACTCCCTTCACAGAGACGGCCACTCGGCCGCCGCCGGCGGAGAAGCCGAACTGCTCGAAGAGGATTATTGCCCCCGGGTCCTTGACGATCCGCATGCTCCTGATCTCCGCCACCGCAGCAGGGAGCGCGAAGAGCACGAGAGCGGCGACGAGTGCAGAGAGGTGGAGATTCCCCATGGGGGAGGCGGAGGGCGGAGGACGGCGGCGGCGGCAGCGGCAGCGGCAGCTGTGGTGGTGGCTGAACGGAGAGGATGTTGGGGGAGGAGGGGGACGGTTGCGGGGAGAAGGCAGATGGATGGTTGGACGGCGACTGTAGAGCGTTTTGCATGGCGGGGTATGGGGACGACGGGCCCACATGGGGTTTGACTAGTCTTTTCGTCTTTCCGCTTCTCGAGGGGAAAAATATGGGCCGGCTCGATCATTGACAAGGAAACAAAATGGGCCCAAATGACGGAAAGGCCTGGGATTTAAAATAAACTTAATAATGGTTCAAAATGTTAGTTTACATTTTATAGGGATCTGTGGGAAAATTACATGCCGACGTCTTCTTCATCCTGGTGGGAGGATGGAGGGATGGATGAGGGTCAGCCCGTTGCTGGCTCTGCCCTACCACCATCCATTAGAGCTCAAGTGAGCTCGATCTTCGTCTTCGGGGAATGGAGCTGAGAGTTCGAGAGTGACGCCGGAGATTTTCCCTGTCATAGGACGGAGCAGAGGAGTAATCCCCTCGTCGCATAGAGGTACGTACGGCAGCTCCTCCTCTCCTTTCTCCTCTCCGGGACCAGGTTCTTGGAAACCGACCGCCCTTGTCGAGGGAACCATCCTAGTAACCTTCTGGTTTCCCCATGGAAGGTCCCCGTCTCAGACTCGCGGCTCTCAGTTTGGAGGTATCCGTTATCCATCTCGCACACTAGCTGCTTGAATAAATTCTCGACAGACTCTCAGAACTCGTTTCCGCTGCGAGTCGCCCTCTCTCGGACGATTTGGTGATCCCTCTCCGTTGCCGGTGTCGTCCTCTGGGGTCGACTGGAGCGAATATGGCGGCCGTTGGAGCGGCCGTGTACTTCAGAGGGTTGAGGTTCAAGAATTTCTGCTTCTTCCCATCTTCTCCCCATCGATGGGGAAGCCGGAGTCTGCTTTTCCGTTCCGGTAGCAACGCCGCCTCCCTTACCTCGATCTCCGCCAGCGGCGCCCAGAGCGCGCAGACCCAGACCAGGGCGCCGGCGGAGAGGCCCCAGACGCAGACGAGGAAGAACGCTGAGGAGAGCTCACAGGGCTACGAATCCGTCATCGGCATTGAGACCCACGTTCAGCTCTCCACAGTCACCAAGGCCTTCTGCGCCTGCGAATACTCCTATGGCTCCCCGCCGAACACCACCGTCTGCCCCGTCTGCATGGGTCTGCCCGGCGCGCTGCCAGTGCTGAACACGAAGGTCGTCGAGTTCGCGGTTAAGCTGGGCCTCGCTCTCAACTGCAAGCTCTCGTTGACTTCCAAGTTCGATCGGAAGCAGTACTTCTACCCCGACCTCCCAAAGGGCTATCAGATCTCTCAGTTCGACGTCCCCATCGCCACCAGAGGATTCATCGACCTGGATCTCCCGCTTGAGTTCGGCGGCGGGCATCGGAGGTTCGGCATAACGAGGGTTCACATGGAGGAAGACGCAGGGAAGCTGCTTCATTCGGAATCTGGAAGCTACTCGCAGGTGAGAGAATATGAATCCTTTCCGCCAACTCCAGCTGCCTCATTTCCTAATTTGGAACTGTTCCTCTCCCACAGGTAGACCTCAACAGAGCTGGCGTCCCTCTGCTCGAGATCGTCTCCGAGCCGGACATGAGGACTGGCATCGAGGCTGCAGAGTACGCCGCAGAGTTGCAGAGGCTGGTGCGCTACCTGGGAGTGAGCAACGGGAACATGCAAGAAGGATCTCTTCGCTGTGACGTGAATGTATCTGTTCGTCCAATCGGGCAGTCAGAATTTGGAACCAAGGTCGAGAAGATCCTACCTTCAAACCCTAATTATATGCCTAGCTACATGTTCATCTAACTCGTTCGAGTCCTTCAAGGTGGGTAGGTGGAGGTCAAGAATATGAATTCGTTCTCCGCCATGAGCCGGGCGATAGACTTCGAGATCTGCAGGCAAGTTACTCTCCACAAGCAAGGCCAGGGGGATCAGATCGTCCAGGAGACCCGGCTCTGGGACGACGGCTCCCAGGTTTGCCCTCGAATCTACCCTTCAACCTCCCAATTTCCCTGTTCCTTCCTCCTGAATTTGATCTCCTGGCGTCTTTCTTTCTTGTAGAGAACAGTCACGATGAGGAAGAAGGAAGGGCTGGCCGATTACAGGTACTTCCCGGAGCCCGATCTCCCTGAGGTCGTCCTCTCGAGCGAGTACGTGGAGGCCATCCGGGCATCGTTGCCGGAGCTCCCGGAGGCGAAGCGGCGGCGCTACGAGCAGATGGGCCTCGGCATGCAGGATGTCCTCTTTCTCGCCAACGACGTCGCCGTGCGTTCTTCCCCTCCGTGGGTTCCGCTCTGCCCCCGTCGTGGTCTCGGGCCGTGGACTTACGAGCTTTCTCCGCTGACTTTTAGGTTGCTCATTTCTTCGACTCCGCTGTCGATAGTGGCGCCGACGTGAAAATGGCCGCCAACTGGATCATGGGCGACATCGCGGCATTCCTGAAGAGCGAACGTCTGTCGATTGGTGAGATCAAGCTGACCCCCCGGGAGCTCGCCGAGCTGATATCTTCCATAAAGGGCGGAACCATCAGTGGGAAGATGGGGAAGGAGGTATTCCTCAGCTTGGTCCCCCTGGTTTCAGGCCAAAAAAATTACGTGGATCATGCAATAGAGTTGCAGAAATCATAGCTTTTATTTTCGTAATGTTGTCACATGTTTTCGCAGATTCTCGTCGAGCTCATAACCAAAGGAGGGACGGTCAAATCTCTGATCACGGAGAAGGATCTGGTTCAGGCGCGCAGCTTCTACTTACTAATTTCAGCATTTTTTTCCTTTTTAAGATGTCTGTGAAGAACGATGGGGCAACCCCATTTCTTCGTTGTGGGGGAGAGAGAGAATAACCGGAGCTTATCCTCTTCCGCCTGCAGATTGTAGATCCCGCCGCCATTGAAGCGTTGGTGGAGAAGGTGATCGCGGAGAACCCGAAGCAGCTGCAGCAGTACCGCGGGGGCAAGACAAAGCTGCAGGGCTTCTTCGCCGGCCAGGTGTGGACAGAATCGGCTCGGAAACCCTTCTCTTGATGCTCACAGTAGAGAGAGAAAATAGAGAGAGAGAGAGAGTCGGTCCCGCTCAGTTCTTCTCCTCCTTGTCTGCAGGTGATGAAGGAGTCGAAGGGCAAGGCAAATCCGGCGCTTTTGAACAAGATCCTCCTGGAGAAGTTGAATGCCGAGAGCAGCTGACGGAGGCTCTCCCCGTCACAATCCCTGAGTACCGTCGCGCTTCTTCCGGGTGCAGTCTGATCGATTCCTTCATCTCATCTCAACGATCACATTGGAGTTGTTTAGTCAAATAAAAACAGCTAATTTGGGGAAATAATCGAACCTGATTTTGGCGGCCCTTCCATGCTTGATTTGGACTTGACATTCTTCTTGTAGGGTTCTTCGTGTAATTTTCTAAAAGGGAGAGATACACAGCACGATGGGCCCATATTCTCTCTCTAAGGAATACACTTGCAACATTTTTAAAAATAAAAATAATTCAGATAATATCACGGCTAAAATTCCAAGACAATTTTCGTGAGCTATATTTGACCATTTACATGGATATTTGACTATTTTTCAAAATAAAAAAAATTACTATTTTTATCTCTCTTTCTTACTATAAGTGGACTCGCGAGTCAGCTTGCTTCCTCAAAACAGTAAGAGACTGTTTTACGGCTTATGAAAAAAAAAGGAATATTTTTATATAGATTGGAAATATATTTTTTGATAGTAGACGATTTATCTATTTACCCTTAGTATGTATTTTGAGAACACAAAGACCGTAAAAGGCTCTTAAATGGGTGACGAATTTGGTGTCTATGGTGGTGTAAGGACTACTTTCTAATTAAAAGTACATATATGGACTTTACGGACAATAATATGAGTTTATAGGGCTTAAGGCCAATTACTAATGGTAAGAACATATAGAAGAAGACTTCCCCCAGGGGTCCCGTGTTTATGCGGCCGTTGGAATAGTCGGTCGGGCTCATGATAGTCCTCCTTCCGCGAGGAGTTAGGGTTCTAGGTAGCGACTGTTGTTGCGTGAAGATGTCTTTCTTCAGTCGGTTGTGATCTCCCCGGACTCCGCATTCTTCGTTCTGGCCTCAGGTTCGCGTCTGAATTCTGATGATTATCCGTTCCGCGAGGTCTGGCTCTGTGACTCTGCGAGAGAATTTAGTTTTTGTCGTTAATCTGGGAATTTAAGGACGTTAAGTTGATGAATGATTGGCTCTCTCAATCCTTTTTCCTTCAGCCGGTTTCACATTCTTCGTCTCCCCCTTTAATCATCAGGTTCAAGACGTCGTTGATTATGAGTGTATAATTTCTCAAGTCTACAACTAGTTTTTTTTCCTACCTTCAGATGTCGCAATCGCTGAATTTTTGGACTATGCTCTTTTTTCATTCGCTGCCTCAGCTTCCCAGTGTTTGATCACAGACGTTAACTGCGGAGTCTGATATCCCAGTTACTTCGCCTATAATGTATACATTTTAGGTTACTATTGCTCTCTTGACTTTCAATTGCCTCTCTCTAGTCGGTGACATTTGGCCTTGAACTCCATAATTTTCAGCTGACCTACGGAAGGGCCTTTCTGTTGGAGCTTCAGGGCCGTTCCTAATGGGTGATATCCCATCTCTGATCTCGCTATGCATGAAGAAAGTTTCCAGGACGGCAGCGGGCAAAGACGGTGATGGCTGAACTAAAGCAATGCTATTAATAAGTATAATTTCCATTTTTCCTTGACAACAGGAGTGTGCACTTTTCAGGGTTTAATCACTTGCAGGATGTTTTCGACCTTCCATCCGATCTGTTCGATGGTTTATTGATGCAGCTTTCCCCACTTGCCTTAGAGAAGTTACAGGCCGCTCTGTGAGTTTTGATTATACAGACTTCCTGCCTCGCCTGTAACATGTCATCTTGGAATTCATTGAGAGCTCTCTAGTGCGCTTAAATTTGAAACCATGAGGATGAACTTGCGGACCAATAAATTTCCAGTGGCAGGAGAATCTAAATAAGTCACCTAGATAAACACATAGCCTGGTAAAAATAAATTGGTTTGATATTCGTGAGTTGCTCTGGATATGTTCAGGATGTGGGGAAAGTTTCTTAACATTCTTTGATCCATGCTTCAGGTTCGTTCCTCTCAATATCGAAAAGGAACACGCCATAATAGATGCTCATGGGTGCCTACAGATGCGCATCTCATGTAAGAATGCTTGAGGAGAGTGCAACTAAGCAAGTAGTGCCTCAAGATCCCAGTCATAGTGAAGGATGGAGATCACCTATATTATGTAGTTAAAAAACGGACGCAGTATGTCAGTCGGCGATAATTTAATATAGGGGTGTTGTGAACCTGTCTTTCCGAAGTAATTTTCCCACCACAATTTGCCCATAAATCGTCTGGAATCAACTGGTGCCACTTTCAAACTAAACAGACATAAATGTCAGCCGTGAATTATCTTCTGTTTGTGGTAACTTCATTTGATTCCTTGCTTCATGCTCTTGGCATCAGTGACCTCTTTAACATTTTTAGTATTTATCAGCCTTGCTTTATTGCCATATTTGTGGTACATTTTTTTTTTTACTTTGTGATTATGATACGTGTTATTGACATCAAAAGTGAGGGATCCAGTTTATCAGTGGGGTTGCATAGTTCACAATCTCGATATGTTATGTTTTTCTCTCCCTAGTTGTTTCATGGTCCTGCATGTTCACAGGAGTCAAATTAGCTAATTGGCTATTGCATAGACATTAAATAATTATTTTTCTCCAACCCTCATGCTTTGACAGTTCTGTCAATGACACATGTGGATCAGCAGTAAATGGCATGGGTGATGGGAAGAAACGTGGAAGGTAATTTAATAGCCTGCTTATTCACCGAAGTTGTGTTTCTATGACCTGTTTCAATTCATGACAACATTTTTTCTTTGTATTGGAATTGTTTCATTTAGGTACGATGACCTCAATAGGGCATGGGAGCTGTTGTTTAAGTTGCGATGGCCTGAGAATAACAAGAAGATACTGCAAATAAGCCACGTAAGAGTACAAGATCGTATGGAAAGTCTTGAAAACAAGCATAGTACTGACTGGCAACAGCGATACTGGGAATCACACTTACAGGAGTATGAATGTCTGTCCATGAGTTCATTGCTATATTTTTTGCCCATTTGATACATAATTATCAAGCATTACTTTGAATACAGATGCCTGGATGAAGCGTCAGAGAAAGCATTACTTCCAGCTTTTGACGGGTGTATCAAAGAGATAAAAGCTTCAAGTTAGTCACCTAATGTCCATTCTGTGTTTTCTTATTGCTCATTTTAGCCTTTCTGCTTTTGTTGTACCTATCTTCTTAAATTATTCATTTTTCCGATGCTAAAGTTTTTCTTGTATAACTAGCATGATGTGAAAAGTGCCATAAAGGAAAATCATCACTCTATTCAAGATGTTGGCATTTTTTTGAAAAAATCAGGTGGTGTCGACATCTTATGCGAAATTACGTTTTAATGCTGTATGAAATTCAGCTGAATCTCCTTTATGCTTGGTCATTTTCCTTAAATGGCAACATCATGTAGTCTTTGCTGACGACTTGCACGTGGAAATTAGTTTTTTTGACTGAGAAGATGTCTTTTCCGTTAATTTTGATTCACATCTTTCTTTAGAAACAAAATTTTACATATATCATCACCTTTTTGGTATATTTATGCACTGCAGACGCTATATTGGATTCGATTGGTTGCATTCAAGACAAGTGCAATAAAGATTTCGAATATGCAAAGCTATCGTATCATTGTCAAAACTTTGGAAATTATGCGAGGTGATACCACATCCATTTATGTTTTATGTTTTTGATGCTGATGCTACATTTTTCTTGTTCCCTGATGAGAAAGGTGACCCTGTGAAAACTGTTTATGAAATGTCTACTTTCATATATAGTGCTTACCCTTATTTACTAATATTATTCTACCAATCAAACTGCGAATCCTATATAATCATATTCTATCTAGTCACTGCTTTTTTATTCCATAAAGTGTTTGTTGGAGGTTCTAGGTCGTAGGGAAATAGTGTAATTAGTTGAGGGTGTTTTTTGCAAAAGTTGTGTATTATTACTCCCTATATAATGGGGATCAGAGTTGAATGAACGTTGAGGCGGTTTCCGCCGATTCTCCCCTCTGTCCTTCGTGACAAGGGTTTTTCTCGATTTGCAACAGTGTTCAATGAAATTAATAAGAAGATCTCTAGTCAATAATCATTTAGAGAAAAAGTGAGAAACATTCTCTGGATACTTCCACATCAATAGTTTATGAATATAGTAGTAAAACTACATCTACTCAAGGTTTTATGAATATGCATTTCACAATGAGACTGCTTGCTTTTCCACTTCAAATGAAGAAAATAGACTTCACTCTCTAACGGGACATTCAGACTAAATTTTTTAGGGTTTTCTTAATTGTTCAGATCATCTTTATTGCCAATCTTGATTATTGGGTAAGGTGCTGTCCAGTGAAGAATTACTTAATGATGCTCTTTCGCAACATGTAACTTTTTTCAGATTAGCTACTTATTAGAAGACGTTTATCCAAAAGTATGCAAGCATTTCCTTTTTCTGGTGTTGTATAGGTCAGCCTTTGACATTTTGATTCCTGAGTATGTTCCTTTATGATGTTAAACTGTATTTTTCCATTTATTTGAATGCAGATGCCTACGCCTCCAAAATGTGCTGTGTGTTACGGGAACATGTGTAAGAAAATGCAGAACTTGGCTGTGTATAGATGTTAAAATGTCTTCCCTGAGGTGGTTATGGTCCTCGAGTTGTGTTTTTGTTTAAGTAAATTGATAATCGGGTCATATGCTCAGTAAAAACGAATCTACTTTTTATGTACCTTCTTTTCATATAGCTCGTAATATCACCGGTGACTGCCATCTGATTTTCAGCAACCCCTTTCAACATTTAAAAAGCTTCCATATGATATTGACTGAAGTCATGGTGCGCTATCTTTGCTGTTATGCCGTGTTGGAAGCTTGGGAGGGGATATGTGCAGTACTCTTGAAAACAATGAGGGAACATACAACCGCATTACGAAGTACCTGATCCTTCTGGTGGCAAAAAGATACTGCAGACTGCCAGTGTCTATATGTCACAGCCAAGTTTCTCCCGATGATTTAGGCCCACCTCTAAATAACGACAATTTTACGCTCTTGCCTACCCAGAAATCTGTACAAGGACCGTCAAGTGGCTAGAAATGAAAAAAACAAAGTTGACTCTTGCGAGAACATTACATGGAAAGTTCTGGGGAGGGGTGGGGTTGTAGGTTCTCATCCATAACCTCCAAATCCGGTTAGCAGCTCTTCTGTAGATGTTTCTATTGTCATGTCTTTAAAATAAGACTGGATAACAGGATAATATTTGCCCAGAGATTCCCGACTATATTCTTGGAGTTACACATACTGGGGCCTTTAATATTCCTGGAGTTACACATACTGGAGCCTTTAATATTCCTGGAGTTACACATACTGATCCACCCGTACCTCATCAGAGATGGTTCTTTCAGTCTTATCCCAGGCAGATTGGTGTATGTTGTAACATGCAAGAATTCATGTTAAATCTATTGGTTATAACTGGTTCTCTGATGGAAAATCCATAATGATTTCAAATGTTTAAACCTATTTTATAAGTACTAATTTTCCAACTATGGAACTCTTCTCATTATATGTGCACCTTGGAGACCCCAAATTTCCCGTGACTGTGCTGCAAATTTTGCTCAAAAAACGAAAAAGAGATAGATTATATCATAGACTTTGTATTTTCTCGTGAATGAAATAAGTCAGCAGTCAACACTGAATAGATGATTTAGTTGCTCTTCTTTGAGTTTGTACTTTCTGGCTTTTATACTTTCATCTATATGTTCGAATTGTAAAAAATAGATACCTATTAAATTAAAAGATTCTGAGATTTTTCAGTTTGTATCAGAAGTTGAACGTTTTAGTCCATGGACAGGAAATGCTAAAGGCTAGCCATCTGCAAGATGTCATCTTCCGAAATATCAAATCGGAAACTCATGTATGTCTCATCTCTTACCGTAAATGTAAACTCTTTTCTTTTTGTTGTAACTTCTGGATTGCAGTTTTGTTCAGAAAATTATTGGTTTGTTATCTAATGGTATTCTATTACTCAAATGCATTTATATTTATGTCATTTTTCTCAGTGATTCGTGATAGATACACATCATTAAACTTTTCTTTCGTGAGGAACCTTGGCTAATAGTTGCTAAATTAAAAACTGAATTACATTCTACAGGTTGATGAAGTATGCAAGCTTCTGTCACAGAACAAGGATACTTTATTATCCCTAAACCTTGTCCATTGTAGGTTTTCTTCCACTGGTTTTAAAAAGATTTGTACTTCACTGTACTACAGTGGAACTTGTGTACATGGGATTCAGTATTTCTCTATCACATCTTCAAGTATTTTTGAATCCAAGCAGACCTCCACTTATTCAAGTTTTCTAGAGTTTCTCTCATCGGGAAGGTAATGCTCTTAAAGCTATACACTCAATTTATAATTGATGGTTTTTAAACTTAAATTACCATGAAATGTTATTTTTTCCTTACGGGATCATTGTCAATTCGTTACACAAATTTTCAAATATGTGATATATTTATGGAACTATAGAGTTTTTTTCCGAGTCAAAATCATAGATTTATAAAATTTAGTTAAATTCGTTATTTTTCGGATTATCAAACTTTTCAGTCGGCCAAACAAATTCAGTATTAGAAATGGATGGCAGTCTGCTTTTGTAGGTTGGTGGTTGCCTTTGACACGTGTAAAAGATTTCTATTTTTTGACTCCTTTTTCAGTCAGCTGGGTCTCCCTTTCACCCATTTTTTTTTTACAAACCCGGAGAATTTTAAAGCTTTTGATAATTGTTGAATCATTTATGTTTCACTTATGCCCAATGAAAAATTTGGAAAATTGTATCAGCTTTAATTCAGGTTGTCAAGAAAAAAAAAATTATGTATAAATTGATATGTTAGATTTTCTAACAACATGTCGAGGTACGGTACTTCTAAAATATATCTGTTATTATGGGAAGTTATTGCTAAAAATTGCTACACATATGTTGTAGCGGTAGTATTTAACCTTGCTCTGCATCCAACTACAGGTTCTATTCCAGTGAAGTATATTTATTTTTCTTCTAGACGGCCCCTGGGCACTAATATTCTAGCGACAAGTTCTATTATACTGAATTATATGCACAGTATAAACTTTGGACCTCATATTTGGCGTTTGGCCCATCTTTGTAATTGAAATGGCTAATCATGGACTTTACGATGCAGGACAGAATTGTACGGTTCATATTCTTTGGATTGTCCAAATACCCTTGAAACCTCTTATAAGCAGGCTTTTGCCGCCTATTAACTATCCAATATCTTCTCCATTAAAACTTAACTAGGTTTTGAAAGTTTAATGATGGATGGACCAATTACCTTTCGTGCTTGTAAAGATAGATTTTTTGCAAAAATGGAGCCGGATGCATCTTTTTCTATCTGGAATCTCGACCCTTACCTCTCTGCTGGAATCAGATTATTCTCTGTTTCACTCTCTTTTTCTATAGTTGGTACTGCAGCAGATACTGTGCATTATGATTATCCCTTATTCATAGATTTCTTCCAACACAAATCGAGAGGTGCAGTCATGGTTTTATACTATTCTTATTTTGAAGGAGAGACTGTTTTTGATCCGTAGGCCTTTCATCCCATTTTCTGTCTCTTGGAGATTGCTTAAAATCAACAAATATTTAATGAAAAATCAGTGTCAATATTTTCTATGTTCGTGTAGGGAACTCCTAACGAGAAATAGCAAGTTATGAATGATAAACTTGCAAAAGCTGTTTATAAGTAATACCTTCGATTCAAGTTTTTTGGATCGTGGGGCAACTTCAAATGAAATTGATTGCAGTAACCAAGAGAGATCAGGTATAAACCCAGAATCATTTGATTACTACAAGCTGGGTTATTCATTGAAAGATCACGGGTTATTCAGGTCCTTTGAATAACCCAGAATCGTGCTTCATGAATATGCGAAAAGGATGCAGATCTAGATGTATTTTTTCAATGTTATTCCATAAAAGGAATTACATATTTAGTGTGACATTTGTGCTGTAAGGTCACATTTTACGTCAGCTACCATATCCAAGATACCATATTTAATGTACTGATTTTCAATTCTCAGTTTTTCTTCTCTATTCTGTGGGCAGTCAGACTGATTCAATTTTTATGAAAAGGTCCTTGCGGTCAGTAAAATTGTGTGATGTCAGCATGGGGCCCAAAATTGCAAATTTAATTTTTGGTACTCTTTGCGGATCTTCTTCTGGTCTTATCAGCCTTGACATTTCAGATGACAATGTAAGCAGTATCTCAGCATCTCGTTATATCTTATCGTGATTATAGTGATTAAAAGCATCATCAATTAATGTATACCTCCAGATTGCAGGGTGGCTTTCCAACATAGGGAGGCAATCCACCTGCTTCTCTCCTTTACCATCATCATCACCATCGAATGGGGTCTTAAAGTCTCTCTGTGTTCTAAACCTAAGGTAACAGCAACGCATTGTTTTTGTGTCGTAGAGATGAGGAAATCTCTTTTTTATCTTGCTTGAAACGTTATTCGGCGTTGTCAACTTGATCTGTTTTTTATTTGGTTTTTTATTATCAGAGGAAATAATTTGGGCGAGGATGATGCAGAAGATCTCAAGCATGCTCTAGCTCATATGCCTCGCCTTAGGCAGCTGGATATAAGTGACAATCCTTTGACTGATGGTGGTATAAGGTCCTCTCTCTCTCTCTCTCTCTTTCTCTCTCTTTCTCGTCATATATGTTTATATGTAAATATTTACTCTCTGTCACACATCCACACACTGCCTGCATGTTCATAACTGATTTGAGTATTAAATGCTTGGGCACCTTTGGGTGTCTTTTAACCTTTTTCATCACCAAAACAGAAGGATCACAGGTGCTAAACGAGAAATCGTAGGGGAAAATTTTGGTCTACCACTACTAGCTTTGACTCTGGGAGACTATTGTTCAGTTGTATCGGTAGAACTTGAGCGTTGACCATGCTGTTTCTGTCCCACACTCCCATCACTTCCAATGGTCTAACTTCAGCTATCCCTTTACTCGCATCGGAAGGATACCGATTGCCGCAGCCATCAAAATGGCTGCTATAGAACTCGTTGCTGGTCCGAGACCTTTCAACTATATCTCTCATCGACTATAGTTTAGTCCATTTTTTTCATATATTGTTGTGATGAAATATGTCATGCCGGGTGTTTATTATGGTAACAGGCCCTGATTGGTGGGCTTCTTCATCATTTGAAGGCGATGAAGATTTGCCGTTGACCGAGATATCTGATATGCTGCAGGAGTCTCATTCCCTATTTTCTCAAGGCGATTGAGAGGCCGGATCCTCTGTCTGATATCAAGATAGAGAACTGCAGCCTCTCCAGCGTGGCAGTGGTTCAGCTCCTCGAGAATATCCAGCACTTGGGGAAGCCACTGCGCTCTTTATCTCTCGCGGATAATAACCTTGGCAGGTTAATATGGTTCCCTCCCCTCATAATCTCTCCACTCGATCGATTATTTTATTTTTATTATTATTATTATTATTTAAATCGACACTCGCTGGTTTCCTCCATTTCAGCTGTGTGGGAGTGCCCTTGGCGAAGTTCTTGGGGCCTTCCCGCCTTCAGAGGCTGAACATCGAAGATGTGGGCTTGGGCCCGCTGGGGTTCCAAGAACTTGAACGCGGACTGCCTGAAGACGTGGGGCTCGTCTGGGTCAACGTGAGGTTGGAAAAGTCCCACCTCGTAAATGGTCAACTAGTACCACTCGTCACCGATTAATTGCATAGAGGGTCCAATTACTGTGCCCATTAATCAGATTCTTCGGCTGATGGTTGTTGCAGTAAGAACCGGGGGAAGAAGGAAGCGGCAGAGTTCTTGGCCAAGCTCGTTTCAAGGGCTCCGGAGCTTTCCGTGGTCAACGCCGGATACAACTTCATGCCGGCGGAGTCTCTCCCGGTCATCTGCGAGGCCCTGAAGCTCTCCAGAGGTACGTTGCACCTCCCTCAAGGGGCTTCTGACTCTTCTGCATGTCTCCGAATTGTATTAATTCCACGCTGAATCATCTCTTTCTTTTTTTTGGGTCGTCTCAGGGAAGTTGGAGAGGGTTGACTTGACGGGAAACGGGCACCTGTGCGAGCCATCTCCGCCTCCCATGCTCGCGGATCTCCGTTTTCAGGGGAAGCCCGTTGTGATCCTCCCATCATCACTATCCACTGTAGCTTATGATGATGATCCTTAGGCCTGGGATGATCAAGGTAAATCTTAGTGGCCGATATCTCTCTATGTGTATATATATACAGATATATATATATATATATATATATAGAGAGAGAGAGAGAGAGACGTTTGATTTATCATTAATTTAAATTAAATTGAACTCTTTAAATGCTTTTAAATTTTCTCAATGTCGAAGTGGTCTGAGCCCGTTATGGTCCGAGTCCAAGCCACGTACATGAGAGAGAGAGAGAGAGAGAGAGAGAGAGAGTAATACGTATATATATTCGTTTTTGGTCCTCATAATTCGCCCTAACCCTCCTCGGATTTATATTCCTTCTAATTATCAATATATTTATATATATAACATTCCTAGTTTCTCAGGTAACGGAAAAATATGGTCGCGCCCAGTAGCTCATTTTGGGCCCGGGTATTGGGCCATTAATTGTGCTTCTAGAATTTTCTTTGAATTATTAATTTTATGAAATTTTGCTTTACTTTCGAACCGATAGAGGATCCGTTACGACCGTGGTTGATCCGATGGACCCCGGATTCTTCTCTCCTGCGCGCCACGGTACCAGCGCCGCTTCCTATATAAATGAAGTCGGGCTAACGAAGAGTCCCGATCTCGCCTTCGTTATCGTCACAGCTGTGGGAAGCTAATATCTGAAGATCGAGGGCGGAACCCTAATTTCTCCGATCAGTCCCTTGCTTCGTGATTTCGTCTTCCCCTCGTTTTTGGGGGGATGGAGGACTCACTGGCCTACGCTTCGTCGGCACCGGCACAAGGCTTCGATTCTTCCGGCAGTCACTCTCAATACGAAGGTTCTTCGCAGGCCTCGGCTTACCAACGTTCTTTCGAAAATTCTGGTGCGTTCAGCGTGATGCCACCTGCTCCGTCCTCGTCCTGGGAAAACCTAGCCTCCCAAAACTCCCTTCCGCCGCCTCCGCCGCTTCCCCCTTCGGAGGTCCCGGGTCAGCAATACCTTCCTCCGGAAACCCTAGATCAACATCACAATAAGCAGCCTCCGTCGGATACCGCCGCTTCGCAGAAGCATCTGGATCGCGATTATATGGAGTCTTACGCTCGAAACCGCGATGCTCACAAGCGGGAGAGCGTGGAGAGGCAGTTGATATCCGAAAGCGGCCTCGTTGGTACTCACAGTGGTACAGACAGAGAGTGCTCTGGTGGGGAAGAAGAGACCAGCAGCCGACGGCGCCGGCGGAGCCGTTGGGATCCACCATCGGAAGCTGATCAGAACGGCGATGGGTCTGGCGCTGGCAGTCGGAAGAGGAAGTCGAGGTGGTCTGAAGAGGAGCCGAGGTCCTTTCAGCTACCGGATTTTATGAAGGATTTCACTGCCGATCTTGATCCCGAAGTCCAAGCCCTCAACATCAGGCTTCTGGAGATTAGCCGCCTCCTCCAGTCAGGCCTACCGTTGGATGATCGCCCTGAGGGAGCACGTTCTCCATCGCCTGAACCCATCTACGACAACATGGGTATTCGTATAAACACAAGAGAGTATCGGGCGCGTGAGTACCTCAACAAGGAGCGTCAGGAGATTATATCACAGCTTATAAAGAAGAATCCAGCGTTCAGACCTCCAGCGGATTACCGTCCACCCAAGCTTCAGAAAAAGCTCTACATCCCCATGAAGGAGTACCCTGGGTACAACTTCATTGGACTTATCATTGGGCCTAGAGGCAACACTCAGAAAAGAATGGAGAAAGAAACAGGTGCCAAGATAGTAATCAGGGGGAAAGGCTCGGTAAAAGAAGGCAGATTGCAGCAGAAGAGGGATCTGAAGCCAGATCCTTCCGAGAATGAGGATTTACACGTATTGGTTGAAGCTGAAACACAGGAATCTCTTGATTCTGCGGCGGCCATGATTGAGAAGCTTCTAACACCTGTTGATGAAGTGTTAAATGAGCACAAGAGGCAGCAGCTGAGGGAACTTGCGGCCCTTAACGGAACCATAAGAGATGAGGAATTTTGCAGGTTGTGTGGTGAGCCTGGACACCGGCAGTATGCATGTCCTGCTCGAACTTCTACATTTAAGAGTGATGTGCTGTGTAAGATTTGTGGAGATGGAGGACATCCTACTATTGACTGCCCCATGAAAGGTTCAGGGAAGAAACTGGATGATGAATATCAGAATTTCTTAGCTGAGTTGGGTGGTGCTGCCCCTGACTCATTGTCAAAGTCAAGCGCGTCATTGGCGATTGCAGGTCCTCCTGGCAGCAATCCTCCTTGGGCAAACAACACTAGTACTGGTAGTGCTTCTACTCAGGCAGGATTAACCAATGGGGTTAAAAAGGACTATGATGAAACAAATTTGTATATTGGATATCTACCTCCGACTTTTGACGATGATGCGCTCATAAGATTGTTTTCTCCCTTTGGTAGTATTGTCACAGCAAAGGTGATTAAAGATCGGATGAGTGGGCTAAGCAAGGGTTATGGCTTTGTGAAGTATTCAGATGTTGCTCAGGCCAACCAGGCTATAGCTAGCATGAATGGATATCACTTGGAAGGGCGAGTTATAGCAGTTCGAGTAGCTGGAAAACCACCTCAACCTGCTGTTCCCCCGGGCCCCCCTGCTCCACCACCTCCTGCTTATCCTCCTCCAGATGCATCTTCTGGGGGTTATCCATCTCAACAATATGCATCAGGTGGACCTCTGGCAAATCCACCCCCACCTCCCCCCCCAGGAAGTTACATGAGTGCACCAACTCCATGGGGCCCACCACTTCCTCCACATTATGGATATATCCCACCACCCCCTGGGTCAAGCATGTACAACACTTATGGCATGCCTCTCCCTACCTCACATCAAACCGTACCTCCTCCGGGTGCTCCATCTAGTGAAGCGATGCAGAACTTTCCCCCTGGAGTACAATCCCAGAGCCCATTGCCTGGACCACCTGCACCAAACACCATGTATCCAAACCTCCAGCCTGCATACCAACCCCCGTCTTTTGTCTACCAATCCAATTACGGTGCCGTTCCGCCAGTGCCTCCTCCGAACACAGACCCCTCACAAGGTGTCGGTAGTGTACCGTGGGCATCTAATCCTCTAGCCTCCCAACCTGCGTCAACTTCATCTGCAGACCAGGCTGCTACCTATGGTGGGGACTCGGAGTATGAGAAGTTTATGGCCGAAATGAAGTGACATATGCGCTTCTTGCTTCCTCCGATCTAAATGGTATCTTTTCTCATCTAATCATGATTTTTCTTTCCTCTCATCGGATATTTATTATTAACTGACTGCACTGTCATGAGAAACAACAGCAGAGGAATTTTCCCTCTTGGAATATAAAGCGCATTGGATTTTTTTTGCTTATTTCTCTGGTAATTTTTCCCAATGTGGAAATGTCCTTTAATGCATGTTATTCGAGAAAAGGAGAATGCCCTCATATTGTCTGGATTACAGCACATATAAACTTCATGGTTTTCTTTTCACTATTTACTAACAGTTTCACGAATGCCTTTTTAGCTGCATTTCCTAACTTTGCTTCTGGTGATAACTGGATGTTTTGGCAGGCGTGATTTTTCTTGGAGCTCATGTGAACCTGATTTATTACCTATTGCTAGGGCTTCAAGTAGATGGGAGTTTCGGGATGACATCTTTAACCTTGCTGTACTCTTATGACAATTGCAGAAACCCACCCCTGAGATAAAAGATCCACTCATTCATGGGCTATTTGGCGAGGTATATGCTGCCAGATGGTATCATCTGCAGATCTCTTTCTACATGAAAGTGATCTCATCTTGAGCTGTGCTGGACAGTGTTTTTGTGATGCTATATTTTCTCGTCTAGTCATTCAGTAAAGACTTTTATGAATCTTATCACTAACTTTTTCAGTTTGGTACCCAGCTTCGAGTTTCTCTAACGATTATTCCTAACCTGGTTGACGATGTTATTGTTTTTATGTTGCTATTTTTAAGCCTTTACTTGGTTGCATTACCATGAAGATAGTTGATGATTGCTGAGGTTCATCAGTGGAGCAGGTGATTAATGGCCTGTGTTGGGTAGGTGAAACTTGTTATATTATTGTTTTAGGCTTGGTTTGATTTATTCTTACGGCTCCTGATGTGAATCCCAAGGTTTCGTGTGGCAGGTCAGAGGAAAATACCCAAAATGGTAGTCAAAGGTGCATCAATGGCACTGTGTCGTTTTACCTTAGTGTTGCCTTTTGTTTCGTCCTCCTGCATATGACATTCTCGAGTCGCAGTGCATATTAACTTGCTGGGTAACATTAGGCGCTGTTTTTATATCAGATGTCACAATCATTTCCCCTTTCATCTATGTTTCGGCCTTAAGCCTGCTAATGGTTTGCTTTTTTGCGTATCAAACCTTGGTTTCCCACCCACTTAGAACGCTTTAAAAAAAAAAAATCATGTTTTCTTAATTGAAGCTTCATTGTATTACCGTTTTCCCATCTAGTCTTCTTTTTGGTCATGCTTTCTACTATCGTTCTTATTTGTCTTTCCAACTATTCACCGTCCTGCTTCTGCCATTGGATTTTATGTGTTCACCGATTGAATTTGCCTGTGTTTCAGAGAAGAATCTTAGTATCTTATTTTCTCATTGCATGATTTCTATCTCACTAATTTGTTGCCTATTCTTCATTTCACAAAGTTTGTTCTCTTTTTATCTCTCCAAATACTGGCGCGACCTCGGTTTTCTTCCGGCCTTGCTTTTATCTTCGAAGTTTTGTTCTTCACTAACTATTGTTTTCTCAACGAAATCATATTTTGAAATGATTTTATCTGTAAATGTGACTGGGCGGCGGTTTGATTGCATTTTTGAATCGGCGAGGGTGTGATTATACCCTCTTTTTTTTTTTTTTTAACGTCATCCCATCACCATAGCCCACCGGTCTCTGTCGCCCGTTGAACATAATATAGCTAAGACTTTGGCCTTTTATTTATGTTCATGAATTTTCTTTTAAAATCTCATATTTGGAAAATAACAACAGTTTCTCAGGTAATCATTTTGATTGGTTTGCTCATTATTCGGGCTTTGACGTTGACGTTTGACCATTTCGTGGGTTTTCAAGTTCCATTTTTTTATTTTTTTTTGTGCTTTGTTCTTCCATTAGTTTCTTAGGTGTCTAGAATGGAGATGCTTGACGCCAGTAATTCTCTAAAGCGAATGGACGGGCTTTATTTTCTTACGGTGGTTTCTTGATCAGATACTCCTCTGTTTTCTTGATCAAGTTCCTCTGGATGTCTGCATTCTTCCCTTCTGGCGGACTCTCGGCCGTGCTTGATTGATAGATATTTCTACGACATTTGTTTGGGTTCACTTAGAGAACTTTTCCTAGTTAAGCTAAACTTGCAGGGGTGCATGGGGGAATGGTGCCTGCTGGATAATCAGGGTTGTTGAGTGGATGATGATCTCTGCTCATGTGCTTCCGATTATCAGGGTATAGATAGATAGATATATAGATAGCCTCTGCCCTGTGTATCTGGTTTCCTTGTCTATGCCTGCTGCGTATGTGCCGCCCATCCTCGACCACTAGTCTCGATAACTTTTGTGCATAAGACGCAGCCAGTCAACCGATCAGGCAGTGTATGGCCCCCTCTTTCTGGTGCCCATTCTTCGAATGAAGTTCTAGGCTGCAGCTAACCAAGATATTTATTTTATTTTAAAAAAAGAAGCCGATAGTGATGAAACTAGCCAACCGCCACACGCCGCTGCCACTTCTCCGGAGGCAGGTGAACTAGCTCATTAGTTCTTCTTCGCCTGAATCTTATCTTTTGAGTTAACCTGGGTATTGGGATCGTTTGTCACCTGATAAGTAATGATTAAGAGTACGCGACGCTATCCCCACCTTCTTCCCTGCTTTAATCGGATGAGTTTTGGGGGGGCTTCTCGAGTTCCTCCGTCTGCTCACAGGTCCGGAGTTTCGTTCCTCTACTGTGCCCCCCCGTTTCAATTCGGCTTCCGTTTGGTAGCGCTTTTCTTCGTCTCGCGCTGATTGGCAATCTGGGTACTCTTCAGATGCCGTCTTCTGATCTTCGATTAGTAGAGTTATCGTATGAAAGGCCCCGTCGCTTCCGCTTTCCGTCGCCAGCTCGCTCGCTGGCCGGGCGGAAGGAATCGGGACGCCGTCAGAGTGTGGCCCGGTTTAATCGAGAGGCGAGAACCAGACAAAGCGATTGCCGATTCAGAGAGACGTTGGCGGGTACAGGGAGTATGGCGGCCCTGCATTTACGTTAACGCCAGCTCGAATTGTAGGCGGTGGCGGCGGGGGACGGGAGTAGGAGGCAGCCGGGGAGGGGGGGGCGGGGAGGGTGCGGGTTGTCGTCGGCTCGCGCTTCTCTACTGACTAAATCAAGCGGCGGCGATGGGGGCCGCGTTGCTGCTTCCTCCGGCGGGCGTTTGCCTCCTCTGTGCATTTTCCGCGCGGCTGCGCCGTTCAGGAGCGCTTCCCTAGCGCCAGGCTGATCCGCATGGGCCGCCCTTCCAGCTCCTGCAAAATCCACATCCATCAGCGGCGGCGGCGGTGGTGGCGGAAGCAGAAGAAGAAGAGTGTGGGGAGAAGGAAGGGAGAAGAAGGGTAGACGTACCTTGCCGTCGAGTGACTGGAGGGCGGTGTCCATCTCGGACTTGGTAGAGTAGCAGATAAAGCCGTAACCGCGGGAGCGGCCGGTGTCGCCGTCGAAGATGACCCGGGCGCCGACCACCTCGCCGTAGTCCTGGAAGGCCTGGATCAGGCTCTCCGCCGTCACCGACCAGGAAAGGTTCCCCACGAAGAGCTTGAATTCGCTCTCCGGGTACAGGGGCTCCTTGGGCTTGGGCTTGTCCGAGAAGTTCACCCTCAGCACCCGCCCCGAGTATTGCTGCAATTCACACACACACACAGCACACACAACAACAACACCATCAACAGCAACACCAGGAAAAGGGGCATCCCATCCCTCCCGCTATTAATTCCAAGAATCCGAGGAGAAGCGAAGAGGCCTTCGTCTTCCTCGATATCGATTGTCTCTTCATGTAGGGATGCTTACGCTTCCGTCGAGGTTCTGGATGACGCCCTCGCAGTCTTCCACGGAGCTCATGGTGACGAAACCGAACCCCCTGCTTCTGCCGGTGTCCTTGTCGTAGAGCACCTGCGACCCCGTCACCAAAATCAAAAAACAAGAAACAAAAAAAGAAAAACGTCGGTCGTCATCTCCACAGGATTAAAGCTCGGGAAGGAGAAAGGACAGCTACTAGGGTTTAATTAGTCTACATGTCGCACGAGCTGAGAATAGTGATCTAGTAGAAAAAGCCAGTCGATTCAGAGGCAAGAGCCCGATCCTCCCATTGTCCAAACCTCTGGATCTTTGGACAGAAACCTGACGAGAATTGAATATGGGGTCTCTCGATGCCGACCCAGGATCAAAGCTCTGGTAGAAGGAGCAGAAGCAAGATATCGAGATCACGAGCCACGGGAGACTGGGCGAAAGGTACTTTCGAGAGTTGGGCGAGTAACTGATGATCGATTCTAATTCTCCGACGGAGATGACGAATCCTGGGAAAGGGTTCCAGATTTCTCCTCAATTGCCGTCTACAAGCTTGTGTAGGTGTTCCCGAGGAGCTCTAATAGGAGGTCTGTCGGACGCGTCTGTGTGAGATCTTCTCCGAACAGAAAATCTAGAGAGATGAAGTCGCGAGGATTAATCTCGTCCGGTTTTTCAATATGCTTGAAATCGAAATCCGTCTGCAACGGAGCGAATATCTGAAATTCAAGCATATCCGCGGGCGGCAGGAGCTCCAGGTCTCCCTTACCTCGACCATCTCCGGGGTCGCATACTCCTGGATGATCCCGGCCAGCTGGGCGCTATCGCAATTGTACGGCAGATTGCCAAAGTAGAGCTTGGTGTTCACCGTGTCCTCGCCCACTTCAGCCTCCGACCCTCCGTCCTCCCCGGCGGGCTCTCCGTCCACGGCCGCGGCCGCCGCCTCCTCCTCCTGGGCTACAGCGGTGGAGCACACCCTCGGCAGCCGCCATCTCGGGCCGGAGGCCCCCCTGCAGCTGATCCCCAGCCCGTCCAGCGTGCAGGCGACATTCGGCAGGCGCAGCGCCCGCAGCCCCCCGAGCCTGACGATGCCGTCGGCGGGGGGATGCCTCGGCTGGATGCAGGGGGTGACGCCGGCGGAGAAGCACGACCGGACGGCGGCGGCTCCTGCCATGGTTTCTACTCCTCGGGAGGGACGATGAGGCGCAACGGCCAGCAACGGAGAGAGAGAGAGAGAGAGGTCTTCTACTCGAAGCACTGAGCGAGGAGGAGAGCCTGCGGAAGGGAAGGGAAGGGAAGGGAAGGACGTGGCTCAGATGACGCGTACTCTTCTGGACCAGTGGATATCAGATAGGTAGAGGATGAGGGGAGATAAGATGACGAGGTGCTACTCCTCTGGGACCCTCAATGTTTACCGATATACCCTTATAAAGTGCTGGTTTTGGCAAAAAAGGCCCTGAAAAGGTTCTTCCTTGTGGCTGGCAAAGAGGCGGCTGCGAATTCTCGGGATAGCGTCCCCTCGTGGACGTCAGAACCATCGTCATCTCCGAGGAAATCATTGGCCGGCGGCGGTCCTCGCCGGAGGATGAGAGGGCCTAGAGGCAGAGAGGTTCTCCGGCAGGGACTCTCGCCGTAGCGGCAGCGGCGGCGGCGGTGGCGGAGAAATGGAGGGTGGAGACGTCCACCGACGTCCCCTTCTGCGGATTACTCGACGGCCGCCGGAGGATGCTCTGTCGGCCATCCCCGGTCTGCAAATTTCGACAATTCGTGACGCAATCGTGATGCAGATCTTCAATTTTCTATTTTTTTCTTCCAAGGACGAGGATTCACAACGTCGATTACTAGGGGAAAGATTGTCGGAAACTAAAACCCCTGCGCGCCACGTTTTCGGTTTGAAATGGACGGCGCTCGGTTGGCGGCGCCGCCGCCGTCCGGTGGCAGAGGAGCGAACGTGGCTCTTCGTGAAAGCACACCGCGGCGGCCGCGGTGGTGGCGGCCGCGGCAGTATTCTTAGACTCTGGGCTTCTCGTGAATCATATGTAAATAATCTCACGTGAATCGCGCGACGCTGCTCTGGTTTTTTGTCATTTCTTTTTTGTCGAGCGTCGAGCTCCGCCGCGCGGAAAAATCGTTTCCGGCCGCGACCATAAAGTTGACGAGGAGTCTAGAGACAGAAACAGTGAGAGAGAGTGAGAGAGAGGAGGGAAGCAACCTGGGGATCGAGGGTAGGGAAAGGGGAAGAGAAAGTGTAGCCATTTTTTCCTGGGCAAATCTGTGATACGTTCGGGAGCCAGCATCTGTCACCGGTCTTCAAGATCTAGGGTTTTAGTGTTGGACCTTCAGGAGGATCCGTCCCCCGCTGCATGCTCTAAGCAAGGAAGCAATGGCGACTGGATACGTGGTTTCCGTGAGCGCTATTCAGGTGATTGCGAGAATCCGAACTGATGATCTCTCTTCCCCAAAAGTACCTTGCGTGACTTGCGAATGGTTTTCGGTCTCGAGCAGGTGGGCAGTTATTTCATTGAGCAGTACTACCAGATTCTCCTGCAGCAACCAAATTTCGTCCATCAGTTCTACACGGATTCAAGCACCGTGGTGCGCATTGATGGGAGCATGGCTAATACTGCTTCTGGCATGCTAGTAGGTCTTTCCTCACTCCTCTCTCTAAGGATTTCTATGATTTTCTGGCATTCCCTTTCTCCTGGAAAATGGGAATTGCTTCATTTCATAATCGGTTGACCACCCTTAATGTCAGTGATGATTAACGTAATGTGGATAGCGACTATCTGGGAACAGTCATATGTTTTCCTTTGATTGGAGCTTTTCACCTCTTCCCTGAAGCTTTGGTTTCTTAGAAAGAGGTTCTTTTTCTTTGTAATCAGTGACCTAGAAAAAGAAAAAGAAAAAGAAAAAACAGTCATATACCTCGACTATGCTTTGAATACTTCTCTGCTCACGACCCAACATTGGAGAAGACGATATCCCAATTCAATTGCCCAAGTAGCTGCAAGCTCTGCCTTCTTCTATGCGCAGCATGTTCATGCGTGGTTTTAATCCTTTATGGACTACATCTGGAGCCATTTGTCTGTGGATTCTCTAAAATCTCTAGATCTTGCAAGAAAATCATGTTTTGGAATTATTTATGATTAGTGATGTTTTAGTGTGCGAGCATCTAATTGCCTATATGGAAACTTTGGTGCCTTCTTTCTTCGTGCTTTCTCATGTTTCTGCTCTATATATTTCCCTCTATCTGCAGTATCTGAGAATGCTGAACTCATGATTATATGAGCTTATTCTGAGGTGAAGGTTGTTTTACTAATTGCAGCAAATACATAATCTCATAATGTCTCTCAGCCTTGGTGGCATTGAGATCAAAACAGCTCGTTCTTTGGAATCGTGGGGTGGAGGCATTCTAGTCACAGTATCAGGTTCTGTGCATGCCGGGGAGTTAGGTGGCTGGAGAAATTTTGTGCAGACATTCTTCCTGGCACCTCAGGAGAAAGGATACTTCGTTCTCAACGACATATTTCACCTTCAGGATGAAGAACAACAGCTTCCACGCGTAGCAACAATGTCGGGATATAATGATTTCGATTCCATGTATAAATCTTCCTTCCCAAATCAAGAGACAGGTACATGTGCATTTATCATCTTGGAACAATGTCTAATGGAAATTGATGGTTTTATAACACTATTGGACTAATGCTTTGTGACTGCTATGAAACTGAGTACTTAGCATCCACGTTTCTGGGATCCTTAGAACTTTTAAATTTTCTACTGTGTGATTGCCCACTTGCTTTCAAAAACGTCCAAAAAAATGTTGCCCAATGGAAGAATAAAGTTACTTTCTGAGAAATGAAGAAAAAAAAAAAAAGAAATTTGATGCTGAGCAGTGACATCACAACGATCCATGCCAGTGTTATCTGCCATTATTGCCTAGAAAAGGAAATATATCATATTCACATTTATACATGTAACCAAATTATGGTTTTTCATACCTAGACGTCCTTTTCTGATTTTTTGTTCTTTCTATCAAATGGTCTGATCAATCCTGGGTTGATGCCTAAATAAATGTCGAGCTTTAGCAGCCTTTAAACGCATTATTGTTGGAGAAGTCCCAAGAAATGGCATTTTAGTACCTGCGAATGCTGAAGAAAGTAAGGCTGATGAGCATATCACCCCTGCATTCCAAGGTGGCCGGGAGAATGTTTGTAAGGCTGATGACCGAGCTGAAGGAGCAGCCACAGAACAGCCTGCATCTTCATTTCCAAGCTCATCCAATTTTCAATGCCAACACTCTTCCCCCGTTGATGAACCCATTGAAGAACTGAGACACACTTATGCTTCAGTTGTATGTATCACTTTGTCGGCCTTTCATCACTCTATTCTTATTTCTTGTGACATGGTCTAATTTATCGCCATTTATGATGCCATCTATTTGTAAGTTGCAAGTCCCCAAAGGACGAACTGGACATGCTCAAAGTCCAGAAACGGCCGGAGCAAAACAAGCGTCCCCAGCATCTGAGCGGCATCATATACCACAGATTACTCATCAGCAGTCAAATCCTGCCTTTGAAGTTGAGGATGCGACAGCAGCAGATGAAGGTGAAACTCTGTTATTTTAGTAGTAATGAGTAGTACCATACGAATGAGCTTTATGAGTAAATGGAACATTGGTCTATCTCAATGTAGTAATGAGTAGTAATATCCCCGATGAATACTTGGTTTTCAATTTTTGTGATATTTCCACTTTTTGTACGTCTATTAATATTATGATTTTTCTTAAGAAATTTTATTCGGTTGAATAGGTTGATGTGTGCTACCGTCACTGTTGATGGTGTCGCAGAAGGCTAAAACCCTCTTCGGTTACTTTGATTTCACATGCCCGTAATCCTTGTTGATGGATGGTGTTGAGGTTTCCCTCCAATTATACTATTCGGCCAGATATGTGGGAAGATTAAAAATCGTGGTTTTTTTAAGAGTTTAGCGATTTATTTTCCATTTTATTGTGAAATCGAATAATAGAAAACAATGTAAGATTATAGTTTGGTTTCCTATTTTCGGTATCATTTCAATGCAGGGTTTTCATGCCCCTTCTCACCTTGCTTTTCTCTTAGGTGGGGCTACATCTGTTTACGTGAGAAACCTACCTTCGTCTGCGTCTGCTTCGGAACTCGAACAGGAGTTCCTAAGTTTTGGGAGAGTCAAGCCTGGTGGTGTTCTTATCAAGAACAGGAAGGTTCTCCCCACATCTCTCTATTTTCTCGACTGAAAGGCCCTTCGTCGTCATCCCCCGTCCATTAAATCCGAAGAATCTTGGGTCAGCGGGGCCATGGATTCTCTATCCAACCATTACCATTTTCAATGCATCATTTTTATGTTGACCATCCCCATCTGGGTCCTTTCGGGTTCTCTTCTTCCCCCTTCTTGGGACCTCTCGGTCTGAGATTTTGCAATGCCGAAGACCAAACTCATATGTTCCAAATCTCTCCTTCTAATGCTCAGGAAGCTGGCGTCTGCTACGCTTTTGTGGAGTTCGAGGATACTCGCGGTGTTGAGAACGCCCTCCGGGTATGGTCTCTGTGGGACCCGATCACCGTCTCCAGTCATTGCTCTGTGTATCCCCTAATCGGCCCCATCTGCTTCCTCTCAGGCTTCTCCAATCCAGTTCTGCGGCTACCCAATACATGTGGAAGAACGAAGACCCCGAAGCCAAGTAGCTCCAGGAGGTGCGATCCCGCCAGCGCATGCCTTTTTTTATGTGATAAAACTTAGTTATCCTTCGTCAAAACCATGCTGATTTCACTCAGAATTTCTCGCGGTGGGATTGCTTCGGCGGCAGAGACCCCTTGAGTCATACGTTAGATGTCTGTGTTTATGTATGCGTGTGCCCTTCATTGGCACCATGAATGGTTTTCTGGATTCTGGGCAGGAAGGAGTAGGCCGAGGGGAGGGCGATTGGCGGAGAAGGCACCGAGGGGGGCCGGGCCCGGCGCTGCTCGGAGGTCGGGGCGGGGTAGCCGGCAGGAGAATGGCGGCAGGGCGAGGGCAAATGGCTCCCGCCGCCGCCATGAACAACCGGCTGCGATCGAAATCTCATCCTCCTGAGCTTCTGCAATGATCAAGGTGAGAGCTTTTTCTAGGGAGGCTGCTGTTCCAGGATAACTTCGGTATTTATAGTAGACCAAGGTTGGGGCCATTGTCAGTATCTGTTGGGGGCCCTCCGCCTCAGAGGGCGAGCTCGGCCATGCCGCCGGCAGCGGAGCGGAGGGCCGCCGCCGCCGCGGAGGATCCGGGGAGGACCCACGCCCGCCTGGTGAAGACCGCTTCCGGCGACCGCTCCCTCTACAACCGCCTGATCACCCTCTACTCCCGGGACTCCTCCACAGTGGCCGATGCCCTCCGTCTCTTCTATCGCCTCCCCTTCGCCCCCTCCGTCGTCTCCTGGACGGCCATCATCTCCGCCATGGACCCCGCAGCGGCGCTGCACCTCTTCGTCTCAATGGTCCGTAGCCGCACCCTGCCGAACCAGCGCACCGTTGCGTCCCTCCTGGGGAAATGCGCCGCCTGCCCAGCCGTCCTCTCCGGGGCCGCACCCCAGATCCACTCCCTCTCCCTGAAGCTGTGCCTCTCTCACCTCCCGTTCGCCGGGAGCGCCGTCGTCGCGTCCTACTGCAAGGTTGGCCGCCCCTTGGACGCCCTGAAGGTGTTCGACGAAATTGACGAGAAAGACGAGGTCTGCTACGCCGCCGCGGTCGTGGGCCTCGCGCAGAACCGGCGGCCGGTGGACGCTCTCTCCCTCTTCGCGGCGATGCGGGCCGCGGCCGTGGAGTCCACAATGTACAGCGTCTCCGGCGCCCTCCGCTCAGCCGCAGAGATGGCGGCATTGGAACAGGCGAGGCTGATCCATGCCCACGCCATGGTAGTGGGGCTGGAGGCCAACCTGGCGGTGGGAACCGCTCTGGTTGATGCCTACGGGAAGTGCGGTCTCGTCTGCGACGCGCAGCGCGCCTTTGATGGCCTCTGCGGAGACGCCAACGTGGTCGCCTGGAACGCCCTCCTCTCTGCGTACGCCCAGCAGGGAGATGCGGATCATGCACTCCATGCGTTCGATAGAATGCTCGGCGGCGGGCTGAAGGCGAACGAATACACTTTCCTGGCCATCCTCACCGCGTGCAGCAACGCCGGGCTGGTCTCGGAGGCGGAGCGGTGGCTGGGTCTGATGAGCGCGGAGCACGGGGTGACGCCGGCACTGGAGCACTACACGTGCCTGGTCGGCGCGTTAGCGCGCGTGGGGCGGCTCGAGGAAGCGGAGCGCGTCGCGCGGTTGATGCCCTTCGAGGCGGACGCGGCCGTCTGGCGAACGCTCCTGTCCGCCTGCGTGGCCCACGGCGACGCCGGCCTGGGGCGGACGGCCTGCCGGCGGATTCTGGAGGTGGACCCGCAGGACGACTCCGCGTACGTCATGCTCGCCAACGTCTACGCCGCGGCCGGGAGAAGGGACGAGGTGGCGGAGCTGTGGAGCACGATGAGGTACCGGGGAGTGAAGAAGGAGGGCGGGCGGAGTTGGGTTGAGGTGCGCGGGGAGGTGCACGAGTTTCTGGCGGGCGACAGGAGGCACACGCGGGCGGCGGAGATATACGCCAAGGTGGAGGAGCTGATGGGCGAGGTGGAGAGGCTGGGGTACGAGGCCGGGGGGAGGAGGGAGCTATGGCACCACAGCGAGAGGCTCGCCCTGGCGTATGGGCTGCTGAGCGGGGGAGCCCCCCTGGGGAAGCCGCTGAGGGTGGTGAAGAACGTCAGGATTTGCGGGGACTGCCACGAGGCCTTCAGGTTCATGAGCCGGGCCCTCGACCGGGAGATTGTGGTGAGGGACGCCAACCGCTACCACAGATTCGAGCATGGTCTCTGCACCTGCAAGGGTCTCTGGTGAGCGAGCGAGCTCATATTCAGTCAACGAAGCCCTTATCGAACTGGGGGCCATCATTTGGCCTGGTCTGAGCTCCAGTGTCACGCTAATGTCGCTGCGCACATCCATCTTTGCCGCCGCACAACTTTGTGCACGCCGTCCACACCCATGCGTGCGACAGCACACCTCACTCGATGCACCGCATGTGTCTCGTTTCATTCCTAAGAGGCCTCTGGAAGTTGTTGCTCAAAAGTAAGGTTCACCCTAATTAATAAGAGATACATAAACAAGGGGGAACCGCCCATCCACCAACTTCACTTTACATTAAATGACAATATGACCCCCATATTTATTAGAGAGAGTCACTCATAGCAGTTCACTTAATTACTTATGATGAGGTCGACACTCCCATCTTTTGATGGGGCATCTAAACAATGTAGAGCACAATAAATATCTCTTAACCACTTCCTGGTAAGATGCTCTCCTAAGAGAACCGCTTAATGCTGCAAATTCCCGTGGTGAGTGTAGTTAACAATATTAATATGTTGACTTGGTTAACATCGCAACATCTTTGTCATGCACTTAACTTGCTCTTGTATTAAGACTCAGTGGGCTATCTTTTGGCCCAATAATAGAGGATTGGGAAGTTCCAAAAATATGGTATTTCCCTTAGACATATCTTTCACATTTTCCCCCTTTCTTGCATGGTATGTTCTTGTTGAATCCTTCTTCCTCTCCGCTCTCTTGTAGGGTAGATTTTGTTGTCTCTTCTTATAGATATCATGAAGGAGATTAGTTGGAGAGATATTGATGTCAAAGATACATGAAGAAAGAATTGATTGTTCATGACAGAACAACAAATGAAATCAAAGTGGAACAATGCTTGAAAGAACAACAAGACAGATCAACAACTAGTTGGATCTTTGGAATTAAGTTGACAAAGTGGTGAGGTAGCGATCTCAAAATCAAAGAGGTAAGGTTTTAACATTTACATTGTATTGATTCCCGAAATGAAGTGAATCAACATTTCAAGACATAACTTTATTTCTCAAATACATAACAATTTTTTATTACTAATTTTCATATCTTTTTCACTTATATACATTCAAATCTTCAAGAAGTGATATCAGAGCATGGTTAAATAAGGGAAGAAAATGATAAACACTTATTCTTCGAGATTTGACATTAAAAAATAGGATGGAACATTTAATTTTAACCTTTGGTGGTGAAGGGCCAAAAAACTACTTGAGTTGTAAGATATTGATATAATATTTTATAAAAAATAAACAAAAAGTAAATTAATGACTGATTAAGATTGAGCAAAACTAGAAAAGAGAGTAGCTGGTGCTATTAGATTGTGTCTTGCTATTAGTGTTTTATATCATGTTTTAGATGTTGAATATCATCTACTAATATTTGGGCAAAATTAGAGAGTTAATTTACGTCAGAATCGTTGGTGAATATGTTGTTTGATAAACAAAAAATTATATAAGATAAATATGATAAAAGGAATTGATCTTATAGCACATAAAACAGTTTCAATTAGATCATAAATGATATGTTGATATCAAGAGTTAAAGTTAAAGATCATGATAAAATATTACATCTTATTTTTTCTCTCCTGAACTCATATAAGAATTTAGTGACAATTTTTCTGTTTGGTAAATAAACTTTTAAGTGTGAAGATGTGACATTTAATATTTTACAATAGTATCAAAGGAAGGTGAATTTTACAAGATAAAAGGTTAATGGTTAACTAAGTAAGAAAATGAGAAAGGTCAAGAGGAAAAAGAAAATTGAAAGAAATGATAAAATTACATACTAAATCAAAATTTAGAGCACAAAGACTTCAAACACAAGAATGCTATAAGTGGCATGAAATAGGGTACTTGAGGACAGATTATTTGAAACAAAATCATGGGAAGAGTGTTAAAAATATTGAATTACATCTATTTAAGGCATATGAGTTACATCTGTGTAAGGCCTATTGAATAACATGATTTAAGGCCTATGAATGTAATGTCAAAATGAGTCTTTAATTTTCTTGTGACATTTATTAATAACTACTATTACAAAGTTTGAGTCTATTTCATGAAGCATAAGTCAAAAACTATTACTAAACTCAGTCTATGAAAAACCGAAGTAAAAAATCAAACATAGAGTGAAGCAAAAGAATTTAGGATTGATAATAGATGATAATATATAAATTTTGAATTTATGCACTATGAAGAGCACAAACTTGAAATATATTTTATTACTAGAAAAAGATCTTAACACAATGAAATTACAAAAATGATGAATATGACAATTATTGAGAGAGAAAGGTGTATAAGACTGATTGTAAAATTATTCAAGAAATTTTGGACATAATAAATATGACGTGTTATGTGATAAAAAGATTAACTACTTATGTTATTGATGTAAGTGTCGAAAGGTAGATAAGTGACTATTCAAATTTACAAATATTTATATGTCCTCAGTATGTCTATATTTCAAGTGATGAAAGATCGAAATTGGACCCAAATTCAAAGAAGTGTATCTTCTTAAGTTATGCAGATGGAGTGAAAGGGTATTAGTTTTGGGATCTAATAACTAAAAAAAATAGAAATTAATATAGATATAGTTTTTAAAAAAATTACATGTTAAACTCTCTTGATGAAGACATGTACTAGAACAAGAGGATAATAATTATAATATAAAAGTATTTAAAATTGAAGAGATTAATTCAATTGAAGAATAAGATAATGGAAGTGCCACTAGAAGGAAGAAAGTATCATCAATGTTTATGTGAAGATTGTGTTTTCATTGTAGGTAAAAGAGAGTTTACATCATTTCATAAAGTATTAGAGTGTAAGGATAAAAATGAATGGATGAAGACTCCAATAGAAAAAACAAAACTTTGTATAAAACTAGAACATGATATGTAGTTAAGCTTTCGTAAAGGAAAAAAAAACTATCAAATAAGAGCAGATAACTAAGATGATAGAATGCACATTAAAAAAAGATTAAAGTTTAAATTTACATTAGCAGAAAAATGATACTCACAAGAGAATGAAATAAATTATGATGAAATCATTTCTTATGTGATGAAACATTCATCAACTAAGGTGATATTATTAATGGTTACACATGAAGACTTAGAGCTAGTACAATTTGATGTGATTTCTCCATAGTGATTTGGAGAAAATCATTCACATGGAGCAACCATAAGGGTTTTGAAAGTTACTACAATATCTTGTTTATAGGTTTAAAAAATTATAATATTCAAAATAATTGTACAAAAAGTTTTTGATTTCTTTTGTAACACAGCATGGGTATGAAGAATGGCTACAAAATGTTATATTTGGATGATAGGTTAGTTATTGTCAAATATATAAAATATATTTCTAAATTTAAATTTATGTCGAATGAGTAGTTTGAGATGAAATATCTCAATAAAACCATGAAGATTTTTGAGATATAAATCAGTTGAAACATGAAACATGGACAACTATATATATCATAAAACAATTACAATAAATAAGTAGATGAATTATTTGGTATGGGTGATATCAAGTATCTTTTGACAAATCACTTAAAATTATATGTTACTTAGAGTCCAAAAATTAAGACAGAAATTGAAGAGATGAAAAAGATATCTTTTGCAGATATTGTGGGTAGCTTAATGTACTCCATGATTTGCATAACACTAGATATTACATTTGTTGTCTATTTGGTGAAAAAAATTATGGTTAAATATAATCTTAGAGCATTACATAGTAGTAATTGAATCATATGATATTTTAAAGGTTCTACTAATGCTGGAACTATGGTCTAAATATAAAAATCAACATCAATTGAAGGTTTGTTGACAGTAAGTTTTCAAGTGATTTAAATAACTAAAGATGCACTATGGGCTATCTATTTACTCTTACAAAAGGTCTAATAAGTTAGAAATCAACAATCAGAGTAATTATTATATTATCCACAATAAAAGCTGAGCATATGACAATGATTGAGATAATTAAAAAAGTAATAAAGGTTACAAGCTTAGTGAAAGAGCTCAATTTTAGTCAAGGTATAGTTATTCCGAAGTGTGACAAGGTAGACCATCTCTAAATGTGCTTGATATATTTCTTAATGTGGAGATTTTTCAAAATGTGGCCTATATTTCAATTGGGCTCAAATATAGAGAGATTATTCAAGACTTAGTGGGTTGCCTTTTGGCCTAATGACAAAGGAGTAAGAAGTTCAAAAACATAGATTTCTTTTAGCCATTTAGAAAGGTATCCTTGTAAATCTCATGAAAGAACTAAAAGGTATAAAAATAAACTTTTTGAAACCCAACTTAGGGAAATTAGAATCATACTTATTTTTCCTATTTTTCACTTTTCTTTCATGGGAAGTTTGTAGTTTATCCCCTTCTCTTTTTAATCTAAGTGTCTTATCTAAATATTAAGTATTATCTAAATACTAAAAAAAATCCCTCTTAACAATTATATATATTGTATGTGTAAATCAAAGATGTAAAAATAATCATAACTCATCTATGAAAAAGGTGGTGTAAATCACAAATGAAAGGTACAAATGAAAAAATAAAAGAATGAGTCATGTTCTTAATGAAACCCTCATCTCTCATTTCTTCTTTCTTGTAAGACAGAATTCACTATCTCCTCTTGCAAGTATTGCAAAAGAGATATGCTAGAGAGAGATTGTTTTTGGCAGAACATTGAACAAAATCAGATGTGAACCATCCTTGAAAGAACAATAAGAGAGATTGGCAATTAGTTGGATCTCAAAAGTTAACCTAATAAGGTGGAGAGATATGGACATCAAAATTAAAAGAGGTAAGGTTATGAAAATCATATTGGATGAATTCTTGAAATGAAGTGAATCAACATTTTAGGACAATTTATTATCAGTGATTTTGTTTTTTGTTACTTATATACATAAAAAATTGTTATCGATAGTTTATTTTTTTGTTACTTATGTACATCTGAATAATCAACAGACACCCAAATTATCTTAGTGTCACATCTACTAACACATCAATGGGTGTTTATGCATCGCGAGTGCTCCTACACATATGTGCTTATGCTAGTGGAAGTCAAGATTTATGGGAAGCTCTTGGTCAACCTTGCCTAATACCTTATTGTGTGATTATCATGTTGATAACCTCCATCAAGGTTGATGTTGTCTACTAAACCTTCTAAGATGAGATATTATTAGAAGTAGCGCCCCCCCTTTGTATTGTTCATCTTGTCGTGTAGGTAAATCTATGTCAACTTTAGTTTTGTCATGTTATATTTTTTGACTGTTTGTCTCTTCTTTTATATCTTTAATATTTTGATCTTCAAAGAATGATACATCTCTACTTCTGAACACCTTTTGCTTTTCTAGATCCCACACCTATAATCAAACTAGTCATGTGAGTATCTAAGAAAAATGCATTCTTTGTCTTATCATCTAGCTTTTATCTATCTACGTAAGAACATGTTTAAATGTACAACAACTAAATACTCTTAAGTACTTGTAAGAACCTTCTTTCCATGCTCAAACATTATCTATAACATTTTCATTCAGAGGTATAGATAGAGAGAGATTCATCAGATCAACAGTTGTCCTTAATACTTCATGCCCAAACTGTCTCACATGTAAGGGCATGTAGCCCCTATTGCCCAAACGATGGTTGTAAACTACGGCTCTAGCTGTGCTATTGGCTCAGTCCTGTTGTTAAGTGAAATCTACTCGTACTAGCAAGCAAGTCTCTTGCTCTCCTTTGTAAGAGATGTCAGACTATTATGCCTCAGACGATAACGGACACTCACCATAAAAAGACTGTACCGCCTCAACGCGCGCTTGGTACTCAAACGTCCTCGACACATGCCACAACTGCGCCCCCACCGACTCAACTAGGGGCTGGGACTTGACGGGGGTCCCGGCCGTAAAAGATAACGGGCCAGGCCGGAAGCACCCACCCCATTAAGTACCGCCTCAGCAGCCCTGAGGCAATGGAGCATACTGGGAAGTGTAGAAATTCAAGCAAAAGATTCTCGGAAAGCTATGGAAGAACAACGTCGAAGATGACCACTCCGTCCATTTCAAAACACTTGAGACAATCCCAGAACTGGGCATAAGCATAAAAAATGTGCCGCTAAAACCTACGACGAGGATCCGGGTAAAGACGAGAAAAACTGGGTAGCTGGGAAACTCTGCCTGCGTCTGAATTCGACCATCCGGCGCGTTGAATGATCTAAGCGGATGCAGCGGCTGCAGCGGCCTTCCTTGGACGTGCTTGGGTTCCTGGAAAGGAAGAACGTAATGAGTAAAGGTAAAGATGGCCCCGAGGTCAGAAAAAAAAAAACCTTCGGGGAATGAAGGTACCCCTTCCCATTGATTTACAGAAATGGTTGAATTAGGTGAAAAAATTGTACCTTCTCTGAAATTGGTCTTGAACCTACGGGGCACATGACGAAGATACCTCATCCTTCCAGTGCCAGTCGTCTTCCGCCGGATGGCCTTCACGCTCCAGTTATCTGAATCACAAAAACACGTCAAGAACATTACAGTCGATTTTTTTTTTTGAAAGAAGCAACCTCAACAGGTGAGTTTAATTATACTCAATAAATATTAGGAATGTGAAATATGGAAGCTAAACGTTAAAAATATACTATTCGAAAGATGGGAGATCAACCTTTTCAGTGGAATTATGATGTTAAAAAAATTAGCACTGGAATAGAATTCAATAACCAGTTGATGTAAGCGACTATGCCAAATCAGTGGCTACAGGGAGGAAGATAGAGAAGGGGGCAGATCGTCAGGCAGCACCATACCTACATCATTGTCTATAGACAACGGAAATCGATAAAAGAAATATAATTTTTAATAGAAGCTACATCATTGCTACATCATAGCTACATCATTGTTTAATAGAAGCCAGTGTATTCATACAGAATTTTCGTTTCGAGAGACAGATACAAGAACTATAATGATATCAAGCTTTGTTTCTAACACCAATGCTTAAAGGCTCGAAAGAAGAAGCCTTCAACCGGTTTAAAAGGGAGCCGCACACAATGAAAGGAATCGATACTAATAAGAATAACTCCTCGCAAAACTATTAATACTCAAAATAAAAATTGTAATTGCACATTGAAAAAACATTGGCGCAGGTGAAATAAGATACAATCCAAGACAGGAAAGCGAGAAAGTAAGCGGATCTATGTGGGGAATCAAGAGAGGCATGGCTTACACTTGCGGATGCGAGCGGAAGGGTAACCGCAGGAGGAGCATACGCCCTTCTGGAGATGGTATGACCTTCTCCCACACCTCGTACAGATGGTGTGGGTTTTGTTTCTCCTCTTACCAAAACTCCCCGTACCCTTACCCTGCACAAAGACACAAAGTCGAAGTCGGATCGAGCGGCTACAGCTGCTGAGAGCGATGAAGCACGATGTAGGAAATATCGAACGTCCGGGAGGGGTTATCCAGAGATCCTCACCATTGCCGACCAGTGCTCGCTGCGGCCGCCGGAGTTAGCTGCTAGAACGAGAGAGATGTGGCCCGAGAAACCCTAAAGTCCGCGACCGAAGGACTTTATAGCAGCCAGAACGGACTTGACGTGACGTAAACACCCCTCTCCACTCCGAATTTATCAGGCTAACCCGCCTTATGTGTAATGGATTCCATAAGCCCACCGATCTGACGGACCTAAATGATTTATCAGGCTATCCCGTTCCTTCTCTCTAATGGATTATAAGTCCACCGATCAGATGGACCTGCACTCAGGTGGCGGGTATATATTTCAATCGTGCGGTGAAGTCGACAAAGATATTACCTAAACACCCCTTCCGCCTTTTCGTAGTTATACATTACTGTGATACTCAGCCGAGTCGGCGCTCCCGGCATACGGACACGCGCTCCGGGTGTTCTGGCATTTGTTTCCCCGTTCCATAATACAGGAAGGAGGGAGGGAGGAAGCGAGGAGATCTCCATTTCCGGATCGGCGGAGGACGTCCCTCATGGGCGGGGATTCCATGCCAGAGCTTACATTCTAACCGGGGTTTGGAGTAGGATGTTTTCATGGAAGGAGAAGGTGTCCGGCAAGTTCTCGCGCCTCCTCGAGGAGTCGGCGTCCTCACACTCCGACCAATCGAGGGAATCTACGGGCGTCCGAACTGAGCGTCAGGTATATTTCCTTTCATCGGGATCCATGCCAAAAACGGTCGCCTGTGGAACGAAGCAAAAGGGTTTGATGCTGTTGATTTTTTTATTGTGTTCTCATATTATGTTTTTCTTAAGCAATCGTCCTCCGGTTGCGTTTGATCTTCGACAGAATTCTATTTTACGTTATTACTACACGATCGTGCCACGTTTTCATTTGATTTGTTTCATTCCTTTTCATATATCCAGGCGCTAGATCCTAAATTTTTTAAGTGGACATGTTTTTAGATTTGACTGGATCACATTTCGTTGTTTTGAGCCTCGGGTAGTTATTGGCATTTGAATTATGACGTACGTTTTTTTTTCGACGTGTCGGGATCGGATCTATTCAACACAAAGAATTCAAGGCATATCTGCCTGCGCTAACTCTAATACACTGTCTCGTAGTGTTTATGTGATCGGGGGTTTTCTTACTCTACCGCAACTTGAAATTAATGATGCATTTCTTAACAGATCGTATGGCAGTTGAATGACTTGATGTCTCTGCTACACTGTTGAAAAAAAAAATCCAAAGAGAGCAAAGGTTAAATAATAGATATGGTTTGTCCTTTTTCTTTTGAGCTGTATAGCGGGTATAACATTTACCATTTGTATCTCCTTTTCAAATTCAGTTAATATTTATGTGAATTGTAATATTTTATAGGTATATAAAGAAAGAATTTGTAGTCCAAAGATAACGTATAAGTCTTCAACTAAATTTCTGTAGCGATGGAATGAGAACAAGCATAGGATGTCCACGTTCATCATCCAGTAGGAATATGTAGATGATGCTTGCCTTCCAGCTTGTCTTTCTGTTCAATGAATAGTCTCCCCGCCAGATGGTTTATCCCGTTTCCCAGACTATTTTTTCTTTTTATCATCTGAATTTCCAAAAAATTACAGCTGACCAACTTTCAGCTGATCAATTTCCATAATGCAGGAACTAAATTTCGATTATACATAAATTATATACATATATATTAAAAAAGTTGCAGCACAAGGATAGAACTCAAAGTGAATATCACTCAAAGTGACAAAGCCTTTAAAAAGTACCTTGAAGAGAGTTTCAAGAATTCATCCAACGGATGCATTGATGACTAGAAATAGCTGACGTTTTGTGTAGATGAGTAGTGTAGACAACATGACAAGTACATGAAGAGGATAGAGTTCAAAGTGCACATTAATCAAATCTTTAAAAAGTATCTCAAAGAGAGTTTCAAGAATTCATCCAACGGATGCATTGATGAGTATAAATAGCTAAACGTTTTGAGTAGATGAGCAGTATGAGAACATGTCAGGTACATCCAGAGGACACATCAGCTCTTAGCCTTCCTTGGGTAGTACTAATTTCAAAATTTGAATCCATGATCCGCATGCGTGCGAGAAGTTGACATTTCAAGGTCCAAATATTCTTCTACTGAATGAAAAGGTAAATGGCAAAAAGGATAAAAACAAACATGGATGGAACTTCTCCGTCCGTTCCTTGAAAATGCTCTGTTTGGGGAAAAGGGGGTGACTCCTAATTGTGTTCCTTGAATGTATCCTTTATAGTATTTTTTACTCGTATGAATTTTCATGTTAACTGTTCTCTAGCATTTCCACGTCTTTCTGAGCTTGATTTTTGTTCATCTGTCTTATAGAAGACAACCTAGCGGGGGCAAAAATTCTAAAACCAAATTTCTTTTTATTAGAAGTTATTCCTGTAAACTTCTTACCTGTACCTTCGTGGGCCACAATTGCAAAGATCACAAATATATATACTTTTCATGTATCGTTTAAGCTTGCAATTTCCTGTTCATTCCGTAAGTCATGTTAAGAGTTTTCCCAATGGACCTGTTGACTTCTAAGTTTATTTTGCTTTTCTTGCTCTTACTCATTTCATAAATTGAATGACCATTTTTTCTGTTGCAGGATTTTCCATCACACGGAGAAGAATTATCTTCTCGTGGGACAACTATTTCATCCTATCTGTTGTCTATTCTTCCCACTACACTCCCTAATGTTGATACTCAGAAATTGACTAATATTAAGCATGGATTCGGACAAATGCCACTGCCATCGCTCCCATCGCTCCCATCGCTCCCATCACTCCCATCACTCCCATCACTCCCATCACTCCCAACAAGATGGAAGAGTAAAAGCTTCATGCGGGCAGACAAACCGTTAGATCAAAATATAGGTGATGAACTTAAACAGACATGCGTTGAAGCCACAGATGCTTCGGAAAAGATCTTAGAAACCGTTTCTGAGGGAAATATAAGTGAACCTCATAGAGTTGAAGAAGCATCACCCTCTCATGGCTTCAGAAACTTTCATTCTGCTGTTGAGGATGAGTCATCATTTATTTCAACACATTTGTTTGAGTTCTTAGAGTCATCTCTCCCAAATTTAGTAAAGAGCTGCCAATGGGTCCTGTTATATAGGTAATTTATCATCAACTAAAATGTTTACTTCTCCTGTTATCTGTTTCTTACTAATCTTGTTCCACTGGAATGAAGGGCAGCACATTGAAGCACGGGATATCACTTCGTACACTTCTTCGTAAAAGTTCTGATCTTCCAGGCCCATGCATATTGGTGAGATGAAATTGCCTGCAAATGTTGTGATTTTATGAAATCCAAAGCTTATGCTCTAGTTCCTTCACGTGGGAGGGACTCATTATCATATTCTATGGCTAACCGCTAAACGTGATTTTCTGTCGGTTCCTTATGATTGTTTGTCTTTTCTAGATCGTTGGAGACATGCAAGGTGCCGTGTTTGGTGGACTACTAGATGCTCCTATCAAGCCTACAGCAAAAAGAAAATATCAAGTAGGTTTTTCCTGTTTATGTTCTACTCATTGCATTATAGTTATGTTATTTCTTTCGTTCCACCGTTTCAACCTCTCAGTTTTTTTTGTCATTCTATGGTCTATACTTTGCATTGCAGTTGACTAACGTTCTCGTTCATTTCAGCTCTTAAACCTCTGAACTTCTCATTTGTTTGTAATAGGGAACTTGCCAAACATTCGTATTCACAACAAAATATGGTGATCCAAGACTCTTCAGACCCACTGGTAATGATCGAATGGATCACCTAGTGTTGTGTTTATACGTTGCTAATTATTTCATACATGATTGCTTTCAAGTAAACCTCAAGATCAGCACCTCGTGGATCGCATCCAGACATCTTAACTTGATCCTTAAACAACAATATCGTTCTCTTCTCAAAACATGCTCCTTTTTTAACCTCTATTGTGTTCAAATTTATTAATAAATTTAGTTTGACGCCACATCTGGAACAAAAAGACTTCTTTTATCGTTCATCCAGAAGTATCATAACTTGTCATCATTGATTTAGAACTATATTTGGACACTGAACTATCCAGAGCCGAATTAAACTCCATAGAATGAACATGGTGCACTTTATGATCACCGATTTCGTTGGATCCAGTATAGACTACATAGTGACCCCCGTACATTAATGAAAGCTGCGTCATGGGGCATGCCCACAAACAGAACATTGACTAGACTTAGTAGATAACGACCTTTTCATAAGCAGTTTTCCCTTTTTAGAATCATTTGATATGCATAGTCATGGATAAGTGGTCTTTTCTGTTTTGAAATCAACAACCATCTGTGATTCCTTGCGATTGTGGCATGTGTCCACCAAATTATGACCCTATGGTGATTACTTGACCTTCTCTTAAGATCTAGGGCTTAAAACGATATTTAAGATTCTTAAAACAGCGATTTTCCTGCTCGTGATGTGAAAATGAGATGTTATTTGTGCCCAACAATTTTTCTTTCTCTCTCAGTAATCAAAACTGAGAGTCAAAAACGCAGAGGGTTGTAAATCAGCTTGCTGGTTCTTCCCATCTATAAGTTGGGCAGACGTGGCATTTGATTTCTCGCATGTGCAGAGTTCTACTTTTTATGAGCCTCTACTTTTAAGGGGTCGTAGAAGTAGAAAAACGAAGAACGGATGAATAAAAACTTCGACAGAGGAAATGGTGCGATGAGAACACACAAAGAAAAAAGTAAGAAGGGGATTTATAGCTTGATCATCTTTTCGAGGATAACACTTCTTGGTACTCTCTTCTTTATATGTTACTTTGTCCTGTATTTTATCCTAAAACTCCTCCAGAGACTAATACTGTGGTAATGCATAGGTGCGAACCGATATTACTACTTGTGCTTGAATGAGCTATTGGCATTTGGTGGTGGAGGGAACTTTGCATTGTGCCTGGATGAGGATCTGTAAGTTACTTCTTGTTCTATTTACTTTTTCTTTTATTTTCTTAATTCTAGTAGGAGGCGAGGGCGGCATCAGGTTCTCAGTTATATTTCAAATGTCTGCGTGATTGGCAACGGTTTTGCAATTATCCATCTCTATTTTTAGATCATTTGCATGCAATCTCTTGTATCTTTGATATTCTCCCTAAGTTTTTGGCTTCTCTTTGGCAGGCTGCATGGCACGAGCGGGCCCTGTGACACTTTTGGCAACTTATGTTTGGCTCACAGTCCAGAATTTGAACTGAAGAACGTTGAGGTAGGGTTGAGATCCCTTCTATCAGTGCTTAGTGATTAGTACATGAACCTAGGCATTTACTGTCAGTAGTAGTAGAGTAGACCATGCTTTTTCTTTAATATTCGAGTGCTTAGAAATCCTTATCAGGTTAGATTGCGCTAGAAATGCGGCCACATGCAGAAACCTGCCCAAAACCACAAAACACAAAAGACACGCAATTATCTGGCAAAACCTATTAAAAGATCTGGATATTGATGCAACCCATTTCAAAAGGACTCATCTTTTTTGCTGTCTTTGTCTATGCTTTAGTCACAATCCAAGAGCTAAGACCTCGCCGAATCCTCAGAGCAGGGAGGATATACCCACCTGGGCTGGTCGAAATCCCATTGGATAGCTAGAGAGAGAGAGAGAGAGAGAGAGAGAGAGGACATTCGGAGGGGCGAGTCCCATCCATATATTCTGCCACTAATGCAAAAGTTGTTTACGTTGGTTGGTTCTGTTCTGATCCTTTGCAGCTTTGGGGTTTCGCCCATTCGTCAGGCTCCTCGCTTAATCTCTCCGTTTGACTCGAGCACAGAGGCGCAGCCGGGGACCCTTAAGAACACTCCTCAGCGGGAACCGTGTCATTCCACCGCCGTTGACTTCTCTCCCTATAAAATATTCTTTATTTTTTTATTTCATTTCTTCTGGTAAAAACTGGGCCAATGTTGAACGAGACGATTGTGTTCTGTATAATCAGCAAATAAATCGTACCATACTAACATCCATGCAGAGTCGCAGCGACTTCACGGTCTGGGTTGGATTGGATCATCACAGCTCGACTCCATGCAGAATCACAACTGAAAACCAGAACCAGGAAGCCACAGCCTCTGGCCCCGAACTTACCTTGATTCAGAGCGCAGCTGCCTGATCAAGGCTCCAGCGAGAACTGGACCGGAAGAGAGAGGATCGGCCTCGTCAGGCAACTCAATCACCCGAAAGTGGGAAGGTGGAAGGGGGAAGGGGAAGCTTAAAGGAAAGGGAAGCGATTTCTGCAAGTTGTGGGCCAAGAGAAAGAGCTCGAGGTTTGGAGACAAATGGGATGAGCTATCTGAGAATGGAAGTAGTTGCTAGACTCTGCCGGGAAAAAATGCAGCCATCGCTTCAAGGAGTACAAAGGAGTTCGTTCGCCTCCGACCCACCAGATGAACTCTCTGAGAAGGAGATGAAGAAGAGGATTCCTCTCGGTGAGGATGGAGATGAACTCGCCGCCAACTTCACCGGCAGCAAGAAAAGTATACAAAACAATTTATGCCCAAATAGTTACTTCTGATCGTCTCAGAAGCAGTTCATCCATCGGACGAGGCCGTGGATTCTGCAGGTATCCTCAGAATCTTTGCCGAACGCAGGGCATGGAATGGGAACAGAAAGAGACCAGCATCTGCGGAGAACGCGGTGGAGGAAGAGATTGACAGAGAAGCTGGTTTCGCGCAGGAAGGCTACGCCAAGCTCTCTTCGACCTCCTTCCACATCTCAGAGTTTTTGGAGAACCTCTCTTTCAGCTTCTCGACGATCTCCCTGGCCTCGTCTAGCTTTGAATTCTTCGCGAGGCCGTCCACGAGGGCCTTCATGGTGGAGAAACAGGGGACCCAGTTCTTCTCCATGCTCTCCTTGCAGACGCTCAAGGCCGTCTCGAAATCCCCAGCTTGGCACAGGTAGTAGATCAGAGTGAAGTAGCAGCTGCTGTCGGGGACGCACCCCTTCCGGCTCATCTCCGCGAAGAGCCGCTTGGCCTCTTCCAAGTCCCCGTCCTTGCAGAAACCGTGGATCAGATGGTGGTAGGTGGCGGCGTTCGGCTTCATTCCCCTCTGGACCATCCCTTCGAGCAGCGCCTTCGCCTCGGCGGGCCTCTTGAGCTTGCAGAGGCTCTGGATCCTCACGTTGTAGGTGCTCAGCCCCGGGGGACAGTCGTTCTTCTTCATGATCTCCAGGACCTTCCCCACATCCTCGAACTTCTCCTCCTGGTAAAATCCGGCGAGTAGAGTGCTGTAGGACGTCATGTTCGGTTTGATCCCCTTCCTCCCCATCTCGTCCAGGATCGAGTAGACGGACCTGGACGTCCCCGACTCGCAGAAGGACTTGATCACAGTGTTGTACGTTTCCAGGTTGGGGGCGATCCCGTAGGTTTTCGGGAACTCGCGGAAGATCCGGCCGACCTCGTCGTGCTTCTTGGCAAGCACGCAGGCGAAGAGGAGCGCATTGAGGGTCTTGACTGTGGTTTCCCCGCAGCTCTTGAAGACGCGGACCGCGTCGTCGATCATTCCGGCCTGGCCAAAGAGGACGATGGCGTGCGCCCGGAACCGCTCGTTCTGAAGGTCGGGGCGGGAGCTTAGGAGATCGTCCAGGAACGAGCGGACTGCCACAAAGGACTTAGCGGCGGCGAGCTTCGAAATGGCGAGGGAGAATGCGATCCGGTCGAGGTGGCACTCCGGGGTGAGGGCGGCGGCGTTGCATATCTCGACGATCCGTTCAGGCTCCTTCTCGGACTTGATCAGGGAGATCGCCGCGCGGGACTTCTGCTTCCCGGTAAGCGGAGCGGCGGGATCGGCGGGATTGAGAATGGCGGCGGCGGAGGAGAAGCGGCGGAGAGTGGAGGAGCGGAGGAGAAGCCCCCGGAGACCTGTGGAAGCCGCCATGAATACCTCTGTGCTAGGGTTCTGCTCGCCGGAGTGGACGGAGTAGGCGACGAGGGTTTTTCTCTCTCCGATCAGCCAAAAGCAGAGGAAAATACACAAAACGAAACGTGTCGATAGATAATCGGCTCTATTGCCACGTGGAGTGGGAAAGATCAAACGGCTGCCATTCCTTGCTCGATCATCCCGGAAGGAAAAGGCTGTGTAACGGGAGCGAGGTCGTCCCTCGCCTGCGCCGGAGAAGAAGAGGCGGAAACCTTTCGTTCTGATCCCAGCGGCGGGGGGAGGGAGGGGGGGAGAAGGAAGATGTTGTTCCAGGTGGGAGGGCAGGGGTCGCGGCCAACCTTCTTCGAGATGGCAGCCGCTCAGCAGCTCCCTGCGAGCCTCAGGGCTGCCCTCGCGTACTCCTTCGGCGTGAGCTCAATTCTCCCTCCTTCGCCCCATCTGCTGAAGCTCGTGTTCCATTTCATGTCTTATTCAGCAGTAGTTTCTTCTTCTCTTTCCTCTTGTGGCTTATCGGCCCCCATCAGTCTGGTTTCGTCAATGGCCTCCCTTTGTTCATCGTGCTGGAATTGGCCGGTGATAAGACCTGCGCAGATTATCACACCCATACCAAGACTTCCCCCCACCACTCACCCCCCAGAAGAAAGAATTGCCGTGGGCGACCAACCTGTAGGGGGGGAAATGGGCGACATGGAATTCTTGTTCTTAGTCTCCCGATCAAAAGCGCGCTGCCGCATTTAGAGATAGGATTTCAGGGTGAAGAATAGTCTGGAGTCGAGAGGAGAGGACCCTGTTCATTGTGCGAGGGTATCATTTTCTGTGTGGCCTCCTTCCTCACTGGCCTTAGTATCATTTATTTGGTTTGTTTCAGTGGTCCGTTGGCGCAGGCCGTTTAGAAAACGTAGTTAAGCTCACGATGATATCATACACTATTCCGGACACATTATGGATGGCTCAGTCAGTTCTCCTCTAGGTTTTATGGTCAGGATGTGTGGTACAGGGCAAGCCATGAAATTTGGGCAGGTGGTCTCTGAGAGTCAGTGGGACAGGATGAGCTCGTTTCAAGTCGTGATTCCCTTTTTGTCCAGGCAAAAAGAGAAAAGGATGTCTTTTTTTGTCAGAATGTGGAATTTCTTCATTTATTTTTGCATATGAACGTGAAGAGTAAATATATATGTATATATATATATATATGTCTTAGTTCACTGAGGGATCTCAGCCTCTTCGTAGATCTAAAAGATGTATTGATTATGCAGGTTGTTGCTCTAAGAAGACCGATCTTTCACAAAATATTAGACTATGAAGATGAGTTCTTTGCCTTGCTCATGCTGGTGCTTGAAACTCACAGTTTACGAACGACAGGTGGTGCTTATTTTTCTTTATTTTTTTACATTTAAAGTATACATTTTAAACCGGTCCACTTTTTCCCTGATATTCCAAGTACCACCTAACTTAAGGATCAAACGCATAGATACCACTCAACATGGTTTTGCTTAAGGTGTCAAGTCCAACTATTCACCAATTTTAGCGTAAAATTAGTATGTCATTGAAAACTTCATTACCTCTTACGAAAAGGCTTCAGCTCAAGCATCAGGCTGAACAAAACGGGACAAAAATACAAGAAAAGTTAGATTTGGATTTCCTGGGGACATTCCTTTTATGTGTAAAATCAGTATCCATTTCATTATCTTGGGTTCATTTTCATATTCCTTTTGGGCATCGTGTCCTGCTGTATGGTGTTTTACCCTCTATAAGATGAAGAAGGGTGCTTGGGAAGCATCACTCCCACGTCCAGAGCTCGCATGTTCTCCTGCCTAAAATAAACGGGGATCTGTCACGGTAATTAGGAGGGGTTTTAGGTGAGGATTATTGCAGTACCTTTTCTGCAGTAAAAAACTTTATTTAAGGATTGGGAATTTAGGTTATTTCAAGTTATTTTCACATGATTTTTGTCTTTCCGTTTCACTGAGTGATTTAGCCATTCTGGAGAATTTTTTTCTGATTTTTATGACCCCTTGCTAACTATTGAATAGATATTGATGAAGATGACACATTATTTGTCAAGCGCCTCGTTTTTTTCCCTCTGTGAGGTCACTTTAGTATGATGTTTAATTTTCTTCTCGTTATCTCATTTTGAAAAAAATATACATTTTTCATACTCAGAGGCTTCTTTCTCGGAGTCCCTATATGGTTTGCGAAGGAGGCCAGTGAATATAACAACAAGAAAAGACAACGCAAAAATGGATTCCAAGCAGCTTCAGCTCCCTTGGTTAAGAAGGCGCCAAAGAGTTCTCTCAGTTGCCTTTCTCGTACATTGCCTTCTCCCCTGCCCTTAAAGTTTTTTCCAATCCCTGATAATTGCTAAGCATCATGAATAGAACCTCTTTCATATGCTTCTAGGTCGCTTTGCCATATCTGAAATCCAAATTGCAAGCTCTCTACAATAAAGAAAGAGCAGCAAGGCTTCAAGCAAGCTTATGGGGAAATGATGATGTGACATTTGACGACAGTGGCACTTATGTGGGCCAAGCAGAAGCTGCCCATGGGGGAACGGATGTCGTGGGACCAGAATTATCAAGCATAACTCGTATCAAAAAGCAAGTTTCAGCTTTTATCGGTGCCTGCTACCCTTGGATTCATGCGAGCAATGAAGGTATGTATGTAGTCTTCCAGATGCGATGGCACCTCCAAGGGCCACCAAATAAGATTCTCATTTCTGTGAATGGGAGAGGTATATATATATATATATATATATACCTCGGCTAATTTCCGCATTCTTTACCCGTCGGTTGCAGAATTTTTATGTTTGGTTTTCTCCTTTACTGTTGAAGAATATGTGGCCTATGTTTGGAATTATCTGTACGTAAGAGTTTACAGATGATAAAATATTAGATCACATCACCTAAAGAAGCTCATTTATGGGCATTTTCAAGTGTCAATGCAACAGCCTGAGTGGGTTTTCATACGGGCGTGTCCGTGTGGAACTTGTGAGGAACAATAAAGGGCGACAGTTGAGATTGCAAACAAGAAACATTTTTCGTTCTTTTTTTCAGTGTCACACGTTTCTGTCCATAGCTACTGGATGTAATTCATATATAAAGTTGCACAAGTTGATATTCATGGTGTAGCCCATGGACACACCATTAATGTCGCTTCTTCAGATGATTTCTTACACGTTTCTTCACTTTCCAACCATATCTCTGAACCCTTCATGCAGGATTGTCATTTGCCTATCAGCTGTTATATCTACTGGATGCTACTGGATTTTATAATTTGGGGCTACATATCCTCGGTGTCCATGTGTGCCGTGCCACAGGGCAGGAATTGGTATGCCCCTTAAACATGTTTTTTTTTTTTCCCCCTTTTGTTGCATAATCATGCATAGTCTTTGGTTTGAAGACTATCTCAAATAACTCTGTGGATTTTCCCCCTATCAACTTCGTCTTGTCTGTCTTGAGCTCTGAATTCCATCACACAATGATCAGCTGGTCCTATGTTACCGAATAGTTTTCTTTCTCAGTGCAATAATTATTTCTTTCGCCTAAAATTATTATGAGTGCAAATTTCACTCCATTTTCTCATTTTTCTTCCCCAGTTGATAATTACTAGTCAGATTTTTCTTGTTTGAAATTCCCATCACTGGTGTCAAATTGGCCATATTCAGCACCATCCCATCAGAAAAACTCATGACGCTATCAGATTTTTTTAGATATAGATTATTTTTAGTGAGATCATGTTAAATTATCAGATCGAAAGTTTATAATGCCGCGTGGCTTATGTGCCTCTTTGGGGAAACCGCCAATTCAGATGGATTCATCCTCCAGAATTTCAAGGATCAGAAGCCGTGAACGTGAGAGACTCCGTGGCCCTCCATGGATGAAGGTACCTGCGTTTTTTCCTTGTTGCATCAGTTAGCTTATGAAATTCTAAGAGAAATATTCGATGACAGAACTTATGAAATCCTAAGAGAAATATTCGATACTTCTGTCCCCTAGATGCCGTCTTGGACGATGCCCTTGGGGTTGAAAGTGTCAACTTCACCATATGCATCCATGATCATCCCTTTAAGCACATCTTGAGCCAGATTTCATCCCGCTCTTGTTGCATTCGGAAATAACTGGCGGTCGTCTTTGGCCATTGAAACCACGATAGACACTGAACTCTTCCTTAATATTGCTGACGTTGATTAAGCTGGCGGGGGATCGCCTGTAAAAATAAATTGCCTTTTTGCGACATTTTTTGCTATGTTTATTGACTTATTATTGCTGCAAGGGCGCAGACTGTACAGAAGCTGTTGCTTAGCTGCATTTATACTACGTTGGACTATGCACAGACAGGCCTGATTGCTGCGGTTTTCTTTTTCAAGGTGGGTTGACTTCGCCCATGTTGCTCTAACACATTTTAACCAGTTCTGGAACATAAAATACAGCATTCGTCGATTTTAGTTTGACTTAGTTCTTCATGAATCGATGCCCCAGTATCTCGCCATTTTACTTATTTTTTTGGTAAATAACTCTGCGCTAGCATGCTGCTATCTGCATTAGCAAAGATTATGGCTCTGTAAAAAAATAAAATTAAAATTTTAAAAAAAATCTCACTAGACTAGGCTTTCAACAAACCGGATTCTTGATAGAACCCCCGAAATGTCTACATGAGATGAATAAGGAATGCGACGAATTCACCCCAGCCATTTTAAGTTAATCTGATGATGTACTACTCTCCGATGTCGATAAGTTAGCTCAAAGTCTCCTGCAGATGATGGAGTGGTGGTATCAATCTGCGGAGGAGAGAATGTCGGCTCCAACCGTGTTCCCGCCCCCACCCCCACCCCCACCCCCAAAGGTAAATAATGATTCTCAGATCACTCTCTCTCTCTCTCTCTAGCTCAATACGAGGTCACATAGCTGACGGCTTCCTGGTTTTTCCTTCAAATTTTTATGGGCAGGTTGCGGAAGGTGGAATCCCCTTGCCGCATGACAGGTCTCTCTGCCCTCTGTGCTCGCAGAGACGGGCGAACCCATCAGTTCTCGTAGCCTCTGGCTTCGTTTTCTGCTATCCATGCATATTTAAATACGTCTCCCAGGTGAGGACGCGCCCCATAGCTACGGCTCTGTTGGCTCGAATGGCGGCCTCTTCTGTGGGTCCTGATGACCTCCTCCTTGATCTGCTGCAGTACAAGCGGTGCCCGGTCACACTGATGCCTGCATCAGTCGAGCAGATCAGGAGGCTCTTCCACGATCTATAGCACACCAAGGCTGAGCCTCCGCATCTGACGATGGAGAGGACGCTGTAATCCTCACTCCTGCTGGTTGTTTCAGGTCAGGAAGAACAGGTCACAAGCAAAGCAAATGATGCTCCTCAAGGCTCCAATGCTTGTTTGTATGAATTCTCCCCCGTCTCCCCACACATCCGAATGATCTTTTTGAGAAGAGACTGTACAGAAATAATAACGACCCGTTCGAGGATTCATGGTCTACCCTGCTCCTAGAGCTGTCGGCTCGTGAGTGATCTTGGTTGGGGGTGATGCTCGTGCTGATCTGTGGAGTTTGGCATGGATGCGGTCCTCGGGCAGGCATGGTTCGACAGTGTCTGTAGAACAGGGAACGGTCTTCATTTTCCTAGAGAGGTTCGAGTACAGCTTGCTCGTGCGTGGAAAGCCGGATCACAGGTATAATACATCATCGCCCTGTCAATAGCACAGCTCCGACGAGGAGGGAAGGGGGAGTTTTACATTGAATAGAGAAGCGAGGGAAGCAGTCGTTCAGGCGAGGAACCCGAGCCTCTCCCCGTTCTTCTTCGCCAGGCGGATCAGCCCCTGCCTCTGCTTCCCGTCCGCCCCGATGGATTTGCAGAATTCGGTGATCACCTGCTCATCAGGAGATGGATTCCGCCTCATCAGCCCACATCCAACCCTAGAGGGAGAGAGACCGAGAGAGAGAGAGAGAGAGAGAGAGAGAGAGAGAGACCGAGAGAGAGTGTAGAAGAGGAACCTGAGAGTGGAGAGCGATGGCTTTCCCCCGGAGCTGGTTGAACCGCTTCTTGCCGATGATGTTGCGGGTGACGACGACCAGCGGCGCGAAGAGGCCCTTCCCTTCGTTCACGTTCTTCATCACTGGGACGGCCCGCGGCGGCGGATTCGCCGTCCGCACCCGCACCACCGCCGCGGAGGCCTTCCTGGCGAGCAGCGCCCGCTCCTCCCCGCCAGCGAACGGCGCCGTCCAGTCCCCGTGGAACCCCGAGCAGAGCCCTCCTCTGAACCCCGCCGCTGACAGGGCCACCGCCATAGCCACGACGAGGGACGAGATCTCCCCACCTGACCTTCTTCTTCTTCTTCTTCTTCGCTGCTCGAGCGCCGCCGGAGATGAGATGGATCGGATTCTATCCCCTCCCTCCGGGGGGCCGTGCTCGCCCCACAGCCTCTGGTTTCCCCGGAAGCTCGAGGCCACAGAAAGCGCAAAAGAATCCCAAGCCATGGCCCTGGTTCGTCCACGTCAACAGCCTGCACTTTCCTTCTGGGCTGGGCTGGGCCTACATGGTTAATCCTGCCCAGCTCCTGGCCCACGCCCGAGATAATGGATTTGATTATTTATTCATTTATTTTTTAAAAACAATAAAATAGGAAAACGTAAACAAATAAACGGTAGGAAGAGATAATATATTAATGTATGGATAAATATATACTATTATTAGGACCTTCGAGAACCTTGAATAATAATTTGGATCACGAATTTAAAAATCCAAAGGAACTACGTGGGAATGATTAATTGACGAGCATGCTGAGGTTCTTTGTGCAAATTTACCCTCGGCGACATCGGCTCAAGCCCAAACTTTGGGCATGATGAGTGAGTGCTTCTCCGCAGCTACCTCGTCTCACGCTTCCAAGGCGGAGATCGCACGCCGTCGTCGTCACAGCACCGCGGGGCTGGTGAGAGGCTAGCTCCAGGGCCCAGGAGGCGGTCTTTCTTTGCTTTGCTTCGGGGCATACTCGGGTGGTGGTGCGACCGCACGAGTGTAAAGCTCATGGCGCGGCGGCGGCGGCGGCGGCGGCGGCGGCGGCGGCTTGGAGTCCAAGCGAGGGCTAGACCTTGCCTCGCCGCCGACCCTTGTCTCAGGTGGGGACCGGGATGGCTTCTCCTCCAATCAACCGGCGACCTCCCAACTCACAGTTGGTGAGCGAGCTCTCAACGCCTCTCTGATAAGAGGCTGCTACCGCTGCTCTCCATCTTGCCCAGCCAAGTCGATCGATCATCGTTCCTCTTCCGCCTTCTCCATGGACGCGGCCTCCAAACTGCGCAACGGGCCGTATCGTCCGCATGGACGCGAGGAGGTTCTTCTTCTTCTTCTTCTTCTTCTTCTTCTTCTTCTTCTTCTCAATGTCGTCATCGTCTGTTTTCGTGTTGATAAAGCAGCTGAAGGGGAGAATCGGAAGCGCGAACACGAAAATGTGTCTGATCTGCGGAGACCATGTGGGGCTGCGAGACGACGGCGAGCCGTTTGTGGCGTGCTACGCCTGCGGGCTTCCGGTCTGCCGGACCTGTTACGATTACGAGAGAGCCGAAGGGAACCATAGCTGTCCCCGCTGCCAGGTCCGATATAAGCGTCACGAAGGTCACCTCTCTCTCTCTTCCTCTCTCTTTAGTTTATCATACAGCAACAAGAAACGTCGATAACTTCGTTCTACAACCAGTCAAGAAGAAACCCATTTTGCAGAAGAACCTGGTCCTAGATTGATGATTAGATATTGAAATCTCGCAGGATGTCCGAGTGTACCGGGCGATGAAGATGACGATGTCGCCGATCTCGGCGGCCTCGATGACGAGTCCCAGACGAAGGCCCACGAGGATAATCAGCAGCGCTCTGGTGCTTCTGGGTCGAGCTTTGTTCAACAGGAGAACGAAGATCACCGGCGACAACAATGGCATCCTACGAACCCGGCCTTCCCATCCTTGCTCGGAAGCGGTGGGTAGATCTCGACCGTGCCATCAACCTTACGAAACAACCTCAGACCATTGACTTCCATCTCCTCTCGTTCACAGTTGCTGCGTCGGACAGGGAAGTCAACGACGATAAGGCCACGCACAATGACACAGAGTGGAAGGCGAGGGTGGGGAAGTGGAGAGCCAGGCAAGATAGAGGACGAGGGAGCGCGGTCAACCGGGATGGAAGGGACGACGACGACGACGACGACGAGGGAAAGGAGGAAGAGCGCGTACTGTAGGGTTTCAACTGACGCAGCAATATCACCGACTCTTTCCGACTGCTAGCGCTGATGATTGCTAATGCGTGCGCAGAATGACCGAAGCCCGGCAGCCGCTGTGGCGGAAGGTGCCAATCCCGGCGAGCAGGATCAATCCGTATAGAATCGTCGTCGTCCTCCGGCTCGTCGTCCTCGGGTTTTTCCTTCATTTCCGGGTCACCAATCCCGCAGAGGACGCCTACCCGCTATGGCTCGTCTCCGTCGTCTGCGAGATCTGGTTCGCGCTCTCGTGGATCCTCGATCAGTTCCCCAAGTGGTTCCCCATCAACCGGGAGACCTACCTCGATCGGCTCTCCCTGCGTTTCGATCGCGAGGGCGAGCCGAGCCGGCTGGCCGCCGTCGACGTGTTCGTCAGCACCGTCGACCCGCTCAAGGAGCCCCCCATCATCACCGCTAACACCGTCCTCTCCGTCCTCGCCGTGGACTACCCCGTGGGGAAGATCAATTGCTATGTCTCCGACGACGGCGCGTCGATGCTGCTGTTCGACGCACTGTCGGAGACCGCCGAGTTCGCCCGGCTCTGGGTGCCCTTCTGCAAGAAGCACGACATCGAGCTGAGGGCCCCCGAGTTCTACTTCTCGCAGAAGATCGACTACCTCAAGGACAAGGTGCAGCCCAGCTTCGTCAGGGACCGCCGCGCCATGAAGGTGAGCTTCATGTATATCTACATCTCCGGTGAGCCGCACACACCGCCGCATGTTTACATCCCCGATGGGCGGCGCAGCGGGAGTACGAGGAGTTCAAGGTGAGGATCAACGCGCTGGTGGCGAAGGCGCAGAAGGTCCCGGAGGAAGGGTGGGTGATGCAGGACGGCTCACCGTGGCCGGGGAATAACCCTAGAGACCACCCTGGGATGATACAGGTCTACTTGGGGAACCACGGAGCTCTCGACGTGGAGGGCGCAGAGCTCCCTCGCCTGGTCTACGTCTCCCGCGAGAAGCGCCCCGGCTACCACCACCACAAGAAGGCCGGGGCCATGAACGCTCTGGTACGACCTCCATTCCACACTTCTCCGTCCTCTGCTCTTCTCTGTCTTACAGCACGAGCAATGAAGTAAGTGGGTGGCTACTCGGTGACAGGTGAGGGTCTCCGCGGTCCTCACGAACGCCCCCTTCGTGCTGAACCTCGACTGCGACCATTACATCAACAACAGCCAGGCCATCAAGGAGGCCATGTGCTTCCTCATGGATCCCCAGCTGGGGAAGAAGCTCTGCTTCGTCCAGTTCCCCCAGAGGTTCGACGGCATCGACCCCAACGATCGATACGCCAACCGCAACGTCGTCTTCTTCGACGTAAGGGATACGCCCTCCATCACCGCTGTGATGTGATACGAAGGCCTCAAAGGTGGGTTCTTCGCGATCTTAATTGATTACAGACCCGTGTTGTTGTCGTGCAGATCAACATGAGAGGCCTCGATGGGATCCAAGGGCCGGTGTACGTCGGAACAGGCTGCGTCTTCAACCGGCAGGCCCTGTACGGCTATGATCCGCCGGCGTCGAGCAAGAAGAGGTTAAAGATGACTTGCGACTGCTGGGCATCCTGCTGCGGGAGGTGGTGCTGCTGCTGCCCCGGGGCCTCGAGGAAGTCAAAGCCAAGTCATAGAGAGAGAGGCGGTTTCCTTCGAGGCAACAAACACAAGAAGATGGAGAAGGAGACTCGGCGAAGGAAAGGGTCCCCCGCCCTGGTGCTCGATCTCGAAGAGATCGAAGAGGGGATCGAGGGGGAAGAGGTCTCAGAGAGGTCGTCTCTCATGTCGCGGAAGGGCTTCGAGAAGAAATTCGGGCAGTCGCCGGCGTTCATCACTTCGACGTTGATGGAGGGCGGAGGAATCCCACCGGGCGGCGCAGACTCGTCGGCCCTGATCAAGGAGGCCATTCACGTCATCAGCTGCGGCTACGAGGAGCGAACCGAGTGGGGCAAGGAGGTGGGTGACGGGCCCTTTCAATGGCTGCGGCACGTCGATGCCTCCGCTCTCCTTTCTGATCTTCCCTTCTCTTCTCCTCGTCCCGCAGATCGGGTGGATATACGGCTCGGTGACGGAGGACATTTTGACGGGGTTCAAGATGCACTGCAGAGGCTGGAAGTCGGCGTACTGCATGCCGGCGAGGGCGGCCTTCAAGGGGTCGGCGCCGATAAACCTCTCCGACCGTCTGCACCAGGTCCTGCGATGGGCGCTGGGCTCAGTCGAGATTTTCCTCAGCTGCCACTGCCCTCTCTGGTACGGCTACGGCGGCAGGCTCAAGTGGCTCGAGAGGCTCGCTTACACCAACACCATTGTCTACCCCTTCACCTCCGTGCCGCTCCTCGCCTACTGCACCGTCCCCGCCGTCTGCCTCCTCACCGGAAAGTTCATCATCCCCTCGGTGAGTCTCCTCCTTTGCAATAGAGTAACTCCCACCTCCATTGTCTCGTCTCACGTGGGGCACAGCTGACGGGTCTGGGGAGCGTCTGGTTCGTCGCCCTCTTCCTCTGCATCGTTGCCACCGGCGTGCTGGAGCTACGGTGGAGTGGGGTGAGCATTCAGGACTGGTGGCGGAACGAGCAGTTCTGGGTCATCGGCGGCGTCTCCGCCCACCTCTTCGCCGTCTTCCAGGGCCTCCTCAAGGTCCTCGCCGGCGTTGACACCAGCTTCACCGTCACCTCGAAGGCCACCGACGACTCCGATTTTGGCGAGCTCTACCTCCTGAAGTGGAGCACCCTCCTCATCCCTCCGACCACCCTCCTCATCCTCAACATCATCGGCCTCGCCGCCGGCCTGTCGGAGGCCGTCAATAACGGCTACTCCTCCTGGGGGCCGCTCTTCGGGAAGCTCTTCTTCGCCTCCTGGGTCATCGTCCACCTCTATCCCTTCCTCAAGGGCCTCCTTGGAAGGCAGAACCGAACACCGACGGTGGTGGTGCTCTGGTCCATCCTCCTCGCCTCCGTCCTCTCTCTGGTGTGGGTCCGGATCGACCCCTTCCTCCCCAAGCAGCAGGGCCCAATTCTCAAGCAATGCGGAGTCGAGTGCTGACCAGGCCCGAATAAATTAAAATGCCCCTTTTCCATCCCAAATTCAAGAGGCAGCCGCCGATCTCCTCGTGCGGGACGACGTCGATTAGGCGTCCCCACCAACCGCCACCGCCGCCGCAAGACGGCGTATTCTTTCGTAGAGGGAGACGTAGGATTGACAATGTCTGGCCGTGAAAGATAGAGCGCTCTAGAGATAGATAGAGAGAGAGAGGGAGCATCCCGGGGAGGCGGGTTCCAAGACAGGAGAAAGCAGACGCTCTTGGATGACCGAAAGCTCGAGCTTTGATGCTTGTGCGAAGAAGATGACGATCGGGGCATCTCTCTCAGCCTCTTTTTCGAACGGTGAGATTTACGAATCGGAATCTTCCTCACCAAACCCAGAAACGCCGTCCTGAATCGGTCGAAAAGCTTCTCGTCCTCTCCGCCACGGTCGTCTTCTTCCGTGGTTGGCCGGTCCATCGCCCTTGCTACGGGCGCAGTGCAGAGGAATAGAATCGGCGGCGGCAAATCACCGCCTAAGTTGTGTTGGTATTGCCGAAATTCTCGATTGCCTTTTCCCACAGGGTGTAAACCCGAATAGATTACCGAATCAAACTCTTCAATTCTTTGACGTGACTTCTCCCAGCATGGACTGCCTAACTACTGGCCTTGTTGCCGACGTTGACAGACGGGAACATATTTCGTCGCGTCGCCGGAACCCTGATCACTGCGAGATGCTGTCTCCACGGAACTACCTCGAAAGGTCCCACCCGGACAGTCTATCTGCGCCCTGTGGCTCTCCCTCTTCCTCTGGAAGCCCTTGGATCGCGTCCGTCGAGGGTGGTGCCCTTAGCGAAGTCAAACATCGATTATGCCCACTTCAACCGATCTCGGGTGGCCAATGACGATTACGTGATGAGACGCAAACGCTGATAAACAGCCGCAAATAGTCAAAGAAAGAAACGGGGCCGCCGGAAATTTCGGAAACGCATAATAAACGAGGTGCAGGTGGCCGAGAGACGGCACATCGTCGGCCACGAGTACTACTCGTTCATCCACGTGGTGGGAGAGGGACAAGTCACAAGTCAACGATGTTAGAACCTTAGGGACAGGAGGGGGAGATCGATTTTCTAATCTCTCTCTCTCTCTCTCTATCGACCTGTCTCTCTCCAATCGTTTTTGACGGGTAATACCAGGCAGATGAGAATGCCCGAACAAGCAAGACGATCTTTGGGTCAGACCCACGAGAGCTCGGGCCCGAGCACGGTGGTCGGCGCAGCGGGGTTCGGGCTCTCCCGGGCCGCACCCCTTCCTCCTAATTAATTCGTTGTATTTTCCTGAGACCGCGATCTTTCTCGGCACGTTTATCTTGGCAAAGCCGCCCGTGACCACGTCAGCACACCTCCGTCGCAGTCAACTACTCCGTTCACAAGAGGTTAAATTATCAACAGTCTCCGGGGCCCCGATCCAGCGAGGCTCGGTCTTTTCAAATCTGGTTTTCGAGATAATGTCCCGGAAGAAAAATGGACTCAACCCAGCCTTTCTCTCTCCCTCCCCCCCGTTTCGGAGGTGCACCGACCGTTGACCTTGTACGCATTTTACTCGGTACACGTGTTACTAGACGATTAGTTGACCATTGACCGTTGTATACGGCGTAAGGACGTTGACGGTGTAAATCGGGCATACTTGGCTACGGGAGAAAATGACCAAAGTATCTTGCGTTAGTATGACGAGGGAGGACCCCGGGGGTTGGGATTCTATAAGAGCCGACCGAGGAACCTGGGCGGGCACTCACTACCAGAGGTGCTTCGCCGCAGAGAAGAAGCCATGACGGAGAGCTTGGAGACGGGGAGGGAGGAGTACACCAAGGACGGCTCAGTGGACCTGCGCGGAAATCCAGCTCGCAGATCCAAGAGCGGGGGATGGACTGCCTGTTCTTTCGTCGTAGGTAGGTGACTCACTGAATCGGCCGACTTCTCCCTCCTCCCGCCCCTGACCCAAAATCTTAACTGGGATTTGATTCCCATCAGGTCTTGTTCTGGAGAGGAAACCTCTCTCTCTCTCTCTCTCTCTCTCTCTCTCTCTGTGTCTCTCTGTATGTTGGGGTCTCCCGGTGTGGTTCTGCCGTGGCATCTTCTCTTTCTTGTTATCGCAATTCAAACAGAGAAAGGATCTGATCCATGCTCAAACAGAGTTGCCTCTTGTCTTCATACCAGCGTCCTACAGAAACGAGGGCTCGGCCCCCTGGAATCTCCTTCATTCTCCACCCTCAATCTGTCTCACAGACTGTACAAAGCTCTTACCTTCACAGTCTTCCCCGACTCTTCCATACTTCATCATTTGGCCGAATCTTTTCCGGTTTCCATCGCCGAATGTGTCGTTTTCTGTCGTCTTCCTTGACTATTATAGTCTCCATGCGACGGATATGTTATCGGGGGAAGGCATCTCTCCCTCTCTCTCTCTCTCCCTCTCTCTCTCTCTCTCTCCCCCTCTCTCAGAAGAGACTCGTCGTGAGCAGGTCTCACTGAGAAGCATCGCCTTCCTCGGGAGGCCAGGAACCCCGAGGATTGGCCTCTCTCGGGATCGTTCATTTTCCAGAGCAAACTCTCATGGAAATTACTTCCATCCTCCGTTTGCTGTGTTTCTGCAAACCATTGATGTCGCGCCCGGAAGCTACGCAGAGACCGCGTAGCTCGCACTTACGGAGAAGCCCACCGCCTGACGAAGAACAGCATTTATAACTCGTGACGTCCTTCTGGTGCAGTGTATGAGGTGTTCGAGAGAATGGCCTACTACGGGGTCTCGACCAACCTCGTCATCTACCTCAGCACGAAGCTCCACATGGGCACCGTCTCCTCCTCCAACAACGTCACAAACTGGGTCGGCACCGTCTGGATGACTCCCATCCTTGGCGCTTACGTTGCAGACGCCCACCTCGGCCGCTACTGGACCTTCATCGTCTCCTCCATCATCTACCTCTCGGTAAATTTCCTTCCTTCCCCGATAATTCGCTCCTCTCTCTCTCTCTCTCGTCTGGTCTACTTAATGGAGAGACTGTGAGGTTATTTACAGTAAGGGGACCATTCACCGATGATTCGCGCGGAAAAGAGAATGGAATCACCGCACAGGTCCTCGGGTGAAAGGAGACTGTAGAAGAATAACGCTATGAGTCGTCCATGTCCTGCCATAAGAGGGCTTGACCTGGTCCAACCTTATCATTCTCCCCCATCCCACTGCCACTTGTTAACTTACTGGCCCTACTCCAACTAGCTGTCGTAGACGTAGAAACACAGCTATGTACACAGCAACACAGAGACAGAGAGAGCGAGAGAGAGCGAGGGGGAGAGAGAGAGAGGGGCCCATGGTCAAAATTTCTCCCTCCTAACATGACCAAAGCTTGGTGGTGGTTGACGAGGCTTCCCACTTTGACGTTGACGACTACAGGGAATGTGCTTGCTGGTCCTGGCTGTGTCCCTCCCCGCGCTGAAGCCGCCAGTCTGCAGCAACATCGCAGACCCCAGCGGCTGCGAGAAGACCTCCACGCTGCAGCTAGGGTTCTTCTTCTTCGCGCTCTATTTGCTGGCGGTGGGCACCGGCGGCACGAAGCCGAATATCTCGACCATCGGTGCCGACCAGTTCGACGAATTCGACCCCAAGGAGAAGTCCCATAAGCTCTCCTTCTTCAACTGGTGGATGTTCAGCATCTTCATCGGCACCCTCTTCGCAAACTCCGTCCTCGTCTACATTCAGGACAATGTCGGCTGGACCGTGGGCTACACCCTTCCCACGGTGGGCCTCGCCATCTCCATCGTCATCTTCCTCGCCGGCACCCCGTTCTACAGGCACAAGATCCCTGCGGGGAGCCCGTTCACGAGGATGACAAGGGTCATCGTGGCCGCCGTGAGGAAGTCCAGAGTGCGCCTCCCCGACGACCCAAAGGAACTCCACGAGCTCGACGGGGAGACGTACGCCAAGAAGGCCAGGTTCCGAATCGACTCTACCCCTTCACTCAGGTCGGTAGCATCATCTCAGTGTTCCCATCTCTGCGAAATCTGATCCACCGTTTAAAAGAACCATCTCCTGGTTGCTGGTTATTGGTTAGGCTGTTGAACAAAGCCGCGGTGAGGACGGGGTCTACGTCGGTGTGGTCTCTGTCCACAGTGACGCAGGTGGAGGAGACGAAGCAGATCCTCCGGATGATCCCAATTCTGTTCGCGACGTTCATACCCAGCATCATGCTGGCGCAGGTAAACACCCTCTTCATCAAGCAGGGCGTGACGCTTGACAGGAGAATGGGGCCGCACTTCAAGATCCCCGCCGCCAGCCTGACGGTCTTTGTTACCCTGTCCATGCTCGTCTCTGTCGCCCTCTACGACCGCTACTTCGTCGCGATCATGCGGCGGTGGACCGGGAACCCTAGGGGGATCTCCCTCCTGCAGAGAATCGGCGTCGGCTTCGTCCTGCACATCATCATCATGGCCGTGGCCTCACTGACAGAGCGCAGGAGGCTGGCGGTCGCGAGGGCCAGCGGCGTGGTGGAGACCGGCGGCCAGGTTCCCCTCACCATCTTCGTCCTCCTGCCTCAGTTCGTCCTCATGGGGGTCGCCGACGCCATCCTGGAGGTGGCGAAGATAGAGTTCTTCTACGACCAGGCCCCAGAGAGCATGAAGAGCCTGGGGACCTCCTACGCCTTGACCACTATCGGCGTAGGGAGCTTCCTCAGCAGCATCCTCCTCTCCAGCATGGCGAGCCTCACCCGGCGGAACGGCCACCGGGGGTGGATCCTCAACAACCTCAACGCCTCCCGCCTGGACTACTACTACGCCTTCTTCGCCGTCCTCAACGGCGTTAACTTCATCTTCTTCCTCATCGTCTGCAAGTTCTACGAGTACCGGGCGGAGACCTCCGAGTCCGCCGGCGTCCTCGCGGGAGATCGAGGCCTGGTGATCTTGAACGAGTGCAAGAACGGAGAGCCCGCTGGTTGATGATGGACTCTCTCTCTCTCTCTCTCTCTTCTTGTGCTCTCTCCCACGTCTCTGCTGCTCGGCAACTCTCTGTTATAGTCATAGCCTGTGGTCTACGCAGTAAGATTTTCTTTTGGTTATCTCACGGAGAGTGGAAAAGGGAGGAGTATCTGAGTCCACCGCCGTCGCTAGGAGTTTGACCGGTCTTCATCGTCGATGATTGATTACGTCACGTTGACGAAATCTGCCACGTTTGTCCCGATGGGCTGAACCGTGGCCTGGTTTATCCCTTCCGGTTTTGATCCGCAGTTCCTGCGCCGTTGACCGCCGCAATGGAGGCGCTAGGGGAAGGGAGCCGCACCAAGGCGAACTTGGTGGGAGCGATCATGGCGGTGAAGCGTCTGTCGGGGAAGACGTACGGGCAGATAGCGGCGGAGACGGGCCTCACGAACGTGTACGCGGCCCAGCTGCTGCGGCGGCAGGCCCAGCTGAAGCCCGGGTCCGCACCTGCGCTGAAGGCGGCGCTGCCGCAGCTCACCGACGAGATGTTGGAGGAGATGATGAGACCGCCCATGCGTTCCTACGACCCCAATCTCATCCAGGAGCCGTCCGTTTACAGGTTGTGCCTCAAGCATCTTCCCTTTCTTCTCCCCCTCCATCCCTACTGTTGATTATCTGATTCTCGTCCTGTTCATCTCTTCCCGGACCCTTTACTCGGTTTTCTCCGGAAATTTCGAACCGTAAACTCGAATTCTCAGATCGATGCTACGAAAATCGTTTGCGTGATTCATATTTTTCAATCGTCATGCTGAGAGACTTATCTTGACGCCACGGAATCACGTTCCTTTTTCTTGCAGACTGAACGAGGCCGTGATGCACTTTGGGGAGAGCATCAAGGAAATCATCAACGAAGAGTTTGGCGACGGCATGTAAGCTACTTTGCCCTCCCCTTCTTCGTCGCATGAGCATCAACGTATTCAGCTGATTCTAAGGTCAAGCATCTGCTGTCGAATGCAGCTGAAAGTCGATGATGATGACGCGCATGATCCAGTTTGCCTATTTGGTCAAAATAATTCGTACTAACATTACTTTAGAAAATCCTATTCATGACTTGGAGTCCTACTCCCATTATTTCCAGTTTGCCCATTATATATATTTGATGTATTATTCACTGTAGGCAGTGGATACTTCATTCTTAGATCAGATTGAGAGCCCGGGCTGAGGTCTCTTCTGAATTCCTCCAGCTCCAGTTTGTTCATTTCATTTGGTCAAACGACGGGTTGTTGAATAGATTATGCAACATTACATTCGAATCCTATGCATCATTTTAAGAGCCCTAGTCCCCATTTATTTCCCTCCTGATCCCTATAATCTATATATATATATATATATATATATATATAGAAACCATATGTTTTTATTCGGAACATGCAAATGTGGGTAGATATTTTCTCCCAAGCGATGCCCAAGTCCCATTTTTAGCACAGATTGAAAGCCCGGGCTGAGTCTTCTCCTGAATCTCCCCTGATTTATATTGCCCGAGGTTACATGACAGGCCACTGATTACGGTTTCTTCTGATGGGAATCAGGCTAGTGGAAGCTTGGTTGACTTCTTATTTCTCAACATGTAGACAAGCCGATCATAATCCTCAATTAGGGCTCAAATGGGGGTTTTGGGGGGCTAATTAGGTCCTATTTTGGAATCAGGCCAACCTCAAAATTTCCTCTTTGGTGTTCATTCCGCGTATATTTTATCTTGTTTTTCTTTCCAAAATCGGTAGCAGTGGTTGCATGGGGACTCTCCCTGGATAATTTCTTTCTCTATCTGGTCGCCCTCCTCTTCCTCCTATCATTCTCTAATCTATAAGCTTCTGTCCCCTGCTGGTGCTTCTCCCTGCATGCAGTGGCAGTGAGGACTGCCCATGCAGATTTCTTGACCATTCCATGGCCATGAGTTGACCACGGTGTGGTCAATAGATCCGTGAGTTCGGTCGGATCCTTTGTGTCGTCCCTCTGGTTGACCTATTCATATCTGAACCTCTCAATAATCCTACGAATCAAGGGATATCTATATATTCACATGCATACACTTAATAAGAGAAAATCACCCATTGCTCCATGTGACTTTACCGAGTTCAGTGGATCTACCTCTCCTCTTTCTTTTATTCTTATGTGTTTGACCGGCAATTGTTTTTTCCTTCAGAATGTCGGCCATTGACTTCTTCTGCTCGGTCGATAAAGTCAAAGGGGTCGACGGGAAAGACCGTGTGGTTGTCACATTCGATGGCAAGTACTTGCCATACAGCGAGCAGGTCAACGGCCTTTCTTTCATCACTCCAGCTTAACAACGTTAATCGTAAGATGGCAGAAAATATATAGTTAATAACTATTTCCTTGGGTTTACTGGGGTTGACTTTTTCCTGCAGCTGTCCGAGCACATGGTCTCCAGGCCGAGGCAGTAGCCGACTCCTTTGGGCGACTTCATAAGCACTTCAATAAATGTGGCTGGAACCAGACTTTGTACTGCCCTTGTATCTTTATCAAGCAGCTGGTTCATCTGGTAGTATCTTCCCTCAAACCTGACTCTGGAGCTGGTCGCCGTGCCGCTCCGAGAGTTGGATCTTTTTTGGGCCTAGGGGGTAGAAGTCGTAGGACCACGTCCTTGTCAACAGGCCGCCTGAGCCCCGGCCCAAATTCCTGGTGCGTGTGGGTTTGGGCCTTAAAATCAGGCCCATCGTGAAGCAAAAAGGGGCCCACACTGGTTCACCCACAGTCCAAAAGTCCCTCGCGTTGACACGTGGCCAGCTCCTGATCCCCCACGTCTCTCTCTATCTCTCTGTGTACTTCGCGGCTGTGGCTGGCCATGCGACATCCGGATATTCAGGCTTGGCAAGGCCCTGGTCGCGACGAACTGGGCTACTCTTACTGGGCCGACACGTTTGGGCTTTGATTGCCGAATACGGGTTCTGAGCGTCCATCGCGGTTGATTGATTACTCTAATGGGCCTTTGGGGAAGCCCAGTGACGGCTCACCAAATATCTTCCGGTTATGTCCCTGAGATGAGCACCACCTCAACCCCTAGTGGCGGTGAGTCGGACCTGCAAGCACTTTACTCTCCGTTGAACTCGGGTTCTGTCTCCGGCTACAGCGATCGGCCACCCACCGAGACGGCACCGCTGTTCCCCCGGGTGTGACTACGAGCACTGGCTGATCGTCATGGACAAGCCCGGCGGGGAGGGTGCCACCAAGCAGCAGATGATCGACTGCTATATTCAGACCCTTGCCAAGGTCCTCGGCGGGTGCGATCATTTGGAGACTTCTATCAGGTGGTTAGTCCTGCTAACATGTTGTGCGACAGCGGCTGCATTTTTTTGGTCCTCGCGGTTTCTGTTACCTCTTGCTTTCTGCTTCGTGTTTGGTTTGAGGTTTGAGGCTTTATGAGTTATCGTTCTGGTTCCACTCTCTGGAACAGGGAGTCTTGCTGCTAAAATTTCTTCGTCTCATTATCTTTATTTCCTGAATGGTTCTTTGTTCCGAGCACTCTATTCATCCTCAACATCATCGGCCTCGCCGCCGGCCTGTCGGAGGCCGTCAATAACGGCTACTCCTCCTGGGGGCCGCTCTTCGGGAAGCTCTTCTTTGCCTCCTGGGTCATCGTCCACCTCTACCCCTTCCTCAAGGGCCTCCTCGGAAGGCAGAACCGAACACCGACGGTGGTGATGCTCTGGTCCATCCTCCTCGCCTCCGTCCTCTCTCTGGTGTGGGTCCGGATCGACCCCTTCCTCCCCAAGCAGCAGGGCACAATTCTCAAGCAATGCGGAGTCGAGTGCTGACCAGACCCAAATAAATAAAAATGCCCCTTTTCCATCCCCACTGGCAGAGGAAGCCGTCTATCTCCTCGTGGGGGATGACGTTGATTAGGCGGCCCGGCAACCGCCGCCGCCGCAAGACGGCGTTTTCTTTCGTAGAGGGAGACTTAGGGTTGACAATGGCCGGCCGTGAAAGGTAGAGCGCTCTAGAGATAGATAGAGAGAGAGAGAGAGAGAGAGCATCCCCGGCAGGCGGATTCCAAGACAGGAGAAAGCAGACACTCTTGGATGACTGAAAGCTCGAGCTTTGATGCTTGTGCGAAGAAGATGACGATCTGGGCATCTCTCAAAGCCTCTTTTTCGGACGGTGAGATTTGCGAATCGGAATCTTCCTCACCAAACCCAGAAACGCCGTCCTGAATCGGTCGAAAGGCTTCTCGTCCTCTAGGCCGCGGTCGTCTTCTTCCGTGGTTGGCCGGCCCATCGACCTTGCCACAGGCGCAGCGCAAAGGAGTGGGATCGCCGGTGGCAAATCACCGCCTAAGTTGTGTTGGTATTGCCCAAAGTCTCGATTCCCCATTCCAACAGGGTGCAAGTCTGAAATAGATTACCGAATCAAACTCTTCAATTCTTTGACGTGACTTCTCCCAGCATGGACTGCCTAACTACTGGCCTCGTTGCCGACGTTGTCAGAATGGATGATATTTTCGTCGGGTCGCTGGAGACCTGATCACTGCGAGATGCTGTCTCCACGGAACAACCTCGAGATGTCCCACCCGGCCAATCTATCCCAGCGGCTCTCCCCTTCCTCTGGAAGCCCTTTGGATCTCGTCGGTCAAGGGTGGGGCCCTTAGCTCATGCGGTGCTCAATGACGATTACCTGATGAGACGCAGACGCTGACAAAAGAGTCGCAATTAGTCAAAGAAAGGAACGGGGACAACGGAAACGTCGGAACACTAGATAAGCGGGGCACAGTTGGCCGAGAGATCGGCCACATCGTCAACCACGTGCCCTTGAGGTTAATCCACGTGGCGGGAGAGATTTTTTTATATCTCTCTCTCTCTCTCCACTCGTTTTTGACGACTAATACCGGGGAGATAATAATGCCCGAAGCTTGGGCCGGGTTCGGGCTATCCAGGCCCCCACCGCTTCCTTCCCCACCAGTTCGTTGTATTTTCATGACATCCCACTTTTCTTGGCCACGTTAGTCTTCGCAAACCCACCAATGACTTGTCAGCACACCCCGTCACAGTCAACTACTCCGTCACTCTGCTAACCATCGTTCACGAGACGTCTAATTGTCAACAGTTCCCCGGGCCCAATCCAGCAAGGCCCGGTTCTTTCAAATCCGGTTATCGAGCTCATGTCCAAGATGAAAAATGGGCTCAACCCAGTCACTCTCTCTCTCTCTCTCTCTCTTTCGGCGGTGCGTCGACCGTTGCCCATGTACCCATTTTCCACGGTACATGCGTTGACTCGACGACTAGTTGATCATTGACCGTTGTGTACGCCGTAAAGGACGCTGGTGGTGTAAATCGGGCATACTTGGCTAGGGGAGAAAATGATCAAAGTATCTTGCGTTAGTATGACGAGGGAGGACCCCGGGGGTTACGGTTCTATAAGAGCCGACGGAGGAAGCTGAGCGGGCACTCATGACCAGAGGTGCTTCGCCGCCGAGGAGAAACCATGGCGGAGAGCTTGGAGACGGGGAGGGAGGAGTACACCAAGGACGGCTCAGTGGATCTGCGCGGAAATCCAGCTCGCAGATCCAAGAGCGGGGGATGGACTGCCTGTTCTTTCGTCGTAGGTAGGTGACTCACTGAATCGGCCGACTTCTCCCTCCTCCCCCCCTGACCCAAAATCTTAACTGGGATTTGATTCCCATCAGGTCTTGTTCGGGAGAGGAAACCTCTCTCTCTCTCTCTCTCTCTCTCTCTCTCTCTCTCTCTCTGTCGCTCTCTGTGTGTCTCTCTGTATGTTGGGATCTGCCGGTGTGGTTCTGCCGTGGCTTCTTCTCTTCCTTGTTATCGCAATTCAAACAGAGAAAGGATCTGATCCATGCTCAAACAGAGTTGCCTCTTGTCTTCATACCAGCGTCCTACAGAAACGAGGGCTCGGCCGCTGGAATCTCCTTCATTCTCCACCCTCAATCTGTCTCACGGACTGTACGAAGTTCTTACCTTCACAGTCTCCCCCGACTCTTCCATCTCACTTCATCGTTTGGCCGAATCTTTTCCGGTTTCCATCTCCGACAGTAAAGACATTTTTTTGTCGTCTTCCTCGACTATTCTAGTCTCCATGTGACGGATATGTTATCGGGGGAGGCATCTCTCTCTCTCTCTCTCTCTCTTTCTCTCTCTCTCTCAGGAGAGACTCGTCGTGAGCAGGTCTCACTGAGAAGCATCGTCTTCCTGGGGAGGCCAGGAACCCCGAGGACCGGCCTCTCTCGGATCGTTCATTTTCCAGAGCAAACTCTCATGGAAATTACTTCCACCCTCCCTCTGCCGTGTTTCTGCAAAGCATTGATGTCGCGCCCGGAAGCTACGCAGAGACCGCGTAGCTCGCACTTACGGAGAAGCCCACCGCCTGACGAAGAACAGCATTTATAACTCGTGACGTCCTTCTGGTGCAGTGTATGAGGTGTTCGAGAGAATGGCCTACTACGGGGTCTCGACCAACCTCGTCATCTACCTCAGCACGAAGCTCCACATGGGCACCGTCTCCTCCTCCAACAACGTCACCAACTGGGTCGGCACCGTCTGGATGACTCCCATCCTTGGCGCTTACGTTGCAGACGCCCACCTCGGCCGCTACTGGACCTTCGTCTTCTCCTCCGTCATCTACCTCTCGGTAAATTTCCTTCCTTCCCCGATAATTCGCTCCTCTCTCTCTCTCTCTCTCGTCTGGTCTACTTAATGGAGAGACTGTGAGGTTATTTACAGTAAGGGGACCATTCACCGATGATTCGCGCGGAAAAGAGAATGGAATCACCGCACAGGTCCTCGGGTGAAAGGAGACTGTAGAAGAATCGAGCCACCGTGTAGAGGGGGAGAGAGAGGGAGAGAGGGAGAGTGAGAGAGCTTTCGGCCCAGCCCCCGAAGGTGGCCCTGGTCAATCACTCAAACAATACATGACGACAAATTAGCTAATCCAGCTACCGCTGAAGCCCTCGAAGGTACGGGCCACAATTTCGTCTCGCGATAAGAAGCCTTGACCCAGTCCACCCTTATCAGCCTCCACCCATCCCACTTCCACTGACGGACTGACTGTCCCCAAGTCCAACAGGCTGGCGTAGACGTAGAAACACATCTATGTCTGCACACACAGAAATAGATACAGAGAGAGAGAGACGGGTTCATGGTCAATGTTTCTCCCTCCTAATATGGTCAAAGTTTGGTGGTGGTTGACGAGGCTTCCCACTTTGACGTTGACGACTACAGGGAATGTGCTTGCTGGTCCTGGCTGTGTCCCTCCCCGCGCTGAAGCCGCCGGCCTGCAGCAACATCGCAGATCCCAGCGGCTGCGAGAAGGCCTCCCGGTTACAGCTAGGGATCTTCTTCTTCGCGCTCTATTTGCTGGCGGTGGGCACCGGCGGCACGAAGCCGAATATCTCGACCATCGGTGCAGACCAGTTCGACGAATTCGACCCCAAGGAGAAGTCCCATAAGCTCTCCTTCTTCAACTGGTGGATGTTCAGCATCTTCCTCGGCACCCTCTTCGCCAACTCCGTCCTCGTCTACATTCAGGACAATGTCGGCTGGACCGTGGGCTACACCCTTCCCACGGTGGGCCTCGCCATCTCCATCGTCATCTTCCTCGCCGGCACCCCGTTCTACAGGCACAAGATCCCTGCGGGGAGCCCGTTCACGAGGATGACAAGGGTCATCGTGGCCGCCGTGAGGAAGTCCAGAGTGCGCCTCCCCGACGACCCAAAGGAACTCCACGAGCTCGACGGGGAGACGTACGCCAAGAAGGCCAGGTTCCGAATCGACTCTACCCCTTCACTCAGGTCGGTAGCATCATCTCAGTGTTCCCATCTCTGCGAAATCTGATCCACCGTTTAAAAGAACCATCTCCTGGTTGCTGGTTATTGGTTAGGCTGTTGAACAAAGCCGCGGTGAGGACGGGGTCTACGTCGGTGTGGTCTCTGTCCACAGTGACGCAGGTGGAGGAGACGAAGCAGATCCTCCGGATGATCCCAATTCTGTTCGCGACGTTCATACCCAGCGCCATGCTAGCGCAGATAAACACCCTCTTCATCAAGCAGGGCGTGACGCTTGACAGGAGAATGGGGCCGCACTTCAAGATCCCCGCCGCCAGCCTGACGGCCTTCGTGACCCTGTCCATGCTCGTCTCCGTCGTCCTCTACGACCGCTACTTCGTCGCGATCATGCGGCGGTGGACCGGGAACCCTAGGGGGATCTCCCTCCTGCAGAGAATCGGCGTCGGCTTCGTCCTGCACATCATCATCATGGCCGTGGCCTCACTGACAGAGCGCAGGAGGCTGGCGGTCGCGAGGGCCAGCGGCGTGGTGGAGACCGGCGGCCAGGTTCCCCTCACCATCTTCGTCCTCCTGCCTCAGTTCATCCTCATGGGGGTTGCCGACGCCTTCCTGGAGGTGGCGAAGATAGAGTTCTTCTACGACCAGGCCCCAGAGAGCATGAAGAGCCTGGGGACCTCCTACGCGATGACCACGCTCGGCGTGGGGAACTTCCTCAGTAGTATCCTCCTCTCCAGCATGGCGAGCCTCACCCGGCGGAACGGCCACCGGGGGTGGATCCTCAACAACCTCAACGCCTCCCGCCTGGACTACTACTACGCCTTCTTCGCCGTCCTCAACGGCGTTAACTTCATCTTCTTCCTCATCGTCTGCAAGTTCTACGAGTACCGGGCGGAGACCTCCGAGTCCGCCGGCGTCCTCGCGGGAGATCGAGGCCTGGTGATCTTGAACGAGTGCAAGAACGGAGAGCCCGCTGGTTGATGATGGACTCTCTCTCTCTCTCTCTCTCTTCTTGTGCTCTCTCCCACGTCTCTGCTGCTCGGCAACTCTCTGTTATAGTCATAGCCTGTGGTCTACGCAGTAAGATTTTCTTTTGGTTATCTCACGGAGAGTGGAAAAGGGAGGAGTATCTGAGTCCACCGCCGTCGCTAGGAGTTTGACCGGTCTTCATCGTCGATGATTGATTACGTCACGTTGACGAAATCTGCCACGTTTGTCCCGATGGGCTGAACCGTGGCCTGGTTTATCCCTTCCGGTTTTGATCCGCAGTTCCTGCGCCGTTGACCGCCGCAATGGAGGCGCTAGGGGAAGGGAGCCGCACCAAGGCGAACTTGGTGGGAGCGATCATGGCGGTGAAGCGTCTGTCGGGGAAGACGTACGGGCAGATAGCGGCGGAGACGGGCCTCACGAACGTGTACGCGGCCCAGCTGCTGCGGCGGCAGGCCCAGCTGAAGCCCGGGTCCGCACCTGCGCTGAAGGCGGCGCTGCCGCAGCTCACCGACGAGATGTTGGAGGAGATGATGAGACCGCCCATGCGTTCCTACGACCCCAATCTCATCCAGGAGCCGTCCGTTTAAAGTTCGCGCGCATGAGGGGACGGTTCGCGCGCTCGCGAATCCTAGAAAATGACGAAATGAGAAATTATATATAAAATGAGAGAGAGAGAGAAGAGTATTTATAGTCACACATTAAATGGACTGCCCACTTATGGTCCACCAAAAGATACACGATTTTAGCCCACTAAACAACAAAAGAAAGGCCTAATAAAGACAAAAATGAGATAATTTTTTTTTGCATTAAATACGAACACTCCCCCTTAATGCAAAAGTGTTTAAGACCAAGAGCTTCTCTAAAATTTATGAATTTAGAATGTTCCAGCGCCTTTGTAAAGCCATCTGCCACTTCATTGAATGTTGAACATAATTTCATTTCAATAAAAATGTTGACAACTAAATCTCGAATAAAATGGTGCATTATCTCAATATGTTTTATTCTTCTATGAAATATTAGATTCTTTGTCATAGAAATAGTTGACATGTTGTCACAATAGATCACTATAGGCATTGACTGTGGAATATTAATATCTTATAAAATTCTTTTCATCTACATTGCTTGTTGTGTAGCCAATGATGTAGCAATATATTCGCTTTCAGAAGATGATAATGCTATAGATTTTTGTTTCTTAGAAATTCATGAGATTGTACTTGAACCAAAGCTGAAAACAAAATTACTTGTACATTTTATGTCATCAATAGAATTTGCTCAATCACTATTTGAAGAGATAGAAAATAAAATTCAGCAACATGTTGATATAGAATTCTATAATTAATAGTGTCACACACATATCGAAGTATTCTTTTTGTTGTTCCAAGATGATGAACATATAGTGATTGCATAAACCTTGAAATCATACTAACTAAAAATAATATATCTGGATGAGTATGAGTTAAATACATCAAACCAGCAACAATGTTTCTATAAAAGTGTTTATTTATTTTTGCAGTCTTATCATTGAGACATAATTTGTCATTTATATTCATAAGAGTAGAACAAGTCTTACAATGAAACATATTAATTTTTTTCAACAAGCCACACGCATATTTCTCTTGTGAAATAAATATATCAAGATCATTTTGAATAATTTGAAGTCCCAGAAAGTAATGAAGCAATCCCAAATCTGTCATATCAAATTCAGCTAACATATCATTCTTGAAATCTAAAATTAGTGATAAAGAAGATCAATATATAATATATAATATTATCAACATAAATGCATACTATCAAAATATCTTTATCTTGAGTCTTGATATAAAGTGTTGACTCATTATCACTTCTATAGAAGTAATGTTTGTAAAAATATGAATCAAGTCTACTATACCATACTCTTAGTACTTGTTTAAGGCCATAAAGTGTCTTCTTTGATTTATACATTTTGTTTTCTCTTCTTTCAAGAATGAAACCTGATGATTGTTCAACGTATACATCTTCATTCAAATAAACATTCAAAAATACTGATTTAACATCAAATTGAAAAACTTTTCCATTCATTTGAGCTGCCATGGCTAAATAATATGAATTGTTTCAAATCTTGCAACCGGAGAAAATATTTCAAAGTAATCAATACCTTGTTTGCTATGCATATCCCTTCACTACAAATCTTGCCTTGTATTTTTGAACATTGCCATCCGGTTTATACATCACTTTGTAAACCCATTTGACTCTAATTACTTGTCTTTTGTGGTAAATCCATCAACTCTCATGTGTCATTCTTCTCAATTGTTATAATTTCTTCTTACATTGTCTTCTCTCATTCATCTTTACCTTGTGCCTCCTCATAGCTTGTTGGTTCTACAATCATAAGAGGAAGAACACACGATTCATAAATATCACAAAGATTTCATCTTTCTTAGAGGGCTTAATGATTCTGAATTTGAATCATTTTGGTCATTAATATCACTTACATTTCTTGATGAAGATCTTGAAGGTCTGACACATGAAGTAGAAGCTTCACCTATTAAATCTTCACCATTTTGCATAATTTTTTACCCATTTTCACAAGACGAAAGTTGACGAATTAGATTTGCATTCTAATTACAGCAAGCATATTCATCAAATATAATATCACGATGAATCAATAATCTTTTTGCTTTAGGATTACATAATCGATAAACTTTACTCTCATCACTATATCCAAGAAAAATATATTTTTTACTCTTTTTGTCTATCTTACCACAATCATCAGCATCAATTAAAGCATAAGATATGCAACCAACAACTTTTAAATGACCAATATTAGGCTTTTGATGATATCAAACTTCATAAGGAGTCTATTCATCACCAGTTTTGTAAGAGAAATATTTAAAAGATAAATAGAAGTTGCGACATATTCAACCCAAAAATTATTAAGAAGATGCTTCTCACTAAGCATACTTCTAACCATTTCCACAATAGTTCTATTCTTTCTTTCAGCAATACCATTTTGCTCTGGAGTTTTTCTAACAGTGAGCTGTCTTTTAATCTCATGCTTCTTAAAAAATAACTCAAACTCATGAGAAATAAATTCACCCCCTTGATCTATTCGAAGAGATTTAATAACATGCCCATTTGATTTTTCAGTAAAAGGCTTGAAATAAATAAAATTTTCAAATGTTTCAGATTTATGAGAAATAAAATAAACTCAACTCGTATGTATGAAGTCGTCAACAATCAATAAAAAATATCGACTACCATTTAAGGATAATGTCCTCATTGGACCATATAAATCAGCATGTACTACTTCAAGAGGAAACCTTGCTCGCTATGATTTGCCAATAAGAAATGATATCAATGTTGTTTGCCATAAACACATCCTTCACATATTTTGTCATTTGCTGAAATAAAAGGTAAACCAGCAACCATATGCTTGTGATGTAATAATTTTAATGTATTAAAGTTTAAATAACCATGCTTGTGATTTCTTCTTCATATAGATAGATATAAGATCTATGGGGCAATTACTTAGAAGTACATTTTGTGCAACAGCCCTTCCTATCTGATAGAAAAGGATCCCATGATCCTGAACCGATCTGACCTGGGATCGCAAATCCCAAGTTTGTCTATGAAGAGCTGATCTAATTGTATTAGTTTCTATAATTGATTTCTTCTGTGTAATACTAATTGATAGGGCCTCGTTGATAAGTGCTACAAGATCTCGTGCATTGGAACCCACAGTTATGGACCCGAATCCGTTAGTATGGAACATTTTCTTTTCCAAGTGAAATCCCCTAGTATATGAAAGAATGAAAAAGATCTAGGATTTGAATTGATGTTGTTTCATTGATTCCTCCTAAAGATTTCATTTCAATTGGAATTTGGTTATTCACGATGTACGATGATCCCTGTTAAGCATCCATGGCTGAATGGTTAAAGCGCCCAACTCATAATTGACAAATTCGTAGGTTCAATTCTTGCTGGATGCACGCCAATGGGAACGTTCAATATATTCCAAAGTAAAGATAATCATTTTCTTTTATAATCATGTCAAAATCAATGTCTTGAAATATCAAGATGAAACATCATCTTTTCAACTTTAGAAATCACTACTGGAGATATGTCACTCTTCTTATGCTTGATTACACATCTATCATCTTTGAAATGAACAATAAAGCCACATTTCAATAATTGACTCACACTAAGCAAATTATGTATCAATTTGAAACAAAATAAATATCATGAATTAATGTACGTACCCCTAGTTTAGTATGAACATCACTAATAATAACATCACAAATCATAGAGGTGTCAATACTTTGAGATAAATCTTTTTCACCTATCAAAAGACTACTGCAACCACTATCAATAAATCATATTTTTGATGTATTTGAGCTTGAAGAAATATTAGTTATAAACAACTTATTTTGATCATTTTCTTCAACAATATTTACTTGCTCCTTTTTCTTGTCCTAATAATTTTTTTCAATATGACCATACTTCTTGCAAAAATTACATATTGATTTAGAATTCTTTTCTCTTATATTTTCTTGTTGTTTTGCCTTTTTATAACAATATGCTTCAATATGACCATATTTCTTGCAAAAATGATATTATATAATTTTGTAATTTGGTTTCTAATTTTGTCGATTTCTTCTATCATTTCTTTGCTGCCCATAATATGATCTACCATGTCCTATTCCACGGCCTTTATTTTGTTAATGTCCTCTACCATGTCCTCGTTGTGTAAATGTACTTTCATTATTTTTCTCATTCTTTAAAATTTCAACTTTTGCTTGGAATGTTTGTTCAATAGATTTTCCTTTTTGTCTGTTAATTCATTCTTCATGTGTTAACAATGTTCCAACCAATTCATTTTGGGTATAAATAGACATATCCTTAGATTTTTCAATGGCAACAATAATATGATCAAATTTATAAAGCAAACTTCTTAAAAAAAATTCAACAATTTTTTTTTCAGAAATATCTTCACCAAATATTTTTGTTTGATTTATAATAACAACAACTCTAGAAAAGAAATCATGCACTAATTCATCTGATTTCATAAAAAAATATCAAATTCTCGACGAAGAGTTTGAAGCTTCACATTCACAACAATATTATCACCATGAAATTCATCTTTCAAATTTTTTCATGTTTCAGATGAACTTGATGTATTAGTAATTCGTGAAAAAATTACTTTTGAAACTGATTGCTTAAAACTAATAATACCTTAGCATCCTTTTTTCGAAATTTCTTATTTTCTTGTCTTGAAGTCTCTCCTTCCTTATTTACACTCTCAACTAACTCCCATAAGTCTTGAGAAATAAAAAATGTCTTTATTTTAATACTCCAAAAATCATATTTCTCTCTATTAAAAAATATAACAAGAGGCTATGATAGGTTTAGGAGATTACCATTTGTCATCTCACTATGATGACAATTCCTCTCCACCTAAATATTGATTCAAATCTTCAAAAATCTTGCTATGACAAGAAACTCCAAAAACCCTAAATAAATTTCACAAACCTCGAATTTTTTCTCTTCGGATGATGTTGACCTCTCCAAAGAAAAATTGACACCCAATATGCAAACCTTGTGCTCTGATACCACTTGTAGGAAAAATACCAGAATAAACCTGCAAGAGAAGCAATCGTTCGGGAGAGAAAATAGATGGAGAGAGAGTAAGAGAGGAGACGGTTTGCGCGCTCACGAACTCTAGAAAAGGACGAAATGAGAAATTCTCTATAAATTGAGTGAGAGAGAAGAGTATTTATAACCACACTTTAAATAGACTGGCCACTTATGGCCCACCAAAAGATACAACGACTTTAGCCTATTAAACAACAAAAGAAAGGCCTAATAAAGACAAAAATGAGAGTTTTTTTTGCATTAAATAATAGCATCCCTACTATTGATTATCTTATTCTCATCTTATTCATCTCTTCTCGAACCCTTTACTCGATTTTCTCTAGAAATTTTAATCGTAAACTCAAGTTCTTTGATCGATGTTACAAAAATCATTTCCTTGATTCATATCACTCAATCTTCATGTTGAGTGACTGATCTTGATGCCAGGGAATCATGTACCCTTTCTTGAAGACTGAAGGAGACCATGATGTACTTTGGGAAGAGCATCAAGGAAATCATCAACGAAGAGTTTTGTGATAGCATCTAAGCCACTCTGCCCTCTCCATCTTCGTCGCATGAACATCAACCTATTCAACTGATCTTATGGCTTTCCCCTGTTTAGTCAAGCATCTGCTGTTGAATGTAGTTGAAAGTCGATGATGATGATGATGATGCGCATGATCTAGCTTACCTATTTGGCCAAATAATAGGTGCGAACATTACTTTAGAGAATCCTACTCAAGATTTAAAAGAGTCCTCATAGTCCCTATTTATTTCCCTCCTAATCCCTATAATCTATATATATAGAGAAGCTAGATGTTTTTATTTGAAACTTGCAAACGTGGGTAGATATTTTCTCCCAAGCAATACCCAAGTCTCATTTTTAGCACAAATTGAAAGCTCGGGCTGAGTCTTATCCTGAATCTCTCCTAATTTATGTTTTTCGAAGTTAATGATAGGCCATTAATTATGGTTTCTTTTGATGGGAATCAGGCTAGTGGAAGCTTAGTTGACTTCTTATTTCTCAACATGTAGACAAGTTGATCATGTTCCTCAATTAGGGTAAAAATGGAGGTTTTTGGGTGCTAATTAGGTCCTAAGTTGGAATCAGGTCAACCTCAAAATTTCATCTTTTGTGTTCATTCTACACGTAAGTTTATTTCATTTTTCTTTCTAAAATCGATGGCAGTGACTGCACAAGGAGTCCCTATTGGGGCCCTCACCACGACTCTCTTATCATGGGCAAAGGAGTAAGAGGGGCAACGATCAAGGACAAGACATTGAGAAGTTGACTGGGTGGTTCATTGACAAGCCGACTGGTCCAATATCCCCCAATCATAACAATCGGGCCGTTAAGATCGGATCAAGAGTAGTTGAAAAGGAAACGCTTGCAACTATATGGACCAAGGGCTGTTAAGATGACCGACCTAGTAATTATGAATCAAAATAGATGGGTTGTTATCCTTAGATCAAGAGCAAACATAGGAGGGTCTCTCTCTTTCTCCTCCTCTCTCATCTTTTGGTTGTGTCTTCTTTCTTTATTTTATATTTTGAAAGGTTTTTAGTGAATGTTAGTGGTTATCTACAACCTAATTTATGTGACATTTAGGTTCTTATTTTCATTATCTAGGGATACATATCAATTTGGTATCAGAGCTACTAGTGATCCTTCATGGCACTAAAACCTCATGAGCCTAAGGTGGATCTCATCGAATGTGAAATCAAAAGATTTAGGTAACATGTTGTTAATGATCAAGCGGAGAGTCAACAATAGCTTATGACTTTAACTCAAGTAGTCAAGGGACTTCATCAACAAATAGAATTGTTTATCTCGCGAATTGGCAAGGAAAAGCTGGGGCCGGAGGTGACTATGAACTAAGTGTCAAGAGATAGTAACCATGGTCGAGTCAATCTTGACCCTAATGATCACGGGGGACGAGAAGAACCTCCTAAGGGGTTCAATCCCAACCCTCAAGAATTTGAGCTCTACTCAAGTCTACTTTAGGATATGCCGAAAACCATCCTAAAAGGGGCCTTCCTCAAGGGTTTATGGAAGGATATCCAAGCGGAATCCCCAAGGGCTAAAATCAATCATGAGGACTACTCAAGAAGTAGAGTTGAATATCAACTTGGGTGCAGTTCCCCGATCTCTACTCCACAAATTAGGCAACTTTGGCTAGGATTGCAAGAGTTCATATTCCATAAAACTCATGAACTTTAGATCACTTGTTGCAAATTGATGGAATATCACAAGGATCGGTCTCAACCTTGGATGGTGGAACGGAACAACCTTTGTTGGACTAACAAAAAAGACTCAACTTTACAACAATTGAGATTCAAGCATGCCAAGCCCAAAGTATGTTTCTACTAGAATAATAAATTCTTATTGGTGAGTCACAAATGTAAAAAAGAGCTTCGAATCATAATTTCTTTAGACAAATCAGATTTTCTCTTAAAAACCTTGGCATCTGAAGAAAAAGAGGTTAACACATTGGTCAACTCCAAAGACTAGAATAATCTTGAAGTCTCCATTCATTCCCTCGAGAAATTACTCATCAGAGCATTATAATTTAAGAGAGAATTCAGAGAAAGAAGTCTCCATCTTAGTTGACAACTGCTCAATAATAGTATCGAACTCTTGGTCCATTAGGGTCCATTATCTCTCTCTCTCTCTCTCTCATCTCTCCTCTCTCCTATATAGGAGTCATGTATCCTATCTTTTGAGATTGCATGGGTTCCAAGGTTTTCTTCTCTCGTGTCAACATGGTATCAGAGCCTTAGGTATCCCTCATTGTCCTCCTCTCCGATGTGCTGCTTACTTCCTCGCCGGCCTCTTCCCTCCTCAGGCGACTCTTTAGCGTTGCCACTCTTCCCTCTCTTAACATTGTTGTCTCTACCATCACTCTCCTTCTCCATTCGGCACTGCCCTCCTTGTCGCCATCACCCCTTACTAGTGTCATTGCTCTCCTCTTCTCCAACGTCTCCACCGTCACCATCGTTGTCGAGGCCCCTCCTTGCCGCTACACCCTCGCTGTTGTGCCGTTATGGGCACCATCATTCTTAGGTGCCGAGGACGTTGCCGCCGCCATCAAGGTCCCTCCTCGCCGTCGCGCCCTTACTATCGTGCCCTTGTCGCTCCCTTACTGTTGCGCCCCAGCCCACGCCGTGGCCATTGTACCCCAGCCCTCGTCATCGTCGTAGAAGCCATCACTGTCCAGCCACAATGGCTAGGGTTTCGCTCATCTCCTAACAGGCCAGCCGGTGGTTTTCTTCCAGATTAGCCCAGCTAGACTTGCTGGCCCCGTGCTGATCCATAGGCCCATTGCAGCCCAACATGGCCTAGTCAGCCCAATGCGGCCCAACACGGCCCAGTCAGCCCAATGCGGCCTAGTTGGCCCTAGTCAGCCCTAGTCGGCCCAAATTGGCCCCAGCTAGCTTTGTTTGCCCCTTCGGCTTTGCTTGTCCCTTCAGATTGGTCCCTCGGGCCTCGACTTGCTCACCCCACCACCTGCCCCTCCAGCCTAGACCCGTCGGCCTCATGGTGTTGTCTCATCCTCCTCTGTCGCCTACCTCCGACCCCTTTGAGCTTCTTCCAGCTAGTGTTCTCCCTTCTCCAGTGGTTCCTCTAGCTCATCATTTCATCACGACGCAACTTACTCGACTAGCATACATCTTCAACAACCATAATTATGTGTCGTGGGCATCTAGATTCAAGCTCTTTTTTAGATCTCACAATCTCCTCCATCATTTCTCAGAGGACCCACCTAGCCTTCGGGACCCCTCATATGCGACATGGTCGCAGCTCAACTTGGCATCATCACATGGATGATTCAGAACATCGAGCCTAGCATTGTCGAGCCACTAACACACATCACCTTGACTTGTCTCCCGTGGCTCACTATGGAGACTATTTACGTCAACTAGATGAACATCAATCGAATTGTGGAGATCTTTGAGTCTCTTCTCTCTTGCAAACAATGCAAACTCTCTCTTCAAGCTCATTACAGTTGCCTCTAGACCCTCATCTAGGAGGTTGATCTTTATCAGCCCCCTACTACCAACCTCTTGACCCTCTAGCATTATTGTCAGAACTTTTATGTTAAGGTTTATCTCAGTGGACTTCATCGGTCCATCACATCCTAGATCTGGGGGGTTATTTTTTTTAGGATTGCGTGCTTGATCATGTCTCTATCTTCTCGATAGCCTAGTAGGTCGCCACTAGTATGTCTATTCACTCCTCTTCTTCCGCTTTAGGTGCCACCTCTACTCATTTGACTCTTGCCCTTGTTACTCTACAAGCTCGAGATGATACCCCTCCTTTTTGCCTTGATGGTGGTCGTACTATTCACGGACGTAGGCACAACATCTTTCCTCTATGTCTCATCCTCCTATCAACCTACCTTGACCCATCCTCTTGTCACCATTGCACATGGCTAGATCTGTCCAGTCAAAGATCATGGTGCCACCTTAGTTTCTCCATCCCTTTACCTTACCCAAGTTTTCTATGTTCTTAGTTTTCCTACTAACTTTCTTTGTATCAATGCATTTACCCTTTTCCTCTTTTGTATAGTCATATTTTTTTCCTTTCATTGTACTTTTCAAAATCTACATGTCAGATGGAGTGGTTTGAACTGTGAAAATAAATGAAGTGTCTACGAACTTGTTTCTAACAAATCTTCATCTGGCCTTCAGGCCCTATTTGTTGCCTCTACAACTACTTTTTTTTTTGGGGCATCGACATTTAGGTCATCCTTATTTCTCTAAATTATAAAAAACCTTAGTCTTGATGACATCTCTTTTGACCTTCTCCATTGTGATGTATGGGGTTTATCTCATACTTCCTCTATCTCAGGCCATCATTATTACATCATTTTTGTTGATGACTACACTTGTGTGAGTTGGGTTTACCTCCTCCGCAATTGCTCTAAGGTCATCATCATGATTACCCACTTCATTACTAAAGTTATCACCCAATAGACAATTACATCCAAAATTCTTTGTACTGATAATATTTTTGAGTTTGCCCAAACATCTCTTCGCACCTTCTGCGATCATTATGACATCTTCTACCATACCACATGTTCTCACACTTCACATCAGAAATGGTGTTGCCCATCACAAACATAGTTAGCTCCTTGTCATCACTCCTACCTTTTTTCTTGAGACGAATGTTTTGCATTATTTATGGGATGACATCCTTCTAATTGTCACTTACCTCCAGAATAGACTTTCCTTTGTTCTTCTTGGTGGGAGCATTCCTCTCTATTGCTTAATCCTTAATTCTTCTCTTTTTTTTCTTCCCCCTTGGGTCTTTGAATGCACTGCATTCGTCTAAAAGGAGTCTTAAAGGGGTATTTGTCGATTATTCACGCATTCTAAAAGGCTATCGAGTCTCCTTCCTTGATACCTATCATTAGGTGACCTTTGTCGACATCACTTTCTATGAGGAGTCTCATTTCTTCTCTTATTTTGACTTTTCATCCACTTATTACATTTCCTCCACTTAGGTTGATGCGGGACCAAAGAGAAATTTCAATATTGAATTAGAAAGTTATGATTCAAGATTGTCCTTGGTTAAGTTATAGAAGATTATGATTAAGCTAATCTTACTGATGTTAGAAGAATTAGGTCATAATTATTTGAGAAGAATTGTACTTTCAAGGATTCATATAAAGTTCTAACTAGAGTGTCATGATCACTAATAAAAGGCACAAAAGAACTAGACTATGTTTTACTCAAGTCCTATAAGGAGTAAGGATTTAAAAATAATGATTACTTCACAAAGGGAGTTGAAATTAATATACCTTGCCAAAAGGGCTTATGAGATGATTTTTTTGATACTAGTGACTTAGAGATTCACGAGCCTTGTTGAGGAATTCTTATTGGGTGATGATTCAAGGAAATGGGAGGTCTGGGTTGAATAGTTGAGGACCACAAAGTATTTGAATAATTAAAAGTGGAAAAAAGAAAAAAAGGTTTAAATGAGAAATAAAAAAGAATAAGATAATAAATTAATAATGAGAATAAATAAAGGAGAGGAGAGAGGAAAGGGGCGGAATGAAAGAGGGTTTCGGCGGGCGAGCGGGAGAGAGATAAGGACAGGGAAACGTGACGACGGCAGGAGAGAGAAGAACGAGGGTTACGGCGGGAGAGAGAGATGAAGTGGTGGTGACGGGGTGGACGGCAAGGAGCCGGAGTGGCGGCGACGGGTGGATGGCGAGGAGGCGGGACGACGGCGACGGAGCAGACGGCGAGGAGGCGGGACGACGGCAATGGGGCGGACGACGAGGAGGCGGGACGATGGCAGTGGGGCGAACGGCGAGGAGGCGGGATGGCGGCAATGGGGCGGACGGCGAGGAGGCGGGACGACGGCAATGGGGCAGACGGCGAGGAGGCGGGACGATGGCAATGGGCGAACGGCGAGGAGGAGGGACGACGACAATTGGCGGACGGCGAGGAGGGGGGTCGACGGCGACAGGGTGGCTGGCGATAAAGGGAGTGACGGCGATGGGTTAGCGAGGACGACGTGAAGAGGAAGAGAAGGAGGTCCCCCTAATCCAAGAGGGCGAGAAGAAGAGGGGAATCCCATAATCCAAGAAGCGATGACAGGAGGAGAGGAACCCCCAGTCCAAGGGACGAGATGGTGAAGAAGAAGACCCTCTAATCCAAGAAGGTAAGTAAACCTTGATTAATTCTCTCCAATCACTATCTTGGACACAAGAGAGTTTGTGCATTTATAGAGGGGAAAAGAAGAGCGGTGGTTTTCCACAAAATGGAGAGAGAACAAGAGAGAAGGGGTGATGGAGACACCCTTTCCCAAGAGGTGCCATGTGGCGCCCCTTGGTTGAAAACGACCCCCACTTTAAGGAGAGGACGGACGTGAGGATGACATGGCATCCTCTCCCCATTCTTCTTCTTCCTATTGTTGGGCCATCCTTTGTGGATGGATCCTCTTGCATATTGGTAGGGACCCATTGGTCCTGGATCCAATATTCCATGTTGGATCTAATAGAGGAGTAAGGTGCCGATTAACTTGGAGATGAACTCGTCAAGGTGGAAGAACCATGATTCTGACACTTCTTCTTGGAAGGGTTGACCTCAAAAGTTGAACCCCTGATTGATTATCCTTCGCTGACTTGAGTTAATTTTCATGAGTGGAAGATTCTTCATTAGACCTTGTGATCTCATCATGGGTTCCCTTCCTTGGTGGTTCTTGCGTACCCTCCCTCTTCTCTTCCCTCTTGTCCACTCTCTTTAGAGTCGTTATTTGTGCCCGTCTCTCTTCAACCTATGTCTCTCATGACTCCTTCTGTTTTGGATACAGTATCCTCCTCTTCCTCTCCTACGATCCCCTCCACGCTTTGGGTCATTGTTCCATCTGATGACCTTTATCTCCCTATTGCATTCCGCAAAGGTATTCGCACATGCACTCATCATCTCATCTCTCAATTTGTCTTTTATGACCACCTTTCTCCTTCTTTTTGTGTCTTTACCTTCTCGTGGTCTCTGAGTCACTTCCACAGTTGTATGTTGAGGCTGCATAGGTACTTGCATGGAAGGCGGCCATAGATTCGGAGGTAACTCGTTGATCACTCGGGGGACTTGGGATTTGGTTCTGTACTCAATTGATGCTAACATTGTGACGTGCAAGTGGGTGTTTATCATCAAGTATCACTTTGATGGCTCCATCGTTTGTCACAAAGCTCATCTAGTTGCTTGGGGCTTCACGTAGGTATATGGGATCGACTACACTAATACGTTCTCTCTTGTCGTCCGCCTCAACTCCGTCCGCGTGCTCCTCTCTTTCGTCGTCAATCAGACATAATCTCTCTATCAGTTAGATATTTCTAACGTCTTTATGGTGATCTCACGGAATAGGTCTTTATAGAGCAACATCCTTAGTATGTTGCTTAATGAGAGTCATCGAAGGTGTGTCTATTATGGGTGTTATTTATGGGCTCAAACAAATTCCACGTACTTAGTTCACCAAATTTAGTGGTTTACTCACCACTTTTGGTTTTGCCTCTTGCATTGTGGACCTTGCTGTGCTCACGAAGAAGACGAAGGGTGGTCTTATCATCCTTGTAGTTTATGTCGACGATATTTTTGTGATTAAAAGTGATGAGGCTGACATTTCTATCACCAAAGTTTACTTACAACAACACCTCAACATTTGTGACTTGAAGACTTCGAGATATTTCTTTCGGATTGAGTTTACATATCAAGATGGAAAACTCACCTTCACTCAGTGGAAGTATGCCATCGATATATTTTAGGAGATAGGCTTCTTTGGGTGCAAGTTGGAGACTTCGTCTATAAAAACTCATCCACAATTTTGAGATACTTTATCTCTCTTACTTGAGCATGCTAACCGGTATCGATGATTGTTAAGTAAGTTGATATATCTCACCATCACTCGTCTTGACATCGTGTACATGGTTAATGTCTTGAGTCAATTTATGTAGGAGCCTCGACGAATTCATTAGAAGAGAGCTCTATGAGTTCTCGCCTACATCAAGCGATCTTCAAAGATAGGGTTCATCTATCGGCGACATGGTTATTTTTGCATTGTAGTTTACTCTAATGTCGGGTATGTAGGTGACAAAGACGATCGAAAGTCTACTACAAGTTATTACACATATGTCGACGGTAACCTAGTCATCTGTCGGTCTCGGAAATAAAAGGTGGTGTCCGCTCTAGTGTAGAATCCGAGTATCAAGTCATGATTGAGATATCATGAAAAATGATATGACTTCGATCACTTCTCAATGATCTCGACATTATTTCTCTCTCTTCAATGCCCATGCATTACGACAATCAAGCCGTCATCTTCATGGCTAACAATCTTACCTTTTATGAGCGTACGAAGCACATTGAGATCAATTGTCATTATATTTGAGATAAGGTTATGTTTGGACTTATCTTTACTCCTTATGTGGCATCATCTCATCAACTTGTATAGGTCTTCATGAAGAATTTAGTTAGCATCTCTTACGATGTTACGTGTATCAAGTTAGACATGCTCAACTTATATGTTTCAACTTGAGAGAAAGTATTTGATAGTGATATTAGACTCTTGGCTCATTAGGGCTCATTATCTATCTTTCTCTCTCATCTCTCCTCTCTCCTATATAAGAGTCATGTATCTTATCTTTTGAGACTACATAAATTTTAAAGTTTTTATCTCTCATATCAACACAAATGAAGCCACTCATAATTTCATTAATTGTAGGTTAGTCAAAGAATTAGAGCTTTCAATATCGAGGATATCATCTTACTAGGTTGCCATGGGGATTGGAGAAAAGGTGGTGGGCTCGAGGATCTGAAGGAGAGTACCCATTAGCTTGTAGATGTTGACGATTCGTGAGGATATGCTGGTCATTCTACTAGCCATAGTGGACATCGTCATGAGAATTCAATTGATAAAAATCATAAAGTACATTGAACTCAATTTTGAGTGTTGGACAATGTCTTCATGATAGGAGCAAGGAAGGTAACTCTCAATGTTGAAATTCCTAAGGTGACAAGGGCTCTTAAAAAAATAAAAAAGAAAAAGAGAAAAAGTAAAGGAGTGAGAGGCATAAAGGAAGAGAAGGGGTAAATCTGTGAGGAAAAAGCTACCCACCTCTCTCAAGCCCCACCTACTAAGAAAAAAGTTCCTTGATGTGGACTTAGCTTTGAAGAATAGAAAGACAAAGAAATGAAAAAAAAAGATGTCTCACCTCTAACATGGTCACGGTGGAGTGGTCACCCAAGTATACCTCAAGTCCCATTCCACTAGGAAGGAAGAAAATAGGTAAGGTGGAAAGGTAAAGCACCACAAGGTCCAAGCGAAATAGAATGTAGATGTGAGTGGCATTGTGTGGTCGAGAACATGTATGTACTATCATCAAACTTAGTTTTTCATGAAGTGTAAAGTTCCCCCCCCTCTCTCTCTATGTGGACAGCAACAAACACTTGTATTTGCTTCTCCCTATAAATGAAATGTTTGCGTTGGAAAATAAATAAATAAATAAGGGCTCTTTCTCTCAAGTTGTTGACTGCAAGTAGAAAGTGAGGCAACCCCTTTTTGAAATTCCATGCTGATCACCTTGATGGCTAGGGCTAAGCCTGTCAACAGTCCACTAATTTGGTACCCACACACGCTCAAAAGATAGAGATCAAAAAATCGATCAAAGAGATATTTGAGGTGGGCATAATTCAGTACTTTCAAGTCCTTTTTGAAGTCTAACATTACTCGTTCGTAAGAAAGTTGGTTTGTGGTGTTTCTATGTTGATTACATGGCACTCAACAAAGTAACAATCCTTAATTAGTTCTTGATTTTGATCATGGAAGAGTTACTAGACAAACTACATGACACCCAAGTCTTCTCCAAGGTAGACTTATGAATATGCTATCACCAAATTGGGGTTAGTCTTGAAGATATCCTCAAGACATCACTCTAAACATATGAGAGACATTTTGAATTCAAGTTGATATTGTTCAGGCTTTCCAATGCCTTGACAACCTTCTACTCTCTTATGAAAAAGTTATTCACAAATTTTCTTTGTAAATTTATTCTTATTTTCTTTGACAACATATTAATCCACAATGAGATGGAAGAAGAACAAGAAGAGCACTTGGCTCGAGTCTTCTTTGTCCTCAACAAGCACCAGCTTCATGTTAACCCTTGAAAGTGCTCCTTTAGTTTCTTCAAAATCACATTTTTAGGTTATTGAGTCTCAAAGGAGGGCGTCGTCCTTGACCAAGGGAAGGTAGAGGCGGTGACAAAATGGCTCATACTAGTGACCCCTCTAAGAGCTTTAGAGAACTTTCGGATTAACCGGTTATTATTAGTGCTTCATCACTAACTACAATACAAAAGTATAGGCACTCACCCAACAATTGAAGCAAGATGCCTTCGATTGCGGGCTGGAGGCGGCCTTCTAAGCACCCAAAATGACTCTCATAAGAGCTCTTGTGTTGGCTCTTCTAAATTTTATAAAAAGATTTGAGTTGGAAGCCGATGCCTCAAGTCAAAGGGTTTGTTATTTTCACTAACTAATAAAGTTTAAAATTATTAATAGAATAACAGTAAATCCACTCCGACAACTAGAAATAACTCTCGAAGATTATTCTATTCAACTTTGAGATCTATTTCAAGGCAGATGTCGAGAACAAGGTGGCGAAAACCTTGTCTCGAGTGTCAAAACCCCCTCTTTTATAGACAAATTGAGTTATTGTGACTAGGACTCTTGGATCTTCAACATATTGTCGAAGACAACAAAAACATATCTCAAGCTATATGAAATTTTCAACGGAATTTCACAATGATCGGTCAACTATCCTTATCATACACTAAATAAGGGACATTGTTCTACAAAAGACAGATCACCTCATCTACAACTTCTAACTTTATTCAACTATTTCTAGAAAAGTCCTACAACTCAACCACAAGAGAGCACTTAGGGTTTCAACAAATTTACAACCAGATCTTACAGAACATCAGTTGGAGGGACATAAAGAGCTCCATCCAAAGATTTGTAAGTAATTGCCTAGTATGTTATAAAATAATGTTGAGTGCTTAACTCCTAGTGGCCTCCTTCAACTCTTGTCAATTCTAGATTTTGTGTGGACCTACATCATGATGAATTTTGTCAAAGGTTTTTCTGGGTCTCAAGGATATAATGCGATCCTCATGGTAGTGGATCATTTGAGTAAATACACTTATTTTTCATTCATGACACCCATTCTCAACTAAAATATCGCTCTAACTTTTATCAAGACATTGTGAAACTCAATGGGTTCTTAGAATCCATCATCATTAACATAGATATAATTTTCATGCCTATTTTTTAGTAAAATATCTTTAAGAATCATGGAATTACTCTAAAGACGAGCTCCTACCACCTAAAGATAGACGGACAATAAGAGTTAGTGAATCACGGTCTCAAAACTTACCTTTACAGTTTCATAAGAAATCAACCAAAATAGTAGAATAATTGGTTGACATAGATGAAGTATTAGTTTGATATCAATTACAATTCATCAATGAGCTTCGCTCCCTTCCGAATTGTACATGATAGTGACCCTCAGACGCTCCTCCAATATGTATCCAATTCATACTATATCTAAGTTGGGCCCAAGCATGGATGAAGACCCAAGTAAATCTGTGGTGCCAAGTCATTGAGTTTCAAATTTACAATTATGTTTTATTGTGGCTCTAGCCTTATCAACAAACATCTCTAAATGGCATCCCTATGTGAAGCTGGTCCCATGTTACTTAGACCCATTTAAGGTCTTGGAACATATTAGGCAAGTGGCCTATAAGCTTAGTATTCCACGTGTTGCAGCTCAAAAAGGTGAAAGGTACTTACACCCCAAGCCCCATCAGTCCACTCTAATGAAATGAGAGCCTCACATGGGCAGTAGAGTTACCGTAAGTAAGGGTCATTCACCACATGCCATCAGGCCTAAAAGTTTTAATCCAGTGGCAGAACCTACCCTCCACTAAGGCCACGTGAGAGTCTGCCCACACCATCTACCATCAATTTCCTTCTTTTTATCTTGAGGACAAGGTAATTGCCTAGGGAAAAGTATTATGGAGGCCCTCGCCATGACTCCCTTGCCATGTTGGCAAAGGAGTCAAAGGGGCAACAATCAAGGACCAGACATCAAGATGTTGACCATGCAGTTCACTGACAAGCTAATGGGTCCAATATCTCTGGATCATAACAATCGAATAATTAGGATTAGATCAAGATTAGTAAAAAATGAAGCATCAACAGCTCCATGAAAGACCGACTTAGTAATTCAGAATAAAAAATAGTTAGGTTGTTATCCTTGGATCAGGAGAGGTTAGAGGAGGTTCCATAGTTGTGTTAACCAGTCAAACCAATGGCATTAGCATCTCAACATATGAAACTCAACTACAAAGAAGGGAGGAAAAAGGGAAATTATTATGAACCCTCAGAGTCTTAGATATCAATTGCCTCGATCTAGCTACCCATGTCGTATAACAGAAGAGTCCCATTTGGGTCTCTTTGCTTCTCTCTCTCTTTATTGTGTCCTCATTCTCTATTCTGTATTTTGAAAGTTTTTGAGTGAAAGCCACTGGCTGTCTGCAACCTGACTTCTGTGAAACTTTTGTCTCTTATCTCCATTTTTTGGGAGTATGTATCCCTCTCCTTGTGTAACATTTTCTCTTCATCCTCTCAGCATCCTTCATTTGCCTCTTACTCTATCTAGTTGCCCTCATCCTCCTACTCTTCTCACTCTTTAATTTATAAGCTTTTGTCTCATGTTGGTGCATCTGCCTGCATGCAGCAGCAGTGAGGACTGCCCATGCAGATTTCTTGACCATCCTATGGCCAATAGATCCATGAGTTGGGCCAGATCCTTTCTACTCCAAATCTCTCATCCCAGTTCCTACTTGGGTCCTTTGTCATCCCTCTAGTTGACCCATTCATATCCGAACCTCTCAATAATCCTATGAATCAAGAGATTTCTATATATTCATATGAATACACTTAATAACTCAAAATCACCTATTATTCCATGTGATTTTACCTAATTTAGTATATCTACTTTCACTCATCAAGTTCAATAGATATTAATTTCACTTTTTTTTCTTTAAAATGTGGGCCATTGACTTCTTCTGCTTGGTCAATAAAGACAAAGGGGTCAACAAGAAAAACCACGTGGTTGTCACATTCGATGGCAAGTAATTGTCATACAGCGCGTAGGTCGTCGACCTTTCTTCCAACACTTCAGCTTAATAACATTAATCGTATGATGGCGGAAAATATATAGTTAGTAAATATTTCCTTGGGTTTACTGGGGTTGACTTTTTCCTGCAGTTGTCTGAGCACATGGTCTCCAGGCCAAGGCAGTAGGCGACTCCTTTGGGCGACTTCATAAGCACTTCAATAAATGTGGCTGGAATCAGATCTGTATATTCGGGCTTGGTAAGGCCCTGGTCGGGACGAACTGGGCTGCTCTTACTGGGCCGACACGTTTGGGCTTTGATGGCCGAATCTGGATTCTGGGCTTCTATCGTGGTTGATTGATTACTCTAATGGGCCTTTGGGGAAGCCCAGTGACGGCTCACCAAATATCTTCCGGTTATGTCCCTGAGATGAGCACCTCCTTAACTCCTAGTGGCGGTGAGCCTCTCCTCCCATCCTGCCGAGTCCGACCTACAAACCCTTGTGTACTCTCCCTCTGTCTCGATCCCGTCTGCTCGACGGCAATGGCCGCCGCCGCCGCCATGGCCCGGGCCATCGTCGCCGCCACCGCCGCTGCCGCTGGAGCCCCCCGTTTCCCCTGCAATCTGTTCCTCTCCAAGCGCTTTTATTTCGCCGGCTCTTCCGCCGGTGCGTGCCCCTTCACGGGCCTTGTCCGGCGCCGCTCTTCCTCATCGACCTCGCCGCTCAGCCACGCTGTCCGAGTTCTGGTTTCTCCGGCGGCCTCCAGGCTCAACCAGGTCAGGTGCAGGGTCAACCGGTCTGGGGACTCGGGGTATTCTCCCTTGAACTCGGGCTCTGGCTCTGGCTCCGGCTACAGCGATCGGCCGCCCACCGAGATGGCGCCGCTGTTCCCCGGGTGCGACTACGAGCACTGGCTGATCGTCATGGACAAGCCCGGCGGGGAGGGTGCCACCAAGCAGCAGATGATCGACTGCTATATTCAGACCCTTTCCAAGGTCCTCGGCAGGTGCGATCATTTGGGAACTTCTATCTGCCAGTGTTTTTCTTCCTTTCCCTTCAATCCTTGCGGTATTTAGGGTTTCTGATGGTTAGTCCTGCTGACATGTTGTGCGACGGCGGCTGCTTTTTTTTTGGTCCTCGCGGTTTCTGTTACCTCTTGCTTTCTGCTTTGTGTTTGCTGTTCGTCGGCGTCTTCTTATTATGTTGGGATAGGGCTTAATCGGACGTTTCTAAGATGCTTGGTTTGAGGTTTTATAAGTTATCGCTCTGTTAAAATTTCTGCGTCTGACTATATTTGTTTCGTGAATGCTCCTTCAGCGAAGAGGAGGCTAAGAAGAAGATCTACAACGTCTCCTGTGAGCGGTACTTTGGATTCGGATGCGAAATTGACGAAGAGACGTCGAATAAGCTCGAAGGTTCTTGCTTTCTCTCAGCATCTGTTCTTTCCCCATCTCCTCGGACATCACATACTCTGATCTTCATCTGTGAGATGATGCCGTTTTTACATTTAACATGATGGGTGCTTTTATTTTTCCCTGTTCTATCTGATTGGTTGTGCATCTGATTCCTGTTATGCTCCGACGATAATGGATGGGTTTTCCTTTTGAGTCGTCATCTTTGAGCCACCAGTCTGATGTGAACTTTCTTTTCAACTTGCTCAGGGCTCCCGGGAGTTCTCTTTGTTCTGCCTGATTCATATGTCGACCCGGAGAACAAGGACTACGGGGGTAAGCACATCGACCGAATGCCATGGAAACTTGTCTGGCCATCTTCTGTGGTTGGCATGCGCTTGCATCCTCTTTCCATTGCCCCAGCAAGCTCGTTATATTCCCTTTCTGTTCTGTCTTGGTTTACATCTGTTCATGCTTGTTGCATCGCTCTGAAAGCATGCCGCTTGGCACACGATGCCGATCAGAAAGTGGTGCTCTCTCCACCCTTCAGGAGGAGTTTCATCTAGGTATAGAACACCATCCTTGGGTCACACTCTACACCCGCCTAGGATTTACAGCGTCTTGGTGGCCACTGGAATTCCCCCATGTTTCGGCAGGCAGACTTCATGAATTGCGAGATAGCTGAGATGAACGAAGCATGCTGAAAATGGGAGTTTATCTTTTGTTTTCTCTTCTTCTTTTCCTCTGCTGTGACTGCTAAAAGATCTGTGCTTGAACATTCACGGTATGGATTCCAGTCAACTGGCTTGAATCCATGGCGGACCCACATGCTCTTCTTTTTTCTTTTTTGGGGTGGGGTTTGGGGTTTGGGGGATTAAACCCTAGAACGTATGGAACCGGAGGAGTTGCGCCCGAAGGCTGCTGGCGGGGTTCAGTAATCCTTCAGTTGGATGGATGAACATGGTGGATGCCTCACTTGGTGTGCAAATTCCTGCAGGAAAGGAAGCTTACTCACTTGGACGTGTTCTTGAAGAACTGCCTGAGATCCTCCCCCAATCCCCGCCCTCTCTTTGTTGGGCCAATAACTGCTGCGGTTTTCCTGTTAGTATGTTAGATGGATATATGGATGACCTCTCTTTGTTTTGCTCTGTCGCGCAGCCGAGCTGTTCGTCAACGGGGAGATCGTGCAGAGGTCGCCGGAGAGGCAGCGGAGGGTGGAACCGGTGCCGCAGAGAGCTCAAGACCGGCCCAGATACAACGACAGGACCCGCTATGTCCGGCGGAGGGAAACCCAGCGATGAGAGAGACACAGAACCCATCAACCACCACAGCCGCGCTCTCTCTCTCTCTCTCTCTTCTTCTATCTCTGCTACTAGGCGTGGAAGTCCCCTGCTTTGTGCCGTTGTTGACTTGTGGACCTCTCCTCTCTCATCGGAGCGTCGTCTCCATGGACCTTTCTCTCTGTGGTAGCTTCACCTCACCTCATCGAGAACTCGGTTGTAATTCTGTATGAAAAACCGGCCGCAGTTAGCGTGTTGCTCGTGTCACTCACTCATCGGGCTTGTGGTGCGTCAGTCAGAGTGGGGCCCGCATCCAACGTGGATGGGCAGCCAAGACTTGATCTTCCTCGGTTGGTCGTCTAGGGCCCCACCGGGCGCAGTTTCAAGACGCCCATCAGTCAATTTCTGGGAAAAAATTGAGTCGTGGGCCCCGCCGTTGTGCTTGGGACAACTCCCTGTATATTTCCACCCCAATCTCACCGTCGTTTCCTAATTCTTCCCGCCAGGCGCTGACTCCGTGAAGGGTAGAATAGACACGGCGAGGGGGTGGGGCTGGGGGAGGACAGTGTGGAAATAGATAAGACAAAATGGGGGCCGGGGTTCTAAATTCTGCGTTTGTAGGGAGTATATAGCGAGTGGCCTGGCTGCTGGTGGCTCCTCGTCCGCGTTCGGCCTCGAGGAACGCGCAAGGAGAGGGGGAGGGGAGGAGATCTACGGAGGGACAGCCCGCTTCGCTTTTCCCTCGAAGAAATGTCGGAGGTCGCGGCAGATGCGTGGAAGAAGTATCTCCAGCAATTGCAGCTTCACCCTCTTAGGACGAAGGTGGTCGCCCTGCTTCTCCCTCCCCTCTTCTCCTGGCTTTGTGCTTCTGGTCGTGTGGCTGACGCTTTGGATTGGTCGCCTCGCTTGATTCGTGGTGTGTTTTGCGCTTGTCAGGCTATAACGGCCGGGGTCCTGGCCGGCTGCAGCGACGCTATTGCTCAGAAGATCTCTGGGATCAAGAAGCTCCAGTTGAGAAGGTTGCTGCTAATCATGGTAATTTCTCCTCTTCTTCTTCTTCTTCTTCAACAATTTCTCTAAATTCGAGATGGATCGGTGTTCGGGATTTTTCTGCGTCCTCCTCGCGTTATCTCTTCCAAGATGGCGGGAAATAGGTTTTATGTTCCCGAGCATATTTCTGTTCAAGGTTTAGAAAGTGGTTGACGATCATCTTCGAGTACGATTGTCGAGGAATCCGGCTTCGCGCTTCATCGACCATCTCCGGGTCAACACTCCTATTTTTGTTTTGTTTTGTTTTGTTTTTTTAACCTCGATAGATATCTCAAATTCTTAAATGAGAACAGAAAGTCGTCACTTAAATTGATGCACGGTTTGGCGCTCGGTCTTGCGGAAGTCTTTCTGGTCAATTGCCAAAGATGGACCAAGTATCCTACCTGTATTACCTGCCAATAGGCGTTGGACTGTAATAACTTCTTATTTCTGTGATCGATTCCGATGGGTCAGCCCAAGCATTTAGTCATACCTGTGGCGAAAGAGCACAATCGATCCAGTTGCACAGGTGGTTGACTCCCGTCTTTAATCTGGTCTTCTTGGCAGTTCTATGGCTTCGCTTATGGGGGCCCTTTTGGGCATTTTCTGCACAAGCTGATGGACATCATTTTCAAGGGCAAAAAGGACAGCAAGACCATCGCCAAGAAGGTGAGTACCATTGAAAAATACTCCCTAACCATGAATCAAAGAAATGTGTACGCAGACAGAGAGCATTATTACTGAGTTTCATCGACATTTTTTCAACCATGTTCCGACATAACTGTGCTGACACAGTATATTCGCCCAGGTGTTGTTGGAGCAGCTGACTTCTTCACCTTGGAACAACATGTTCTTCATGATGTACTATGGCCTGGTTGTTGAAGGTATGTATTTTTATGGTGCAGCCCATGGAACTGTGAACAGAAAGAAGCACCTCCTTTTGAGCGCCAAAAGATGCGCCGATCTCTCACATAATTAACATCAGATACCTACCCCTATCTTGCAAAGTTAATCCGTTATTTTTCTCCTAATGTGGGACACTCGGAAAGGACATGTGGGATCCGCTGCGTTTAATCTTCAATAGCATTTTCGTTTTATCTTTAACTCAGTGTGAGTCTATGAATAATAGTAGTTTTATTCATTGGCGTATCGTTTATGTCTCTTCAGTTTTACAAGCTAATTGCCTAAAGTGCCCCCCTGAAGGTGGTAGAAATAACATTTAGGAAGAGAAGATGGTTGTGTGGTTCAGAAAGAATCATTCACTCGAATGTATAAACTACGTTAGGGGGTTCCTAATGTCTTCAGTGACGCCATCTTGCTGATTTTCTTGCTTTTTGCCCCCCCTGAAGCCTCCTTCTCTGTAATTACTGTGTTTTGAGTATCAGCTCAAGATGGTAGGAAGTCAAACCCCTATCTGTTGTTTTCTTTTTAAATGCGGCTCTCGTTAATATTTCCATTATTTTTTTTGTCTTGGGTCAATGGCTGGGGCTGACAATGAATATGGTGCAAAATCTAAGATTTTCCCCTGTAATGTGTTTCTGTCTATGATAAATTTTTTTTCTAAATAGAGGGAATATAACAAGCAGAAAAATACATTATCCTGGATATTTTGCCTTAAAGAAGGGTGCATGTACCTACTAACTAGTTGACAAGAACCTTGGCCTGCTTTGAGAAATATTTATTTTTTCTACTATTTGATTCCGTATAAAAAAGCTGATATATTCATCCGGGACTTTAAAAAGATTCTGAATCCACTGCCGTGCGTGAATGGCAGGAAGACCGTGGGGTTTAGTCAGGAGCAAGGTCAGAAAAGACTATCCATCGATTCAGCTGACCGCATGGAAGGTATAGACCCATTATTTTCTCATCTTGGTCCCACAGTTGAAGAAGCTTATAAAAACCTCTCTGGTGATGATCTTCCCTGACTTTACAGTTCTGGCCCATAGTTGGCTGGGTCAACTACCAGTACATGCCCCTGCAGTTCCGCGTGGTCTTCCACAGCTTCGTCGCGTCGTGCTGGTCTGTTTCTCCCCCACCCACCCCGACCTTCACTCTTCTTAGCTCCATTTTATTTATTTATTTATTTATAGTAATTAATCATTCACAATTCATTCATCTTAGTCAATAATCTCGGCATCGTGCCAATAATTCGTGTGTTTAAAGACGATAATCGAGAGCAATTCAGCATAAATAGGGCTAAAACGTTACAGAAGGATGAACCCAACCGTGCATTCACCCACCAGTTCATGGCTAACTCAGCCGCTGCTTGATCGAATGTTCAGGGCCATCTTCCTCAATCTCAAAGCGCGTTCGACTGCGATCAAGCGGGCGTGAAGAAAAGAAAAGGCCATATGCCGAGGTTGACCTTAGTATTCTCTGAACCTTGAGCACTCGTTTGTGTTATTCTTTACTTATCTTGAGGTGACGTGTGCAATGGGATGATGTATAATGCTGGGAGACCTGTCATCATCAGCCCAGATCTTGAATTGATGTTAATCTTGTCGTGGATTCGTGTAGAGAGAGAGAGAGAGAGAGAGAGAGAGAGAGAGAGAGAGAGAGATATGACAGTTGACCGAGCTTTCACGTGCGGAGGAAGATGCAGCTGCCCGTCTGAGGGGCCCCATCGTCTTCCATTTACATTCCATAAATGGAGAAATAATAATCTTCACAGCACGAGGAGCTGAAGCTGAGTGACTATAGGTTGCCTCCGTTCCGATGATGATGCTTCCCCCCGCCGCCGCCGGCGCTTAGAGCTGGAGCCACCGAGCGAGCTGCGTGGGGTTTACGATGCCCTGGATTTGGGCCTCCTCCGTCTTCAGCAGGAGCGCCACCTCCGCATACGTCATCGGGGCCTCCCCAGGCTTTGTCTCCGGCATCACAGCGGTGTCCCAAGACCGCCCGAAGAGGCTGCCCTTCGTGAGAAACTCGTGCGCCAGGTACCCGGCCAGCAGCCGGTTCCCACCCCCTTCCGGCGGCTCCTCCGTCGCGGCGGTGGAGTAGCTGTCCCCTCGCGCCTTGCGCTTCCTCGACGCCGTAACGGGCGGAAAAAACCCGCCACCACACGGGCGGCGCTCGCTGTCGGGGCTCGCCATGGCGCCGCCACCCCAAACCGACGCGTCAACTGATATCCCACGGTTTCAAAAACATCAAAACCACCACGACGGGCGGAGCGTGAGAGGAGGAGATCGCCACGCGACGAGGATGAATTTCAGAGGGACCGAGCGAGCGAGAGAGAGAGAGAGAGAGGATTTGGGTGAGGAGTGGAGGGGAAGACGGGCGGGGGGGGGGTTTGGCGCATCGAAAAATATAGAGACGGTGTGATTTAAGTTACCAAATTACCCCTAACATATTGGGATTTATAACAGGCGGCCCAAATTGCAACGCTCTATGTTGACATCGGCCCTATCGCTCTCCCGCGGTCCCGTGCGAGGGGATCACCGATTGAACGTCAGATCTCGCGCCACGACAAGAGGACGATCAATCGAATGGAGACGGCAAATCTGGGGCGAGAAATCTGATTTTTCCGTTGAACCTCCGTGTAATCCGGGTGATCACGACTGAACAACAACTCGGGTCCTTTCGGCTGGTCTCCGCCGTCAGATCTTGACGAGGTCTCAGGAACTCGGCCCGCATATCAGATGGGCCGATTTTGAACTTCGGTGGATATGGTTTTGGCCCATTATAGCCAACACAGCGCGTGATGAAGATGACAATGTGGATTATTATAAAAATACCCCCATTGCCCATAGCGAGAGAGAGAGAGAGGGCATCTCCACAAATGGGCTTTTCCAGGGCCGAAGCCCATAAAAGGTAGTATGCTCTCTCTGTTAACTAGTTAATGAATGAGGCTGACGTTAGTGGGCCCACCGACTGGGCCAAACCAGCTTTTCTTTCCCCCCAGCGGGGCCCTGCTGCTCAGACAGTGGCTCCACCCGCGCAGTAAAACTCCGCGTCCTGTCCGAAGGGCCTAGTCGGAGCGGCGGAGCGCCGTCTGATGGCCCACATGCGAAGAAAACCGGGAGCAGAGATCTCTCTGTCGCAGCCTTCAATGCACATGCAGTCGTAGAAGGAAAGGAGAGAAGAGGAGAGGAGGGGAGGGGAGAGGGAGGAGATCTTCTCCTGTCGGCGACTAGCCCGGGGGAGAGGAACAGAGAAACGGCGGCGGGCAGCGGAGATGAGGATCCGCCGCCGCGGTGAGCCAGGCTGTGAAAGAAGAAAGGAGGGGGGGGGGGGAAGTTGAGGAGGGAGCCGATGGGTGTTGCCGTCTTTCCCTGGATGAGGGCGATAAATGTACACGGGGAACAGTGAGGACAGTAGATGGGGAATTGCCTTAAGGACGTTTTGAGGAGGCCACTCTTAAATGCCCCCTCCCACCCTCCCTCTCTCTCTCCCTCAATGATCTCTCCCTACGAGAGCTTGTCCACACGTCTTCGGGTCGTAGCTGTAAATTATTTCTTGCCTACGCTGCAGTGCCGCCATCAATGCAGAGGCCAGAGAGAATTGCGGACAGACAGAGAGAGAGGGAGGACGTCTTTAGGTCAAGTCTACGCGCTGAACACAGACTCCTTGTTGAGCAGTTTGAGAGAACCCAGAGCTTCTCCTCTCTCTCTCTGGTTTCTCCCATTACTGGCTAAGTTTGGTGGCCGTTGAGAAGAGTAAAATCACCGTGGCGGCATTTCTGTAAGAACACTATAAATTTAGTCCCACGGCCACATGCAGCTATCGGAGTTGCAGGGGGAGGGGAAGACGAGAGGCTTGGGAGAGAAGAAGAATGGGGGTGTGGGGTGCAGCTCTCGTGGTTCTTGTGTTGCTGTCGAGCGGGGTCGCCGGCGACAGTGGCGGCGCCGTCGAGGACGACAAGCACTTCTTCTTCGGCCCGCGCCACGGTTTCGGAGGCCTCGGCCGCGGCATCTTCGGTAAGGGGTTCAAACATGGCGGCGGTTTCGGGCGTCGTGGGGGCTTCGGCGGCGGACCGGGACTGGGTGGCGGTGCCGGCCTCGGAGGGGGCATCGGCGGCGGCGGTGGCGCGGGGGGAGGTCTTGGAGGAGGAGCCGGAGGGGGGCTAGGTGGAGGTGGTGGGCTCGGAGGGGGAGGTGGGCTGGGTGGTGGTTTCGGCAAAGGTGGTGGACTTGGAGGAGGCGGTGGCATTGGTGGGGGTTTTGGCAAAGGTGGCGGGCTTGGTGGTGGTGCTGGTGGCGGACTTGGCGGCGGCCCTGGTGGGGGACTGGGTGGTGGTGCTGGGGGTGGACTTGGTGGCGGCGCTGGTGGCGGACTGGGTGGTGGTGCTGGGGGTGAACTTGGTGGCGGCGCTGGTGGCGGACTGGGTGGTGGTGCTGGGGGTGGACTTGGTGGCGGCGCTGGTGGCGGACTGGGTGGTGGTGCTGGGGGTGGACTTGGTGGCGGCGCTGGTGGCGGACTGGGTGGTGGTGGTGCTGGCGGCGGACTGGGTGGTGGTGGTGGTGCTGGCGGCGGACTGGGTGGTGGTGGTGGTGCTGGCGGCGGACTGGGTGGTGGTGGTGGTGCTGGTGGCGGACTGGGTGGTGGTGGTGGTGCTGGCGGCGGACTGGGTGGTGGTGCTGGTGGGGGACTCGGTGGCGGAGCCGGCGGAGGGCTTGGCGGAGGCGCCGGAGGAGGGTTTGGTAAAGGTGGTGGACTCGGTGGCGGTGCAGGCAGTGGACTCGGTGGCGGTGCAGGCGGTGGACTCGGTGGCGGAGCCGGCGGTGGGCTTGGCGGAGGTGCCGGAGGAGGGTTTGGTAAAGGTGGTGGACTCGGTGGCGGAGCCGGCGGTGGGCTTGGCGGAGGCGCCGGAGGAGGGTTTGGTAAAGGTGGTGGACTCGGTGGTGGTGCAGGCGGTGGACTCGGTGGCGGAGCCGGCGGTGGGCTTGGCGGAGGCGCCGGAGGAGGGTTTGGTAAAGGTGGTGGACTCGGTGGCGGAGCCGGCGGTGGACTTGGTGGTGGCGCCGGAGGGGGGTTCGGTAAAGGTGGTGGGATTGGTGGCGGCGTAGGAGGAGGTGGTGGACTTGGTGGCGGTGCCGGTGGCGGCGTCGGAGGAGGTGGTGGACTTGGTGGTGGCGCCGGAGGAGGGTTCGGTAAAAGTGGCGGAGTCGGTGGCGGCGCTGGAGGAGGCTTCGGCGGAGGCGTCGGAGCCGGCGGTGGGGGCGGATTCGGAGGTGGTGCAGGCGCCGGAGGCGGGTTCGGCGGCGGCGCAGGAGGTGGCGGAGGATTTGGCGGCGGCGGAGGTTTCGGCGGTGGCGGAGGTTTCGGTGGAGGAGGAAGCCTTCCGTAAGAACCTCCCGAGCGGTGACACCGGCAAGTAGCAGAGCTTCTGCACCAGCCGTCGGACGCTGTCGTCACTTCTCGCTATCTCTCTCTCTCTCTTTCTCTCTCGTCTACTGACTACTATTCGTCGCAGACGTGCTTAGATCGTGTGTACGGAATAATCACTCTCTTCCACTGTAATAACAGTTCCGCTTCTACTATTTCTGCACACTCAGGGGCTTTCTGTTATTCCACATGTTTACAAGCATTTTATTGAAAATCCGTTCCCCCGCGAGTCTCTTTAATGGCCGATTATAATGGGCCGGCCCGTAATCCCTAAGGCCAGCCCAAGCTAACATGTCGATTTTCGGCCCTCCCCTGCCCAAAGATGGGCCTCAAAGAACGGACTACGAGCTGGACCCAAGTGAGGCCCACTTTCAGGAACAGGCCCATTGGGCCCTCTCTATAATAATTCCGTTCCCTGCTGGGGGGGAACAGTGGGGGTAATCAATTGGTTCTAAAACGAGCATCTGATAATGGGCCGGTCCGAAATACCCAGGGCCATCCCAATCAAACATTATATCATACGCCCGACCCGGCCCAAATATTGACCTCGAACAACGTGAGGTCCACTTTCACATATCGGCCCCTTAGGCCCATTATGTGCCGTCCCCGCTGGCCCGTGCTTATCTCAGGGGGCGCAGCCTCCACACAACAGAAGCGCATCATCCGAACAGGTGGAGACGGTGGCGCACCGGGCTAAAGTACGCTGGCGCAACCCCCGCGACTGTATTCTTCCGATTTCGCCCACCCTTCACGAAGCTAGGGTTTTAGGCTTCGCCTCCACTCCTCCCTCTCGCTGCCCCCCCTCACCCACCGTCAGTCATCTCTCTCTCTGTTGCTCGCCGCGGATACCTGGTACCCTAGCCTGACTGCGGACTTTGTCCGGGGCCTGCCTTCCCGGAGAGAAGAGGAGTGGGGGATATCGAGGGATACCGATGGACAGGTACCAGAGGGTCGAGAAGCCGAGGCCGGAGTCGGCGATAAACGAGAATGAGATCCGGATCACGACCCAGGGGCTGATACGGAACTACATCAGCTATGCCTCCAGCCTGCTTCAGGTCTGCGGTTAACCCGAATCGAATCTCTGTTCCTTCTTTGTCGGCCGGTCCGTGTAAGATTGCTCCTATGATCTTCCTTTCCTCCCTGCTCGCTCTTATTGTGGATGTATCTGTCTAGGAAGGTTGTTAATGGTGGTTTTCTTGTCGTCTTTTTTGAGAGTTTTTTGCGTGGTCTTGTGCGGTGTTGCCCCATGTCGCGTGTACTATTAGCGTACTTCTGTGCTTCCATGTGTCTGTCTGTCTGTCTGTCTGCCCACCTTCTATTGAATATTTATTCGTCAGTTGGGAATGCTCCCCTGTTCTCCAAATATCGCCCTATGATTTGCTTATTCATTACCTATCTTTTAGGCTTATTTTGAATCCATTTACATGGCATTCCTGCTTTATTTTTGGTCGCCTTTTCTGTTTATCTGGATGGTTTCTTCTATGCTACCTGATACTAAGCGTATTAAGTTTTATCGTGCTTTCCTTTCTATTTTGTGCGCATGTTAATTATTGATGTATCCCCTTCGAATGCATTGGATTGCCTTCATATTGTCGCGATATCTTTATGCCTTCATGGACGAACTTCTTCGGCCCATATCCTACTTAAGCAATGCATTGAGCCTGATATGGTCATATCTATTCTGTATTGAAATATCTTGTCGTTATATTTTCATTTGATCACCTTTTCAAGGTTTCTTCGTCATTTAAATGCAGTCTATTGATACGATTATTCTTCAGTGTTTGAAAGTATTCGTTATTTATTACACTGTCTGTGTTGCCTCCTTTTTTTACGTGTTTCGAGTTTTCTGCTTGCTAGCATCGAGTGAAGTAAACGTTTCATTTACAGGCGATTGTCTTCCTAGTGAGCTATAGGGAATAGGACCATACACTAATCAGCAATGATTTTCCTGCTTGACTCAAACGAATTTCTCCGGCAGTGCAGACTGAATGTGTGTAATTATTCATCTTATGTAGAGAGTGTAACAGATGATGAATGATTTTTCGGAATGCTCATTTAAATTGAAAGATTAGCAACTGAAGTTTGTGAGCTATAAATAATTGAGAAGAAATTTGTGAGTGGAGTGCTCTGTCTTTAGTCAGAATATCATATTACGTTTTTATAACTGTAAGAAGAGAAGTTCTAATCATTTTTTAAAATTTTAATTATACATTGTATGTCAGTGACATTCAGAGTATTTTTTGTTCACACAATTTATTTATGAAAACATAATACTTTTAGAAAGTAGATAATTAAATTGCATTAATCTGTGGAATTATTTGGCGTGCTGTTTACACTTGTTGGTATTTTATATAGGACACTTTCATAATAAACAGCTGACTGTTAAGTCCAGATTGAAAGGTGCAGTTACCTTTCTTATCATGTATCAACAATTTGATACTTTGGACCCTGTTCGCTACCCTTTGAGGTATGATAGTTATTTACATCCTGAATTAAGATTTTAAAATATCGTAGACTATAACATTGTCATGGTATTTTTTGTTGTCAAAGCGAGAGTAGATGTGCTTACTGCCGTACTGTCAGGGAAACGAGGCTATGCAAAGCCTTTGTTTACATAATTTTCTGAAAAAAATTATGATCCAAATGTTGTCTGCATATGGTATCATTCCAATTTCATGTCAAACTAATGTTATCGGTAATTATTTGAATTTACGCAACGTGCAAAGTCAATCTTTTTAGTCGGAGAGAGGCTTTGCAATGGCTTCATGGAAACATCGCACAATTGAATAGGTCTATGGTAATGTAACGTTTTAACTTTTGAGCTGATCACGGCAGATTGTTGACCTCGACGGTACACAAAGGCATATTGGCGTTCAATATGTACGCTTGAGTCTATTTCTAATTATTTTTATGTGCGACGCGTGTTTGAATTGTTTGTTTGTTGTACAAATTTTCTTGCTAAAACGTATGTATGTGTATGTATGTTTCAATAAAACTGTATAATTATATAATTAAAAATTTTACAAGAAGGTGCTCTGGGGAACAAACAAAGTTACTAAGTACGTAGGTGATCAAGGCGAGCACCTTGTAATGATGGAACGTTTGGTTGAAAACCTGCTAGTGATGGATATTTCTTTACAATGGAAAAAGAATATGTGTGCTATATTACACGGAAACCCATTTTTTGCTTGATTGAGTTTGTTGAATTACGACTGGGTTATTTAGAGACGATTTTGTGACCGTGCAGAGAAGGTTTTCGTTCTAGGTTGGCTGTTGTTCCAACGAAAATGGAAATTATCTCAGGGGAAGGCGAAATTTGCGTTCGCTGTTTGATATCGTGATCTTCATTTATGCTCTTTTTGTTCTTTCTTTGTTCTAATTGTTGGGAAGGCGTTCTGTTGTTCCTCTTTCTTCTTCTTCTTTTTTCATCCACTCCCTAGTAGTTTCCGTCAAGATTCTTCTACTGTGACAATGGGGGATAAATGTAAGTTTGTTTTTGGGGAGGCACTCCCAGTGGTCTGTCTGTTTTAAGTATGCGTGCTCTTGTGAGAGTCTTATTCATCTGTATATAGCAGCTATTCCTCTATTTCGTTTCCTTTTCACGCTGTTTGCTGATCTTTTTTCGTGCTTTGTTCCCTTGATTTTTTACATGGAAAAAATTCAGGAAAAGAGGGTGAGAGAAATCGTTTTAAAGGCCATGGGACAGGCCATCAGCAAGGCTGTTGCCATTGCGGAGATTATAAAGGCTAGTTTCGCATCCTGTAAATTTTTATTCATTTTTTTCTTTTTCTATCTGCTGCGTATTCATGAGATTGACTGTGCATTTGCATCTGAGAGCAGAAGAGGATGCCTGGTTTGCATCAAGACACCACAATCAGTTCAACCAGCATCACTGATGTGTGGGAACCCATTGAGGAGGGCCTTGTGACGTGGGTATCCTTTCATTTTGAGGAGAGAGTTCTAGAGAACTAGCTAACATTTTGCCACAATTACATTGTTGACCGTGCTTTGCAGTCTGGAAACTACTCGTCATGTCTCAATGATCTCGATCACTTTATCAACAAGAGAGCTGAACAAGAACTCTCCAGGGTGACTATTTTTTTTTCTTTGTGTTCATTTAATTCCGATTTGCTTCACTGAAATGCTTCAGAATGTCCTTTTTTCAAGAAAACTAGAAAAGCCACCCACAGAGCTCACAGTTGGGAGAGGCTTTATGGTTTTTGAGCTTAGTCTCCGTTTTTCAGTTACCAAGCTCCAGCCTACCCGGAGCACCCCAGGCCGCAATATCAGTATCGTCAGCAGCAGCAGCCGCAGCCGCAGCCGCCGGTGCCACCGCCGCCACATCAGCAAGAACATCAAGGTGGTCGAGCACAAGGACCGATCGTTGAAGGTTTTGTTCATTTTAACCTCTTGGAGCTACGGGGAGTGTGGTAGGTCAAGGTGCTTGCTTTCAGCTAAATTACATTGATTTCTGTAGATTCATACGGCCGCGGTCGTGGTAGAGGAAGAGGAAGGGGTTGGGGCAGAGGTGGGTATGGGGGGGGCTACGGTGGAGGTGGCTATGGCGGCGGAGGCTATGGTGGAGGTGGGTATGGTGGAAGGTACGGCGGTGGTTATGGGAACAACGGTGGCGGCTATGGCAACAACGGCGGTGGCTATGGCAACAATGGCGGAGGCTACGGAAACCATGGCGGTGGCGGCGGTGGCTATGGAGACGACGGAGGTACCTCTCTTCTTCTAAAAATCCTTTCATGGGAATTTCATGAACACAACCGCTGACGGGGTGGGGTGGGGCTAATTGTTCCCTCTGTCACAGAGAACGGTGGATGGGATTACAACTACGGCGGCCGGGGCGGCGGCCGCGGGCGAGGCTGGAGCTATCGTGGTAAATAAGAACTCACCTCCACGAGCCCCCCCCCCACCTCGACGGTGACTTCATGTGGTGATTCTGATGCGTTTGCTTGATCGATCGGTTCTCTTCCCCAACTTGGTTGTAGGTGGTGCCGGATACGAGAGAGGCAGAGGCGGCCCCGGTGGGCGGGGATACAGCCGCGGCGGGCGGGGCAGGATGGGAGGCGGACGGGGCAGGATGATGCAGGGCTAGCTGCTGTTCTCGTGCTGCTGCTGCTATCTTCTTATATGATGATGATGATGATGACGATAGGCGATAGGGGGAAATGGAGAAGAGGGGGGGGGGAGGGCCCGTGCATAGACTTGATCATTTCCGAGCATACTACCTCTTAAAGAGAGGGTCTGGTTTTATTCGTCTCTAGGGGTGGGTGAGGTGAGATGAGATGCTATCTACGTCCGTTGATTATATTGTCCATCATGTGTGAGAGCTAAGCGGGCAGCGAGCTAGAGAGAGAGAGAGTGGGGTGGGAGAGAGCAGTAGTGGAAGTAGTAGTAGCTGTAATTGATCTCCATTTCCTTTATATGACGCCTTTTGCCGTCGCATTCTCTGGTTCTGTACTCTTCATTCCATAGGCTGGGATCTTGAGTGCTGTTTCTTGCTCTCGTTGCACCATGGTGCACTTTAAGTATTATTCCACCTACATTCAGATATCATAGCGGGGATAGCTCAGTTGGGAGAGCGTCAGACTGAAGATCTGAAGGTCGCGTGTTCGATCCACGCTCACCGCATTTTCATTATAATTTGCTTTCTTTTATTTTTTTGGTTTGGAAGTCGGGGGCGGGCGGGACGTGGAGGACCAGCTGGCGCTCTCCTGACTGGGGTCGATACTCCCTCGGTCTTACCCTCACAACCCAGTGTTCATCTAGAAAACCCCTTCCACCTTCCTCCGCCGAATCTCTCTCTCTCTCTCTCCTCCCGCTGAAGGAATGGGAGATGATGGATGGGTTGCCGGGAAAAGAGAGAGAGAGAGGGTGGGGAAGAAAGTTAGGTAGCTAGCTAGCTACAGGAAGACGCTGATGGTGGCGCTCTTCTGACCCCCGCAGAGGGGACACGAGTCGGCCCCCGCGTCGCACTCGCCGCAGAGCCCAAGGTGCCGGCAGGGGAGCACCAGCCTCGAAGCCTCCCCCCTTTTGCAAGCTCCGCATCGCCTCACCGCCCCAAATTCCGCTGCCGCCGCCTCCTCCTCCGAGTGCCGCCCCTCGCAGCAGGAGATGGAGTCCTCCGCCTCGCCGCCGTCCCACGCCGCCGCCGCCTGATTCGCCAGCTCGATGTCCCGGCGGAGGCCCGCCACGGAGGCGGCGCTGCTTCGGGCGAGCTTCTTCCACATTTGGCCCTCCACGGCGAGGACCCTCAGGCGGTCCTCCAGCGCCGAGCTGCGCCGCGCCGCCGACGCGATCTCCTCGTCCTTGACCTGCACCATCCTCTGCACGCCCTCCTCCACCGCCCGCACCACGCCGGCCCACCGCCGCCGCCGCCGCCTCTCCATCTCCGTCCTCATCCCCTCCATCTGTGGACAAGATCAAGGCACAATCTACGTCAATCCAGCACCGTCGCAGGACCGGAAGCCCTCGGTGGCCCATGATGTATGGCGGTGGCGGTGATCTCGTAGAGAGAGGACATAGGGGAATTAATCACCTGGGAAGAGACGAAGCGGTCCAGCTCTAACAGGTCTCTCTGCACCATCGCGGAGAGGCCTGAGTCGAGGTTCCCGGGGAAGAAGAAGCACGGTTGGGAGGGAGGCAAGGCGGCTCTGCTCGGCGAGTTCCTTGGGGCTGAGGGGTGATTACCCACGAGAGCCTCGGAGAAGGCCGAGGTACTGACGACCATCTCCTCTTCCTCTTCTTCTTCCCTCCCTCGCTTCCTCGGCGTTCCCAACATCTGGTCATTCATTGCTCTCGCTGATTGAAACCGCGGAGAGATGGAGCGAACTGATTAGATGGCGGAATGGAAATCGAAGAGAGAGAGAGAGCAGTAGTAGCATCCAAGGCGAGAGATGGAGGCCCTCTGAGAGAACCGCCGGGGACGATCCCTTGGAGCTGGCATGGGATGCCCCTCTCGGGCAACGGAGCGATGCTCACCGGTTTCATTGCAGCGAACAACGCTTCCGAACGCGATCCGACTGGCTTGCAGTGAGTCCACACCGAGGGCAGCCAAGTTCCCCAGACCCTGCGCCATGGCCGGGGCGATCGATGCCTCCTGCTGCCGATTAGTGACCATGGAAGGTGGAGGAAGTCCTAGAGAGAGAGAGAGAAGGGGCAGGCGCTTGTGTCTTCCTCTTGTTTTGGAGGAGGCGGAATGGTTCTCGTCTGTCTTAAATCCCATTAAGGATGGTGGAGGAGAGCGAAAGAGAGAGAGAGAGGACAGTGACACTCGGGAATCGGCGTGCGCATGCATATTGTATCGTGAAAGTCTGCGTACGTGGTAGGAAAGGCGAGACTTGTTCTGTTGAACGTTCACAAACGGGTGCAAGAACAGATGGCAACATCACGATGGAAATGGCTTCCGAGTGATTAAAATAAGGCGAAAGAACGACAAACCCATCCACAAGGCGATCGCCAGGGTGTGAATCCGTCGGAAACTCCTCGTGGACGGTTGGGAGGGGGGGGGTCCATCCCTCCTCTAGAGAGAGAGGGAGAGAGCAACGACAGCAGCAGCAGTAGCAGCGTCAGGAGGCTGTGAGGATGGCGGATATGCCGGAGAGGAGTTCCGTGGATGATCTCCCCGTCGAAAGACGAGACCTTTACCTATCGGCGTCACTTTCTGTTCGACGAGTGGGCGGGAGACCCAGCGGTCGACGAAGAAGAAGTGGCCTGTCTGAATGAAAGTAAAAGGTCTTCGAACTTTGATGCCGGGCAGGGTGGACCGTCACGGGCGTTGCACCTCCGTGAATGAATCCCCAACCCACCTTCCTCTTCTCCTTTGCGTCTCCACAACTCAACTCTCAGTAGCTGCTTCCATGGCGCGCTCTGCCGCCAACCACGAGGAACCTTGCTTTCGCCTCTCCTCTGCTCGACGATAATCCCCTCCTAAAGGGAAAGCTCTCTCTCTCTCTCTCTCACTCTATACAATCCATCTGGGTATTCAAACTATACCACTCTAGATTTCGTCATAAATCTCGGGGATCGAGGCGGCAGGGCCATATGTTACAAGGTTCGGCTTGGCGTTCCTATTGATATGGGGGGGGGGGGGAGGAGAGAGGATTCACTCGTAGATTTCCACGGCGGATCGAATCGAATTCCGCATCGGACGCGGCAGAAATGGACCCCGCGGGAGGATGTTAAGCACGGCAAAATCGGGCAAATGATACCCTCCACGTCTGTTCTTTTCTATTCTATTGGCGAGCTGAGGAAGCCCCAGGAGCCCCACCCCCTCTGCTGCCCGCATGTGACGCCTCGATCAACCACCCACCTTCTCTCTCTCTCTCCCTCTCCCTTTCTCACGTCATACGTACATTCATACCGTCGGGGAGTTGCACTTTCTCTCGATCGCCTTCCAGAGACTGAGAGGGTACATCGAAATATATATGTTTATATATATATTATGAATCAATAGGGAGAGAAAAAGACAGACAGACAGACAGACAGAGGAGCGAAATAATTGCGTGCGACGAGAGACCCGGCCATCGATTTCTTATGCCCGTCTCACGCGTTCGTGACGAAAGATTGACGGGTGCTGTTCTCAATGGGGATTAAATAAATCACTAAATGAACAGTGGGTATCTGGAATACGGAGAGAGAGAGAGAGAGAGAGAGGGTGGAGGCCCAGTCTGAGAGAAGCCTAATCCGTGGAGAAGCTGTCGAGCAGCTGTCTCAGAGGAACGGTGAATGATTCTGCATGCCCCTGGGCGTGCATTCAATAATTTATTGCAAGTCCAGCCGCATCACTTGAACCGAGCGTCGAGCACAACCGCTGCATGGCCCAGGAGGTCGGTCACATGCACTGAATCGATGACGATGACGATCACCATGAGCGCGGCCCACAGAGGCGCAGGCGGCGCAAGAGGGCTTACAATATCCCCCCACAGGGCTCCGCTGCCCTTCTCCCCTCCTCCCCCCCGCTACACGGCTCATCGGCAAAGCAGCCGACTGCTGTTGACCGACATACGCCGCCGCCCCTCTCCGCCAGCCGCCGGTGAGAGCGACACACAGACAGGCGCACCGGCCGTCGTCGGACAAACTGACGCTATCAGGGGGGAAAATGGGAAGCGAGGGCATCCCTTCTTGCCCAATCTATTGTCGGATAGGCGGTGGTCAACCTTCCGGAGAAGCCCGCCACGGCAGGGATTGGCGCCGCCCGGGCCTTGGTCTTATCTCCGGCGCGGTGCCGACACCACTGGCGGTGGCGTTTTCGTCCTCGAGAGGCCCCGCGAATGGGACGGCGCGCTCTCCGCCGAGCTCCCGCCCACGTTGACAGCCACGAAGCAGACGCCGCGGCAGAGCGGAGACTGAAAGGTACATGCCTGCGAGGGGGGCTGTAGAGAGCCGTCATCTCCACCCCAGGTAATATATCTGTCCACATAAAATTCCAGTGACGGGGTTACAAACGAGAGCGAGAGAGAGAGAGAGATAGAGAGAGCTGCTGTTTCAATGAATACGCAGAAGGCTTTCACTGTCTCGGACAAGACGGCTACTCCTGGATGGGGTCAAATTCAGAATGACCTACGCGGCCCCAGCCCAGTCGTCGATCCAAAGCTCGTTGACTTTGGGTAAGCGAGCCAGACCAGGACCGGGACCGGGACCGGGCCAGACTCGGTTCTGGCCTCGGCTGGGGCGAATCGGTAGTGATCTTTTAGTCCCACATCGGGAAATAGGAGAAACGCATCCGGGGCTCCCTATAAGTTGAGATCGTCCTGCTTCTGAAGACCATACTTACCTGGACGGGGTCTATGGGTGATCATGAAGGCTCATGGCCTAGGTTGGCGGCCTCCATTGCACTTAGGAGGGGCGCCCGCCTACCATCTCCCCAAGTGGGAGAGTGGACGTCATAATTTGTGCCAGCGGGGGCCTGCGTTCGCGCGGCCCCTACCCAAATCCAATTCAACTGTTCTTCCACGTCGGCTCTTTACTTGCAGACGACTACAATCGTTTACACTAAATCCCCATTTTCACTGCTCCGATTTTTGCGATTTAGGAAACTCAGATGTTAACCGAATTAGGGTTATATATGCATCTGTTTTTCCTAGAAAAGAAAGTCCACGTGGGCGCCACGTCACCTCCGGTCTGTTGTCCATAAAACTCAGAAATTAACAGAGTTGGGTTTATTTGCAAGATCGCCTGTTTTCCCGCCAAAACACTCCTCCCGCGCCTTTTCCTTCCAGCTCCCTATTCTGGCCCTGGTTGGGCATTGCCTGTGGTCGAGTGTAGATCGGAGAGGCGAAGGGCGGTCGAGATGGACGTTCCTCTCGCAGAAGAGCTCGAGTGGCTGGAGAGTGCGTTCCTGCAAGAGGAGTCTGTGGAGGAATTCGAGGAGGAGCTTCCGGTGGCTTCCGGTGCTGGCACTGTAGATGATTGCCTCAACCCTCCATTTCAGTCCCAAGTGAGCAGCCGGAAGCGGCCATCGAGTCTGGAGTCGAAGGCTGCTCCGGAGATTTCGTCCGAGGATAAGAGGCGGAAAAGGAGTGCTGCCAAAGATGATGAAGAAGAAGAGGACATGATCCGTTGTTCGCCCTCGAAGGATCAGTCTGCCTTTATCTCTCCGACTCATGTGGACGCGGCCGCTGATTTCGCCCCCCTCGATGAATTGTCACCCGCAGTCGCCGAGGAGAGGTTCCTTTCGAGGTTTGCATCGGAGATCGATGGCGACTGTATCCCGGTGACTGGGCCCTGTGGGGAGAGGGTGTATGCTAAGATGAGCGCTGGGGCGATGGACTATATGCCGAAGAAACTGGGGATAGAACGATCCGGTTGGTTGAGTTTAGCATTTTTTCCTTCTCTTGAAACAGTTCTTGCGAGTGTCGCGTTTTTCGTGTCTCTGGCCTAAGATTCTCCGTGCTTCTTTTTTCGATTAAATCGATTTCTGAATGAAGAAAAAAAGATATCATGACCAAAGAGTGATTTTCAGGTCGTCACTGGACTGTGGTTCTTCTATATTCTTCCCGAATTCTCGGGCATTGTTAATTGAAATCTAGGTCAATAACAAACTGGATCAAGTTCATTAAGTAAATTCATTGCTAACTATTATCCTCACATCAGATTGAGAAACCATCTCTAATTCGTGGGGTTTTTTACATGGAGACTCAATAAGTACTTTATTTCCTCATAGAAGTTTACCCGTTGTTTTTTTCACGTAACTCGACTAATTACCCGAATTTCACTCGGCTGAGTTGATTTGGTGTGTTGTTCGGATTATTCCTTGGTTAGATATCATCATTAGTTTTATTCTCAACTTCTGGTGAGTTCCAGTAAAAGTTCCCGAAACTGATCAAAGGTAGGCCGTTGTATGTGCGAGTATTGACTATCAAATTAGCCAGAATGAAACATTTTTCTATTTTAGATCTCCATAACTGAGCGTTTTCCATTTGAGAGGATTTTCATGACCTACAATTATTGGCAAATGTTGCTCTGATCCCCTCTCCTTGCCCTTGTTCTCTGGAAACGTATACAATGGACACAGAGAACGACACAATGAATCAGTTATGCAGGAGGAACGAAGTTCATTCATTTTTTTCTTGTTTCGTGAGTGCTAAAGGGACCAATAGTTGACCATATCTCATTCTACCATTGCCAATGGCAAACCATGAGCATTCACTGCAAGTCCAGGTAGGCCAAAACTTTGAAAGAATTATGCTTTGAAATTGACGCCAGCTCCTAAGGTTTCATATTGCAGGCCTCTCATGTGATTAAAAACAATAACACTATAGTAAATAGCTTCATATTCGCTTCTAAAGTTTGAACTCGGCAAAAAAGAGCACAGAGTAATGAAGAACAGAACCTATGGGCCCCCAAAATGGGACGAGTAATTCCTTTCCTAGTTAATCATTCCCAAAGAATTGCAGGCTTACAACCAGCTCAGAATTTCTTTATTTATTTCTTGCAGGACTCCTTTCTGAGCCTATCAATGTTCTAATGGAAAAAGTGGAACAGGAAGCATTACTAAAGGTACACATTTTGTTATGAAAGTGCAAGTACGGAGAAGTATATATGAAAGTACCAGAACGGCATTTATAGTACGTACTAGACAATATGGAGCCTCATAGAGAGAAATTTCATAATTCATTCAAATTAAGACCCTTGAACCCAAATTCAAGATAGGCAGGTATCTGTTGAAGATGTTTTCTTTTCTTTCTATTCTTTCGCCTTCGTTTCAATCAAGGGGAGCTACTTGTAATGATGAAAATAGAGATTGGTCAAAGAGGATAGGGTTGAGAACATCATCATATAAGATAACATATTCTCTGATGACTTATGTTTTCATGTATTACCTATGTTTTTTCTTAGTATATCTTGTACGAAATTAAAGCTTGTAATTTTTTCTTGGAGGAATGGGATCAATTTTGTTGGTCACTTTTCGAGTGTAAATGCATATTGTGGCTAAAAGGATCCGATGGGATGTGTATACTTATATTTCCTTGTCAAAGAGGAAGATTTGGGCCTTGTAACCATTAGTTGTTGTTAAGTCATTGCCTATGGGTCATCATAAGTTCAATGTACTGGTGACAACTGTTGTTTAACGTTACATTTTTTCTTCAGTGGTATAATCGTTCACAAGCTTTACCTCATCGATATCCGTTCTACTAGGTCCTAATAAGGATTTAGTATCTTGCTGTTACCCGCAGCCTATTTTCTTCCCAATTGTAACCAAACATTGTAGCCCAATTTCGCAGAGAGCGCGGGTTGAACTAGATGAAAATATGCCTATCACGGTAACAATTGAGGAGCTCGATTACTATCAACAATTCTTATGAACTATCGGAACAATATTCTGTTTTAAGCTAGAAAAAATTGCTGCCTTAAGCTCGTGTGCTGGTTTTACTTTTCATGGAGGATAATTCCAAGGAATACGTGATATGTTGTTAGGCCAAAGTCTTATCGTTGTTTTCCTACCTTATGATATGAGACTCTGATGACGAATGGTATTTATTCACGTGACTTTAAATTTTTTATCTGTTGATTTTCGTTGGAATTTATTCTTTGATCATGCTTGTTTCGTCCAATCTTTTTTTTGCGCAAATAGAAACTAATGGATTCTTCTGTACTAATTCAATGGTGAAGGCTTTACAAGAAAGTGCCGCATCTTCTGTCGACTCAGTCGAGGTGACAAGTCCAGATAATGAACAACTTTGGGTGGAGAAATACGCTCCCAAGTCATTTACTGAGCTTCTTAGTGACGAACAGACAAATCGTGAGGTCTGTTGGGATCATGCTATTTGGCACGTTACGTTTTATGAACTTTATTATGGAATCCATATCTATTTCTCATGTTAAACAATATTTTTTTCTTCTGTATAGGTACTTCTTTGGCTGAAACAATGGGATTCTTGTGTATTTGGTTCTCATATTCGGGCAACATCAGATGATGTCTTATCGTCTCTGAGAAGACATTGTTCCGTGGTTCAGCATCATAAGGCCTATGGTCATAAGAACGCCTTTGGACAGAAAGCATCCCTAAATAATCAGATCATTAATCAATCAAATACTGAGAATGATGAAAATGGTCGCCTGCAAGGTTCCTCTGAAATGTGGAACAAACTGTCCAAAGCTAATAATGGCACTCCAGAGCAGAAGGTTGACTCTGTAACATGTTTTTTCATTAGTTTAACTCTCATGCCATTACTTTTTCGTTTGAATTTTTTTAGGTCTATCCAACTAATCAATTATTTATTTATTTATTATTTTATTGGCTTATTTTGTAAAACATGGTAAATCTTTAATGTGTATCTGCAATTACGCCTGTTGTACGGTTTTTCATCACTCTTGAAGAGATAGTTGCTTTAATGTGATTTTTTGCTTTTCATTGTACAGAAAAATATTGAAAGTGTTGTTTGTGCCATGCTTAGTGTCTTTTCTATGTTATATTGCTTGGCTATTCAAAATGGTTGGTCTCTGTATGAAAAGGAGTTAATGCGATATATTGGATTAAAGTCCAGTTGAAGCCTCATAGTATTGTATTCTATCACATGTTGTTCCTTATTATAACAAAATTTTACTTTTATGTCCTCACAAGAACAAGATGTCTGCATTTTTTTATATATCTTGTTGTAATTGATTTTGGGAGATAGCTATCATGGCTTTGATGTTGAGGAACTGAAATTCATTCAATGCAATATAGGTTCTTCTTCTTTGTGGACCACCAGGCCTGGGGAAGACAACACTGGCACATGTGGCTGCAAGACACAGTGGATATCGTATTGTGGAGGTTTTCAGAAATATGGACTTCTGTATCTTTTTTTTTCTGCTTGGACGGCTATTTAGTGTGCTTTATATAAATGCTATTCTAAGCGACGGTTTTTATTAGTTGGTGAAGTGAAGAACAGAGAATCAGATGTCGAACGAAATACTTTTTGATCTTTTACCTGGTTGCCGAAATAAGGTAACCAGGATTTGTGATTTCAGCAAATGTCCCTAAGGCAAAGCAATGATGCTTCATAAAATTGTGATGTCTCAATCTTCTTAGTATTGTTCTTTTACATGTAAGGTTTCTTGGCCCAAGACTGCTGTCACAGTTTGCACTCTCATCCTAATTGAATAAAGGCTAGTGATTAGGAAATAATCACATACCGGAAACGTTACACATCTACTAAGCAGATAGTTATGGGGTTTAGGCTGTAGAGGCAACGTAGCCATGCTTAGAGTGTTCAGTATTTATAATTTTTTCGCTGCAAGATTCATGAAAGGTTCTCTGTTGAATTTGCAATGGAGGATTGAAGAAAGGCGAGGCTTTTCTGAGAGATGTATAGAAATAGTCTGTAACCCATATATGGATGTTCAACACAACAAATGGTGCAATAGGGTGAATTCCTCGAGAATGTAGAGTGCTGGTACCTTGAAACAGATTTCCCTAATAGAGGCTAACCGGTTAACCTTTAAAATCTTTCGACTCATCCACGTGGCCTAATTCTCATTGTCTTATACAACTTCTATCTTCTTAAATTCTAGAATGGCACCAGAAAGAGAGAAGAATGACGCGATTATAATGGGAAACTCAATGCTTTTCGCACATCCTCATTCATTAATGTATCTCTTTGGGGTTTGTGTTAAGAAAAACTGGTCTTGGAGATCTTTTAACTGGTTTGCGGTACAGTATTCCAAACTGTAGATTCGGCCTCAATGTTGTTTGAGTTCCCTAGCCTGCTGTTACACTTGGAAGGATCCTATCACAACCTGCAATCACCTTTCTGCATATTGTGCAGACTTACAAGTTTTACATTGAATGCTGTTACGTGTATATTACTGGGTAAAAGCCCATTTTGCCAATGCCCGTGATCTCAAGTTGTGATTACAATTGAACCTGTAAAGCATCTTCGGTTGAGAACGATAGAGAGCTATGATGTTTTGGATAATGCATTGATTGGACTTCATTCCGGTCTCTATTTTTTATGTCTTGTGAACTATTGCAGATAAATGCTAGTGATGATCGTTCATCTTCGACAATCGAGTCAAAAATCATAGATGTCTTGCAGATGAACTCTGTCACGGCTGATACCAGACCTAAATGTTTGGTAAGTTCATTTTCTTTATTTCTATGCTGGTTGTAGGTGTAAGTAAATTGTGGATATCTTACAGGTTATTGATGAAATTGATGGATCACTTGGTGAGGGAAAAGGAGCTGTGGATGTTATCCTAAAAATGGTACACTGCCTTTATCATTCTTCATTGATGGCGGGAAACATTTCATTACAATACTTCCTTTTTGTGAACCGCATTTAAGATCAATAAAAAAGGTTTAGGCATGGTTTAGCAGACAAATTTTATTTTTCTCAATTTTTTGCATCGATGTTGATATTATCCGTGTACTTTTAATTTAGTTTTAACGTGATTTATTAACTTAACTCCCCTTTTACTTCTGGAAAACGTGCCTTATTTATTAACTGAGCCATTATCTTCTGTTTTAATGCTGTTTGAATTTCATGGCGCTACAAGTACGTACTTCATGATTTAAATCATTTTCATTTTTAAAAAAAATGAAATTGATCGTTTGAATGCTAGCTCATATCAAGAAAAATTGGTATTGGTTTTGATTTCTAGTTTCTATTATTTCTGAAAAATCGTTTGTGTGCCTGGCATTTTATTAAATCACCATTTTAAGCAAACATAAGGTCCACTGGATGACAATATACTAACTTGAGGATTGTTCACGTGCTTGCATGCCTGCATGCTTGTGTATACGCATGTGCGTAAGCGCACCTCACCTAACATATTTTATTTTGAAGGGGAATAATATCTACATTTTGATGTTAGTTGAGGGTTTTTTTCTGTTTGGTGTGCGTTGAAGGTTTATATTGGTTGCCCTTTAGAAGCTGCACACTTGATGTGCAGTCTCCCTCGAATGTAATCCTCACAACATCTGCATCATTTCAGTCTCAGATGCTATTTGCGTGTCTACGTAGATACTGTGAACTGTCTTTTGTGTATGTTGAACCATTTATTGCTGTGGATGTCTCATTTATGCAGGCAACTGCTGAAAAGAAACATGTTGGCAGTAAGGATTCCTCGTCTGATGTGGCAACAGGAAAAATTACTTCGAAGAGAAGACAGACTGCAACACTGTCACGACCTGTAAGAATGAGACTTGGGAGTTTACGTCATCCGCTTTGGTTCTGTTTTATTTGTTCTAAACGATAAATCCTATTCAATGAAGGTAATTTGCATATGCAACGACCTATATGCACCCGCTTTAAGGCCACTTCGTCAAATATCAAAGTAAGTCATTTTTACTATTTCCGTTTCTTTTGGAAAACGAGAAACATGGTCGTGGCTGCTATATGATTTGAATGAACTCTGGGTACATGTCACGTTGGAATTGTGACTCTATTCGATTCACTGATTTGGATTTAAAGTTCAAATCGATGGGGAGTATATTGCGATCTGAGTCTTCTTTCTTTGTTGAGATTTCAGAACCTTTGTAAGAGAAGCACTTTCTTATAGACAAGTATTTCCATTCTAACGCGTCTGTGTAAGTTGTGTTCCATCATCTTGACATATCTTATTCGTTCTCTTTATAGGGTTCATATGTTCGTTCAGCCAGCAGTAAGCCGTGTCGTGAACAGGTCACGCAACTAAAGTTTATGACATTTCTGCCAAAAATATTTTACCTTAGGGAGTTTCCTTGATGTTCTATGTTAGCTTCGTTAGACTGCGCTCTCTTTTAAGTTGTTATCGCTACATTATGTTTCTTTCATTCCATCTTATCTTCTAATTTTTTTAATTTTTTTGTGATAGGCTGAAATATATTTGCAAAAAAGAAGGATTTAAGACAAGTTCTATGGCTCTTACTACACTGGCAGAGTACACTGGTATCTCTTTTCTCCAGTGTACCGGGAAATTACCTCTAGAAAGCAGAGAAATTATAATAGAACCTTGGAAAATTAACGTCAACTCTTGCTTCCGCTAACTTCTTGTGCAAATTCGCTGATGCTACTATTATATTTATTATTCAGGTCAAGTTTTGTTTCTCGGTGAAATATCAGGGAATAGCTGAAGCAGTCTAATGGGCACTTTACGTGTCAAACTTTCCATCATTACGATAACATGGATCCTTGGTTCACTCACTTGAATTATAGGAGGGCAGATTTGAAAGGATGAGGAAACGCTCCTAATAGTCCGTTTATGTATACATCGTGCTATTTTCTTACCGGGAAAGATTGTGAACTGATAAAGAGAGTGTTCCAGGTTTAAATACACATCTAAGAGAAAACAGAGGCAGCTGAAATCAAGATTGAATGATCAAAAGAGATTTCTAGAAGGAAAATGCTTAAGAAAGAGGAACTTATGAGTTTATACATATTCGATATTTTTTTTCCTGTGATATACAATTTACATGTCTAATACTTTTTTTGTAAAAACGAGCAGGCATAGCTGCATGTCAGTAGTCATTGAATTGGTTTTCTGAAATTCTTAAATCCCTTCATGAGAACTGTCTGTTCATCTCATACTGGGATCTAATGTCCTTTTTTCTATCAACAGAATGTGATATCCGTTCTTGCCTAAATACGCTACAATTTCTGAACAAGAAGAAGGAAAACCTCAATATTGTAAGCTGTTAATTTGTTTCTCGTTGCTATAGTTTCTGAATGGATTATTCTGTTTGTATTAGTAGCATTTCGTTTTATTCAGTTGGAGGTTTCTTCTCAAGTGGTTGGGCGTAAGGACGTGTCAAGAAGTGCTTTTGATGTATGGAAGGAGGTAATTTTTTTGTTCTTTTCTGATTGTGGACAATACCATTAAAAATTTTGAGATGAAAGAAACAGATCTGTGGACGAAGGTAAAATAGAAATTTAATAAATATTTTTTCTTTCAAATTTATTCATTATAACATATATATATATATATATATATATGTATAAATGTGTGTGTGTGTGTGTTTGTCATAGGATGACATGGTAAACATATTCCTGTCCGACGCTAGATGACGTTTTTATTTTTGGTTTTGAACAAAGTTCTGTCTGTTCAGGTTTTTCAGAAGAAAAAGGCAAAACACGAGAGAAAGTCCGTGAAAGGTTTCGGAGTACATGGGGATTTTAAGTTGCTAGACTCTTTAATATCTAACCGGTAGGATGGAAAGATAGTCAGAGGCTTCCTTTTCCTTGGTGGACTAATGTTCTAAATATTTGACACTAGCTTTTACTTTTCAGTGGTGATTATGAGCTTACTATGGATGGTATTCATGAAAACTTTTTGCAACTCTGCTTTCATGATCCAATTATGCAGAAGACCGTAAGTCTTCATCCATCGATGTCCTAGTTGACTTGTAGTTGTTACCCAAGAAACTGTTAACCTCGTATTTTGTTTCGTGAAGGTCAGGTGTTTAGATGTTCTTGGCATTTCTGACTATCTTTTTCGCTACATCATGCGTGCTCAACAAATGTCGTTACTAGGTTATAATTATTTTTTTCTCACAATTCTTTTACATTTCACGTTATTAAATTGGGCGATTCATGGCTGACACTGCTGTTTTCCAGTTTATCAGCCTTCTATTGCGATTACAATCAACCGTTTGATAGCTCAGGTTGAGAAACCAAATATAGAGTGGCCTAGGTTGTTCCACAGGTACTCTCCGATCGAAACTTAACTCTGGTCATTTATTCTTGGGTCATTGACTTCAACTGCAAGACTCATTCTGTGGTCTTCAGATGCCGTGCGATGCTAATGGAAAAGAAGGATCTTCTGACGTCTTGGCACAGCAGAATTTCACCGTATATCTCTAGGCATCTGTCAAGTGAAGCCTTTGTGGAAGATGTCGTATCTCCATTATTATATATTCTATCTCCAAAAGCTCTCAGACCGGTAATTCTTGGGATCTCTTTCGTTTTTTGTCATCATATGCCGCCCTTCCTGCGCATAACCTCGAAGCACAGTTACATCAATGGACTCTGGATAAATACAACGTCTATCTATTGTCAAATGTAGTTCTTGCCCTAGGTTTATTTTTTAATTTTAATATTTTCCACGCATGTTTAAACTGCTCATTTCCCCTAGGTCAGTTTGTTTGCGCATGCTACAATGATGGTGGAGTAATGCAAGGGGATTAGATGCCCTTGTTCCATGAGGGGAAGATTACCTCTCGGTATAATTTATAAAATAATATCTTCTACTTATCTTCCGATAACTTTGATCTAATTCTTTTTATGTTTTCTTTCTCATCTAATACACCTGCTTATTATAAACTGAACTGCTGTTGGATCATGTCTTATACATCTTACTAGATGAGTTCTCAATCCTTCCTTGTCACTCGTCTGAGGTAGACGATGCATGAAGCACCAATTGTGAAGTATTAGGCTTTACATTTTAGTGAATCCTAAATATTGAAAATTTAGTTTGCAAACCATAGAAAGATGTCCTGACCATGGGAAAATCTGGTGAAATTAAATGTGAAAACGGATCCCTTAAGGGTCTGATGACTCCGCGCTTTGCAATGCTCATGGAATCATAGACAAGTGAGCAATCTCCTACTCTCCATGGGCCTCCCTTCTTTCCTAAAGAGGTCATCAGTTGTGCTTTACTAAACTTGGTTTCAACGACGGGACATGGGCATCGCATGCTGTTCCAGATTCGGTTGACATTTTTTGTCTTTCCTTCTCCTTGTCAACGGGTTGACTGTTTTTCCTCGTCGATCACGAAGCTGACGCCGGTTTAATGATATTATTGCTTATTTTAGGTAGCGCTACACCTGCTTTCAGAGAACGAGAAGGGAGACCTCTTTCAGCTCGTGGATACCATGGTTTCCTACTCCATAACGTACAAGAATTCGAAGCCCGAAGCACCTGCCGTGCCCCAGAAGTACGGATCCTCTTCTGATGCTCCGGCGTTCTCGTTCGATCCCCCGATCGATGAGCTAGTCAACTTCAAGGTATTGCCCTGAAAGAAACGAACCACCCTTCTTGCGCGTGCAGTTCGTCTGCTAATCAGCATTTCTCTTCCTCCCACTGTTCTCCTAGGGCTATCAATCTGGGCACGCCACTCTCTCTTTGGCCATGAAGCAGATCGTGGCGCATGAGGTGAGCCCAGGTCTTGTTATAGCTAGCTAGTTAGCTCCTCTCGCGTTCTTCTTCCTTCCACCTGTCACAGGAAATCGATGGCCATCCGAGTTGGAGCGGAACGTGCGAATCCAATGCAAGAAACCCATCCATTTTTTGGACTTTATTTATTTATTTTTATTGCAGGTGGGGAAGCACAGGATCCTGAGGGGCTCTGCGGGGGCGTTGGTGGGGGAAGCTGGGGATGCTGCTGCTCTTCCAAGTAAATCGTCTTCTCCCGCGGTGCCCGGAGGCGACCAGGGAAGGGGCAAGACTCCCCCGACCCTGGGCCTCAGTAAGACCCCTGCAAATGGTGCCCCGAAGAAGGCCTACAGAGACTCCAACAGGGCACCCCGCCGGCCTGCGAATTTCTTTGACAGGTATATGTATATATAGATGAGAAAGAGAGAGAGAGAGAGAGAGAGAGAGAGAGGGAGTTTTCTGACTGTAATTGCTAAGATTGGCGTGCCCCGCTTCAGGTTTCGCAAGCCGAGCAAGGAATCCGAGACCCGGGGCGATGAGGGGCGGGAACAGGAGGCGGGGAAGAGAGATTCGCGCCGGCGCCCTGTGCTCTTCAAATATAACGAGGTACCTCTTCCTGGTCCCACTTCTTCTTCTACTTCACTACCCGGGTCGACGAAGGCCACCGACCACCCACACCAACGTCGCAGGGTTTCACCAACGCGGTGAAAAGGCCGGTCCGGCTTCGTGAGCTGTTGTAGAGAGACGAGCGCCAGCGGAGGGAGCGGGCGGGGAAGAAGCCTCCTCCATAAGAAGCTCGGCGAGGGCAACAGAGGGCAGCTCCGGATGAGTACCATATGACCGCGGCCACTAGAAAAATGTCTTCTTGGTGTCACAGACAAAAGACAAAATGGTTGATTCCGACCCGAATCCTCACACTTGCTCCAAATCAGTGGGCTCCAATCTCTCTCTCTCTCTCTCCCTCTCTCTCGCTCTCTCTCTCAAAGAAGCCCCCAAATGGTGACGTGGAAGCAAACCTTGACATATGATTTGCCAAGGGAGAACCGATGACATTCGTTCTACAGCCGTGTAGGGGAAATGCGCAAAGGAAATTTGCAATTCGAGCACCTTATGTGATGATACATTCCAGCCGTGTAGGGGAACTGATCTGCACGAACAAAACAAAAAAAGAAAAAAGGGGGGAACCAGGGCCCTGAAACCTTCCTTCGACTGTAGAGCGGGATGTGGCGCAGACATTCAATTCAATACGATTTCCTTGAAAAAACCAAGTGGTCGTTCCCACACGCCCTTCTGGGTTGGGTCAAACAAATGAGCACCGCTTATTAATAATGGCAAGAATTGGAGGTTACATGGCCCAGAGGTACATCATATTTTGAGTCATACTTTGTCTGCATACTCTCTCATAGAAATAATCAGACTTTCCGGAACACCAGACCAGAGGCCAGTTTTCCTCAGACCGGCATGGTGCATTTCTTCTGAGAGTGCCCTAAAAGATGACAGCGGCCACACTGGACGACCCTCTTCGGACGCTTGAAGTTCTCGATCCTCAGAACCTTCTTCTTGGGGCGGCCAGGTGGGCGGCGGGTCTTTGGTGGCCGGATGACCACGTCGAACTTGGCACCTCCGTCCTCTGCTGCTCCTTCGGCCGCGTCATTCCAGAGGCTCTTGTCGGGCACCGGATGTATGGTCTGCGAATACGTTTCAAGATATTTCTCAACGCTGAAACACTCGTTCACGTAGAGGCGCACATCTTCGCCGCTGGAGATCAGCGCAGCTGCAGCGTGCGCACACGGGACGCCGTAAATCTGCCAGCGGCGACACGAGCAGCAGTGGGTCTGTATGTCCACAATGTTCGTCCGCTCGGACGACACAATCTCAAACTCCACTTTATTTGCACGCAGCACTTGATAACAGTGTGAGTCTGCGACGGCTTCGGAGATGAGCTTCTCGGCAGAGGGTACGAGATATGAGGAAGCCCACGACATCCCCAGATTTCGCCGCTCATCGAACCATTTTGTCAACTGGACACGGATGTTCTCCATCATCTGCACGATGGGGAGCTCGTGCCCCTCCAGGGCCCAGTTGTACAACAGCTCCGTGATGCCTAAAGTGAAGTGCCCGTATCTCACCCCGTCAAAATATGCCACGGCCCACAGGCTCGGGGGGAAGCGCTGAAACCACTGCATCACATCAGCCGAAATTTCCAGCATTTCACTCACCCTGGCGTCGAACTCTACAGACGTGAGGGCATAAACAGCATTCCAGAAGATATTAACAAGTTTCGTGTTCTTGAACTCATCTCGGAAGTTCTCACTCACATGACGTAGACAGAAACCGTGGAACGCACTGGGGAAATGCGTCTCAACTGCTTCCACAATACCCTTCGATCTGTCTGATAATATAGTGAGAATCGGCATCTTTTCTGTATTCATTCCAAGAAGTTTGCGCAGTTCTGAAAGAAACCACATCCAGTTGGCTTCAGTCTCAGCGTCAACCACAGCAAATGCCAGAGGGAACAGTGCGTCGTCGGCGTCAACAGCTGATGCACAGAGTAGAGTTCCGAGGTATTTTCCTTTCAGCTGTGCCTTATCAAGCTCCAGGAGAGGCCGACAAGCGTGCAGGAATCCGGATATTGATGCACGATATGAGATAAACAGACGCTGAAAGCACTGTTCTTGCCCGGAAGCATAAACCAATGCAATGCTTCCAGGGTTAGTTTTTCTAATCTGCTCACAATATGCCGGAAGAAGGCGATAACCATCTTCAAACGTGCCATGAACAGCAGCCAGACTACGTTCCTTACCGCGCCAGGCCTGCATATATGAAACAGCAACGCCATGCTGTTCCCGGATATCTTGCAGAATCTCCTTGGGCTTGTACTGGGGGTTATCTCTGAGGCGGGCTTCCACAGACCTGGCAACCCAACCAACCGACGCCTGCTGGTGATGTAGGTTTTGAACTCCTTCACAAGTGTGCTCACCCTGCAATGTCCTTACAGAGAATGTTGGAACACCTGGGCACTTTGCCACGTGAACACGCCAGGGGCATCCTTCCTTTGAACACTTGGCTATGAATCGGCTCCGGTCGGATTTTACTATCCGAAGATCAAAGTGCATAGCAATTGCAATATCCTTGAGTGTTCTTCTGCAAGTTTCTACATCTGGAAACTCTTGCCCAACAGCTAACGTATAGTTTCCGACAGGTAAAGCGCCATCTTGAACAGCTAGAGAGTGGTCCGCCATAACCTAAATATACCAAATGTCTCCACCACTCCGTCTCATTTCACTCAGAGAGTGCAAGTACGCTACTAGCCACGTAGCGAGCTAAAGGAAATCAACCACTAGAACAGCATAACCTGCTATGCAAGAAGCCAGTCTTCGCAAGGCATTCCAAGGCCGCCCGAAACATTCTGCGCGGGTGCATCATGGGAGTAACTCGATGATCTGGGACGGCTGGGCTGGTGATAGGGAAAGCGAGTACGCCCTGTCAGACGTAGAAATACAATGAAAAATCTGAGGAACAAATGCGGGAATTGACTTATATAAAGAGGTCTACGGGAGAAAATACACGAGCTGAATGTTTTGAAAGGATGCTTCAGAGGGGGGACATTGCTTCTAAAAGCATCATCCGACGCCGATCATACTTTTTCAAATATTCCCCAGGTATATACAACAAGATTCAAACGATTGACAACAAAGCCCCTTGATTTTTTATTCTTAAAGGAGGCAAATAAATTACAGAAGAATCACTTTTCTGAACACGTAGCGGCGCCAGCAACGAGGATTTGCTGAAACTAACAGAGAAGGAGACAATCAAAACGGCCGCTGAAACACTGAAGATGAGAACAATAAAAAACCTCCAAAGGGGACTGGAACAACCCTAATAACGTACGTAGGTTTTCCAAGGAGATTTTCTGCCGCAGCACCCCCTGAGGCGCAGAAGTGCTGAATTGTGGCAGAAATGTTCAATCAAGACGAGCTTCTAACACGCCGCTCACTTCGCGCGGGAAGGACGAAGGAGGAACGATCAAAACAAGAGGTCCGAGAAAAAGAAAAATAAGTTTCCGTCGAGACGCAGGAAACAGACACTGCACCCCTCCAGAACGGCTCTTCCAACAACAATCGAGGACGAGGACGAGGACCATGCTCACACCAATAACAGAATACAAGCAAAAAACCCTGAAACACTGTACTAACCGGAAGCAGGGCGAGTGAGGACGGAACAACGGATCTTGCTTCAGGGCAAGCGCCCGAGCGATCCTCAACCTGGAGGAGAATGCAGACGCCAAGTATTCCCCTCGATGGATTCTCTCTCTGCCCCTTCTTTCCCCTTCCTCCGCCTTCCCCTCCTGGCAACACCCGTAGATCGATCCTGAAACCCTCGCCCTCTTGGGGGCAACCCAAACCCAGAAGCGCGGAGATTTACGAATTTATAAAAAGCAAACCCGATAAAGAGGAGATGCTCCTCTGCCAGGTGGCCCCAACGGCTCTGATCTCCTCAAGATAGAAGACGTAAATACCCCTAAACACGACTCTATTTACTTTCTATCCCCCCCCTCCCAACCGGTGTCTCTCATGCTCGCTCCCGGACGTGTCAGAAGCTGACTGGACCCCAGGAAACGTCACCCGTGCGGAGACCCATCGGGGGACGACCTCCATGAGATCCGTCCGAACGCCCAAAGTGCGGATTTGCCCATAAATGTCAACCGCTTGCACGTGACGGATTGATCAATCTCCTACTACCGAGGCCTCTAAAGGCTTTGTTTGACGTCGGGTGGAAAGCTTCCGGAGCCGCTGACTCTGACTCACCCGCCGCCATTAAGATAAGATATCGATTGACTCGCAAGCCTAACCAAAAAAATGTTCAAAAAGTGATGCAATTCCGGTGGTCAAAATTGAGACGAGCTTCATTCCTCCATCCGGACGGCCGCCGCCTCCCCACCTTCATCGTCCTCCTCGCTCCCAGGGCCCGCCTGCTTGCCGAAGAAGTCAACCTTGAAGTCGTAGTCGGCGTCCATCTCCGTTGACTTGCGGGCTTTCCGGGTTCTCTTCTTCTCCGCTCGCCGCAAGCGCGGGTCCAGTATGCCTTCGGCACTGTAAAGCTTGTCGTTTTGTCTCCCCGTTTTGACGGCGGGCTTCTTCTCCCCGGCCTGGGTTCCTTCTCCTTCCTCTTCCTCTTCTGCTTTTCCCACCTCGCCCTGGGGGGACCACCAACACAGATAGATACAGAAATGACGCCCCATTAGACAGAAGCCGAGGAGGCGTATTTCTGTCACAGAGATCTAAAGAAGAAGAAGAGGATATGAGAGAGGATCCCACCTCCTGCAGCATCATGCTGTCGTCGAGAGTCAACGGGGACCCAGGTGGGACCTCCATATGCTTGAAGTCCTCCGCCAAGGCAAGGCTTCCGATGACCGAAGACTCCGCCTTGTAGACCTCGTCAACGTCGAATTCCTTGCTAAATTCCGCCACGATCGACACCTCCCCCACGTTGTCCCTCGCCGGCGGCAGCGTGTAGTAGTGGATCTTCCCTGCGAAGAGGTGGGCATTGACAGCCAGTCTCAGTATCAGAAGACCCCTACAGCCGACTGAATTGACCCTCTCACTGGAGGCGGAGGAGCACGGTTAACCCACCCTCGTTCCAATCGTGCAAGACGATCCTCGCGGCGGCCTCCGTGTCCAGAATGCCGCCCTTCTTCAGCTTGCCCCGCAGACCGGCCACCTTCTGGAGGAAATCATCGACCGAGCTGAACTTGGGGAGCTTGTAGAGAGACATCAGCCTTTCGGCGGGGCAGAGCCTAAGAATCTCCTTCACTGGAAATAGAAGAAGAAAAGTCAACGCCCCCACGACCCCACGCCCCCACGGAAAAAGCAGTGAGTTAACGGACGGCCAGCAATACAACGACTGGAGGTAAGCCAAAAGAAGGTGCCGTAGAGGGAGGTGATGGATTTACCCGGAGCTATGGGATCGTCCAGCTTCTCTATTCTTTTGCAGTTGCGAAGAACCATGGAGGCATCGCTCCCTCCCGACCTGAGCATCACCACTCCAGGGCAGTCCAATAGTTTGACTTTCTTATCCAACTGGACTTCTTGCATTGACTTCGTCAGCCCAGGGGTGGCGCCGGCGTTGACAACGTGCGATCTTTTCAGGCTGTTGATCAGACTACTTTTACCGACATTGGGAAGCCCCACGATTCCCACAGTGATAGACAGTTTTAGCTGCAAAAAACAGATTAGAAGATAGGATCCCATGGCCCGTAATATTTTCACAGAAATAAAGCAGACGAAGACGAATATGAAAGCATATATCATAGCAAAAAACACTCATATACCACCTCTGATCACGAGGATAACCAGCGAAATTAGCTTGAATCACCATGATTTGACTTCTCAATGTGCCTATCATTCTCTCATTTCTCCCATTAAAAAAAACTGAAAATAAGCAGAAAATGCTTGGCGAATGAGTTCCCTGAGTAAGTGAGAAAAATAATCTCATCGCAATTTAATCGCCACGACCTCTAATTTCGACAGACGTTCAGCTGACTAGCTAGCTAATCTGAAGGAGAGACCATTAACCTCAGGAAAAAACGTAGCGGGAAGGGAGAGAATCAAAAGGTAAAATGCATAGTGGAAGAACACACTCAACAGTGACGGGACCCGAAAGATGGTGAAGAAAAGCATAAAAATACCAGCTACATCTGCAAGTAAATGCTCTTCCGAAAAATACTCTATTTGATCAACACATTGTCTAGCTATATGCTTTTATCAGCCTATTGCCATTCACTGAAAAGTCAACAAGTGGGAACCAGAATGAACTTCGATGGTGAGAATATGAAATCGGCATACCTCATGGCTCCTGGAATAATTCTTGAGTAATTTTATAAGGGTTTCGGCCCCAAGACAGTCGCTTGTCTGTGGTGTATTGATCTGTTTAGAAGCCTTTGAGGAAGATTTCCATCCCAAATTGGACCGCTGCTCCTGTGTGCTGCACTTGAAGGCCACCGTAGGCAACTCCTCTCTGAAATATTTGAGCCACTTCTGCACAGCTTCCCGGGGGACAAGATCTAAAAATACAGAATCAATTTGTACATTAGCAAAGTAAACCATCTCAGCAACAAGCCAAACGAATATTCTCACCGAAAAAAAATTCATTTAAAAGTGTTGATATGTATATCTTCTATTGAAATATCACAGTACCGAGAGAATTGGACAAAGTCAGCGTTAATTGATCGAGACTGAATATAGGGAATCAAATATTGCATATCCGGAATGCTTTTCCGCGGGAGTAAGATGAAGAATAAAGATTAATCGGATGAATAGTTTACCTATTTTATTAAGAAGCAAAACGATGCGCTTGTTTGGATCCGACTTCAGCACCATCTTTTCCATATCAACACAACGAGTACCAAGAGGATCTCGGGCATCAAGGACCTCCAAGATGACATCTGACGCCTCAATAACTTTTACAAGTTCTTTGAAGAAAGATCTTTCTGAGTGATCTGAAAATAATACAATAATTCAATATAGATCTACAGAAATTAAGCCTCTTAACATGAAATGTATAATTAAAAAATGCAAAAAAAAAAAAGAAACAGACAAATAGTTGATAATTAATAAAACGCCTACCATGGTTTTTGTTGCTTGCTACAGCTTGTGGCCCGTTTTTATCCACGGAATCTTCATCAGTTAGCATATCAGCCGACTCCTGAGTATCATCATCCTTCAGAAGTCCTAGTTTTCTATTTTGAGCCTGCGGACGAAACACAATGAGTTTCAATGACCGTCATCAACATATCTCAGACAACCAGGCACCATTCGGACCACAATATCACTGGTTTGAATACGTTTGGCTCGGACACCCAGCCAAATGAAACATAATGCGAAATAAGGATTAACCAAAACAGGATAATAGTCCAAAATAAAATAAAATAATTCGATCAAGTGTTTTGTTCAGCACGGTCAGAGGGCATTAAACAAAAATAAAATAATAGACCACTGCAAAGTTTGAATTGCAAATTCTGGTCGTTTAAAACAAGAATCCTGCTTAAAGAATGATTTAATCATAAACTTTTGCTAATATGAGGCACAACAAAAGGTTACTGTTTTTAAAAACAATCACAAAATTTGCTTCTAACTTGGTAAAAGACGGTTGAAATAGAGCAAGAAAGTGCCACTAATTTTACCAAAGACACAGGGGAGTAACCAAATTATAAGGAAGTGCGCACCCTCTCTTTTCTAGCTGCCTTCTTTTGCTCCAAGTCCTCCAGGGCACGAGCTCTACGAACCTCGAGAGCTTTGAGTTCCTGCTCCTTGAAAGGCCAGTCATTAGGAATACCTGGGTCCTTCTCAACCTTCTGTTTCCGGTTCAAACCAAGCTTCTTCGCCTCCTTGGCCTTCTTCTTGTGGTGCTCTTTCACCTTCTTTATAATCTTGTACTTCTTCCGCAGAGTAACTCTCTTGCTCTTACTCTCTGCCATACCCGTGCATCGTGCCAGGATGAGAACCGACCCGGAAGTTAAATAAAAACGAGGAACTGAACTGCGGAATTGGATGACTCACTCTTGCTTTTCTTCACCATTTTCGCGGAATGTAGGAATACGCCCTTCGCCTAAGGAGTCACACTCAATGATCTGGGAAAGCTGGACTGGTGGTAGAGAAAGCGCGTAAAACTTGTCACAAGTGGGACGTAAGAGACAGTGAAAAATCCAGTGAACAAAAAAGGGAAGAACTTATTCAAAAAGGTCTACGGGAGAAGATACACGAGTTTACTGCTTTGAAGGGATGCTTCCGAGAGGGGAGCTGCTTCCAAATGCATCCGAGGCTGATTTCAAATATTCAAACGATTGACTACAAGGCCGCGTAATTTATTCCTCTTGAGGGAGGCAAAGGAAGTACAGAGGAAACCCTTTTCCGCACACGAAGCGGCACTGGCAGCGACAACTCCGAACAGGATTTGCTGAAACTAACAGAGTAGAGACTTTCAAATGCAGATGCGCATTCGTAAAAACCTCCAAAGAGGACTGGAACTACCCTAATGACGTAGGTAGGTTTTCCAAGGAGCTTTTCTGCCGCAGGACCCCTTGAGGCGCAGGAGTGCTGAATTGTGGCAGAAATTTCAATCAAGACGAGCTTCTAATACGCCACTCATTTCGCATGGGAAGTACGAAGGAGGAACAATCAAAGCAAGAGGTCCCCAAAAAAAAAGATGTTTCCCTCCAGACGCAGGAGACAGACACTGCAACCCCTCCAGAACCGCTCTTCCACCCACAATCGAGGACGAGGACCGTACTCACACCAATAACAGAATACAAGCAAAAATCCCTGAAATAGTGGCACTGTACTAACCGGATGCAGGGCGAGCGAGGGCGGCACAACGGACCTTGGTCCAAGGCAAGCGCCCGAGCAATCAACAACCTGGAGTCAACCCGGAACGCAGAAGCCCACGGATTAAGTCCAGACCTACTCCACTTCGTGAAAGGCAAATGTCCACGACGAGCGGCCCCCGACGATCGAGGAGGCGGCAGCAGCCCGCAGGTCCCCTACCGCCGCACAACGTCTTAAACCCTAGACCGTCTCTCTTACCCTCCTCCCCCAAGCTTTTTCGGATCCGCTATCGTGGTTCGGATACGAAACGCTAGCAGGATGTTGACGGGAATCCGTTGCACTGGCGAAACAACGGACCGAATCCCTCCCTCCCTCCTCTCTCTCCCTCTCTCTCTCTCTCTCTCTCTCTCTCTCTCTCTCTCTGCGCTGCAGATGGGCAGCACCGTCGTCCGTCGCCCACCAGTAATCCGCCGCCGCCGTCGATCGCCGCCGGCCATCCCCTCCGCCCTTTCCGCCGCCGCTCGATCGGCCTGTTCGTGAACCCGGATCCGCCCGACCCGGACGGCCCATTTCCCCCGGTCCAAACCTGCTTGACCGTCTGGTCGGAGTCAGCCCATTCGCCGGTCCGAGCCTCTCCAGATCAGCCTGGCCAAAGCCAGTTTCAAACCACAAGTCAATCAGTCAACAGTCAACCCCATAGTCAATGGTTAGGAGTATAGAGAAAGACTGAGACATTAAAGACGCCGGCTTTCTCTTATACATTTGTTTCTGTCGAAGGTTTGAGAAGAAGACGGAGGGGGATGTACAGCTGCTGTAACGGGGACTGGTGGAGGCCATGCTCGGGTTCTCCTTCAGGGTTTTCTCCTGCTCAGCGCCTGGTTTTCTCCGGCGAAAGCTCCGGCGGACGCGCGGTTAGGCGACGGCCTTCCCTCCGCAGACGTCGCAGACGGTGTAGCCGCGGCCCTCGCAGTAGGGGCACTTGGCTCCCTCGTCGACCCACTCGAGAAACTGCAAATCGGGCGGGCGAAGAGAGCTCAGACCTCTGTCTCTGAGTGATAGTGAGAGAGAGAGAGTGTGTGTGTGTGTGAGAGAGAGAGAGACCTGCGGTTCGATGTTGGGCTCACCCGTGCCGTCGCATTCTGCAGCAGAAAGAGAGTCAGAAATCAAGCGCCCGACCCAGAGGACAACATGAGCTTCGATTGAAGAATGCATTACCCGTGCACATCAGGCGGCCCTCTCCCCGGCAGGTGAGACACCTGGTAGAAGAAGGCGACGTCGTCGTCCCCTTGTTCCCGATGGGCCTGTTCCTGTCCGCCAGCCTCGACGGCTCCTCCCACCGGTTCTCCCCGAGGAGGAAGACTCTGTGTCCAGACACCTGCACATCCGTCATGTCCTCGTCCATGTCGACCTCCTTCTTCTGGATCTCCGCAAACCCCGCCAGGGAGGAGACCGCTGCTCCGTTTCCGCCGCCCTGGCGACGAGAGAAGTAACGCGGCAGCAAATACCTCAGAAAATAACGATCCAACGATGCGAGATGGGCACTGGGTTCTCACAAAGAAAATACTACCCAGAAACAGAGTTTTTTTAAAACATATATTTTTAGTCTTAATCTCGGAGGCCGTATCTCCCCCGCCACCATTTTCGCTTACCTCCACCGCCTTGCCCGTTCCTGGATCGTCAAACAGCCTCTCTAGCAGTTCCGGGCTCATGATCCCATTCTCGATGGCTCCCAAGGAGGCCTTCAAGACATACGCAGGAAACCCGGCGGGTCAACGGATGAATAAGAGAAATGGAATCGAAGATCTCGGCCGCACGCTTCTTCTTACTGTTTCTCAGAGGAATTAAGGCAGACAGTCGGATCGAGCACTCACTTGCCATGTTTTCACAGCTCGCTCGGTCCCACTCGAGAAAGTTTCGAACTCCATGTCCTCCTCACCTGAGTAGAACCCCAGCATCTGGAGCGCTTCCTGCCAAAACAACGCTTATTCTCTTCATCGGTGGTAGCTGACAAGAACAGGCAAAAAAGAGAAGCTCCAAGATCCAGATGAAGGGACGCCTCCGACTCTCGACCACATCATCTATATCCTGGTTGGGTCTCTGAAATCGAGCCAAACCGGACGTCCAAAGCGAGATCCATCCACCCATCCACCCTCTCTGGGTTATTTTGTCCTCGAAAAAGAAAAATCCGAGATCTAGACGAGAGATAAATCGCGAGTTGTCTTGGTTTGATATCGGAAACAAACAATGCCATGCAATCGGGGGTAATATCTGATGGAAAGCTTTATTTTTTCTGCAATCAAATATGATGATTGATGAGCGAAAAAGATTGAGAGCTTATTGAATGCGAGATTCCGATGGGAAAGAGCGGAATCTCTCTGGCTCGCAGTCCAGTCGGCAGACTGTTTCCAACTTCAAGGGGCGGGATGCAAGAAAGGAGAAGCGTGGTTCGGCGCAAACCTGCATTGCTCGGACGTCATTTCCTTCGGCGCCCACCCTCAGCATCCTCCTTTTCTTGTCCTCCTCGCCATCCCCTTTGGGCCTCTTCTGCACGGCGACTCCCTCCGATACGGTAATCTCCTCGAGGATCATCTCCTTAACGTCGGCCTCCTCCGCCAGGGCAGGGGGGACCCTGGGTCCGCCTTCCGCCGCCGCCGCCGCCGCCGCCACGCGCTCCTTCATCGCTCGCAGCAACGTCTCGAGGCTCGCGGCGGCGTCGGAGACCGCCAATTGGGGGGGACCCTCCCTCTCCAGCTCCTCGATTCGAAGCTTTAGGGCGGCGATGTCGCGCAGGAGGGCCTCCCGCTCGGAATTCCACCGGGACTCCTCCCGTAGCCACCGCTGCTCTTCCCGGAGCCACCGTTGCTCCTCCCGAAGCCACCTCGCCTCCTCCCTCTCCCACGCTGAGGACTGTCCGGAGGAGGAAGGAGGCCCCTGCGAGGAGGCCCGAACAAGGAGAGGGCATCGGGAAGCCCATCCAAGGCGAGTACGGCGAAAAGGGTCTCTCCGGGAAGGAGAGTAAACCAAGGCAGGCTCCGGGAGGACGACGTGAGGCCTCTGCAGACGCAGAGGGAGAAGCGAAGTAGCCATGGGAGAAGAACAGGAAGGGGAGAGAGAGAGGAGGGTGGGGGGGGGTTGAAGACGGAGAGGCACTTCGACGGATTGGCCCCGGTGCGATGATTCCTTGGAACAATTTAGTTAAACCACACCCCATGACGGGTCGATCTTCTGAGTTCCGGCATGGTACTAGTGAAGCCTTCACTAACTAGTGAAGCCTTCACCTAGTTAGTGAAGGTTGCGTGGTCAACGTATAATCGTCTCCTCCTAACGATTGATAGCTAGTACGATGTGGGGGAATTTAAACATATCGAAATAAGTCGTTCTTCTCAGTCAGATAACATTTAATAATAGAAAAGTAGTTGGCCTTTCTCATTAATCTTGCATGTTTCAAAATAATTAATTATTGGGCCTTAAGAGGCTTTACACAATAATCATATATATCATCGACATTAAAGATTGAAAGATGTTGCTTTGCATAATGGCTAACAGTTCTTTGACCCAAGCTTATAAAAACTCTCTCTCTCTCTCTCTCTCTCTCTCTCTCTCTCTCTCTCTCTCTCTCTCTCTCTCTCGTATATACACTGTATATTGATGCCTTGTGGACTAAAAGTAATGTTTCACACTTTCATGAATTGCATTATAGGAGAATTAGTACTAGTTTCTAGAATAATTAGTAGAGGTAGCAAATCTAAAAGAAGTCCTAGAGAAAAATAGTAATAATTGAAAATAGAGATTGATCTATAGAGTAATTTACCATATGATAGGATGCAAATTTTCATTCTTGTTGAAAACCAAAATTGTTGTTGATTGGAGGATAAATTAATTAATGTTTCTAAATTGTTGTTGATTCATCTCTTAAAATATAAATGATAAAACTGTTGTTAATTGGAGGGTAATTAATGTTTCTAAATTTCAAATATAAATTAAATCTCTTTCAAATAGTATGTTAGAAATAAGAGAATTTTTTTTTTATCTTGATCATAACTAATATATTTGTGGAACTCCAAGCAAGGAAAACATTTATTTAGAAAAAAAAATTAACTACCAACATCTTATCATTTTCTACCTTATAAATAATAAAGTACATCACCGTAGAGAAATAATCAAAGACTTTGTATCTGGTAACTCAAAAAAAATAAAAATCTAGATATATATACACTTACTATTGGATTACATATGGCCATGGCACAAAGAGAGTTGGTAAATTAGTAATGGTTTAATTCCTATTTTTTATTAGCAGAATTGTTATCCCTTTTTTTGGTTCTTCAGATTTATATAGGAAGTGACCCTATTTTTAGGGTTGACCTCAATCACTAGACTTGCTCCACTAAATACACAATGAATTAAGGGGTTCCACTAATTATCTAGATTGGAGACTAATTAAAGTCTTGTTGATTAGTGTTTGTACCACATTTTTATTGCAATCTAGTGATGTGCTCTTTGAAGGAGATGAATAAGGCAAGTAAGCTAAAAATCACTAGAGACTTGGGTTCCATAATTTGAATAAAATACCAATTAATCTACCCCTCCTCCTCCTCCTCCTCCTTCCTCTTGGTTCCTCTTGCATCCTCCTTAAAATCAATAGTCTCTGGGTTGCATCAACTCACATTAGCTTCCATAATATTTTGATATCTCGAGCAAATACAAAGTGTTTATCAAATACTTATTATGGGGAGTTGACATGAAGTTATTCCTTCGAAAACCCTCGTGAGTCTTGTCAACTATGTTTCATTGTTAAGAGTTGACGTTACATCAATCCTTGTTTTATTTATCTAAAGCCTTTAATGAGCAACGTGGAAGATTACATGCCTTAACTAAACGTAGTATTATTCAATCAAATGAAACTCAAAGAAATATCATGAATCCTGGCCTTGCAGTAGCATTAAAAAAGGAAGGTGGATTGTATACACGGGTGACATAAGTATAGCAATCAAAGGATCTGTAGGGTTGCCTATAGGAGACACAATTACTTGATCTAGAGAGAGAGAGAGAGAGAGAGAGAGAGAGAGAGAGAGAGAGAGACTCATCAATTAGCCATACAAACGGCGTACTTAACGCTCAATCTGGCAGCAGTCTGAATGACTCTTGAATGGAGCCCTTCGTCGAAATGAAAGAACTCTTAATCCTCCGGTAATCTTGATGGAGCTCAAGAGAAGAGAGCCCCGTAATTCCTCGGGGCCGCCACTCTCTGCTGGTTAAAATGACGTACCCTTTCGTCCTCAGGCGCCCCGGCGGCTGTGGATAGCGCCTTCCTCTTCCTGTGCTCCGGTTTGTGGCGCAGAGACGATGCGAATGGTAGGAGGAGGGGGTAGGCGTGGCCACCTGGTTCTCCACAAGCTAACCAAGATCAGGGTTTCAGAATCGACGGTGACCTCTCCAAACAAAGCACAACTCCAGCTTCCATTGGAGCTCAAATCCAAAGAAACCTCACCTGAATTCTTCAGTCTAACCCGTCAAAGCCATTTTCCAACTTCTGGGTCTCTACGGTTTTAGTGGCATGGCAATTGCTGCTCGCTTTCTTGGGTTTGGCTTTCTTGCCGCTCATCCTCTGCTTCGTTTCGTCGGCGTCGACCCAGGTGTAGTCTGATGGAATGCGGAATGGGTCGACTTCATCCTTCCAGCTTCGATCTCTGCCATCTTCACTAGACTGCCCACCGTGGCTTCCTCCAATCCAAGAGTACCACGAACTGGAGGTCCCCGCTTCGCTGGTTCTGCACTCTGACGAATCGGCGGGGCTGGATTCTGGGGTAAGAAGCTCGCTCCTTGGTTGGAGTTGCTCAAATTTTGTGAAGGTCACTACGACCCGAATAGTTGGGACGATAGGGATGGCAACCTGGAGTAAGCCGGCATGGCATGCATTGGAGGGTGAGAAAACAGTCTGCCAGCGCTTCACGGAACCCATTGATGATGCCAGTGATGGCGTGAGAAGAGAAAATCAAATGGAGGTTTATGACGTCCGATATATTCAATAGATTGAGAACAAAATTGCGATTTATATTCGTTAAAATGGAGTGGATAAAGACCGGGGGATGTACATTATCTGGTCTACGAACACAATTCCCACAGTAACTCCACAAGAACTCTTGTAATCCATACTAACCACACAAACCCATCTAAAATCATGCACGGTTCTCTCCTCCTCGTCATCAAAGAAAAGGCCATCCCTCTGTTTTAACCTTCTGATCATCTGATTCCTCGTGAATTTCACCATGGTTTGAAGGATTGCATGAAAGAAAAGCAGAAGCGCCCTCCCACTCTAGAAGACCTTCTACCTATCCAAAACATGGCCATCCAGCCATTTCATCGAATAATCTCGGAGTCTCCCCTCCCCACGTCTCCGTCTCCGGGGGAGAGCCTGGAGACGAATAATTTCGCTTCCCTGGATTCTTGTTCTTCGGTGAGATTTTTATTTCATCACTTACACCAGAAAATTCCCCGACCCAAATTCCAAAACCAGTGAACAGAGTACCACATCCAACGCCAGTGATGCCGAGACAATCATAATCTTAATGCCCCCTCGCTCCCCTTTACCGTTCCACGCTCCATCCGACATAGCCTCGACCCATAAGCTATTTGACTTTAGTCATGATCGGGTCAGTCGTGTCTAAATTTAGTCAACCGTTCGAACTAACCAGCTAAGTATTGCGGATTATTTCTCTTCCTCAGAAAAAAAAAAAACGGAGTTGTGCTTGATAAACGATCATAAAGCAAGGTTGAACAGAAGGAGGATGTTGAGATGGCAAAACAGGTAAAGAAAGGAGAGTCTGAAAGAAATCTTGTGAGCGGTTGGTTGAAATACCTTCACCGGAAACGTTCCTTGAGGTAGCTTAGTAGTCAGAAGCTCCCTGAGCCTCCTTATAGCCTTCACCTTGTTTGCCAGTACATCGAGCAAAGGCAGCAGCTCCTCTGTTTGAAGTGGGAAATCTGGTGTCAGCCACAGAGATGGCCTCAGGCCCTTCTTGTATTCACTCTCGTGCTTGTAAGGGTCGTCTGGAGATGCGCTCTTCTTCTTCTTCTTCTTCTCCTTCTCCTTCTCCTTCTTCTTCTTCGTCATCATCATCATCTTCTTCTTCGTCTTCTGCGTGTTAGCTTTCTCTGTATCCGACTCTACCATTTCAAGCTTCTCGCCGCCATTCTCTAGCGACAACTTCGATGTTCTCGCGTCATCAAGTTCATCCGCTCTGTTTTTCGGTGCCTTCTTGCAGCTCCAAGAAAACCAGCTCCTCCTCTCCTCAGAGACCCCACTAGATTCACAGTTATGATTGTCGAAGCCGAAGGCGCCGGCGTCGCCGCCACAAGTCCCATGATCCTCGTTCTCGTCGGCATCCTCCAAGTCCTCCGCCTTGAGGGCAGAATCCAGCTGCTTCCTCTCTTCCGTTGTCAAGATATCATCCAATCCATCATACGACGTCATCTCCTCGTCAGTGGCTGCCGCAATCAGCTCCTCCTCCGTCGGCGCACCAGGAACCTTTCTCGACTTGACGCTCATCACCACACGAAGCATGTCGTACACCTTGGCCTTCCACGGCCCGACCATCTCCGTCCTCTCCTGCCGCCGCCAGTTCAGATGGGGGACGAGCTCCGCCTGCGTGACGTCGATCCCAGGCCGGTACATGTTGGTCTGAAACATGGAAGCGATCTCCTGGGCCACCTCCATCTCCGTAGGCTGGGCCCCAGCTCCTCGCAGAGTATCGGTGATCTCCTTCTCCCTGTGAGCGAGCAAGAGCAGGGAGCCAGTGGCAGCAGCCGATGGACGATCCCAACCATCCTCCGACGGCAGGCCCTCGCCGAAGAACAAGAACGTCTGGTCCGATCTCTGGATGCAGAATCCGTCAAACCCAGCGAGAGTCGTGTCCGCGCGGACGTTCGAACCTTGCTTCCATATCCGGTACGTGTCGGAGGGAGCAATCCGACCGATGAACGGGATGACGGAGCTCTCGAAGTGGAACGAGATCTCCATGTAGAAATCCCGGATCGCGGCGACGGAGGAGACGATCAGAGGGAGCCGCCTGCACCACTTGGCCCAAGAGAGGGGATGGCAGTGCCTGGCGATGATCCTCGCTATGGCGTCCTCGCCAGTGCAAACTGCCTCCTGGAAGGCGGACCACCCGCGCTCGTTCTGCAGCGTCCAGTCGGCGCCGGCGGACATGAGGATCTCCGCCGATACAGGGTCTCTCAGGCGGACGGTGAGGTGGAGAGGGGTCTCCCGGCCGGGGACATCTCGCCGGTCGATGGCTGCAGAGACGACGTCCGCTGTGTGCTCAGCCGCTATGGACTCCTCTCTGGTGGCGACCTCTCCAGCTTGCGGGAGGCGCGGAAGAGCGGCGACGATACGCCGGAGGGAGGCGTGGTCTCTGCCGGCGACGGCCAGGTGTGCGGGGCTGTGGGCGTACCGGGAAAGATCCTCCATTTCCAGATTCGCCGGTGCTCCGCCGCCCTCTTCTCTTCGCCCTGTGAGCGACCGACCGAGTTCAGGGAAACAGGAATCGAACCTCCTCTTTTCCTGTGCAGTTCTCCATATCCATATTCGATCGCTTGAAGCACCTAGCTACGATGGTGCAGGCGAATGCGGGTCGGAACTTCCCTGAAGGAAGCTTCTTCTTCCTCCTCCTCCTGCTCTCACCCACCAGGCGGCGGCGGATCATCCAAAGCTTGGTGCAGGAAGAAGCATGCCTTCAAGTCAACGGCCACCACCGTCCTACCATCCTCCGAGTTAAAGGCAGCCGGAAAATCCTCGCCTCCACGCAGAGGGGTAGGGCTGGGAATGACGAGTCAACGGCGACCAATGGCAGCCGGCTGACAGCAGACAAATCAGTGTCCCAGTGAATGCCGTTGACCGTCTCCAACCGAATGTCACGCGCAAGCCCGTGCAGTTTCCACGAAAGATTAGTCGAGCGTTTAAACCGGTAATTAATTTTCGGCCACAATTTCCGCTGACCCCCGGCGTCCCCTCCGCCGCACCACGACCAGACGTCGGACAGCGTCTGCGAGAGGAACCCGAAATATTAATAGAAATAAATAAAATAAAAAAGTCCAGGTGTCACGATGTATTTGCTAGGGCATCTGGGAAACGGGGGACATTTTTCTGGGTATAACTGAAATTTGGACTTGACAATGCGGACGTTGGGCCGCTTGCTCCAACGGCTATATTCCATTCGAATTCACTCCCTGGGCCTTGGTTCTCTCCCGAGCCCACCACCCCCACCTCCCTCTGTTCTTCTGGTTCTAACACCCTCTCTCTCTCTCTCTCTCTCCCCCCACCCAGAATTCAAAGAAGCCGACTTTCCTCAAATTCGCAGCGAGAAATCCGAGGAGGAGGAGGGGGGTTCCCGTTTCCTCGCTCGCAGATGGCGCCGACGCCGTCGTGCCGGCCGTCTAAGGAGCAGATGACGCCGACGAGGACCCCGCAAGCCAAGCACCGCCTACACTTCTCCGGCATGAAGAACCCCCACGTCGCCGTGACGCCGAGCCCGCTCGCCACCGGCAGGGAAAATGGCGCCGTCCCCGCAGAGCATCCCGTGGAGGTCGTCGGCCGCATCCGCGATCATCCCGACCGGAGCGGTGGGGAGAAGAAGCTATTCCCTTCCCCGCTGGAGATCTCGCCGGAGGGAACTCTGGTGCGGGTGCGCACCGAAATGGGCCACCGCGATTTCAGCCTTGACGGCGTCTCCGTCGCCGGCGAAGGCGAGGGCCTCGAAGGGTTCTACAAGCGGTTCGTGGAGTCGAGGATCGCCAGCGTGAAGTCGGGCGGCAAGTGCACTATCATGATGTACGGGCCGACGGGGTCGGGGAAGAGCCACACCATGTTCGGATGCATCAACCAGCCAGGGATCGTCTACAGAGCCCTGAGGGATATCCTGCGGCGGAAGGAGGACTGCGACGACGGCGGAGGGATCTTCGTCCAGGTCGCCGTCCTGGAAATATACAACGAGGAGATCTACGATCTTCTCCCTGGGACCAATGGAGCCGGGCCCAATGCCGGGCTCCCTAAGGGAAGCACGCCCAAGGTGAGCGCCATATTCGAGTTTGGAGGGCTCTTTAGAAGGGCTGAATTAGGAAATTTACTTTTTTTCTGATCTTCCAATGCGGGCAGGTGAGGTTGGAGGTGATGGCGAAGAGGGCGAAGAACGCTTCATTCATCTGCGGGAATGAGGCTGAAAAGATATCCAGAGAAGTCGCCAAAGTGGAGAAGAGGAGGATCGTGAGGAGCACGCTCTGCAACGAGAGGAGCTCCAGGAGCCATTGCCTGGTGGGCTCCTCCCCCTCCGGCCCCACCTCCTGATCCTAGCTTAATACCCCTCCCTTCTCTGCTCGCAGAATCTTCTCGTCGAATCCTCACCTTATTTGGGTTCTGACAGATAATCTTGGACGTCCCCTCGGTGGGGGGACGGCTGATGCTCGTCGATATGGCGGGCTCCGAGAACATCGAGCAGGCTGGGCAGTCTGGCTTGGAGGCGAAATTGCAGGTCACAGTGGTTCCCTATCCGCTGAACCCTCTTATGATTATCGCGAATTTTTTTCCTTTTGTACAAGCGTTTTCGAAGAAGAGGAAGAAAAAAAACCCAGTTCGTCAATTCATGCTCAACATGTTTCTGAATTATATATGCAGACTGGTAAGATCAACCAAGGAAATATAGCTCTGAAAAGGGTTGTCGAGTCGATTGCAAATGGGGATTCTCACGTCCCCTTCAGAGACAGCAAGCTGACCTTGCTCCTACAGGTGGGGAATCCCTCCCCTGCCTTTCGATTCCATGTGCCCTAAGAAATCTTTCTTTGAATATGATGATGATGATGATGATGATGATGATGATGATGATAAGAAGGATTCTTCGTGTTTTTATCATCTTCCTCCTCGTAGGACTCATTCGAAGATGACAAGTCAAAGATTTTGATGATCCTCTGTGCGAGTCCCGACCCTCGGGAGATCCACAAGACGGTCTCGACTCTCGAGTACGGCGCCAAGGCGAAGTGCATCGTCCGTGCCCCCCACATGGCGAACCCTTGCAGGGCGAACTCGCAGGAATCGTCGTCCCTAGCTCTGGGTGCGAGAATCGTGGCGATGAACCAGTTCATCAGCAAACTGCAGACGGAGAACAAGGTCAAGGGGAAGGAACTTGATCAGGTCAACAGAGAGCTGGTGAGGAAGGAGGGAGAAGTGGCCGACCTGAGGGCTAAGCTGACGGCGATGGAGCTCCGGGGGAAGGCGCTCAAGGAAGAAGAGATCAGATCAATAGTCGACGAGAGGACTCTGACGCTAAGACTGGAGCTTGAGAAGATGGAAGCGAAGGTGCAGCGGCAGGAAGAGGAGCTCGGGATCCTGCGGCAGCATCTGGGGGATGAGGAACGCGGGAAGGGTAGCGGCAGGGCTGGCCAGAATGGTCAAATGGGAGACGACCCATCGCTCTATCTAATAGGCGGCAGATTCATGAACCGCCTGTCTGAACTATATTCAGAAGGTGATGCAGGGATGGAGAAGTCAATGGAGCTGGATACAGGCGATTATCATCAACCGCCCTGCTGTGATGACGTGAAAGAAATAAGAGAGGATCCTCGCCGCAATCATCCAAGCCGCTTCGTCGACGCTCCGTGCTGTCTGGGAATGGAAGAGGACGATGACATAGCTGCAGCGATGTTCACCGAGAAGGTGTTATTGAGCACCGTCTTTGAAGCGAACGAGGAGGAAGAAGAGTCCGAAGGTGCAGAGCAAGAGGTGGTGGAAAAGGAGGTTGTAGAAGATGACCCATTCAGCGGCGGAAAGAGTGTGAGCTCGGATGGCGCAGGCGACGCCGATTCTGCCCGAAGAACGAGAATCCATAACATATTCAGGCTCTGTGGGAGTCACAGGGATCTCGGTAAACACGCTAAGATCTTCGCTGTAAGCAAACCTGAGACTGCAGTCGTCACCCCGGAATTGGAGTCCCAGGCCCTTCCTCCTCCTCAACACGACTCCAGGCTGGCAGAAGGCCCAGTTCCATCAGTTGATGACCTATCTAAATCCTTGCTGCGGCAGCAAATGCCCAAGAGAAACACATCTTCAGAGAAGGAGAACGATGGACCCGCCGGGGTTGATGCCCTGCAGGATGTCTACGTGAAATGGGAGGCGTCATCGGGAGACTCTTCTGGGAATAATCTGATCAAGAAACTCAAGGTTTTAGAGGACTCGAATCTTGCTGAACTAAGGAAGCTGATCGAAGCCCAACTCGATGAAATGGACGCCGGTCAAGAAGAATTCACGTTTCTCTCGCTCAGGGTGCGCTCCCTCTCGCTCTCTCTCTCTCTCTCTCTCTTGTTTTCAGTGAAAACACTGAAGGTGTTTGAATTGAGCATCTACCGATTAATTAACGCCTTTTTCTGACAGGATCCCGCCGGCGCTCCAGTTGCCAAGGAAAGCGAGGCCACTTTCCAAGTAAGCAAGCTCCCCGCCCGCAACAACCTGCTCGGCGGATATCTTGCTTGCTTACGCCCCACCAAGACGATGATGACCCAGCAGTCGGCCGCCGGGGTCCGCCACCTTCCTTTCAGCCCGTTGGAGAATAGGATTCTCGTTGATGCCGTCACACCGTTGTCGAAGATAGACGACTGCTTCTTCCAGACAGACATCTTCTAGATTGACGTCAGCCATCGAATGGGAAGACTCCCTGCATAGCTGGCCTGTACAAAGTTGGCGTACGGATGTGTGATAGCTTACTGAGCTCAATCATGGATGAAGAAGAACCCCGTGAAATTTCTTGAGATTTAAATTCTCTTTGTTTTCTCCAATTTCCCCCCTTTTTTTCTCACATTTATTCCTCCAATTGAAGATATTTTCTTCGAAATCTTCTGCTTGGCTCGCTCGAAGAAGAGAGTCTGATTGGGCGATTGTGGGCGAATGAAATCCAAGGAACGATCTGGCACAGAAGAAGAAAAGATGCGCTCTGAGAAGCTAGACAGGTTGACCGACGACGGTCGTCTGTGTTTTACGGAGTGGAGGAGATTACCGAGAAAAAGAGAGGGGCAATCTTCCATGCGGACATATACCTTTCCTCGTGTTTTCTCGGTCCCCCTATCCAGAATCCTCCTCCGGCCAAGATCAACAGCGTCGTGGAATATTTTTCATCTTGTCCGGATCATAGATCATTTGGCTGGGTGGGGAATCGCGCGCCTGCTCTTCGGGGTTTTCGGGGAATCCGTGAACCGTGACTGATCCTGTCTTCAGCGTGGTATGATGGAAAACCGGCGGTGGAGAGGGAGGGGAATCCGCGCTGACGGCGGCGACGGCCCCCGGCGTCGTTGTTGCGGGCCCGAACCATTTCAGCAGCTGACAGATCCCACTTCGCTGGATTTTCCTCCATGGCTCGTCTCCGCCGTAGCACAGAACCTCTCCGACCGGGGGGCCGGCATCTCCGCTTTGGAGGCGTTCTTACCGGCAAACCCGCGTTCTCCGGAAGCGACGGGGACCCACAATGTAACTTTCGGCAAACCAGTGGACGCTAAACAAGGACACGGAGGCCTTGATCAGGCGCTCGCCTCCCCTTCCTCTTCTCCTCGCTGATCCATCTTCGGATTCATCCCTCAGGCCTTCTCGTTTGCTATTTTCGAGATAGAAAAGATCGTCGGAAGCGATCTGGGCACAACTTGCACCCGTTCCGAAACACGGGGAGGGAGGAACCGGGAACCCTCTCCTCCACTCTCCACGCAATTGTACACCGTTGCCACGGAATAAAGGGCGGGTGCATGGCCCTTTCTCCTTGCGTCTCTCTTCTTTTCACGCGTCCCTCTCCACCTTCCTCCAGCAAGAAAGGAATCGTAGGGTCCACTCCCCGTGTTGCTGTCGATCCTTTTCTCCACTACATTGTCACCTTTCCTCCTCCTCTCACTGCCAATTCACCTGCGTCGGTATCTCCCGCCCTTCTCCGATGCTCATCGAAACAAATCGGAGCTCGAAGGCGACTGCTATGGGATGCCCTGCTGAGCGTGGGCTAGAATACTTGAGGCGACCGCTCTAACCGAGCTCATCGAGGCTCCTCAAGTCAGGTGCAGAGGATGGGTTTCCGTCTGTTTATTGTAATGGGGAGATCGATACCGCCGGCCAACTTTCTCGTAGCATTCGTTTACAGAAATCGTAGCTTCTCTGGTGATCGATTGAGCTGCTCTCGCTGAAACAAAGGTTACACGGATCACCAGAGGTCAATCGTGATTTTATTTTTTATTTTTTTTGGGGATTTGATGACGGATCTGATGAAAGAATCAAGCAGTCTTTACCAGGGAAGCCGCGCACGTTAAAATCTGTCCCTCCATGCGGATATTCGCGTGAGCAGCTTCGGGCCCTTCAAGAGGATCTCCCGCTACTCCGAGGCTACAGTTTTCAGACCCACTTGATTCTGTGTGAAAGAGGCGTCAGTGCACAAGCTTCATTTTCACGGCCGGCGACACGCCGTCGATCTCTCTCGATCTCCGTCCTAGTCTCCTTTTTCTCGGTCGCCCTCCGAGAAGATGATATGATCAAGTACACCGGCTTCTAAGCATATACGACCCTCACTCGATCCTTCCCAACCGGGACTGTCTCCCCGGCACCCACGTAAAACGCGCTGCAAACCTCGTTCTTCTTCGAATCTTCTGAATTTCCCCTAGAAAGACCAGCGGATTACTCATGATGGCAACGACGAGGATGTCTCACGCATGATTTTCTTCAGTCGAGGAGCAGAGTATCTCCATGCATTCATCTCTCTAACCCCAGTTGGCATCCTGCGTTCCGAAGGCGGGACCGTCCGAGCTCCTTTCCACTTGTATATATCGACCACCCCACCCGGGGCATCTCTCAAGCACCCTCCCCTTGCACCTAGCTCTCAAGTATGGAGCGCTCTCGGGCCTTCTGCGAGGCTGCCGGCGTGAAGAAGAGCCTCTTCGATCAGGTGCGGAAGGGCTTAATTCGATCGTGTCCATGCGTTCATCGCATTTTCTTCTCAGATCGTTTTGGCGGAAAGAGGTCTTAAGCCGAACGCACCATGAAATAGCAGAAAGGAGGAAAGGGTTCCCTTTCCACTGCTGCCCACTGCATGATGCATGAATCTATCTACTGATACTCTTGTGCTTTTCTTTTGTCCTTGGAGGCATGAGCCTCGGCGAGCGCAGACCATCTTCTGACCTAGTTGAGCGCAGATTTCTTTCCCCTGGGATCCGGCATTATGAACTGCATTCTAATTTATTTCTCTCGAAGGCACAGGCCTTCCGCGTCCTCGTTCTGTGTCTAACCTCTATTTTCAACCATCGAAACAGGGATTCCTGGACGAGCAGTTTCGGCAGCTGGAAGAACTGCAAGATGATCTAAGCCCGAATTTCGTGGAGGAAGTCGTGAATTCGTTCTTCAGGGACTCCGCCAGACTGATGGTCAGTGTTGAGCAGACTCTGTGAGTATTCGCATGCCGCATGATGTTTTTCTTCATTCCGTGACCGTCTTTCCGATTCCCGCAAAGGATATAATCGCCCGCAATCTGTTGCCGCCAGGGAGAACGTTCCTCACAATCTCACCAGATTGGACGAACTGATTTATCAGCTCAAGGGCAGCTGCTCGAGGTAAGAGAGGCCAAGAGCGCTTTTCTTGAAGTTCAATTCAAGAATGTAGTATTCCTTTCCTTTCCCAGAAAACACTCAACGCGCTATTTGAAGGAGTTGTGCTCTGCGGCTTCTTCTGCATCTGGATAAATTTCTGGATGGACGGCGCACGAAGAGTGACTAGCTCGTGCCCATCTGCAATTACATCCCATGCTGAGTAATGGGATGAAATGGGTCCAGATTCCACTCACAGATCGGCTGTGGGACGGAAACCCAGGAAAGAAGGCTACTCATTTGAAGATATTCCGCGAAAATGCTGGGAAGCATGACGATATTTTCTTCCTTGATGGCAGCATCGGAGCGGTGAGGGTGCGAAACGAGTGCTCAAGGTTCAGAGAATACTACAGCCAGAGAAACGCCCAGGGGTATCGGCGCTCATCCCCGTCTCCCCCCTCATTCACTCTAACAGTGATGGCGGCTGCTTGTTCTTTCCATCTGTGATGTTTCTCATTTCGTCGTCATGCAGATGCCTGGCTTCGTTTCGGAGGATCAAGAGTGAGCATGCTGCTCTGAGGCAGAAGCTGGAGGCCTATTTCCAGGTGCGTTCGTCTCTTTCGAAAAAAAGGTTCCTCGCCGGAGCCAGGAAGACGCCATTCCATTCGACTTAGTTCCTTCTCCTGCCGTCGCTCTGCATCGGAGGTGTCTTTTCTTCCTTCAGATGCTGCGGTAGGCGGAGCACTCTCGCGATGGGCACCCCCGCCGACTGATGATCCGGACTTGGACGTAGCCAAGCGGCGAAAAAGAGGAAGAAGAAGAAGAAGAAGATGAGAGAGTTCCCCTGTGGTGTAGTTGCTTGCGTTTAAGATGGTCTGTAGTTTTTGTGGATAGTGGTACCAGTTGATGGAGATCTGTTGTTACCCTCTACGCTGCTGTTCCTGTGAGCTATGCCCCCGAGCTTGTGCATAATATTAATAATAATGATAATAATAAAGCAGCTTCCAAAGACTCTTACCGATCGGAGAAAACACGCAGGAAGCACCCGAAGGAGCAACTGGAATCCAGATCCGGAGAGTTTGATGCTAACCGCGAGGGGATGGATGACGGGGGGTCTAGGCTCAATCCCTACGCCTGCATCTCCACCATGCCGTGGGGCTCCCACCGGGGCGTCTGCCGCTGCATGCCCCAGGAGTAGCAGAACGCCGCCTGCTCTACCTTCCGCCTCCGCCCTGCGGCTCCTTCTCCATGGATCCTGCGGGCTCCGAGGAGTGGAGGAAGAACTTCATGACCGCCTTCCTTGTCGCGTCCAGCACCGTATGGGGCATGCGGTTCGATCGAGAAACCGGCGCCAACGTCGAGCCTCCGATGCTCTCCCCTGACGAAGGAGTCCTCTCTCGCTCAGCTCAGCTCAGCTCTCCTCGGCCAGCGCGTCTCCTCCTGGTCCAATTCAGAGACGCCGACGTCTCCTCTCGCGTGCCTCCGACGGCATGCATCGTTGAGGACGCGGGTTTTGGGGGGTTCCAGCGGCGAAAAAAGGCTTGTCCTTTCTGGGACTCCCCGGAGATCTCCGGCAGCTGGTTATTACGCGACGGTCTTATAAGGTCGGCGACTCGGTCAACCAGTGGGACCCAGTGGTCGTCCTCCTCCACGTTGGATCGGCATCCGGCGATGGCGGGTTCCCACGTGAGTGCGAGCCGGCGGGCTGGGCCGATACGTTCTGTCGGCCGAAGCGTCGGGGCCCACGGTCTCTCACCCCTTGCTCCTCCTCGCCTTTTTATTTGGCAAATATTTTTTTATTAAAGCAGTTCGATTATGAGGAACGGAGAGGTAGGAAAGCTGTCTATTCTCTCTCTCTCTCTGTCGCTGGTGGAGATGTTTGCGGCAGTCGCTCCTTGTCCCACCCGGTAAATGGCAAATATCGGGAGGATCATTCGGCGCGATATCTCCGCGAAGGGTCGCTCCGGCCGATCCGCGCGGTAGAACGGGCCAGTGGCGGTGGCAGCGCGACGCTGGGTGATGCCTTCTGGGATCCGTCTCGTGGTGGAAGTCGGTGCTTCGCTTGATTGATCGGGCACGTCGTGGAATTTTGAGAGAAAGCCTGGATCCGTTCCCGCCGGAACGGGGAGCGTTTGTGGGCGGCCAGTATGTTCCTTCTGATTGATCGATATGGCTCTGAGACGGGGAAATGTTGGCAACGATGGTGATTGTCCGCGTGCGTCTGGGGTAGCCCGACATCGGGACGCGGAGGATTGAGATGCTCTAGAGTGGGTCTCCAGTTCCGACTCTGAGTTAATGTAGGCTTCCGGTCGCTCGAGTTTTGGGGATCAGGGATTGCAAGAGTGAAAGAGTTATTATGGGTGGTCGGTTTGTTTGCTGCTGATCGTTGGAAGCCTGCAGTTATCCTGAGGATTAGGACGTCGCACGTGATTGAGGTGAAAAGCCGGTGTGCTTGCGTCGATTTTTAGGCGTTCATGCTATTCTGTTCCTAGGCTGCTTGAATGCTTGGTTGTTGAAAGGTAATTACGTCGCCTTTGCCGTATATTCGGACAATTTCCAATCATGGAGCATGTTATTGGTGGGAAATTTAAGCTTGGGAGAAAGATCGGCGGTGGATCTTTTGGCGAGATTTACGTCGGTATGTTGGTTTATATGTGTTCCTGTTCTGCCTTTTGAGGTTATCATGTGCTATCCGTAATTCTTGCGAGGTTTTTAATTTTGATTTTCCTTGGCTTGATTTTTCAAGGTGTTAACATACAAAGTGGGGAAGAAGTCGCTATCAAGTTGGTATGTCCTGTCAGCTTGTCTTCCCTCTTTCACTAGCATGAACCTGGTTCGGAACTCTGGGTATCTCAATCGAACGGGTTGAAAATGCGTCCGAAAATTATTCTTCCTTTTCAACAATCTAAGAGGGACTTGGGGACCTTTGTTCGCCTAAATAATGTGACTTTGCAACCTGAACCTCCTCGTCCTCATTCATAAACTGGAAAGGGGAAAAAGGTTGTTGCCCCTCGCCAGTATTGGTTTCTCAAGCTTAGTCGAACTTATATGATGCACGGATCTGGTATGCGAGGAGGCATCAGGAAACTGTTGTCAATATTCTAGGTTTCTGTTAGAGTTTAGAACCTGCTGTATGTTCCAGAGAACACACCCTGTTCAATATCATATTGACGACCATGCTTGTTTTTGTGTCTCCCAACTTGGTTCCCAGGAGGTGTGGTTTGGAAAGTTTAATTCACTCTTTCTCCTCATACCTCTGTTTATCAACTCGTCCATTTCTGTCTCTGTCTTATTTCCTCCAAAGTATTAAGAAGCTTTTGTGGTTTGCATGATTTAAGGTGTCATCGGTGGTCGTTTCTTTCCACCAACTGGTTAAGGAAACTTTTAATGAACGTTCAAACGTTATCCAAGTAGCATAGGTGGATGAGTCATATAAAAAGCTTTCAAGGTAATAAAATTATTCATTGGATGTGACTGACATCAGAACGATAGAATAATGATTACTATGATGACAACCCGTGATGCTTTTTCAAGAAGTGAATTTAAAACTGAAGTTTTTTTATGTTATTTCGGATCCTATTTTGGCACAATAAAATTATTCATTGGATGTTTTTTTGCATGATTTAAGTGACGTGATTTTAATGTAAATGTATCAGTTTTTTTATCGTTCACCTCTTCGTAAGAACACCACACTCTCTGTCTCTTTATCTCTCTCATAAATATACATATATATACCCTTAAACAAGTGGTTCTATCGGCCTTTTGGCCCATTCGTTTCCTCTTGGCTCGCCCATGTTTGAAACATCCTGATACCAACAAACATACTGTGATGTCTAAAAGGACATGCTGATTCCCTGCATTAAAGGATTGTCACCTCCCGACCTTTCCATTGGTGGTTGGCATTTACGTAGTATGGATCCTGGTTTTTTATTTAAGGAGACCGGTTCACCTGTGAATGTCGAAATTGATTGCCCTTTCATCGTTTTCTTTTTACCTTTTTGGGTAGATATCCTCCAGAGGAAATAAATCATGCAAACAGGCCCCTGAGTCTCCTGGGCGTTGGAACCATAAATGTTTGTATATGAGATTTCACTATACAAGATTCAACTGAACAGCATTTATTAAACTGCCAATTTAGAGAGTGCCCCCATTTTCCAAAGTATTCAAGCAATTGCTTTGAAGGAAGAATTTTTAAGGCGAAAGGGGACGTAATTATACTTTAGGAGCAATAGTTGATTCTTCCGTGGTATTTGCTTGGCACCTAGAAAGTTCGATGTTTTTTGTTTTTGCTTGCCAATACAGTGTACATAGAAATTATATAACTTCATCTTTAGAGCCATTTCAAATCCATAAACATCCAACCCAGCGCTTGTTTATTTCAAGTGAAATTTATGACGTTTTGGGAAATGTAATATGTGCTCAATAAAGTAGGCTTTATGGTCTTTTTTTATGAATTATGCGTGATAGAGAATGACAATTATTTTTTTCTATATTTTATTCACTTAACTCTATACTCACTAATTTGCTTTAATACATCTTCTTATAGTCACATGACGCTTGTTTTATAATTGGTAGGAGTCGCTAAAGTCAAAGCATCCCCAGCTGCATTATGAATCTAAATTGTATAAGCTTCTTCTGGGAGGAAGTGAGTATTTTTAACGGTCAGACGTGCTATTTTTCTATTATTGCCCACTTTTCTTCGGTTGTAATAGAATGCGCTGCAACGCTTTATTTGTGCAATACTGATTTATCTATCTTGAATGAAGCTGGAATTCCCCGCATGAGATGGTTTGGTATCGAGGGAGGATATAAAATTATGGTCATTGATCTTCTTGGACCAAGCTTGGAGGACTTGTTTAACTACTGTAATAGAAAGCTCAATTTGAAAACAGTGCTGATGCTTGCAGATCAACTGGTAAATGATACATTTCTTGGAAATGATAACGCTAACACTAATTTCACTATATCTCCACAATTTTTTGCATCATTGATAATCTTTCTTGCTTTGTTTTACAGATCAACCGAGTTGAATTCATGCATTCAAGGGGCTTCCTTCATCGAGATATAAAACCAGATAACTTTCTTATGGGTTTAGGGCGTAAAGCAAATCAGGTACATCTTTCCTTCTGGGACTTCTTCGCTTGGGGCTTCATGGGTTCTGATTTTATTTAATGCAAGCAGAAAGGATGTAAAGTCCTATGCCGACTTAAACTGTTGAATACCAATTTAAATTATATGCTCAATAAGAGTGGATTTACCGCAATGTCTCACTATTTTCCATTGTTGTGTATCAGAGTTTTAGTTCATTGTTTGTCATCTAGTCTATTTTCACATTTAGTATATAATTAATTTCTCTTAGATACTGTCCATCTCATGGGTAAATGAAGAAATATTTTCATATTCTTGTATCTACAGGAACAGGTTCATAATCATATCTCATTCGCATTTTAAATGCAGGTTTACATTATTGATTATGGTCTTGCAAAGAGCTATAGAGAACTTTCAACACGTGGACATATTCCCTACAGGTAATTCATTTATTCTTTTAAATAAAGAAGGAACTCCATATAACATTTCTCGTGCAACATCATTTCTTGTCTATGCTTGTTATTTGAATGGCCACATCTCCTGCATTCTAGTTCTGTTACTTCGTTGGAGCGTCATCCTAAATAAGACCTTGCCTTATAACCTCTTTTCAGTATAGCTCTCGTTCCCTTCCCTTCTAAATCCCAGTTTACTTTATAATCGAGTACACTGGTTTAGACGGTAGCACAGTCTTACCTCCGCCTTTCTCATGATCATGTTGCTAAAGACGACACGCTGTTAGGTTTTATTGAGGTATTGGATCAGATTACCTGCAAATGGTTAAAAATAATAAAGGAAGTCGTCATTTTGTCTGGGACTGTAATTCCTCATTTCTAAGTATCATAATTTTTCACGATTCTTGGTGCAGTGAACTGCTGAGTTCTCATCACATCTTAATTTTCTATACATTTATATAACGAAAATGCATATCTCTATGTGCTATGAAGCATTGTCCTTAATCTAAGAAAGGGGAATGCTCAAGCTGTTTGGTAGAGAGGCGCAGTCACTAGTATATTATTTTATTGAGGTGCAGTTTCTAGAGTGGTCTTCAGTGTCATCGTGCAGACTGTGAGAAGATTGTGTAGATGGTTTTGAGAGCTCGTTGTTCAAATTATGTTTTTGCATTCTGTGAGATGGGTAATAGTTCTGTGGATCTAGTGTGTGTTATACTTGCTGTAGAATGTGCTTTTTTTCTCATCTGACTGAGGTATCCATCCCCAGTTGTCACCCCTATGTTTATGTGGGTTTGTGAAGTGCATATGTGATGTGCTTTTGTTGAATTCATAGTGTGAAGCTTCTTCTTTTGATTCTTAGCTCTGTTTGCATTGTTTTTATGTCGTTGTAAATCCTTTGCTTAGCTCAACTTGCCGACCGTTTTTGCAGAGAAAATAAGAACCTAACAGGAACAGCTCGATATGCTAGTGTCAATACTCACCTCGGCATTGGTGAGGGGATCTTGGGTTCTTCACATGTTGACAGCTGATGAATTTTTTTTTTTCTCATTTTATTTAGCTTTCACCTTATAACAAGGCATTTTCATGTTGGTGCAGAACAAAGTAGGAGGGATGATCTTGAGTCTCTTGGTTATGTTCTCATGTATTTCTTAAGAGGAAGGTTCGAATTGATGACATTCTCTGCTCCGGAGCTTGAATGTTCCTAATCAGTTCCTCCTTTTATTCTCTTGTCTGATCACTTTTTCATCAGTCTTCCCTGGCAGGGCCTCAGAGCTGGCACAAAGAAGCAGAAATATGAGAAAATCAGTGAAAAGAAAATGCTTACTCCAATAGAGGTGCCTTGAGTTGCTTCTCTACTTGTTAGTTCATTTTAATTGCATAAACTTTACGAATGTTTGGGTAATTTTGACATTAGTTGATAACTGTTGGTGACGGTTAAAGATTACTGATTTTTCAAAACTATGAACAGGTTTTGTGCAAAAATTACCCACCAGAATTCATATCATACTTCCAGTATTGCAAATCGTTGGATTTTGAAGACAAACCTGATTACTCGTACTTGAAGAGACTTTTCCGCGACCTCTTTATTCGAGAAGGTATGTGTAAGCGAGTATTTCAGTCATGTTTTGTCCATCTGTTTGTCAACAAAAGCTTTTTTAACATTCTCTCTCTCTGGACACTCCCCTGCGTGACGTTTGATGTTGCTAGTTCTTTCCTCAGGCTATCAATTTGATTATGTATTTGACTGGACTACCTTGAATTATACGCAAGGTGGTCCTAGCACTGCAAGGACTCGGGTACATTTTTCTCGTTTGTTTTCTTGACTGTGCCATCTTTCATTCCTTGGGATGTCGAAATGCATGTTTACCTCGATCGATCGCCCTCTGTCAGCAGCAAAATGGACAACAGCCTGGAGGCATTGGATCATCTGCTGATGGACCAGAACGGACATCAGGTTTAATTCAGGAAAACGTTGATTTAAAAACATATTGTTTAGAAAATCCGTTTGATTACGATTCAGCAAAATGTTGTCTTATGGAACCACCAATGCTCATGCTTTCCATTCTCTTCTGGGGCAAGAGATTCCTAATAGATTCTCTGGTGCAGTCGAGGTGCTTGCTAGAAGGAATGGTTCAGGTTCTGGACGTCTTGGTGATCACTTCAAGCTCAAACTATCAGACGAAGTGCCTACGCCGTCCAAAGAACCTGTCAGTCTTCGACTTTCTAACCTTTTCATTTAGTTTCCTTACCTCGGTTGATTTTTCCATGTTGCACAAAATCGAAGCCTTGGTTTATGTGGCTATAAAAGAAATTTGAAGTTGGTAGGAGAAGTCTGTTCTACCTTGAAGTTGCTGCTATGTCTGCCAAGTGGACGTTAGAATCTTTGAGAGTTCCATTGGGTTCTAGGAAGGGCTCTTTGATTTTCTTGGTAAATGTCTTTGGGTCAAACTGCAGCTTCTTCGGTAAATGTTTTTGGGTTGTTGGATTCAAGAGGCGACGGGCCTTCTATTCCCTCTCCTCGAGTACCCTCTCTACTACTGCTGCTACTACTGCTACTACTGCTACTTGTACTGCTGCTACTAGTGCTCTCTAACGTGTTCCTTCTGGCCGCTGCTTTTCAGATCGCTGATTCTGACAATCCCCTGGGCTCCTCGTCCCGGAATGGCAGCAGCTCGAAGAGAGCCGTGGTCTCAAGCAGCAGCAGGCCCTCCTTCGAGCCCATCGACCAGCAGTTGGCCCGCGCTAGCCGTGTGATTTCGGACATCAGCGCCCGCCCAGCCGCCGCCGCCGCCGCCGCCGCCGCAGCCCCGAGGATTCCTCCCTCCGCCCCCGCCCACGAATCCGCTCCCAAGCCCCTCCCTCACAACGCCACCGGCAGGAGCTCCCGCGACGACCCTCTCAAGGCCTTCGAGCTCCTCTCCCTCGCCGCTGAGAAGAGGAAGTGACGATCGTGACTCTCTCTCTCTCTCTCCCTCCCTCCATTACTGAGGAGGAAGGCTTCTCGCGAGTGTTCTTCACCGTCCCGCCCCAATGTCAGAGGCGGCGAATGAGTGCCTTAACTTCCTCCGGCGTGTTTCCAAAGCGCCCGCCTAAAGACCGACCGGGCTTCTTGTTTGACTTTCCTGGTGTGTTGGACCCCGACCGGGCTCTTCAGTAAGTTCCTGCTGTAAAAAAGAAAAAGAACAAAAAAAAAAAAGTGTCGTGGACTTTCAACCCCCCACCGTTGACTTTGATCACAGTATTTGGTCGCCTCCGGATTGGGAGCTCAGTGGAAATTTAGGAAAATTCCTGCCTCCTCACCCACTGTGTCTGCCCCGCCTCCTCTCTACTCCCCAGACCCCCATCCCATCCCACATCACATATACGTATATATGTATGTACATGCGCATATATATATACAGAGGTTTAGAAGATTTACGTGCCCCGATTCCTCTCAGAAGAAGAGATACACCGCGGCGCCGCGGGGAGGTGAAGAGCACAGAGAAGAAGAACTCGCATTTGTATGACATCACTCTGCTGCCCTGGTGGGATGGCTGATCGCCATACGGCTCATCCACCGCGCCGCTCCACTGTCTTTGGGCGATAGATAGATAGGAGCTCCTCTAATGGCTGCAGCCCCAACAGCCTGGTGGGATGGCTCCGCAGCACACACATCGAGGGGGGGTGGGGGGGTGGAGTCCGTGATATCTATCCACACAATCTTGCGCCAAATCCTGGGGACGGGAAAAACGCTCGGCTCAAGGGTTTCTGAGCGCCGTCAGCCTCTTTCCAAGCTCGTCCACCTCTGAACTGAAATGTTTTCAAATGGCCCAGATCAATGAAGCCCACATGACAGATTGATTGGTGGGGAAGAAAGACGAGGATGAACAGGGCGTTAGACAAGCATTCATGATAACCGGCAGAGAGGTAGGTTCCAAAGCCAACATCAAGAACGCTCATCGGGAATAGTCAGAAACATATTCAGAAATCACTGACAGTTGATGGGGTAATCATCAGCGAGAAGCCATAACCCCCCCATTCAAAAATATAAACCACACAAATATACTGGGAGGGAGCTGATGGCATAGTTTATTTGTGGGCAAACCACACAAAAATTTCACGAGGTCCTTCCGATCAGTTATCAAGTGTTGAATCTGTTCTATAATCCACTGGCAGATATCAAGTGGTGATAATTCTCTTACAATTTTTGAGCTTGCGACAGGTGGTTTTTGTGTGTAAAATATTCATAAGTTTATTTCAATTTGATATTATCTCAGAGAAGGATAACTATTTCAAAGTTGACAAAGAAAGCACGAAATCACAACACAGATGGCAGAAAAAACTGCACTGTCAACTCGAAGATATAGATGCCCAGTTCTCATGATTAAAAGCAGTGGACAGTTGGAAATGCATTGTTCAACAGGAGTATGGACATTCTTTCTTTCATTCTTCATAAATCAAAAACACACAGCATTGCCTTTTTCTCATTTAACCTTTATTCGCCCTTCAGTGGTACTGATTTCGTTATTTCTTCGTTAAATCCACCATGTAAACAATGATGACTTTAGTTATGTTTGTCATGGATACTTGACAGAACCTCGGTATTCTTTTAAGAAAAGTACGACGAGAGAAGGGAATAAAAAGCAATCAACTCACATATTATAATGAGCACGTAGAAAAAAAAGATAAAATGAAATCAAAATAAGTGAAGAAATAAAAAGGTAGGTAATACCTTCCAGCGTCATCAATCTTCTTTGCTGCAATTCTTCCTTTTGGTGCGGAGGATAACTATCAAGAATTTCAACTACCGGCTTAGCAACAAAAAAAGAAAAAAAAGAAAAAATGCTTATATGAAAACGGTTTGGAAGGTTAACCTGAGATGATATGTCAATTCCAATTTCATCAAGCACCTGCGAAAAGATCAGAGAAAAAAAATACAAAAACAAGATACGTTGAGAAATTGATGAGTGAATAAACTATCATGTGATTAAAAGTTGATGAATTCCAACCGAATAAGATTCTGAACTGGCCATATACCTGATTGGTCAAGTCTTCAGCCTCTTCTTCAGTCTCATCAGTATCCAGGGCATCATCAATTGAGTCTGATATCATCTCACTCTGATACATTAATGCAAGCCGAATAATCTTTGTTAGCATTTATATATGATTAGTCGTTCTGCCAATAAACTTATGTATGAATTTCAAAAGAAGTTTTTTAGCGTGTGATGAGGCATATCATATGCTCTCTGGTCGGCGCTGGATAAATCATCCATCAATACGCATAAAATTATGCCATATTCGTTGTTGAACAACGACAGAAGCTTCTCAGAGTGGATTCCAGGAGATTTAATTCTCACAGGTCTGAAGGCTATATTAAAATTTCAGTTTTTTAAATTAAATACCATATTGTCAAAATAAGGCGCATTTAAATTTTCTTTACCCAACCTATGATCATAGTTAATACTATTATTACTCTTATCATCATCATCTATTCAGTGTCATGCGATTCATTTAAGAAAAGGTAGGAATTACGTACCATCATATCCAGTTGAGCTGACTGCCTCTGAAATTCTTGCATCACCTTGATTTGCTTTTCTGGCTCCATTTTCTGCAAGCAGATCTGTATGGTTAAAGAAAAAATCATACTGGAACAAAACTCCCAAGTTATTCAACTCGAGAAGTTTAGTTGACAAAATGGGAGCATCCCGTTGAATAGGTGGCATGAAAAAATGTCATTCAAATCGCAAAAGATACACTTACAGAAGGATTAAAGTCACAAGTGGTGAAAATCATACCTTATTTATAATTCCCATTGCCTTAGCTGCACTCTTCATGGCAACAGCCACGGCAGTGCTGGCATGCATAGCCTGCAATCGTAAAAGCAAACCGGAATGACAGAGCTATTCCAACTAGCGACTGTGGAGGAAGAAATGCACTTTTTACCTGTGTGCGAGTCGCAACGCCTCGGATTTGATCTCGACTACGTTGCAATTTGGCTATCCCTTGCCTTAGCGTGACGAGCTGACGGCATTGATTTCTGGTTGCAGCCTGCACAAGACAGAGCTTTTCTTCAGGCACACGAATAGTCCCATACCCAAAAATGAAACAAGGAAAAATGGGATAGATGGAAAATGATTAAATATTTTAATTGTGACGATGGAGATCTCTGAGCCACCTCATTTCCAGGTTTTGCGGTCCTCTTTATCTCGGCAATGAGCTTTTTCTCCTGTCAGAATAAATAAATAAATTATATATCTGTCGTTAGACCAACCATGAGTAATTTCTCCAGTAGTTATCAACTCTCATCAATCAATTCGAACACCACATGACTGTGATGGTATATGCAAATTAGAGAAATATAACTCATCATCAACATCCTCATGTCGAACACTTGGCCGATTAATCTGATAATCGGCAGAGTTTTTCGACCACCCATCTGCCTAACATCAACTATCTATCAACAAGGGTCGATCGAAGGTAGCTGCGATGGCAGGAGATCTGGCCAAGGCCTCACGAGATAAGAATGTTGGCGGATAAGAACATAGTTCATTCGATGTGTGCCAAGAAGAAGAAGAAGAAGAAGAAGAAGCTGGTCTCTCTGAGGGACCAACTCCGGACACACTGGCTGTTACTCCATTGAATGCGAAAGAGGTGTAAAGAGGGGGGAAAAACGCACTTCCGATTGCAGAGTTCCGATCTCCCGCTCCAAACCTGAAAACACAATCGAAAGAAGAGAGCGATGGTGAGCGTGGGAACGAGCTTGCCGATCTGCTGAATGGATTGCTAGATAAGCATCATTTCCGTTCTCTAGGACGAGCATGACGCCCCTAAGCGGACGTTTCTGGTTCTCATGTGGACGCATAATTATCACTAGATGGATCGAAAAAGAAAGCAAAAAAGCTTCGCATCAGGGTTCAAACCAGCGCACCGCGAGAGACGATGGATGGAATCGCATGTCCTCCAGTGTCCGTGACTCAGCGAATTTAAGAGATGGAATAGATTACAGACAAAACACGCAATATCCGTACAGCGACATCCATTGGAGGTTGCTCCGGGTACGGTCCTCCGTCGTCAATGATCGACAGACAGTTTGCGATCAGATACGGATGAAATCGGAGTCTTCTCGAACGGAACGTGGATTTAAAAAATGTAATACGGATTGATTGGAGATACCTCTCGCTGCCTTCGTCATCTCTCGCTTGCTTTCTCTGAACGCCTCTGCAATGAAACGGGTGAGGAAGGGGTCAGCCGTAGTCAGATAGAGAAGGCGGAGCCTGATGAAGCTGTGCGAGTTGTACCTGCCTGAGGGAAAAATCTAAGAGCTAGTATAAACGCGGAATCTGTGGCGTAAATAAGCATGGATGCATATGTGGAAAGAAAATAGGGAAGCATAAGAGAATTCCAGCGGCGAGCGAGGAATTCGAAATTAGGGAAGCGAGAAAATTCCAGCCGCAGACGTGAGAAATTTTCATTTTTCGTTTGATCGGAATTGCTCGACAGGAAACTGAAGAAAGAACGTGAACAGGACGCTACACAAGAGGGAAAGGAGGAGGAAGGGAAGAATTCCCCGATCACGATCTAGCCGCGGAACAATACGACGAGGATTCTGATCACATGCCCACGCAGGCAGAGAGAGAGAGAGAGTGAGAGATGCCGAGCAAAGATTTCCCGATCACCAAGAGAATACAAGAGATGAGATGAATCCAAAAAATTGGCAGAAAGAAAGAAATCGGAACCAGCTGGCAGGGAGCTGAGGCCTGATGAATACCACGGGGATTAAGCTTCTTCCTGAGGAATTCCATGCCCGAAAAGAAAGGAGAAGCAGTTGCAGTGATCACGAGGGCACGGACGGGGATCTACTTGAACCCAGCGGGGAGGATCACCGCCGAAGCAGAGTACATACGCCGGAGGCGAGGGGGGAGGAAGACCGCGCGCCGGAGGCCAGCGGGGACTCTTCTTCGCGGGAAGATGCCGCTGACTTGCAACCGGATATCGACAGCGGGCCCCACGCGCGATTCGGGTCAGACCGTTGGACGCGGTCCTTCGGGGAGAGGAGGATTCGTTCACCAATTTGTTCCAGCGCGAGGGGCTGAACGTAAGATTCCAGTCGGATCTGTCAACGGGCTGGGCCGGAAGCTTAGGCCCATATTGTCGCGGGAGCCCAACCAAATGTGGTCGGTCCTCCGACAAACATAAGCATCAGGAGCAGTGTGCGGATCTGTGGCAGCTCTCCTCTTGCTCTAAGACGGCGGCGGCTGCGACCGTTGACTGGGAGGGGACCCACCCCATCCACCTCCCGGTCGGCGCGGGGTCAACGTCGAGAAGGGGAGGTGAGCTTATCCTCAGGTCGGCGGCCGCGCCGGCGGACGGACTGTCGCCCTCCCGCTGCAGCACCGGAGCGTGACGAGCCGGTAGCGACGTGGCAGCCGTTGACCACCGTGAATCGACTGTTGACTCTCTCTCTCTCTAATGTGAGAAAGTGTGAGAGCGAGCGAGAGAGAGAGGGGTACGATCGGCGGATGGGAACATTCTTCGCCTGCTACGCCCGGGAATCGACGGAATCAGGCAATGATTGATTGCACCGATCAGATCTCCGGATGCATGGACGGACGGCCTCGATAGATCCACCCATCACCGGGGGGAGGAGGAGGCGGAGGGCATTGTCGTCATTCCAGAGCCTCTATACGGGACACGAAATGCCACGCTGGCCCTCGTCGCCGACAGGTAGGACGGGCCCCCGTTTCTTCAGTGGGGGGGGGGGGACCACTCTGCTGGATCCAGTTTAAGTTGACTCCCCAGCTCCGGAGTGAAACGGCCGTCGATTGGGGGGAGGTTTCTAATAATTTATAAAATATCTGGTCATCAGAATATTATCGCGGTAATGAAGGGAACTGTGGCTTACTTAATGAAAGCAGCCTGTCGGCTGGGCCCCGCCGGGCGGCGGCAACAGCTAGCCACTCTACTTCTCTCAGTAGTGTGGTGGCGTCGGCCGGCCGGAATCGGAATCGGACGCAGAATCGGGAGCCGCCCCACCCCAAGCTCCCCTCTTTTTCTCCCCGCCATTTTCCTTGTTCCTCTCCCCGCTGCTCTGTTGCTGCTGATGATATTCGGACGCCATTAAAAGCTCCGCTCCTCCATCTCCTCGTCTCCCTGCGCTGTCACTCCCTCCCTTCCTTCCCTCCAACGGGCCCCACCCCCACCCCCCGCTCTTTCCTCTCTCTCTCTCTCTCGCTCTCATTTATTTATCATATGCTCAGTTTATTTTATTTGCTTTAATTTTCCGCCGTTAAAGCCTCGCTTTCGGGAGTGGAACGAACGCATTCCAGTGGGGGCGGCGCTGTTCGGGCGGAACCCGTCGGTGCCTCCGGGGTCTGCTCGGAGATCCCAAAGTCCTCACCGTCGCCGGGGGAGGGGGGGGAGAGGGGGTGAGGAGAAGGTAGCCCCCTTGCCGCTGCAATGAAGTCGGAGGCTCTGCTCGATTCGGTCGTGTTCCAGCTCACTCCTACCCGGACCAGGTGAGTTCCACACAGAGGTGGATCGCGTTCGAGAATTGGGGTGCGATGCTGCGACGATGTGGAGGAGGTTGATTTGATTCTTCTTGGGCTGAAATGCGCCGTTTGATCTGGGGAAATCTGAAGATTTACAGTTTTTTTTCCGGCTTTTGCTCAATGAGAAGGAGCCTTAGTTTGATGCCACGGTGTGGTCATTTTCGCCCAAGCAGCCCAGTCTTTTGCTCTAGATTTAAACGTGACGATGATCGGGGACATGCGTTCTACGCATCTCGGATTTGTACGTCTTATTTGGTCCCGCCTTTAGATACTTGGCTTGGCCGATGTTAACGTTTTCCCCATTGGTCAGGTTTTTAAGGAATTTCTCGAATTTCTGATTCGAAGTTTCGGGCGTTTCTTCAATTTCCTTCCTCTGGTTGGGAGTTGAATTATTTCTCAGAAGAAGAATGCTGCCGTCATATCTTGCAGAATTATTTTCCAAATCAATTTTCTTCCTCTGCTTGATGTAGTTCCAAATCTGCTTGACGTCCAATGGGTGACATGCAGTTTTCGTGTTAAAGCTCCTCCTCAGTTTTCACCGACGTTAGATCTTGCGTCGCTAGTTTTTCCCGGTCGGTTTGACGTTGTTACGCCATAATCCGTGCTAAGATTTGGAAAAGTGGTCTGGTCTGACGAGGACCTTGATTATCCCTCCGGGACCCCATCCTCTCACCCCCCCCTCCCAACAATCTCGCGAATGAAGGGCTGAGATCCCCGAACAGGTTCCCTGACGGGGCCAGCTGTTCCCCGTACAGAAGCTTGCGCTCGACCTGGTTCTCAGGCTTTTTACGTCCGAATTGAATGTATTTTGTGTTGAGTTAGTCAGTCACCGCGTTCCCTGTTCCTCAGGTGTGACTTGGTTATCAAAGCAAATGGAAAGACGGAGAAAATCGCAACGGGGTTATTGAACCCATTTCTTGACCACTTGAAAACGGCTAAAGATCAGATTGCAAAGGGTGGCTATTCCATCATACTTGAACCCGAGCTGGGAGCTGATGCTCCATGGTTCACAAAGGGGACAGTCGAGAGGTCTACAACTAAGCACTTTTGGTGTTGTGCATCTTGGTTTCTGGGAAAAGGCTGTTATCGTGACATTTTTATCCAAAACAAAACTTGTCAAATCAGGTTTGTTCGTTTCGTGAGCACACCAGAGGTCCTGGAACGAGTGAATACAATTGAATCGGAAATTTTTCAGATTGAGGAAGGCATTGCTATGCAAGGCAACGAGATTTTGCAATCAAGCTCTGTGAGTACTAGAGACAATCCTTCCTCTGGTTGTTTGTAGTTCGGCGCATCATCTCTCTGTTTCCGTGTGTCCATCAGGTCGAGGAAGATCAATCAAGATCGGTGGAGCATTCTGGAGGTACGTGAAGTGACTTATGTTACTGTCTCTTTCAGAGGCAGGAGTAATGTGACGTGGACCGTTCCAGTTTGTTCTTCTTATCTGTCCTTAATGCCCTTGTGATCTCCTTCTGTTATGACCAGAATATCTTCGCAGCTAATGACTTTCCTGTTTGCAGACAAATAAAGTTTCATTCTTTTTGGGAGTGTGTATGTTTTCTGTGTAATGGGGGGAGAAATAAATGATAAAAAACCAAATCCAAATAATATCAAGAGAAACGTACCACAATGTATCTCCATTAGTGTTTCTTCCTATGCGATTTTATTTCCTGAAACATTGGGAACACATTTGCTAAATTGTGCCTTATTATTATTTCCTGTTATATGTTTGCAAGCTCATTAATCTCTTTGATGTTTTGATCAGGGAGTAAGTCTGTGATTAGTGCAGATGCCGCAAAAGCAATCGTCCTTTATAAGGTACCAGCATGCAGTTTTGATTTAGATTCAGTGTATCTTTTTCACACGGCCCAATCAGTTTCTGTCTTGATCTAATTTTGATTTTTAATGGCAGCCAGGAACACCTGCACCTGAGTCAAGCGGGTTGGCATCTCGTGAAGAAAATTCAAAGTATGTGTTAGTAGGATAAGTGACTCTTTCTCGTCAATAGTTTTCCAATTGTTCAAATGTTAGGCATCAGATCTCCTTCTTATTCTGTTCCAAGTTCAAATATTAGGCACTAAGCATAATATTAGATGAATTTTTGTGCAGTTTACTGTGACTTTAATAGGATATATACTTGTCTTTGTCATCGTCTGTTATCACCAGGGTAATATTACCATACTGTTGTACTCTTAGACACACTCATGGCAAAGAGATTCTGTCTTCCTTAGACTGTGGGCCTGCTATCGGTGATTGTTTGAGTGTAGATCTCTACTGAAACCATCATTGGTTTCCAGATATGTTGGAAATGGCGTGTATCCAGTTTTTCTTATTTTGGCCAGGGTTCAGCTCCTTCGAGTCCTCGAGACCCGGAAGACCGTCTTGCAGAAAGAACAAGGGATGGCTTTTGCACGTGCTGCAGCTGCTGGTTTTACCGTGGAGAACATAGCATATTTGATCTCATTTGCAGAATGCTTTGGAGCTGTGCGCATGTTGTAAGCTCTCTTTTCCTCTTTGGTGGCTACAGAATTCCAGGATTTATGGGTATGATTCCATAACTTTCTGGGTATTCTCCTTGAATTACTGAATGCTTATTTTTCTCTCCTTTATGCAATAGGGAAGCTTGCTCGAAGTTTATGGACCTATATAATGGGAAGCACGAAACGGGTCAATGGCTCGAGATTGAAGCTGCAGATGCAATGTCAATGCGATCTGAATTTACTGCAATGAATACTTCCGAAATCCTGCTTTCTGCTGATATAGGGAGACAGAGGGAACACAGGGAGCAATGGCCTGCACCCAATAATGATTTGAATGAAGGAAACAACGGGAAAGTTAATGGCGGAGACATGAATTCGGATCTGCCTAGAGGTAACGTAAGAGAGGATAAAAGTTCAATTAGCTTAAGGCTGGATTTGTATTCCTTCTTTTAGTCACTTTGCCTACAATATTATGTATAAGCTAAATGATTAGTTCCAATATTTGTTAAAGAAAGTAGAGGTTTCTTTTTTATTGGCAACATTAGGCCTCATTTCTTCTGCCAAATTGTCGAGCGATATTTTTTCACTCATTAGAATCGTGATCATTGTCAAAAGTGCCCTTACATGGCATACATGATTTCTGTGAGTGTGTTTTACCACTTGTTCATATTCACTTTGACATAATTCTGTAATACTTTGTACTTGTTCGATGATTCTAATCCATGTTCTCTTAATTCATGTCCAGATACTCGGATAAATGGTGAGTCTAAGGCACCTGGAGGACCCAACGAATATTTTCAAGGTCAGTATCCGCATCCTATGTTCCCTCAGTGGCCGGTTCATTCTCCAGGAGGCGTGCCTGTATTTCAACCCTATACCATGCAAGGTATGCCATTCTATCAGAACTATCCAGCTGGTGGTCCCTATTTTCCACCTCCATATGCTCCAGTGGAGGATCCCACACACCACAAACCACGGAGAACCAAGTCAAAAAAGCGTTCCAGCGACAGTAAAAGTAGCACTGTGGAATCGGAGTCCCATGAAATGAGTGCACAGTCGCAGGATGATGATGATAATACTTCTGATTTGGAAAAGGAAGCCTCTGTGAAGAGGGAATCGCGTAGGAAGAGTGGCAGATCTGGCAAGAAACAGTCTGGAATGGTTGTTATAAAAAATCTAAACTATATTGCATCCAAGAAACATAATAATGCATCAGGCAGCGAATCCTGTACAGCATCCGACTCTGAAAATGAAGGTTCACACTCGGATACAGCAGGAAGGAATGAAAGAAATAGAAAATCTTCCAGGTCTTCTAAATCTAAGAGAAAAGGGGACCGCAGCAAGTATGCTGAGACTGAAGTCTCGTTGCCAAATAAGGAAGAAGCGAGATACGGACAGGAACTTGATTCTGGAAGCTGGGAAGTATTCCAGAATTTCTTACTGAGAGATGAAGAAAAGGGTGTAAATGCTGACTCGGGTATGTTTTCCAGCGAGAAGAAACCAGCGATGAAGAGACAGGAAAGCAAAACGGGAGAAGATCCCATCCTTCCCATTGACAGAGATTTTGATGATTCCCTGGAGAGGAAGATGGTGGATTTAGATACAACAGATGGTAAGCCCACCAGAATGTACAAGCACAAGGGCTTAAATGATCACAAATTTTATTTAGATGGAGGATTGAGGGATGACAAGCAAGATGTACCGTTTGAAGAGATCGAAGGTGGAAGCAGAGGATACAGGAAGGGAACAAGCGAGGATTTTGTTGTATATAGACAAGATAAGGTACCGAATGTCAGGAATTCTTCAGATCCAATTGCTGAAAATGAGTATGCGCACGCAAATTCTATACCCAAGGGTTCTTTGTATAATGCCAGTGACGAGTCCTTCATAATACCAATGAGGTTGGGCTCACCGGAGCAGAATGAAAGTGCCAGCAGAACTGCTATTGTCATGGACTCGGAGTTCCCTTCAGCTCCTCAGGAGTTTGATTCGTCCAATACTGTCAGAAATCAACTTAACTATGAACCTGATGATTTGAGCTTAATGCCTGAACGTGAAATTGATAGAGATTTTATAGGCTATGATCCAGCCCTGGATTATGACATGGAGGTTCAAATTGAGACTGATGCTGTTGTAGAAAATGGTGAACCAGAAGATTCAACCGGGATCCTGGAAGAATTGAAAAAGAAAGACAAGGAAAAGAAATCAAAGGCACTTCAGGATGGATCAGAGAAAAAAAAGATGGAGTCGGCATTAGGAAGGGGTAGATTGACAAAGTTGAGTCCATTAGCTCAAGCACAAGCACGTGCTGATAAACTCCGGGCCTATAAAGCTGATCTTCAGAAAGTTAAGAAAGAGAAGGTATGTTTAAAACTGTCTAGTTCTCTCAGTTGAGTTGGGTTTGAATTAAATTTTATTGTATGGCCGAACCTGGCTGTCATTCAAGTAAATACTTTTTTCTCAAAGACTGTGTGAAGTGATGAATTCATGAGAGACCAGTTGCATATTCTGAATTTTCTTCCTGATTTAAGTAACACAATACTTTAGTGTCCCCAGTGTCCAGGCTTGGCTGTTCTTTTTTTTCCCTTTTGTTTTAAAATAATTCGACTTGGAATGATCCGAATCTGTGATTTCATTTTATAATTTAATTATTTTTCCACAGCAAAGAGGTAACTCGCTTTACATTTTAGGAAATAAGAAAAGGTATTTATAGAGTATAATTTCCCTTGTTACTGTGATCTTTAGTCGTAGATCGAAACACTAGTCTGTGGACTTCCATCTGAACTAGAATGCAAAAAGTACTATCATTAGTTGCATTCATCCTGTCATCTGCAGTTATCCAACTATTTCAAGGAAAAAAACTTCTAAAGCGTTTGTGATGCAGTTCCTCAATTAACTCCATAATCTCGTCGTGAGTTTGACATGTGAGAATCGAGATGGGCTGCTAGGGTCATAGAGACTAGGGGTGCTGCAAACGAATGGATTGAACGAGTTTAAATAGCATCACCGTATGTAAGATTCTGTTGGCGCACGGGGCTTCTTCTTCTTTTTTTTTTTCCCAGTTCCATGTTACAATTGAAATACTGTGTTGCCGTAGCAAGTTTATAACTTCTCTAAGCATGGAAGTGGAGGTGTTGGATTTCCTCATTTAGATTGGAGGTGTTGTGTTTGCGTTCACTGTCTCTCCTATTCAACTTCAGGAGGATGAAGCGGTTAGGAGACTGGAAGCCTTGAAATTAGAACGGCAGAAGAGGATTGCTGCAAGGAGTTCGAGTGCTGCTCATTCACCGTCGACACAACAGAAAAAAACCCAAATTCAAGGAAATCTGTCCCCGAGTATACACAGGGGATCGAAATTTAGTGACTCACCCGGGTCTCCCTCACCTCTACAGAGGTTACCCGTCAGAGCAAGCACCATCGGGTCTGCTAGCAGATCGGATGCTCGTAAACAGGCAGTTGGAAACGGGGTTAGTCGATCTGTTTCATTCCTATCAGATGCAAATGCAAAGAAAGCCCCCCCTGGGGTGGGCCGATCAGTTTCATCCTTATCAGATTCAAAGAAAGATGCCACTCCCAGAACTAAGGCTGCTCCCCTAGAGAGCAAAAGGTTATCTGGTTCAAAAGGCAGTGAAACCCTTTTTTCCCCCAAACTGGGAGACAATGATATAACTTCCAAGAAGAACAGTTTTGTTCCTAAAGTTGGCGACAGGATTCGTGATTCCTCACTAAAGTCAGTACGCGGTGACCAAGCTCAGATGAAGTCTTCATCAGACGAGCCTCAACCGAAGAGTACTATTGCAAACCTTGATGATTCCAAGTACGCTTCCCTGCCAGAGGTTACGCTGATGAGCGTCACAGGAGCTATTTCCAGCACAGCCGTGGAGGACCCTGAACAGGAGGGAAATGAAAGGAAACATCTTGCGACTTCTGGAGAAGCAGCGACAAAAGGTGGGCAGAAGATACAACAGCTTAGCAATGGAGATGATAATGCAATTATTGAGAAGATTGTCGTCATGCTTGAACATGAGAGTGCTCCGATACGTGCCCCTAACATGCAAAAGCTAGAACATGAGATAGGAACAGGAAATGGATCCGCAGAATTTAAAAAGGCTGGCGAGAACGAAACCTTTTCAGGATATGCGGCTATTCGAGCGCCACCTTCGCCCATTGTCAAATGTGAAGTCAATACTGGTGTCACCGATTCCCAGCTGGATCACCCAGCTGAATCTGGTCAGGTATTTGAACTAACTGAACTTTCTACCTGCGTTTTATCTCTTTGTTCTGTCACGTTGTATGATTTCTCCAAGGGTGCTTTATGTAGAAAGCTGACGTATGCTGCTGATTATTATTTCAAATGACAAACTAGTATTTCATAAATTTTTGCCTTTTCATTTGCGTACTCCTTTTATAGGTACAGTATCAAGGAAAAGCCTTGTGTAGATGATTTTAGTTAAGAAAAGCAGCAGTCTTATGACTTTTGGATCATGCGATTGGCTATTCTATTATTCTAAAACCATACATTTCTGCCTGTTTGCTATACTGCTGGTTGACCCTTGTGATCTCTTACGTTAGCCTAATCGAGAGGATGCCTTGGGTGGCAGGTGAGCGTGGAGAAGGCCTCAGACAAACCGTATCAGTCGCCATATGCCCAGGCAACGCCATTAGAGTCGGATTACACTAAAGCACGACTGACCGTAAGCTCAGAAAATGCTTCAACGATGGAAGAGATCAGTAAGGTGTACGTGCCTCATTCGGGAGATCCTTCCGTAGAACAGGAGCATGAAACTGTTGAGAAACCACGGAGCAGGGAGTCCCTGAAGGGCTTTAAAAAGCTGTTGAAGTTCGGAAGAAAGAGCCACGGCGCGAGTCCCAGTGAACCCACTTCCGAGTTGGACAGCTCATCCGCAGACGATCATACGCCTGCCGACGCCTCTTCTGGTGAAGGTACGACTTCTCACCTCCCTTGCCTTGCCTTGCCTTGCCTTGATCTGTCGTTGCCTGGCTCAGGCGGCCGACACCCCCCCCCCCCCTCCCCCCGGATGTATTATTGCCCGTCTCTGTCACCTCAGGCCGAGCGTGACCACCTTTCGTCTATCCCCGGCAAGATAAAAAATTGTCAATGAAAAGAGAGACATGGTGGGTGGGTGATCCTCGTCCGTCCATTAACTTTGCTGATTGCACAATTTTTCTCTCGTCTTAGTTCGCGCACCGAACGATCCCACCCCCCAGGAGGAGGCTCAGCCGGAGGGCACCCTTTCCAAAGGAGATAAGTCTGGTACGCCCCCAACCCCCTCCCAGCTACCCTCATCCATGACAAGCACCTGTGCGTCGTCACGGGCTAGTGGCCTGTGCATGGTGCATGCGCTGATGATGCGATATTATCCTCCCGACCACCAAGTCTTCTCTAATTTTCTCCTTGGATCGTAGGCTCCCGCCATTTCTCCATCCTTTCGCCCTTCCGGAGCAAGAGCAGTGAGAAGAAGTTTTCGGCTGCGTGAGGAAGCGGAGGCCTTTTGATGCCACGCCCTGGAAGCCGCCGGGAAGATCCGACCTCGTCCGCTGCTCGCACGCAGCACAGCATGTCTGTTCGTTCTTCGTGAAGCCCGCTCATTTGTAGAGCCTCGAAACTAAATGACTCGGTGCTGTAAAATCTGTGGGTACACGGCGCCCGTCCCCCACCCCCCACTCCTCGATGTTCATATCTTTGTATTGATTTTTATCAAGCGTGAGTTTTCTCCTTCGGCGGATTGCTGGTAATCTTAAAGACTCCCTCTTTTCTCTGACCCACTGACCCGGTCGACGGGCGGCTGATAAATAAATTAAATAAAAAAAAAAAGAAATCAGAGAGGAAACAAAGAACGGAGAAATGGGCAGCTAGCTTGCAAAGCAAGTCCGAGATCATTTGAGCTGCCATGGGCTCCGTTGGAATTAATGAATGCTCCTCGACGATCCAGCTTGCAAGCTGCTGGCACCGGATACTTTTGAGCAGTAGACCCTCCTTCCCCGCCAGGACCATGAGGAATCAGAGAGTTCGGCATGAAGGTCGAGTGAACGGCGTTCGCGCATTCATCTATCCTATACAGCTGTGCAGGAAGGGACCACTGCAAGTGCTGCTCACCCTCCCTCCGGAGATCACCCAAAATCATCATCGTACACGCCCCCCGCGGGCCTGAGTTGCTAGTTTCTTTCCCCTCCGGGTCGCCTTGCCAGCTGCCCCCCGTGGTGTGATTGGTGCGTCCGGAACATGCCGATCGTTGCCGGGCATGTGGCTTTGTTTATTTCGGCTGCCTAGTCGATGTAACTGGCGGCTCACTAACCACACGAGTAGACACCAGGGCGACCACACAACTTGCCAGTCTCATGTTCCGGAACGCCCTGTCGATTTTAATGAAAATGGGATCGTAACGACGACAAAAAGGGTAAGCCTGTGGTAGCGTCCCGGGCGTTTCTCTTTCTTTTGATGGAACAAAGAACCGAAAGAGGACAAGGGGTTGGTGTATCGACGATTATCCATGGTTGACTCAGGACGAGAGCCTCACAGAGATCTCGTGCGCGCGTGTGTGTATGTCTCTCGCTCTCTCTCTCCCTCTCTCGATGTTTCTCCCTAGCAAAGGATTCCAACGGGGAGATGAGATCTATCCAAGCCCATGCAAGCGAACGAGATGAGCCCAAGGACACCGAAGACGGCCCGGTAGACGCTAGGTGTTCTATGTGGGCACAACAGACTAAGGCCTGTGTCCACAAAGGGCGCCGAGCCCCAGACTGGTGCATTGAAATTCCTCGGCTTGAAGTAAAAAAAAAAAAAAAGGAACAGAATCTAAACATTGTCCGTTAATGGCGAATACAGGTTGGCCTAAGCTCTGCCAATGAACTCCCATAAGAAATAATCCTAAGTAGCACTCAAATCTTTCAGGATGCGTAGGATCCTCCCCGTCCAGGCGCTCCCCCTTCTGATAGAAACGCGAAAGTGAGAAATCGACAGGCAAGTGCAATTACATACCGGACGTATGGGCCATAGGAAATGAAGAAGACCTCCACAGACTTCTGGTAACACGATCCTACGCGCTCGATTTCCTCAACTTGGCGAGCTCTTGCCTCACAACGGCAGCTCTCTGAACAGCAGAATACCCATCAGATCAGTAGAGGCGCTTGGCGAAGTATCTTTCTAAACAAAGAGGTGGATGGAATTAGCCAAACCTTGATCCTGGCCAGCATGACCTTGAACCTGTCAAAGTCATTGAGAGCAGCTCGGCGCTTCTGCACGATCAGCTTCCTACCCCAGGAACTATTCTCCCACTTGTTCTTTATGTCTGCCAACGTCAACTCTTATGTCTCGTAGTCTAAAATTAACCGACAACAAGAAAATAAAGATGACCCAAGATAACATTTCCCCTGTATATATGGAACGGCCTTCTTACCAGCCGCCTCAAGCGCCTCAGCCAGCGTCTTCTTCTTGGGAACTCTAGGAATCTCGATTTTGAAGTCCGTCAGCTGCAACCTTTTAAGGTTCATCTGTCCACGCACAATGTCAGGATAATCGACAAGTACCTGCACAAGCAAACTCACTCGTCAATCTTCTTCCAAAGCATAGCCATCTTTGAGTACAGCTGAATAAGCCATTGAATATTTCTAGCTATAGAAATTAAACGACAAAAATTACGCGGAGGAAATTAAAAAAAGTTCGTGCTTATCATTTTTTTTCACAAAAATGGTATAATAAGGATGAAGCCCAACAAATCTTCACTCACCTCTATTCTATGATTTCAATTATTTCTCACAAATATGATCGGGTTAGTACCCCTCCAAAACAGATGTCCAAGTAGTTTCTATTTCAATGGATCAAATTCAGGTGGTCAGAAGTTCATAGATTTTAAGACGATGAAAAAGTAATAGATGAACATTTCTCTAAAACGCCGCAATATAATGTCATCCTTAAAAAGAAGTTTGCCCAAAAAAACACAGCCAGAAACCCAGAGTACGATTGGACGGACAAACTGGTCGCTAGAACAACTTCGAATTCAATCTTTGACAACCGGTGATCACAACCCCGAAATGTCAAAAACCTAATAATATTGGATGGACGTCGGGTAAGCGCACAGCTTCGAGTTCTCTGTACATCGAAGCTCTGCTCTTAGACATCGAGTGTCCAACTTTTTAATGGTGCCCTTCCTACGCGGAGTCTCCGCAAACTATGACAGATTTTAAGTTCATGGGAGTGAGAATCGTAGCTCAAGGAAAGAGACTGAGCGTCACGGCGAGGATAAAATGATAAATCGTACGCTAGAAAGTAAATAAATGAACTTGGATTAGGTAATCCAAGGAACAAATATTGTACCCTACGCCACAATTGAAGGGAGGCATGGGTTGCCAGCAGACGCTTACTCGGTTTTGATCGACGACGTCGACGATGACGACGAGCTTGCCATAGTCCTTGCCGTAGTTGACGAGGGCAACCCTCCCGATCTCTACGTACCGCTTGAAAACCTTTCAATCCGGAAAGAGAAGCAGATATCCGGTAAAGACGAGTAAGAACAGTCAAGAACACCACAGAATAAGCAACCACAAGCAAGGGGCGGAAGCTTCACAGACCATTGTGGAGGTTACTGAGAGCACGACGCCGACGGCGGAAAACGGCGGACTCCAGAAGTGGAGGAGGTGCGGCAGCGAGGTAAAGATATACTGAGATTTCCTGCCATCCCAGCCGTTCGATTTAGGGCGCCATGTCGTCTAACGCCACCGATCCTTGAGCACATTGGATCTTGGCTGGTCGGTCCACTTAATATCGTGGGCTTGAACGTTTGTCCATGCAGTTTCTGGGCCGTCATTCTATAAACCGCGGAAAGGGCCCAATATGTCAACTCCCTCTTGACGCTGCCAGTCGACTGGGTGGCAGCGCGTCGGGGAGAACCCCACCGCCGGCAACTGCTGCTCCTGCATCTTGGCGACCAGCGAGGGCAGCGAGGTAAATACAGAGAACCCTCGCGATTGATCGTTGAGGCCCGTCAAATGACGGCCTCCATGAACGGGCTCTCCCCTCGCTATATTTAGTAGTCATCCATCCTGACTCGCCCCTCCTCTCTGTCTCTCTGTGTCTCTGCGCCTCTGTCTCGCATGCGCTGTATGTTCATTCGTGGGGGTGGAGGGGCTGGCCTCCGTCGCATGGCCTGGACGACGACGACAGCGTGGGGTCGTTGCCGCCGCCCAGGGGCGTCGGCAACGAAACCCGCTTTGGGAGGTCAAAGCAGGGGCGGCGAGGTTGGGGGGACCCCGGGGTTTAAACGGGAAAACAAGCATCTACTTCTTCCTCGCAGCCGAGGGCAGCCAGGAGATTGTTGCAGAGATGGGGCAGGGAGGGCCATGTCGGGGAGGAGGTTGTCCTCGGGGCCGTCGTATCCCTCGAGCGTCGTGAAACCCTCGCCGCCGCGGTTCATTACCTTGCGGCGTCCTGACTGGTGAGTGAGCCGGCTCTCTTCGTCTCCATCTCAGTCTCGCCCGCGAATGAGGAGGGCAGCACCGTACTCCAGCTCCTCCGTCGACGAAGACGAAGCTATCACGAGATGCGATCTCTATCTCTGTTCCATCATCCTAAGCAAGCTTCGTTCCAGTGATGTGACGAGCAATTCGGTCTGATCTGTACACAAGAAAGAACGACAGTACTCGCCCTGCCCGCAGATTTATCTGTCCCACCCGCCCCGTCGGAGTGAAATTGCCTGGAAGATGTCGATGAAGATGAAGGGCCTGTTGAAGGGCCTGCGGCACATCTCCCACATATTCGGTACGCCCGCGACCCCCTCTCTACCCCACGATCGATCGACCGACCATCTCCGCCATTGCGGGCGCTCCCAGTCTAGTCTCACGTCTCCCCGCGCGCAGACGCCAAGGAGCAGGAAATGCAGATTGGCTACCCGACGGACGTGAAGCACGTCGCCCACATCGGCTGGGACGGCGCCTCTCTGAACTCCCCCAGCTGGGTCTCTGCTCGCCGCCACGTCCTTCCTCCTCCTCCTCCGCCGCCTGGCGATCTAATCCGCTCTTCTCGCCGCCGCAGATGAACGAGTTCCACTCTGCGCCGCTTGCGACTGAGCCCGCGGCGGACCCGCCTCCCCTGTTCCCTATGCCAGGGTCCTACGGTCTGTCTGTCTGAGACCGATCCACTCCTCCGTCACCGTCACCCTGCACGAACCCCTCCCCCCGCCGGTTGGCCGACTGACTCTGCTCGCTCCTGTTCCTCGTGCAGATCCCGTCCACCATGGTGGGTGGAACCAGGACTCGGCGCACCCGCCGGCCCTCGCGAAGCCCCTGCGGTGCGGGTCATCCAGTGCCGCCGCCGTCGTGGATTCGCCGACCCGCAGGAACCCCCATCGAAGGAAGCAGCCCAGCGCCGCCGTGGCCGTGGACTCCCCGAGTCGGGAGCCGTCGTCGACGCGGAGGCGCGCCCCCAAGGGAAGCAGCAGCGAAGCCAAGTCGGGGATTGTCGTCACCCACCCCACCGACTCGCCCAGGCAGGACCTCCCTCTGGTACCCAGAACTGCCCGCAAGAAGAAGCCCCTGGCAGAGGGTCACGGGGGGTCGTCCAGGGCTTGGGTCCCATCGTCGGATGGCGCGGGGATGGCAACGCCGGCGGCGGGAGGCGCCGATGATTCTTCCGGAGCGGGGGAGAGTTAGGGTGGTTCCACGGCGGCCCCTCGTACGAGAACACCAACCAACACTTGCGATTCCCCCGTCGCAGCAGTGGCGGCGCTCCGGGCTTAGAGTTGAGGGTAAGCCGCCGATCGGGGCGTCAGAAAACCTTAACGAGGAAGACGATCGTTTACTGTTGGAAATGGTGCAGCTCGCTGGAAAAACTCACTTTGTTTTTCCTTTTTTCTCTGCGTCGCCCCGGAGAAATGAGAAACACAGAGGTCGTCGTCTTCCTGATCCTGTTGTGGACCTTCGTCCGGACAGCCCGAAAGGTCGCCTACAAAACCCAGAGGGAGACTAAGACACCCAGGTGCACCCACGAGAGGAAGAAGAGAGACGGCGGCCGTCGCCTCCACGGGAAGGACCCCCCCGAGGAGGAGGGAGGATGGGAGATGATGATCTGTGTTCTATCGTCGCACAGCCCCAGGTAACCTAGGCCGCCTCCGGCCCTCCCCGCCAGCTCCCCGTCGAGGCACAGCCGCGGGTTCCCGAAGAGCTTCAGCTTCCCGCCGACCTTGGCCACGAAGCTGGCGGAGAAGGGGACGCGCCCGCCCAGCAGGTTGTTCCCCAGGTCGATCTCCTTTGCGGTCCCCTCCAGGCGCCTGAACTGCTTCGGCACTCCGCCCTCCAGGCGGTTGTTACCCAGGCCCAGGTATCAGATGTTCCCGAGGAACACCCCCATGGAGGACGGGATGCCACCCACCAGGCCTGCACGTGGCATACCGAGACGCACGAGGGCCCCTAGCTTCTCCCAGATCTCCGGTATGCGCCCGCCGAGCGGTTTCCCACTGAGGTAGAGCTCCTTCATGCTCCCCATCCCCGCCAGAGCCGCCGGGACTCCGCCGGTGAGGTTGTTCCGACTGACGTCCAGGAACTCCAGCTGCCGGAGGCCAGAGAGCTCCCCGGGAAGGGAACCGGAGAGGCGGTTCCCGCTCAGGTCCAGCTTCACGAGGGCCTCTAAACGTCCAAACTCCGGCGGGATGAGGCCTGCGATCCGATTGCTGCCCAGATCCAGGATCTTCAGCTCCCCGCACCGGGCGATGCTCCTGGGGACCTCCCCGCGTAACCGGTTTCGGGAGAGGACGAGCTGCAGGAGTCTTCGTAGATTGCCCATCTCATCCGGGATGCCCCCTGAAACCCCAGAGCAGCTTCCGGAGGAAAGGGAAGGAGGAGGAGGATGAACGATCGGGGAAGGCGGGGGAGAGCCCGCAGGGTGGGTTAGGGCTGAATTCAGAGATGTGACCGAAGTTGAGCTCGACGACGTGCATGGCAATGTCAGCTCCGCCCCCTCTTCCCTCTCTGCCGTGTGGAAATACATCGCAGACGACGCCGTGTGGGCCGGAGAGACAGACGTCGTCAGGGTAGAGAGAGCGCCACCCGACGGCGGGGTTGAGAGATTCCAGGCGATACACGGCCTCCCGCTCGGCTGCCGGGAGGAGGGCGGGTTGCGGCTGCTGGCTCCGGACGACGAAGGCGGAGACGGAAGCAAAGAGCAAGAACACGAGGCTACAACTGCGGGTGAAGGGGCAGGAGAACGCCATGCTGGTTGGTGTGCAGGAAGGCCGGCCGTCGAGGGAGGCGTTTAAGAGAGAGAGGGAGAGAGAGAGAGAGAGGGAGAGAGAGAGAGAGAGAGCCCTGGAGAGGGGAGAGCGTAGGGACGCGACAAGATGGAGACTTGCCCCAACAGAAAGCCGGGTGGGGGTGGGGGAAGGTAGAGATGTACGCCGGCGGCGGACTTTACAGCTGTGTCCCTCGGCGGAGCACCCCGTCGTCTCCCGGGCCGCCGGGGAAGGGGGGGGTGTGGCCTGACATGGCGGGGACAGCGCCTGACACCGCCGAGGATCCCCCCCCGGAAATCCCATCAGTCCCTAAGATAACTGGGTAATGAGTGGAGAGTGATTTTGGGCAGAGGTACGAGGTGCTCTAAGCCCTGTTTGGCCCGGAAGGGAGGGGATGGCTCGCCGCCCTACGAAAAGCGAGAAATACCAAAGTTACGACTTTGGGAGTCTCATCGCAACAACAGATGCGAGATTCGAGCTCCCTCGCTCGCTCGATGTTCGTTTGACTTACGCTACCCACTAGCGGTCGAGCTCTGAGAAGGGACTCTCTGTAGGCCCCACAACTGAACAGATGGCTCGGTGATGTAGGCGAGAGCAGGCGGCGGGCGGGGCCCCTGATACCCACAACAGAAAAGACGGAAGATGGATAGACGGCAAATGAAGATTAAGCGGCAGAAACCGTGGCTTGGGCTCCGAAGAACCCCAGAGTGGGTCGGCCCCCTGTCCTCCCTCAGCCGCAGCTGCCCTTAGGACCCACTTCCCTCTTCCAGAGTAAAGACTCCACCTTTTAGGCCTCATCTGAAGCAAGGGGTTATTTTGCCCCTTCGCGAGGGTACGACATACCCTCTTCTGGTCTGTAGTAAAAACAATTTAGGCCCACTGGGATCCTAACAGCCCCACCCCAATGATGGAGGGTCTCGGTGTGGACATGCTGTGGCCACCACCGTGCTTCCTCCCTAGCCTATTTAATCGAAGACCGCCCGCGCTCGCCGCCAGGGCCGGTCTCCCCTCCTTTCCGAGACGACGCGTGCATAGTGTAAGCGCGGAGGGGCTCAGCGCTGCTGGAAGCGAGGTCCGCATGGCGGTCGCAGGCCTCTACCGCCGGGTACTACCGTCTCCCCCGGCAATCGAGTTCGCCTCTTCCGAGGGGAAGGTGCTCGCCTCTGATCTTTTCCCTTTCGCGCAGCATCGTCCTTTCTTTTCTCTCCCCTCGTTCTCGTTTGTAATGCTGCATTCTGCTTTTTTGATTCTCGGTGGCACTTGGATCCCCATCGTCTTCTTACTTGGTCTATGGAGGAGGAACTCCTCTAGGGTTTTGGCATCGTTCTCGGCCATTTCTGTCTACTAATTATTCGTCTGCTGCGGTCGTCACATCTTTGCTCAAGACGATGGCGCTTCAGCATTTTTCACCCATTGGAACTCGCAACTGGCGACCCTCTCTTTCGGGAGAAATGCGGGGCTTTCGGTTTCCTCACTTTTTTTGTTTCTCCCGCACATAACCGTGACCGTCAATTTGATCTCTGCAGCAACTCTTCTCCGAGGCACTTCAGAATGGGACGATGGAGGGGTTCTTCAGATTGATCTCTTACTTCCAGACGCAATCGGAGCCCGCCTACTGCGGCCTCGCAAGTCTCTCTGTTGTTCTGAACGCCCTTGCAATCGATCCTGGGAGGAAATGGAAAGGTAGTTGTTGAATGCTTAGTGACACTCCTTGATGTATCAAATTTGAGATCTTTCTCTTCAAGTACCTTGGTCTGGGGATAATTCGGATTAAATATGCTGGATCGGTGTGTGTCTGAGGTACCTTTGGAAGCTGTTTAGACATACCTTCCTGAATCACCACCGAGGTCCACCATAGATAAAAGAAAAAAAAGAAGAGATATCGAGGGTATCAGTGGATGCGTCTAGTACATAAGATGTGTGTGGGGACACAAATTTTCAAACAGGGCCCTCTGTAATTATTTCTAGACTGCATTTTTTCAATATCGTACCTTCCGCTGCATCATTCAATGGGAAAGTAACTAGTATGTAAAGTGGGGTTGGTTTCCTTTCATGGATCGGAGAGTTTTTATCAGCTTCTTGTTTTCATTGTTTGTGCTCTTACAGGGCCGTGGAGATGGTTTGACGAGTCAATGTTAGACTGCTGTGAGCCTTTAGACAAAGTCAAGGAAAAAGGTATCACGTTTGGGAAGGTTGCTTGCCTCGCCAACTGTGCAGGCGCTAAAGTTGAAACTTTCCGGACAAACCAAAGCTCTGTTGACGATTTCCGCCAGAAGCTTATTAGCTGCGCATCCTCTGAGGATTGCCACTTGATCGCGTCATATCATAGGAAGCCTTTTATGCAGGTGCCCCTCCGGCCTCAGGACTTTTTTTTTGAGCTGTGATCTTGCATCATGCATTCATTTGCCTCTACTTTCGCCTCGCCCATTAAGAATTTGGTAAAGAGCTGGTTCATTGCTCATTTCTTAACTGAATACATGTAACTGCACCATCGTAGAATTCCTTAGATATGTCTTAGCTTATCAAGACTACGGCACTTCAACGTATCATTTAAGAACCCTGTTTTGTGTAGTTGAAGGACTTAGCTTGACTATAAACTCTTGGATCATTTGCTCACCCGTTTTTTTTCGGTTATCCTGCTGTAAATTATATCTTGTGCCGCAAAAAATGGTTTGATGACAGAAAGCATGGTATGTCTGATTGTCATGATATAGCCTTCTATATCTGATTCATGTACCCAGACTCCAGGACGACGCTTTATTTGTAAATTGGCAATAGATTGTGCTACAAAACCCCACCGTTAATTCCAATGGGAATAAAAAAATTCGCTAGAATTTCGTAGTACCACTGACTGATGGATGTTTTCTACATGGTGTTGACGAAAGTGAAAACAAAAAATAAATGTTACAAAAGAAAATGTTTCTTCCTCAAAACCTGCTTTATATTTACGTGACCATGCATTGTTGGCGTGTATGTTTTTTTGACAGTATACATCAGGCAGGATAAACTTTGCATACTGCAATTTTGTAGACAGGAACTGGCCATTTTTCACCGATTGGAGGGTATCATGCTGGGAGAGACATGGCATTGATCTTAGATGTCGCACGCTTCAAATATCCCCCCCACTGGGTTCCAATATCTCTCCTTTGGGAGGCAATGGATACATTTGACGAGGCAACGGGGCTTCCGCGTGGGTATGTTCTCATCTGTACCCTATTGGATGAAAAAATGAGTATTAATTACTCTGCTCGTCTAATCACCGAAACCAATCAAGTGCTTCTTTCAAATGCTTCTGTGCCTTGTGTTCTGTAAATACGAGGTCTGTTTACTGATTCGTGAGATGAGCAATGCGGCAACACTTCATTTAGTTAGGTCTCGTTTCGAACAGCTGTCTTGAGGCCAGGTGCTATGAAGGCTTCCTCATCTCTTTATTGATTTCAACGTGAAAAATCTTAGATTTCAACGTGAAATACACAGTTCCAGCGTTGACCACCGTAAGTAGCTGGCATTTTCTGAACTCCAACAACTGTCTGAATTATAGGAACTGAAAATAGGAATTTGGAAGAAAAATATTATTTTGCATTTTCAATATCAGTTCTGTTAAAGTAAAATTACCTTGTGGTGCTCTCAGGGCCCTACTTCCTTGATGATTTCTGTAATTTTTCCAACATTCAGTCTGCTTCTCCGTTATTATGTTGTCAAAATTCGCACTTTCACGCTCAAGATACTGTCTTCTGCAGGTTCATGCTTGTTTCGAAACTTCAGAAGCCTCCATCTCTGCTTTACACCCTGGTAATGGTTTATTTTCATATTTTCTCTCTCGTTATGTTCATCTTGTATTTTCCCCTACATGCGTCAATGCGGAATGTTAGCCATGGATTAGCCTGTACATAGCATTGTACGAAATATAATCTGTGATGTGCTATTTGACTGCAAATTAAGTGGAAAATCGTCTGTATAATCTAAATGTAAGGTTTACCATACCACGCTATGCTGTAGCAGGTTGCTGTTTTACTTTAGATGTTCAAAGTTTAATGATGCTATACTCCGCTTAGGCGTGTCCTTGAGGTACTCACATCAGGACAATCCACGTAGTTTCCATTACCAGCAGGAACTGGTTGAGGTGAAACTATAGTTGGGTATCTTGAGGAGTATGAGCAGTAATTTCCTTCAGAGGTTATCACCAAAAAAAAAAGAGAGCTGTCCCTGTACGTGGATAACAGATAATCTATGTCATGACATGCCTAGTTACTGCATTTACGGCTTCATGTATTTATCTTACGTGATTTATTCTATTGGTTTTGATAACTGATCTGTCTGTGAGTGTAGAATTGAGCAGTTATCGAAATTATGCAGAGTTGTAGACATGAGAGCTGGCTCAGTATTGCAAATTATTTGATCGAAGATGTGCCTCTCGTCCTAGAGTCAGAGAATCCGGTTACAATCTATGAAGTCCTCTGTCTTGTATTTTCATCTCTTCCTGCTAGTGCTGGAGAGTTTATCAAGTGGGTTGCTGAGGTCAAGAGACACGAGGAAAATGGAACAAGCTTAAGCATGGAAGAGAAGGGAAGGCTTACTGCCAAGGTATTGCATTTTATACATTAGCTTTCCTTTTAGGGTATGTCGTGCATATCTTAATGATATATAACATATCTTAATTATATGTTACAGGAAGAGGTGCTGGATCAAGTTCACAGGACCGAATTATTTAGATTTGTTTCAGAGTGCCTCTCTCTTTCAAACCCATTTTGTCAGAATATAAAACCTTTGAGTGACACGGATTCATTACCTGAGATCGCAGCTAATATTTGCTGCCAAGGAGCCCAACTATTGATGGGAAACTTTGGGATAGGTGAAAGATTTTCCTGTAGCTCAACATGTATAAAGGGCTCCAGGTCCAATGGCGACAAGCCTTTGACAGTCGTTTCAGGTACAGTGGTGTCCGGAAGCAATGAGCAAGGCGTCGATGTGCTTGTACCCATGTCACCAGGGAAATCAAACAGTCGTTTCCCAAACAGTTGCTCTATGATGCACCCGGCGAACAATGATATTTTAACCGTCTTGATTTTGGCCTTACCTCCTGCCACATGGTTAGGAATTAAGAACGCAAAGTTATCGGAGGAAATTCGTGCGCTTGTTTCCACTGAGAATCTCCCTGATGTTCTTCAAGATGAGGTAAATTTTATGGCAATTTCATTCTTGCTGCTTTCACATTTTGGTAATAAACCTTGATGTGGCCTGTTGGATTTGCCCAACGCCCGTTTATGGAATTATGCACTTTTTTTCCTTTCCGCTTGTGTGTTATTTGGTAATTTCCAACGAGTCCACAAGGATGCGTCATCAGATTATCATAATCATTGGGTGAGATTTGTTCTTTAGATATTTGTGTGTGTGCGCGCATATATATGAACATATATTTTTGGGGTCTTTATTTGACCATTCTACCCTTCATATCTGCATCCTGAAAATGTGGCTGGCACATCAAATCCTTGAAAAGCCCAGAAATGATTAAAAGCTCAATGGGATGATGCCATCTTGAAGAGGAAGAATCGCATATTCTTCGGATCCATGAATGGCTGTGTTATTTGAAGCTAGCCGATGAAGCATGATTTTCCCCTGACGGTGCGCGATCATCGGCTCAATGACATGCTCTTCTGATGTCCTATTTCCGCAGGTTCTGCACCTGAGGAGGCAGCTCCATTATCTCAAGGAGTGCTAGGAGACCGAGGTAGATGGCGAGCCCCGTCCATTATTCACCGACGGACGGACGGGCACTCAGCTGCATTGGGCGTCCATACAACTGCCCTCTCACCTGCGGGGAGTGGTGGGTGACATTACGTACACGAGATTTGCAAGAAGCTGCTCTGTTTGTGCCAAAGATCTTTGGCTCTCTGAAGACCCTGCTTCCCCTTCCTTCCCCCAGGACCAAGGGACGAGCCTTATGCGTCATGCCTCGCCGGAAGATTGTGACTGGCGCACGCGCATTGTACGCCCTCTGCGTGGGGATTCTTTTTCTACAGTCTCGACGATAAATGATAATAATAATGATGGCCCGTCCTGCCTGCTGCTGCTCTCCACGACGATGAATGATGATTTAGTTGTTTTGCTCGTTTGCAAGCCCCCGAGCCTGCGGCACCTCTCGGGCCGGGCCGTCCTCCCTTCGCCGTGGAATTATTACTGCGGGGATGTTGGTGATGGCCCGGACGGCGAGGAAAAGCCCGGCGGGTCTCGGTGGGCGCAAAAAGTGAGGCTTCTCTTGTTTTCTCTTCCCCCCCTGTGCCCGCACGGGGTTTTAGCGCCACCCCCTCCCCCCAACCCTAGCTCTACTCTCCTTGGCCCTCCTCCAGCCCCATTGCGCCAGCGGAGAAAGCCCCTTTCTTCTCCCTCTCCTTGGAGAAAGCCCCGTCGGAGGAGCATCTCTCGTCGTCTCAGACGGTCACATCCTGCTCGGCTTCCTCAGGCGGGCATCGGCGTTATCCAATTCATGAGCCCCTCCGGAGGCAGAATCCCCCCTTCTTCTTCCCCGCCGAAGACTCTCCTCCTCCATTTTGACCCTCAGTTCTCCCTCTGAGCTGCTGCTCCTTTTGCGGCGCCATCGTCCCCCTTTCCTCCTTTCTCGACATATCCCGGGTGGCGCCTCACCCTCCTCGCGGCCTCATCTCCATATTCCGTCCTGCGGAGCGCCATCATCCCTCCCCTCCGTCTGCGATAAGAGAGAGAGGGCTCCTGCGAATCTATCCTCCTCACGGTCCGCTTGAATGCCCCCCCCCCCCCTCGTCGCGGTCCTCCGGCCGTGACTAGCCGCGAATGGGTTGAATAACCGCCGCGGGCTGTCCCCCCTCCCACCTCTCTTCTCTCCCAAATCTCCCGGGAGGCGTCGGGTCGAACATCTGTCGGAGAGACGAGAATGGGTCACGCCTGTCTCGATGCCCTGCGGCGCCCTCTTCCCTGCGGACCTGCTCATTGCCGCAGGACCGGCCGGCGTCCTCTCGTGAGACCGCATGCCTTCCGCCTCGACTCTCCGGAGAAGCCCGAAGCCAAGAGGAACCACGAGCACGCCCACGCCGCCCGCCGAGAAGACGATGTGAACCTGTCTTCTTCTCTGCACCACCAGGGAGAGGGGCGGCTGCTGGGCCAGAGGAGGGGCGGCGGCCACGGCAGCGTCGAGAAGTCTCGGCGGCCGTGGAATTCCAACCCCGGGGGGTCGTCCTCCGATGGGTCCTTTGTGGAGAACGACGAGGCCTCCAACAACGAGGCGCTGCGCAGCTTCTGCGGGAATGGCAAGGTGTTCGAGGCCGCCAATCTGGTGGACGTCATGGCTCGGCTGGGCCAGCTCCCCGACTTCCCCTGCTGCGTGAACCTTATCCGAGGCCTAGCCAATGTCAACCTGACGGACAAGGCGGCGAGGATCCTCAAGGTCATGGTCATGTCCGGGGGGGTCCCCGACATCATCACCTACAACAAGCTGATCGGCAGCCTCTGCCGCAACGGGCGGCTGTCCCTCGCGGTGGGGCTGCTCGACGAGATGGCCCTCAGCGGCTGCCCTCCCGACGTCATCACCTACAACACCATCCTCCGGGTCATGTTCGAGCTGGGCAGGGGCGCCGAGGCTGTCCGCTTCTGGAAGGACCAGCTCAGGCGAGGCTGCCCCGCGTATCTCATCCCCTACACCATCCTCGTGGAGCTCACCTGCAAGAGCTGCGGGGCCGACCGGGCCCTGGAGGTCATCGACGCCATGGCCCTCGAGGGCTGCTACCCCGACATCGTCACCTACAACTCCCTCATCAATGTCGTTTGCAAGGGGGGCAGATCGGAGGACGCGGAGAGAGTAATCGGAGACCTACTGTCCCGCGGCCTGGAGCCCAATGCCGTCACCTACAACACCCTGCTCCACTCCTTCTGCGGCAGCGGGAGGTGGGCGGAGGCCGACGAGATCATCTCGATCATGAACGCCTCCTCCTCCCCTCCCACCGTCGTCACCTACAACATCCTGATCAACAGCCTCTGCAAGTTTCAGCTCTTGGACCGAGCCATCGATTTCTTGTGCCAGATGGTGCGCGACAACTGCTCGCCGGACATCGTCACCTACAACACCGTCTTGGGAACCATGTGCAAGAAGGGCCTGCTCGCCGAGGCGGTGGAGATCCTGCAGTTCATGAGGAGCCGCGGCTTCCCGGTCGTCCTGATCACATATAACATCGTGATCGACGCGCTGGCGAAGATCGGTGACGTCGACGGGGCGACCGCTCTGTTCGACGAGATGGTGCGGGACGGCATATCTCCGGACGACATCACCTACGGTTCGCTGGTGGCCGGCTTCTGCCGGAACGGCATGGTCGAGGAGGCTGCGAGGATGCTGCGGGTGATGTCCGAAACTGGCTGCAGGATCAGGGCCACCACCTTCACTCTGGTGATCGAGGGCCTGTGCGGGGCCGGGAAGGTGGACCTCGCTATAGAGGTCTTGAGCATGATGACCACAGGCGGATGCCGGCCGAACGCCGCCGTCTACGCATCCCTCATCGAAGGCATAGCCGCCTCGGGCATGATGGACGAAGCCGCGAGGCTGCGCAGAAGGCTGGTCGACTACAAGATCCTCAGGGAGGAACCGTGAGCTCACCTGTCGGTCTGGCTATCTGTCTGGTTTGTGGGACGGCAATCGAGGGTACATACATCTCATCGAGCTAAACCAGACGTCTGCTCTCGCCGATTCTCCGGGCGTCCGATCGTCTTCCTCGCCAGCATCTTCCTGCGAGAGATGCCTGTTTCGTGCGATTCAGTGCCCTCTTCCTGGCAGGGATGTCTGTCTGTGCGTGCTCGTCATGCATCTCCCGAGGTTCGGCCCTGCAGATGCCCGATTAGATTTCCTCCGATTGCCAACGAAAATGCGCCTCGCTGCATCCGAGAGGAACCAGCGTTTCTCGCTCGTTTTGTCTATCTTGAACGGAACGGGGAGCGCACGAGCTTATCGACATACGCGTGTTTCAGATTAATCGAAGCGGCGCCGTCGACGATTAGTTCTGCCGGGGTGGGGGGGGGTCTGCGGGACAAGCTCCCCCCCGTGGTCCTCTTGCGGTATCTGCCGCTGCCCTTTTGCTACGCGGACCGGCGGCAGCGGGAGATGACTCTTGTCGTCGCGCTGGTTTCCCTTTGTGAAGCGACAAAGTGAAGATGGGCGAAGAATTGAGCGACGCCGCAGCTTCAGATGAGCGACGGTCAGAAGAAAGCGTCAGCTCCTTGGAGGTCGAGCCTGGTCGAAAGGGCGCGGAAGAATGTAAAAAAAAAACATTATTGTAATACGATGAGTAGAATAAAATGAACAAATGGTTTATTTACTCAATTTGAGGAGAAGACAAGTAATCTGATTGCAACCATTCTCAAATCACTTCAATCTCAACTTCAAGATATCAATGCCCGCTTATAAGCATCGAAATAATGAGTTGAAGATTCACATGCAATGACTATGTGAAGTTATTATTTACACCACTACATGGACAAATGATGTTAACCAAAAGCGGCTACATGAGATGGTAGACCTCATGAAAGAGGTCAGATTGTTGAAGCACCTTCTGTCCAATGAGCAAGTAAGAAGATTGAGAATTTGTCAAGCCCCCAATGGGCCTAATCTATTCTCAGCACAAAAGAAGGGGCCCACCAGTCTGACCCACTCCTATAAGTAGAAGACCAAAGAAGGCTCCACTTAATATTCTATTGAGTATGATTTCATGATGACCATCAATATCTTTTTAGACTATATGCATGTGATGTTCCCAATGGATGTGATAATGATGATACTCTAAATTAAGTTGTGGCAAGGGATTGTAATTTCTGGATAAAAGATGATGTCCTCTGCATACATGGGTGACATGGTTGTATGTTGTATGGTGGCAACATTCAATGCCACCTACTACAAGTGACACAAATTACATATGGGACACTTAATATAATAAGCATGTTGACACACTTGTCTAATAACTATTTCTTGCAAAACATAGAAGTTTGGTATCTCTTCTCCTTGAGTGGTCATATGCTCATTTTGCTTTTAGGAGATGTCAATTGATAGCTTAGATAACTTGGACTTATATTGATCTCAAACTTCCTGAAATAATTAATGTGAGACAACCTCATCGATTATTCTTATTAGCCAGAATAACATTAAAAATACCCTTACACTATGAGAAAAATTCACATTAATGTGTTCACTATGTCAAGGGTATCATAGTAATTTTTTTAGCTTCATTTATGCAGCTAGGTGATTGATGGAGGTTTGAATTTCTTTGATGCTAAAATTTATGTTTTCTTCTATTTTAACTCCTCAATTTTTTTTAGGAAAATAATCAACATAAAAAATTGAGAAAAATAGTCAATTATCAACATAAACTTCATCAACGATAATAAAAGATTGTCATTCATAATTGATCAAGGATTTTAGATAGAAAAATGAAAACTTTGAAAGGAAATCAAGATTCATTGTAGTCTCTTTAGAGTATTCTGAATGCAATAAGAACATCCTCTTTTTCATGGACTAGATGAAGAAGGTCCATGAGATGCACTCCACCTCCATTGACTTTAGATCAATCAGATGAGAGTGGTGTGAAACCCCACCTCCATTAAGTTTTGCTCCACTAGGTTCCACTAGGTGATAACCACATGAGACATTTCACCACCACCTACCTTTGATCTCTAAACTTTACACATTAATTCAAATAGTGCCCATGTCATATATGTTCAAGGAGAGCTTTTAAGGCTGTTGACATCCATTAAAAAGATTTCTGAATATATAGAATTTCGGTGATTGCCACTATAATGTTGGAATTCTATTTTCCTTATTTAAACTATTGTAATCCTTAATTAATTATTATTTTACTTGAATTTAAGTTTATAAACTCTTCTTTAGTCTATTAGGATCATTTGGTACTTATATATATCAATTTCATCAATCAAAGTTTTTGAAGTTGTGTTCTTAATAATTACTAAATGAAATTTTATTTGCACTTGAATTGTTGTTCTTCATTTGTTGACATCTTCATGACATCAACACTTGATTCTTTTTAAAAAGCTTGTAATATTTTAGGATATAAATAATATAAAATTATATTCTTATAAAAAATTATAAAGTTCTCATTATTTTTAGAGCTCTATATTGATTTAAATTTTGAAATAATTTGAAAAATTATAAAGTTCATAATAATCTAAAAATAATATTTTTTGAAATTTAAAATTTATGTGATTTAATATACAACTACTAAATCACATCACCTCTCTTCATTATATGTCTTGAAATTAGAAATTCATTTTTAGATACATCATCTATTTTTATCAAAAATGTTTTGTCACCACTCTAGTCCTTTATCAGTACACAATTGAGGTTTTCATTAATTTTCTATATGCAAAATTGATGGTTGAAAAGGCATGCCAATGAAATGTTGAAGGACTACCTATATAATATGTATCATGGACATTCATCATATATTATCTAGTTTTCCTATAACATTCAACATAATTTGGTGACATGACACTCATTATTGAAGTTCACAAAAAGGATCATTAATTTTCCAAGATTCAATAGAAGTACATAGAGTGTTAGATGAAAAAGAATATTGAATGTAATTGATGGCATCATTTAGGATCATCTAAGACTACAATCATTATGAACCCAACAAAACATATAACATATCAAGCAACACAAATATTGTGTCATGATATGACAACTTATTGAGGTTGTCATCACATCAATATGTCACCTTGTCTATTGGCTCAAACTCTTGTGATAGTTTGAGATGTAATAAGTGTTTTTTATCATGACTTAATAATTATTTACAATAATAGTTATATGTATTAACTCATGATAAATAGTACGATGTTTATGTTAAAATTGATGAAATAAATAAATTATGTGACTAATGTGAATTTTTGGTTAATTATGTGATTTTTTATATAATTTGTATATTTATATCTTTGAATGTATATACATATATATATATACATATATTACTCATTGGCAAACCAACACTTAGTAACTAACCCAAAGGATGTTGAACTTGAGTGAGAAGCTTAGTCAAGGGAACCACAAGTTAGGCTCAAGTGTCTTAAGAAAACCATGTAGAGCACATGTGTGTCACTCTTGTTACACATCATTGTGGACAAATTGTTGCATGAGGCAAGCAAGGTATGATCTCATCACATGTGTGTGCATGGGGACATACCACTTGGTATAACCTTCTCCTCATGTGATCCTAGCCATTTTATTTATGAGAGAAGGAACTCAAATACTGAATGTAGCATTGGGTTACATTGATCTCAGGCCCTTCAAAACAACTAATGTGAGATTAAATCATTATTAGAACACATTATTTTAGCTTAGGTTATAAAGAGATACAAAGTATTTATTTGTTTACTATTTCAAGGGTATATTGATAAATTATTTTAGCCTCACTTATATAGTCAAGTAACTAGCAAAGGTCTAAATCTCATTAATGTGAAAAATGATGACTTTACTATGTTTTAACTCTATGATTTTTCTATAGAGAGTTGGACAATGGAATAACTGCTAGAGATGCTTGATATAAAAATTGTCTATTTAGATATAAAAATCACAAATTTCTAGAGAAAAAACATCTTCAGTTGGTTGACGAATAATTGTTGTTGAGAGTATGACATTTCATTGAGAGAGTTGTCATGATCTATTCATAGTGTTTCAATCATGATACGAGTCTTCTTTTACTACATGTACTGATAGAAGCTCTTTGAGGTGTGCTCTACCATTTAGCTCAACTCTATTAGGTAATTGTTGCCGAAGGCCCATTGTCATTAAACTTCTGCTATATCAAGTGACAACCACTAGAGACTCTTCATTGTCTTTTACTTTTACACTTTGTATTTTATATAAGAATCTAGAAAGTACCCATGTCATGTCCATCCAAGGAGGTCATGGACACTACTCGAAGACTTTATGAACACCTAAAATTCTGGTGATCATTATTGTAATGCTAAATTTTTAGTTTTTTATTTTAAACTTATTTAAGCTTTAAATTAATGATAGTTTGCTTGAATTCAAGTTTCAAAGTTTTTATTAATCTATTATGGTTCATTTGACATTTACAACTATCAATTTCATCAATTGAATTATTTATAATCATGTACACAATAATCACTAAGTGGAACTTTATTTTGTTTAAATTGTCATTCTTCAAGTGTTGATGTAATTATGACATCATCACTTGAAACCTATTATTTTATTTAATATTTAAAAAGTTTTTCTTATGATATTTTAGTCCAAAAATCATAGAAAATCATATTATTTGAGAAAAATTAAAAAATTTACATGATATTTAGGTATTTATTTCTTATGATATTTTGGAGCTTTTTATCAAATTATAATAGATATATTTTTATAAAAATATTTCAAAAATATAAAGATTAGTATTTTCTAATTTTATAAGTATTAGATTAATGTGATTTAATATACAATGATTGCCACATTAAGATGCATCAAATATCACATGTATGAAAGCTATATTAGAAAAATATGAAGAATAATTGTGAGTGATTCCATACGCATTGTCACATCTTCTTCTTCAAGTGGCATCACATGTTGGAATAAGATGCAACATAATAATGAAACATCAACATTTGGTAGTTTGAGAATCTTATCAATTAATACTTTGAATAATACTCTATGACAAGAATGTTGAAACTTGAATGAGGGAGAGATTGCCACAAGATCAACATGACAATGTGAAATTCTTTGGGTAGAACCTTGCAGTCAGTACCAATGGGTAAGTGCAACACATTGGTGTGCATGGCAGTACCAATAGCATGCCACTAAATTACCATACATGATAATGCATGACTCAATGGTAATTATCAGTAAGATTAAATATTAATTTCACATTGCCTAATACTATCATAGAGGAGTCTAGTCTCCTCTATAATAGGAGTTGGTTGTCTAATGTAATAAAATATACGAATATGTCTTTTGAACTCAAATTCTAAGTATTAATGAGAGTTATGGTAATTGGGGTATTGTGAGTACGCCCAAACATTTGAGGTCATTTTCATCATTTTGTGATACCACCTCGTCCCTCCCTCCCATTTCCTATGTGATGGCCATATAAATCCCCAGACTCGCCCCAACCCCACGCTCCCACCTCGTCGCGACCAAAAGCTCACATCCCTTGCCCACTGGCAACAGAAGCCATCTCCCTCTGTTCAGGACGCCTGGTCTTTGAAAGGCAGGGGGGAGAGGGATAGAGAAGGGAACGAGGTGATGGAGGATTTTGCCGCTGGTGGTGGGCCGCCGGATTTGGCGCAGTTCCAGGCAACGATGCTGGCAATCGAGCGAGCGTGCAACGAAAATCAGGTTTCTTTCTTTGCTTTCTCCTGATTCCGCACTTTTATTCGGGGGATAGTCCTTCCTTTCCCTGTACGTTCAGGTTTTCGATCGTTTTGAAGTTTCGATGGAGTTGATAGTTGTTGTGCTTGGGGCGACTATCTTTTGTCCAGCACTGCGTCGTAGAGTTGGCTGAAATACGCTGGGGTGAGTGTCACTGACTTGAGTGGGCAAGGTGAAAGGCTCGGACAGAGGGATGATGGTAAAGAGAGTGGAATGCTAAGGTGAAGAGAAAGGATAGAAAAGTCTTGTTTGTGACGATTAGTACCATGAAATTTCTGTGATTCCTCGTGGATGATATGAGAACAGAAGAGAGACAGTTGAGGCGTGAGAGACTTAGCAAATTGGATGGTCTATAGCCAAATGGACGAAACATAGTAGTATTAATATGCGTCATTTCAACAACAGAACTTGTAAGACCAGGATAAACATAAATGACTGGAATATGAACGGGTGAGTTGTCAGCATATCTGTGTGAGAGCGGAAGGGGATGCGTTAAATAATTGATTAGTACAGACTTATTCTTTGAGAATTGGTTACGAACGGAGACGGATTCAAATCTACCTTTTAAATGTTATTTATCATTTCTTTGCCAAACCCGGGGAGTAGCACCTAGAAAAATTGGCTAATTTTATAGTGGATGTGTTAAAAAAGCAGGATGTAACCGAAGCCAATGCCCAATAGGTATCAGGTAAACAATAAGAAGAGGGTGCTGTCCCACCCAGGGCTCGTTTGCACTGAGCCAGCATTGAGATGTGAATCTGGTCCGTTCATGGGATCAAAACAGAGATGGAGGGTTCTAACGACCCTTGGAAGTACGTCACACATCATAACATCATTCCACGTAATCCATTTATGTCATCATCGTAGAATTTCTTCAAAGTGTATTTCATTTGTCCCTCCCCCACTAGGTGTAAAGAACTAGGTCTGCCACCAGCAAATCATAATAGAGTGGGAAGTTTCTTTGTGAAGTAAGAAGGCTCAGTTTGGCCCACTCAAACTGGGCAAATCAGCACAAAGGTTGTGTGCGGGCACCCAGTGCTACAGCACAGCCTGTGGCCCCGGAAGGCAGATCTATATGCTGTTGGTAACATGTTGGTCCGATTACTTCTTCATCTGTTTCAGTCAACAACTCTAGGAGGTAGTCACGTATGCGGAAAGATCTAGGAATATGGTCCATCATATAATGGTATAGGATATCCTTGTTAAAGTTGTTGTGACTTGCAACGGTAGTGTTTTCATGTAAAGGAAGATGTTCTTGTTAACTTGTTTGATAGTCCAGAAACGTCTACAATCTTAAGAATGTGGGGAGGCTGTAGCTTTAAGGTGGATCTTGACAGAAATATGTTCCAGTCATTACTCAGTCTCTTTGTAATCTTGTAAGGATGAAACTATGCTATGTAGTGGAAAAAAAAACACATCAATTGTTAAGGCACATCAATCCTTCACTGATGTGAAGGATTGAGGTGAAGTGCTGCATCGTGTTCTGGACTGTTTATACTAGTTTCCTCAATCTAGTATGTGCTTCAAAGACAGCTGTTAATCCAGGTCTCGTGGAGTGGGGATGAGGATTCCGCACATATAACGTCCACATACTGCCCTTTTCTCTCTTGGCAAACACACTCAGAGAATTGGACTGACTTGGAATATTGGACTAGCCATGGTCCATTCCTCTTTAAACAGATTGGAAATGCAGAGCAGCTAAATAAATGTAGAGGCTTCAATAGGAGTCAAAGAGTTCGTTATAGACTGTAGTGGACATTTTTTTAAGGCAATTTGGATGGTTTTCAGGCTGCTATTTGGATCGTTTTTCTTAGGATCTAACTTGGTCTCTCACCAGATCCTTACAGACATGAGATCAATAAAGAAACAAATACCGGACTTTGTCATGAAGCGGGCTACTGTCCCTGGATTCATTTCTGTGGCGGTTGTACTATTTCGGTGGCACTGTAGAATGTATTGGAATTTTTTGGGGAGCCTGCTTCAATACAAGTGCTAAGTAGCAGGATCAATACATCGAGTTCTGCACTGTTTTCTTATACTTTAATCTTATTCTAAAAGTAGTATTGCTTTTGATCTCCATCTTTTTACTGTGCTACTTGTACTCGCTTTTATATATTTCCCTGCAACATACTGTGGTATTTATATTTTGCTTGTTTCTTTTCCTTTGATTCAATCAGATGTGCATGAATTCAGCTGCAGCTGAGGCAACTATTGTTTCTTTGCACCAATCTCCAAATCCCTATCTGTGCTGTAGATTCATTCTCGGTATGTTAGGCAGTGCACTCTTTATTTTTTATTTTTTTCTATTTGTTTACTATTTTTTTGAATTCTCCAACCGTACATGTTCTTACTGGACAAGAAGATGTATTTTTGTCTATGTAGTATGCAACTGATGGGATAAACTATGGGGTTGGTTAACATATAAAATTTGATGACAAATGTTGTATAGGCCTTCAGTTGTTGCAACTTCGTCTAAGATGGGTTTCTGAGATTTTTGTGTAAATGGTGGTGCTTGTAGGTTGATTAGGGTCGCCTATGTCACGCGTTCTTCTTTAAATACTGATAATCGTTTTACAACAAAATTGGAGCTTGAATTTTTCTCGTTTTTCTAAAAAAAATTCGCTTAACTATATCTGCAAGATCAAAAACCTGGACCAACATTATATTTTAAACATTGATCAAGTATTAGATTGTAATATTGGATACAGTGATTTGCGTTATTGTCTGGTTTTTTTTTTTCTGTGAGGCTTGTTCTTTCATCTCTCAAATACTCTTGAGAAATTTTTGCATATGAATATACGACAAAACTGTTTCCTATTAATATTCTACTTCGTGATCATTAAATTATGCTAATGGGTTATTTGAATGTTGGGTTGATACATGTATTGAGTTCTTGAAATATGAGGTAGTAATTAAATAGCTGCTATCTTGTCCATGCAAGTAAGACTCTGGTTCTGCCTCTGCTTGGTCATTGGTGTTACTGATGAAAACAATGTGGGAGCAGCAGGACTCTTTTCATTATGCTGTTCCTAGCATGTCTAACTTATATCTTAAGGTATATGACCATGAGGTGACCGTGGCAATTAATTCTATTAGATTAGTCTTATTTATGCGGATATTTCACAATCTTTAGATGTACTGCTGTGTCATTTCCGATTTGTAACTCATTCTCAAATACAGATTTATGTTTCTAAACTGAGTCACAACCTTTTCTATAAAGGCGCAGTTGTTGTGATCAACATTTGTACCATAATCGATGCTTGGAAGGTTTTTCCATCAAAGTGGTTTCTGTTATTGCAGAAAATTCTCAGTTGGCAAATGCAAGGTTTCAGGCTGCCGGAGCTATTCGAGATGCTGCTATAAGGGAATGGGGTACTCTGTCAGATGAGGATAAAAAAGGCCTGATATTGTATGCTGTAACATAGAACTTTTCTCTATTTATTACTATGCATACATGATTATCATTTGCGTTGCTTTTTGGTGTGTGATTCGTTGTTGGAGTGCATCCAATCCTTCATCACTTTGCTAAAAGAGAAGACATCACGTCAAAAGTTTTGTTAATTCTTTCTGGGCTGCAATGAATGTTTCTTCTTTGTACTGCAGTTTCTGCATATGTTTTGTAATGAAGCATGCTACCGCTACAGATGGCTATGTTCAAAATAAGGTTTCTTCTGTTGCAGCACAGTTGATGAAAAGAGGCTGGTGAGTTGTTCCGGGTCATGTTCTGATGACAAGAATCTGAACACATGCTATATGATATAATTTTCTGTGAACATGATAAACCTATTTGGTCTAGCTTTTTTTCATATTTTTGTAATGTTGGCGGATTCTTCATTGCCTAGGAATTTACAGATAACTTTCTTGTAAGAGGCGCAGCTTGTTGTTAAATTATAAACAACTACATATTTTCATAATGACATGAAGGAAATTGATGGAGGACGATAAAGATCGATTCCTGACCTAGGCACGCTATCCTCAAACTTTAATTATTGTAAAAAAATCAAAGGGATCTCTCTGTAACTCCCTCCTCATTACTCTGCATCATTAACAGTCTTCTTCAGATATCACATGCCTCCAACTTGGCTCCCAAAAAATGAGTCCATAAAGTTTAGATATCAGAGACGATCTCCTCCATTGATGGTGCCCTTAGTGTCCATCATGTTCTATAGCTGAACCTACAACCATCTATGTTCATCATCTTGATCTGTTGGTCGTCTCCTAGCTTTTGTATGATCATTACGCCGCTTAAGAAAATATTTGAAGGAACAAGACATTGTAGGCGCACTAGGCATTTAGGTGCCTTGGCAAGCAATCATAAAATACGCTTGTCTCGTTCACTGTAATGGTTTGGAGGGCTTATTTGTCACCCTAACTTTCTTATCGTGTTCCTTATTCAGTAAAAATAAACATTAATATATCATTATTACTTATACATTTATAACGTCCTCAGTTGTCAAAAGTTTGAAAAAAGAGAAGGATTACGGTGGCAATTACTTCACTTTTGTGCTCAACAGTGTCATATGATAATGGCATGTTTCTACCAAACCTTAGACCCATTTTTTCCTTATCTTGCACTCCTTACAGGCTTTGTGAAACCAGAACTGGATGAGCACTATGTCATGTCTCCCCTTAAGTTGACAACCAGTCTCTAAAATTTTCTGAAATTTTTATGGATCTATAGTAGAGTCATAGGTTGCCAGTTTGGGAGGTGCATGAAACCATTACATCTTCCACCTACTGAGCTGTGCTACTAACTTGCTCTTTTTGGGTTGGTGGAAGTTAGAGTTACAATTCGCATTACAAAGTTCATAAAATCTCATTAGGTCGAGACAGATTCCAGACAGCAGTCCCACTTCATCAATAAAATGTATATTTTTTTCTCATAAGATTAAATGGAAATAATGGTTCGCATTTGTTCTTATGCTCATTGTTCTCCCTCTTTGTAGGCTAGATTTTACCAAATCCGAGAAAGAGTCAGTCTTTTCTGAGGTGCGAATTTCCTGAATAATGTTTGTACTATTTTTTTCTTATTATATATTGTTTTTCACGGAAAAAGTATCATATTTATATATATTTTTTTGTGATTCTCTTGTTGGAGAGTAGTCCTCTCCATTATACCTCTTTAGAGTGTAATGTAGTGAAAAGGTAATGCCATTTTAGCTCGTACCTTGATGCAAACATTTGTTATTGAGTAGAATCACCTTATTTGTTGACTCTGATTCTTTTTTCAAAACTATAGTTGCCATATGCCTTCTTCAAGCAGGGATTGTGGCTGATGAATTTAAAACCTATGTCGTGGGTAATGATGAACTTTGCCAGCACTCACCATTTGTTGCGCTAAGTATCAAAAATACCCTTGCATATCAGTCAAGGATTGTCAATATTGAGTTTCAGATTTAGTTTATATTACATTTCCTTCACCTACTTGCCAGTGTACTCTCTGATCAGTATGTGTTAAAACAAGAGAAATAGAGCCATGACCCTATAAAGAGAATAGTGGGTAGTGCACTATTAGGCCTAATATAGGTCTATATCTAACTGGCTCAATTACACAATGACAAATGCCAATGTTGGCTTATTAGATCAAATGTTATACTGGATTCACTAACACTCTCCCCCTAGTTAAAACAGTCCTGTCGATTTTGTTGAAGGCACACTTGACTAGGGAGAATAGTAAATAAAACAAGCCATAGACGATGTTGGAGCTTATGCCAGAGCAAGGTATGTTGACGTAGTTGATGCCAGGGTTGAAACCACTACAGTAGAGACTGATGCCAGTGTAAAAGAGTTCGAAGTTGAAGTTGAAATAATGGATGACAGGTTTTGAACTCAGAGCTTAACTTAGAACAGTAGATGCTGGGGCCTGAAGTCGAGCGATACATGCTATTATTGAAGTTGGAGCAGTCAGCATCAAAGATTAAGTGCAGTAGATTGACTCTAGAAGTAAAGTTTCTAGAGATGAAGCAAGAGTTGAATGTAGAGTGGTCAACACCCTGCTCCAAATCGGAGTAGAAGATCTGAGCCAGCTGTATTAGCTGCACCGTCAACTGTATGCAGATGGACGGCTGGGAGAAGTCTGGTCGAAGAGTTTCTAGTCAGGGTGCATGATTCCACCAACGACAAGGGCCAAGATGGGGACCACCTGCTTGAGTAGAGGATGTGAAGGCCCAACTTGAATGATGGTTCCAGGTGATAACTAGATGTCTGTCGGATTTCTCCTTTTTTGAGGGAGAAGACTCTCAATGAGAGAGACGATGTTTGGCTGTATTGGAGGGGTGGTGGTTGGCAGCAACCTGCAATGCATGGTGCCTCACAATGGCACACATCACCCAATCACCAATGACCATTTGCAGCTCGCAGTGGGTCACCTTGTTCAGTGACTCACAACAGCTACACAACGAGGTGGCTTTCAATAATGAGCGAGTGAAAAACAAAAGCGTAGAAAGGTAGGGTGATCAGGGTAATGGTTCACTTGGTGATGGGTGGAATTGTGATTTAGCCTCTTCAGCAATTGTTCAGGGAATAAGAATGTTATGACTAACAAAGATGATCAGTTGGCATATTAAATTCTGTAGAGAACAAACCAAAAATTTCTCATTTGGGCAGAGAGGATTATAGAATCAGTCTATCTTCAGAAAACCGGATATAATTGCAGCCAGAAGTCTTGGTAGATATGTGGTGGCGAAGAAGATGGGCTTCTTGAGGTTGCAATTTCTGACGTAGTCCCAGTTATTCATGACCAGGTCAACAGCCTGTACCCAGGAGTTTACGTTTAGCTTCTGTAGGGGCAGTGGTGAATTTTGAAGGGTGGGTAGCTGCAGTGTCCAGGCTTGGGGGAGAGATGAGATGTTCTTATTGGGCCCAGACATACAGACTTGGACTTACACAGGCCCAATAAGTTGAAAAACTTCATTCAAATAATAAGAATGCCATCTTGGATATGTCATTGATTTCCTCCATTGTGGGCGCCTTCCCAATATTTCGTCATTTGTTGACCAACAGCTAAGCTAACTAGATCCTTTCTTATGGCAAAAGAGAAAATATATTTTGAGCGGTTGGGCCATCTTCACAGTTAGATGCCAGATTGTTTGGTATAGAGGGTCGGTATTTCTTTACTTTATTATTTCTGCTCTTTTTATACTTGATGCGTAATTTTTACCATCCATTTTACAATGCAAATAAATGGGAAAACACATTGCTGATTTATCTTGTTATCTAATCGCCCACTGGTTAAAAAGAAACTATATCCTTTTCAATTAAAAAAAATATCTATTGGTTTGAAGAGAATTAATGAATGTAACTTAGTCGTTCACGAATGAGATTTGTTCATTGTTTCTTTGGATCTTGCATGTTCCTTGTATCTATTAATTTCCTGAAATAATTTCCCCAATCTCTTCGAATGAACTTTGGTTGATATTCTCATTGTAGGTTAAGAATGCAATTATTGGCATGCATGGAGCAAATGCACAGTTTGCTGGAATCAATTTCTTGGAATCTGTGGTATAAATTTGCTTCAATACTTTGTTTTGCATCATCGTTATGTTGTATTGTTCTTGCTGTCGAGATTGATAATTTATGTTCTGACAGGTAACTGAGTTCTCACCATCAACCTCTTCGGCCATGGGTCTTCCTGCAGAGTTTCATGAGAAGTGCGGGTCTTCATTTGAGCAAGATTATTTACAGGTTTTTTACGCAGGACACATGTTTGATAATTTCTCTATAACTGTTCAACATGCACGACTAAACTATTAGTGCTTACAGGGTTTGTCCTTTGCACACTGTTGTCTGCTGATTTCTTATGCAGAAGTTTTATTGCTGGGCGCAAGATGCTGCTCTTGGTGTCACCAATAGAATAGTAGAGTGCAGGGAAACATTAGCAGAAGATAGAGTTTGTTCAGCGGCATTGTGCCTCATGTTTCAGATTTTAAATTGGGATTTCAAATGCGCTGGTGATCCATTGGATACATCAAACAACAGGATAAACCATGAGATTGCAATGCTAAGGAAGTTTGAGTTTGTACTGGTACAGGTAACATTGATGGGCCATTGACTATTGATTTTGGGTAACATTGCAATGCTGTGATTTTGGGTTCCTGTGTGGACTTTTTTTTAATTGAAGTGCTGCCGATTGTTTGATTTACTTGACACTCATTTTTTATCGAAGTGCTGCCAATTAGTTCCATTTATAAAGATGATTCTTCGTGTCAGCTCATTTTAGAGTCAAGAACTGAAAATCGCCGAAAAGCAACTGTGATCATGCTTTTGGTGATTTTCCTATGATCAAATAACAAGCTGGTCGGTTCTTTGTATGCTAATACAACTTTTCAAGCCAGCGCATGGCTGATAACCACATTTTTTTAATCACTGATTGGCTTTCATTTCGTTTCTGCCTTTTCAGCCTGGGCGTTTGTGGCACGACGTTCTGATTTCAAGTGGTCATATTACTTGGCTTTTGGGCTTATATGACACAATGAGGGCGAAGTGTTCTGTTGATGTCATATGGTTCGATTCACCTCTTGCAGTTTCTGCCCGACAGCTTATAGTGCAGTTATGCTCCCTAACAGGGGCTATATTTTCTTCTGGTAGATTCTTCTCCGATTCTGCCTTATTTCCTTTGGTCACTTGATCATTTTTTTTTTGTGATATATGCTTCCCATTTAAACTTGAATATGATGAAATCATCAAGAACGGTGTTTTAAGGCAGTCCTCTACCCTCCTTTTTGTGGGGCTTATTCGAAAGGCCTTTGAAGAGAGGATGACAGAGATAGGGATGCACCTTTGTTACTTCATGGGTAATTCAATGTCCCAATGTTTTTTTTTGGCGCTTCCAGTGGATGAAGCGTTCTTGGCAATGGAGTCCTGAAGGTGTGGAGTATTATTCCCAGTTGCATGGAAGGCCAACGCATAACATGGAAACTCGATAAAAAAATCAGGAACAAACTCTTCCGCTGATCTATGGTGAAAGGAGATGATTCTATGTTTAAATGCGATCTTCAGATGCAGAAAAGAGACAGACTGAAGACAACTTACATTGGAAGGCATGTAACTAACACATTTTTGGGAAAGGGAGTCGATAGTAGGAGGAACATTTTACTAAGACAGCTGCACGCTGAATTTTGCAGTTTAGGCACTATGTAATGTGCATATCACGGTGATTGATTATTCAGTTTTAGATAATAGTGGACCAAATGCAAAAGCTTGGATTTTTGAAATGAACTTTGATAATCCCTGTAAAACAACACGTAGAACTGAGATACTTGAGAACATAGGGAAGAAAGTTGAAAGAAAGTACACAAACCAATGTTCTAAAGCCTTTCAGTCTTGTACTGTGATTTTGTTCGGAAAACGTTCTGAAAACAAGCAAAATGTGTCGCGATTCTCTTTCCATCACCGAAAATCATATCTCATCCCATCTAGCACTCATTTTGTGACCATATACCTTGGGTTTAAATTAATATTCTGACTCTAATTCTAGTCGGTTGTTTAATTACTGAGAAAGTTGCTTGTCCAATCAACCAGGACCTTTGTTTCTAACAAATGGAATGGATTCAAGATAAAATCCATCAGCTTTTGTTTGTTCTGCCCGGATTTCAAGTTATGATGTCAAAAGGGCTGTTTTAGACTGCAATCAAACATTTTATGGCACATTACCTCTTGGGGATGCCTTACATTGAAGACAATGAATGGTACCTGCAGGAAGAGGAAATGATACATCGACAATATATGTTACATGGCTCATATAAGGGACACATATGGTCCTGCAAATCGAGAAAGAAGTAAAATCCTGGTGGGTCAACAAGGTGTTTCTAATAGAAGAGGCTCATCATCCCATGTTGCAAGAAAAATCTGCTACATGGATGCCATTGGTCCCTGAAGAGAATTCACCGCCTGATGTCCCCTTTGTACAGCTGGACAGTGTAAGGAAATCAGTGGAGGAAGAATCAGGCATAGGAAAAAGACATTGCTTGGAGAAGGCCCTGTTGCGCATTACCTTCCTCTGGGGCAGAAACCTATATTGACAAACCAAAGAGAAGTTGACTTTATGCCCAAGGACCAAGTAAACGATGCCCCTTTCAAGTAAAGTGGCTGGATGGCCATTTGTTGTCAGTCACTATGGTGATTAATCCAAAACCTACCACTTGGGCTTTACACTTTAGACTTAGAAATGGGCTTAATTCAATAAATTTGTTTACTGGTCTTCATCTCCTGAATTTTAAAAAGGCTCGTCTCTGAAGCACATATAGCAAACTCCATCCAATGAATTATTTAAGGTTTTTGATTGATAATCAATTTTTTTTCATGTTTTGTTATGAAGTAAAATTTGTATACATGCTATCATTCTATGGCAGCTAATTTAGGGTGTTCTCTCATCAGAAAGATTTTATTAGCTTTTATTCTCTGCGGTTGGGATGGTCCTACTTTGAACAAACCCAAATGCCCAATCTACTAGGGGAACCAATAACAACGTAAATACTATCTCAATTCTGTTGGAAATACAAGATAACTAGTTCATTTTTCTTTCAAAACATGCGAAAAAGTCATGTTACAACAACATTTTAACATTCATGTGTGTGGAACGGATTAATATTTTTGTGACCTAACTGGAACTCCTTTTTTATGCCAATACCCATTCCTTTTCCCTGATGCGGTACTGACAGGATGAAGCTGACTGGAAGATGATTAGTGTGGTTGCCATAAATTCTGATAACCGTCAAACTCTAGAGAAGCACTTTTGTTGGGCATTGCATTTTTTCTTGATAGTTTGCCTGCCACAGATGTGATTTCAGTATGTCTTTTCTTGTCACAAATGTGTTTTTTCATTCCTTTTACTGAGGGTGACGTAGATTCAGATAATGGCCAAACGCAAGAGAAACATCTGCTACAAATACTGTCCGCAGTGCTTAAATGGATGGACCCACCAGCTGCTGTTATAGCTGCTGTTAGGAGCGGACGACCTGATAGGTTCTTTGATTTTTCTTCTTCTACCTCATCACAGTGCCAACATTTTTCTTTTCCTGAAGTTTCACTATATTTTGCAGTGAGATACTTGATGGTTGCCATGCATTCCTTTCTATGGCAACCTTGACAAGTACTTTATTGTTTGACAATCTCCTGAGGCCCATCAGGTGAGTCATAGTTGTTCCTCAAACACCCATGGACGCATGCAAATCAGAATGAATTGTGATTTAAACATGTATATTTTTAGATTTCCGGAATGTTTTTGTAGTTTATTTTGTTGGAATCATATATGCAAGTAACTGTCAATTATTTAAATTTATTTTAATTTTCAGGTCTTACGGGACTCTTCAATTCCTGTCTGCTTTGACATGTGAAATAATACAAGCCCATGGAGTTGGCAATAATGAAGAAGATACCTGGTGTTCAGATGCCTTAGATATCTTGCTTGAGACATGGAACGTCCTTCTGAGGGTACTTTCTGAAACCCGGTGTTCATTTTTATGTCTTTTCTGCTGGGTTTCACATAGTCAGAGTTAAATGGGAGAATTCTTTCGTATTTCCTTGATATTATATTAAGATGATAAATTCTCGTATCCCTAGAGCTTTATGTCTAGACTGTAGGATATTGGCAGTTCAATATGAGAGGGCATGTACAACCCTCTTTTTTTAATAAAAGGGCCCTCTTCTTTTTTATTTTTTCCCTTTTTTAGTCTGAATTACTAAATCCTTCTCGGAATTTTTGTCATTTGAAAATAAGTTTTGAAGTTGTCAGCATATTTCCCCCTTTTTCAATCTTGTGTGGCTGGATTTTTTGTCTATGCTGATTTTTGGATTGTATCGGTTGCTCTCTACTGTGGAACTCAGGTCTGGCTTTCCATATTTCATTTTTTTACTACCTCTGCCATTCAAGCTTGAATCCATTACTTGGATTCATCTAGACATCTTTCTAACCGCACATGATATTTTCACATGAGAACCAGTTTCTATTTGTCTAAATAAAGGGAAACGAACATTTCTAACTGTCTCTTTCTGTTTGACATTCCCGAATTTTCGCATTTGAAAAATTTCTTTAGCATATTGTTGTTGACTTCCTTTCTTTTGTGACACTCACCAGACAACCGATAATACCCTGAGAGTGCAAGCCAAAGCTAAATTCGGAATCTATGGAGGATAGCTCAAGGCTAGAAGAAGGGAAACTGAAAGAGCATCATCTGAATGTATTTGATGTGTGAAAACCGAAAAACAAATTTTAAAGGATTATTTCTTAAAGATGATTAAGTTGGGGAGACAGGGGTCCCTGGAACTCGTCATTGACGCCACCCCTATTGTGGATACTGTTCTTATCTTATTAGCTTAAATGATAATGTAGAGGAGAAGGGTCCAAACATGCCAAGAAGGTTTCGTAGTTGATTGAAATGCATCCATCAAATCATGATGTACATGCACATCACACTAAACATGTTTGAGCTATGGAATGGTACTCCACTTGCAGCTTCATTATTGCTGGTCGGTACAATTCTGAATATTTACTTTTTTATAGCTATGACACAACATTTCATCTGCTCCCGGAAATTCAACTCTGCATTATATTTATTAGTGATAAATCCTCCTGTCATAGACTGTCACAGTCTACCAAACACTAGCTGGTACCACAGCATATAACATTCTTATTGTTTTTTTAGTTTGTTATGGTTTCTTTCGTCAAATAATGTTAATATTGTTTATGCAGCGAACTGATATTGAGAAAAATGTACTTTCAAGGGAAGGAAGTGAAGCCATCGTTATATTATTTAATACAATAGTGGAATCGCATCTAAAGGGTAATTTACATACCTTGTGAAAACAAACCAAGAAGCTGGTCTTTTTTTGGAAAAGAGCTCCTCTGATTGCTAGCTTTCCCCCCTTGACATGGCATCATGCACCAGGTTGCTTATGAAACTTTGGGTATTTTGTAGCCGCTGTCAATTCAGCTTTTGATGAGCTCGCTGATTCGGAACACTTTCATGCTTCCATCGCCGGTAGAAAACTTTTGATTCATAGCTTCTATACGCTTTAGTATTTGTCGGCCAAAGTTTCATCACTGAATTGTTTATTCCGACCATTCGTCTGCTAATGGGGTCTTGTCTACCTTGGCGTTTTGTAGTAAGAGATGAAAGACTCGCTTCATATGCTCTCATTGCGAGGAAAGTGGCCAGTGTGACTATTCCCTTCCTTATTAGACTTTTCTCTGAACGATTTTCTACGCTATGTCAGGTGTGTTTCTACCTTGAGAGTGGACACATTCCATTGTGTTCAGAATTTCTGATTTTATTCTTCCAATTGTTCATGTATATATAGGTATGCTTTCACTTGGAGATTGCCAAAAAAATACATGTAGACAGTCCAACTTGGTTTTTGTAAATGTTGTTTTGCTGTTTGCTTAATTTGGGTTTTTTTCGTTGATTTAAATATTAAATGGGATATTTTAAATTAGCAACATTTAGATCGACCACCTTTGTGACGTTAGTTGATGTTAAATACATCTTTGTGAAGAGGTAATACCCTGCATTAATTGCAGGCATATCATATTCTGAACAATCAAGATTTTATTGATATCGTATTATCTTTATTTCTTTGTTAACAATGATTAAAAAAACATGAAAAACTCCAAATATTGAGCTTACCCAATGGGTGTTGATCCAAATATTGATATCATTGCACCTCCTGTGTTCGTTGTGTGGTTCGATCCTTGATCTACAGCTTGTTTTCTCTATGTATAATCCTGACGACATCAATGGAATGCTCTGTTTTGGATTTAATGTTGGATAATTCATAATCTTGTCCATGATTAGCACATCTTCCTCGTATCTAACTCTATTGAAGAACCTTTATTCCTTTTCTTTTACTCGTCCCATTTTATTGTCTCTGTTTGAATTTTGTTCCCACCTTAGTAGTCATTGCTGAAATCCCTTAATTGTCTATGGCTGCAAGTACACTCATAAGAAGAATGCATATAGCACTCGATTTATTCTTAGTTTGTTGAACTTCGTGTCACCATTTTATTTTTTTGAGTTTCACTACGACTACCTGCACTCTATGACAGCTGAATATATGTGAGGTATGCATAAGTGGTGCAATCTGGTTATATTTTCCTTCTGTCAACAATATTTTCAGAGTTCTTTTCAAGTTTTTAACAAATGGGGTACAGGGAAAGGGTGTCACTGATCCAACTTGCATATTGGAAGAGCTTTATTGGCTGCTGTTGATCTCAGGGCATATACTCACAGATTCTTGGGAGGGCGAAACTATGATGGTAACTTTTTGGCATCTGTTTCTTGATAATCACCTTTTTGGCATTCCCTTTTTAATATTGATGAACTCGGGAATTATTTTTGATATTTAACTTTATGCAATTTCATCTTTTCTGCTGTTTCTAGCAGCACTTCTTTCTAGCTTCTCTCAGTTAATTTGTCATCTGGCTTGCTAACGATGAAAGATCTTGATTTTTAGTATTCGTGAAAGGAGACCAGTACGCGTAAGTTTGTATTTATGAACGGACAGATGTGCATAGTATGTAATTTTATTAATTCAAAAAGGTTGGACGTGAACGCCTCCTTTCTGTGCTGCATTAGTGCTTTAATGAACTACCAGTTTTTGGTGTTTTTGAAACTAATAGATTTTTATGATGTAAAAAAACATTGTCCGAAACATTTAGTTATCTTAATAGCCAATTAATGTGCCACATCCTTACGAATGGATCTTCTTATTTTTCTGAAAAAAAAGTTTCGTGTGTACCCGAATTTGTAGAGAATTTTCATGTTCGAAATTGGTTCATGAAGAAGTTTGATCATGATGCAAGAGTTTTGACTTGGTGATTGTTCGTATTCAGGTTCCTGATGAGTTGCAAACTTCCTTTGTTGATATTGATGATGTAGCCCAACATCCGGTTGTGGTGTTGTCTTGGTAAGATTATTCCCCATGTAACGAATGCCTTGCAGAGACTCTAATTATCAACTTTTTTTCTGATAGATATTACTTAAATGAATAACCTGTCCTTTAAAAATGCCAGTATTTGGGTGTAATACTAGCAAAGAAACGAGAAAAATAGAGAGTACTATCTAGATAATCAACATATCTGACATCAACTTAGGCTTTTTATTCTTGAGGTGACAACAACATAGGCCATTTGGAATTAGCCTAACAACAGTATTCTTGTGCATGTAAATTGTTTTGTTGATAGTGTCTTGTTTTTTTGCTTCTATTATGGTGCAAGTGTGGAAGATATCACTATGCAGTTGTCAAAAGATTCAACCATTTGGAACGTATCGGATAATGAACCTACTCGAATCATTGATCTTGTATACCATTGATCTTGTTTTTGGTTCATTAATTTTTTTTACCTAACGATATGAGTACTATAAAAAAGTTATACTGGATTTCTGGTCGTTTATTATCCTCTCGAATCAAGTCATCTATGAAATCATTTCGTTTCCCGTTAAATGTTAAATGTAGGTGGGGTGTGCTAACTTGTATTAAGAGCTTGGAAAGTCAAGTAGTCCTTGTCATCAACTTGGTAGATTTGCTTTTTTTTTTCTAATACTAATTAGTATTATATGATTTATTCAGGTCAGTCATTAAATTTGCTGAACAGAGTTTGGATCCTGATATGAGAACCAATTTTTTTAGTCCTCGACTGATGGAGGTAACTCATTGAAATAATGAATTCTGCTTTCAATGCTGCTTCTATTCTTCTGTCCTCATACTCTACATATATTTGGATGTTTGTGGAAAATTTCTGCTGAGGTTATGCGCAAGGTTAATGTTGAATATTATATATCACCATATTTTCTGCAAATATGTGTGACCCTTTTCTTCTATAAAGTGTCAACGCGCTAAAATTGTATGGTAGCGACCTTGAATATCATCGCACTATTATCATGATGGAATTTCAGAATCATATATAACAGACAACTATGTTATGTAATCATGGATCTAAGAATTTTGCATGATTTAGGTAATCAAGGATCTAAGAGGCCTTAGGTGTGAATTTAAGCTTGCTTCGGATGCTCATACTAACTGATTTATCTTTGAATTCATTATGCGACCAGGCCATGGTGTGGTTTCTTTCAAGATGGATCAGCACGTATTTAATGCCAACTAAGACAAGCAAGTCATACAGCTCCACTCTGATTGGCAGAACAGTAGATCATTCAAAGAATCTCTTGCTTACTTTTGCTGGTGAAGACAATGAAGGAAGATCTCTGCTTGATATTTTTGTTCGCATTTCATTGGTTGTATTTACATCGTACCCTGGAGAGATTGAATTACTGGTATGATTTATCTTTAGTTGGTATTTATAGACTCGATTTCAGTGAGGTCTGTTGAAACTTAGACAAAAGATATGCCTTCCCTTAAATAATTAATCTTTCGCTAGTTGCGGTTGATATTTTCGAATTATATCTCCATTTCTGTACCCTTTCTCTTCGATCTAGAAAATTAAGTGCAGATGTCGTTGACTACATAACCGGAAAATACTATTTCTTCGCAAAAAATGATTTTCAGTAAGTGGCTATGAGGCTTTTCAAATTTTCTTGTCTGACAGGAATTTTTTTTAGCGTCTGTCATTCCTTTTCTACATTGGAATGTACTTTTTTTTATGAAAATGTGGATTGTTATGAAAGAGTAATTCACGAGATTTGTTAATGCAGTCACTCACATGTCAGCACATGTTACCGGCACTTGTTCGACGGAAGAATGTATGCATTCATCTTGTGACGTTGGTGAGAACATATACATATTGTTAATAGATCATTGATTTTGTAGCATCTCTCTGTTTGTGTCATCTTAGTAATTGTCCAGCTAGTACAGAGTGATAAAAAAAATTCTGCTATATAAACATCATATTTTCTATTCATGGGATGCTTTTACCAGTTCTTTAACAAACTGAGGCTACTTATTTTCTTCATCGTAGTCTAAACACTGGGCTGCAGTCAATTGAAATTTCTTCATAAGAACTGAGAAAAGAAATTAGCTATAGAGTTTCTCCATGCTCAAAAAGGAGCCAATGATAATATAGAGAACTTAGTCAGCAATCAAAGTACTGTCATCTGTTTTATAACAATCCTGTAACCTACATTGTCCTCATAAGACATTGATCTCAGCCATGCATACATATGCACAGATACACACATAGATACATGTTTATGTGTGTGAGTGTGTGTGTATGTATTGTTCAGTTTCTTGTTCTTTTCATTATCTGCATGATGTTTGTCGAATTTTTCATTCGTTATTTTCTTTTAATGATTCTGTATATCTTTCTCTTCAGGATTCCTGGCGCAGCTTATCCAATGCCTTTGTAAATGAACGCATTCTATTCTCGCTACCCTCTCGTCTGCAAGTACATCTCTTCTTAATGATCACTTTTGAACATTCTGTAGCTGAGCAACTAAAGAATAATGTTGAAAGCTTTTTCTAACGATTTTGATTATTTGTCTGCAGCGTTCTCTTGCAGAATCGCTTGTTGGTTCAGTTTCTGCCTTGAAAGAAACAGAAGCATCCAATCAGTGGGTCATCTTGTTGCAGATTGCTGTTTTTTGTCGCTTTTTTTCTAGATTCGCACCTTGTCTTTGGTATGTCGGGTTTGATTGGGATTTTGAGACGGCCTTATTAAGAAACCTCGTCCTCAAGCCTGGCGGTCAAGGGAGATAAAAGAGGCCTGAATGGGAAACCTGAGCTTTTAGGCTGATAGTTCTATATCTGCCCTTGATGTACATGATTCTAGCTTTGTGCCAGAGGTTTGACTAGCCATTTGGGTCCTCATGCTCAGCACGACTCCTTGGAAAAACGTGCATTCTTGTCTATAATTTAAACATTGCGAAATTTGGTCATCGTGTCTGCTTATGAAAATTGTCATCTGTATGAGGGATCCTACTCAAATAAATCGACTGTATTTATTATATTCCGCAGGTATGTGAGAGATCTAATGGGACCGATAGCAACTTACCTAGTTGATATGTGTACTAAGGACAGCGTAAAAACTTTTGCACAGCAGCCCGACATACTGTTCATGGTAAGAGGTGTCAATATTTGAACTTTTTTGGTTGTAGATCTTATTTTAAATATTAGTATGCTATAGCACCGCTGTGGGACACTTCTGCAGGTTTGCTGTTTTCTGGAAAGGTTGAGGGGAGCCGCTAGAGCCACTGAATCTCGCACTCAGAAGGCAATATTTGACGTTGCAGTATCTGCTATGGATCCTATACTGACCCTTCTTGAAGTTTACAAAGATCAGGTACTCTGACAGATATACCCTTCTCTTCTGCAGACTCGTTATCGCATGTGCTATCATTTTGGTCCGGTGGGCTTATACTAATTGAAGCTTGGAACTTAGTCTGCAGTGGTGTACATCATTCTAAAATTTATTGTGGACTTTGTGGATGCACAAGTTGTGTTTCTAACCCCCAAAGACATGGCGACTTTAGTTAACTTTTGCATGAAGTTGCTCCAAATCTATTCCTCTCACAATATCGGCAAGGTAATGTTCCATGAAAATAATTTTTCTTTATTTATCATATTATGTAAAGAACATTACTGGCATTCCATAATCCACTTTATTTATTCATTCTCAACATGAAAGATCTTAAAAACAAAAAGTAGCATTGCTGAATTGAGATTACCATGCAGATCTCGCTATCTATGTCTACCAGCCTATTAAATGAGGCAAAAGCAGAGAAGTACAAGGATCTTCGTGCATTACTACAGCTTCTTACACATCTATGCACAAAGGATATGGTATTTGCTTTTTTCTTCATAACTGTGAGGCACAAACTTTAGATCACATTTGGATAATCTTGGAATAAATGTTTCAGGTTGACTTTTCTGTTGCTTCTGAAGAAGAGTGTGTAAACATTGCTGAGGTTGTGTTCTTGGGTCTGCACATCGTCACTCCTCTAGTTTCAATGGACTTGCTGAAATATCCAAAACTGTGTAAAAATGTATAAAACCCCGTTATCATTCTCGTGGATGATTAATAGAGCTGTCATTGATATGGTTTTGGTAGATTTAACTGTGTTGTTGTATAATCTACAGTATTTTGAGCTGTTGTCACATTTGCTGGAGGTATACCCTGAGAAGGTTGCTCAGTTGAACGCAGACGCATTCAAATACATAGTGCTGACTATTGATTTTGGAATTCATCAACAGGTATGATCTTTACGGTGATAAGACATCCAGATATTCGTGTTATATCCCTCCACTTTTGGGAGGCATAGTCGCGCTGGGCATATGGGTGCACATTTTATGATGACGTGCTCTATGATGACTTGGAACACGATTTGGCCATGATTGTCCGCTTAAAGAGAATTGTGACGATGGATCCCTCGATAGACTACTACTACAGTGCTGCATACATGTTGAGAGTCCCCGGTGCCTAACAGCCTTTGTTGATGTGGCTCTTCACAGTTTAGTATGATAGTTTTTCTTTTCTCCCTTATGTTTGTGTGAAAAATCACGATCGCTCTCATCAGTTGATGGCTGGTCTCAAAATTTTGTCATCCTCATGGCCGCTTCATTCCAGCAGAATGTGGGCTTTTCAGGTCGATGCTTTGTACTTCAATCCTTTCAGGGATAAAGGACTCCTTTATTTTGATCTCATGTTGCAGGATTCGGATGTCGTTGATATGTGCCTGAGAGCAGTGGCTGCACTTTCTTCGCACCATTATAGAGAAAGGAGCAGAGGCCAAGAAGGGCTGGGCGCCTATGCTGTCAGTTCCTATGGTCCAGAGGGGACATTGCAAGAAGGCTTTTTGAGTCATTTTCTCCGGTTGCTTTTACACTTAATTCTATTTGAAGATTTCAGGTGAGGAACAATTCTCTTCGTGTCGACATAGTTTGAGGAGTTCTTGCTCGAAACTCTGACAAGAGTATAAATTTTCCTCGACTTCCTGTCCTCGTGCACCTGCCTGGCATCTTGTCCGATGATTTCTATTTTCCCCGGGATTTTGCTTCGAAATGATGAAACTGAGTCGTTGGATTTTGGGAGTACGTCAGCTGTTACGCTGCAACATTTCTGACGTCGTTTTATCTACAGCATGGAACTTGCTGGTTCTGCTGCAGATGCCCTTCTCCCGTTAGTTCTATGCGAGCAAGATCTTTACCAGGTATACCCCTTGGACTTTGATTTAAACTTGTTCTCATTACTTGCCTGCGCTATTCTCTGTCTGTGAGACGGGAAGCCGACGCGAGTTTTGGTCTGTCTAGTTTCCAACAACTGAGTGGCATCTCTTGTGTTTCATCTCTTTGGGGCGGGGGGACCTTTGACACGGGTCTCCTACCTACGTGTACCTGCAGAGGCTGGTTCAGGAACTCATTGAGAGACTGCCAAACCCTTCGCTAAAACCAAGACTAGCCTTCGCCTTGCAGTCTCTCACCAGCTCCAATCAGCTTTCCGCCTCGCTCGACAGAGTGAACAGGCAGAGATTCCGGAAGAATCTCTCCAAACTGTTGGTCGATGTGTCCGGATTTCTGAGGGTCAAGTGAAGAAGAGACAGATGGAGGGAGCAACCCCCCCTTTCTCCTCTCTCCGCCTTGGCGCTGGATGGATGGATGGATAGATAGCGATTCGTTTTCAATGGATGGGGCCACCCCCTGCTGTTGCAGTGTCTCATGGGAAAGACGGCGACCGCAGTTGGGCGAGCTCTTCTTCAAATCGGAGGTCGGCGGATACGTACCAAGTGCGGTATGCATTCCTTCATCCTTAGGGGCTGTGATGTGATCTTGCCAACCCACACCCCTCCTCTCCGGGTACCACGACGGGTGGATGAAGGCGGCGGCGGTGCGGGGGCGGGGGACGCTGCACTTGGGCACGGACCCCCAAGTAATATTTTTTTGGCTCATATTTTATTCGCCGTTTTCGGGCGTGGCTCCCGTCTCTCGGAGGTGGATCATTTGCGTGCTCATTTATGAACTGCTGCCTGCATCAGCCGTCGCAGGGACCGAGTGTTTCAGTGCCCTTTCAATGTTGTGAAGGGATAAAGCCCCTCTGGTGCAGCGCCAGCAGGCAGCTCCCATGTGTCTTGGCAAGCCCTCGGGCGATGACGGGCGTCGGCTGGCTATTCTCCACCATCCCCCGCAGTAGGGAGATAATTTCGACGGTGAGAAGGGCGGGCCTTGCGGCTCATAACGGCCGAATTAATATGGGACGAAACAGAAAGCTTTCTACTCCATCAAACACTACTTGATAAATGCTCGCCTCTTTTCTCCCTCACCTTGACCACATCGGAGGTCTGAGGTCTTCTGTCCGGAATTGTGGGTGAGAAGGCTCCCGCCCCCCACTCCCGCCTTCTTTTCTCTCCTTCACGTTCAACCCACCTCCGTCGGAGCAGCCTCACCCCCGTCGTAACCCGGGGGAACTAAGTCCTCGCCGATCCAGTGTATGCTTACGGCCTTTCTTCACGAGGTTCTGTTGCTGTCCCGTTCCAGTACATTCACAAGCAGCCTTTCTTAGCTATCCACTGTCGTAGCGCATTTTCAGCTCCTCCGAGCTTTGATCGATCTCTCTGGCGATCTTTCATGGTTCACTATTCAACCATTTTCGGGCGTTCCAGTTCAACTCGTAGGATTCGCACGCCGAGCTTCATCTCTTGGAGAATTCTGTCATTCAAAATTATGGAAGATTGCTCGACTAGGATTTGGAGACTTTGGTGCGGAGTGGAAATTCATGCTATAGATCGTGTTTTGTGGCGCGTAATCGTGCCGTGATGTGATTGTGTTGCCAGACCACGTTTCTCAAGATGACTCTGCCATGTGAACCAGAATGAACGCTTGGTGACTCTGCCATGTGCTGTTGCATTTCCCCCCTGGTTCTCTGTTTCTGGACAATAATGGATTATCCAGATCCAGGAAAAGTGACGGCCCCCCTTGTGCATGGCACTAAGTCTGCTAGGTCGTTTGGGCGTGGGAGTGACGAGAGTGGCGAACCCTTCTGTAACGAGGAGTCCCCGTTTTTATGGGCTGGAAGAAGGCGGGTAACGCAACATACCCTAGAGCTATCTGTTGAATCTGAAGGACGGCAACATATCCTTTTTCAGAGGATATCTTTTCTCGTTTGGCTCCAGCGCTGACTCCGTCACCGAATGATGTCCGTCAGAACCATATGCAGTTTCTTTCTCCGACCAGAGAACTAGGGAGGGATTCACTTAGCCGAAGCTTCTTTCTTCGGGACTTCGTGAACCCATGACCATCTCTTTGGCTGCAGTCTCTTCATGGGAATCGGAAGAACGGGATGCGCTCCTGGGGATCTGCTGTTTGAGATGAATTGTACACTTCGGCTTTGTGAGATCCTCCAAGAGAGTTTATGGAGGGACACTCGATGGCATGGCACTGGCAAAACGGCTTCGGAAGCTAATGCTCTGAGCCTGGCGTAGCAGGGTGAGATGATGACGGTGAGGCGATCCAGAAGAGGATGCTATCATGGGCGAAACGAACTTCAGTCCGATGCATTACATCGCAGCATCCGGTCTTCTTCTCATCTTGCTCGCCTCGTACGTTTGCCTGATAAAGGGGAGGTGCGATCACACGAGTTTTGATGTAGCCAATTATGAGTCATCTCTCATATTCATTGCCGGGACATTTTCTCCCTCAGGTTCATGCTCGAGCCACCGTGTAGAGGGGGGGAGAGAGAGAGAGAGAGGGAGTGAGAGAGCTTTCGGCCCGGCCCCCGCAGGTGGCCCTGGTCAATCACTCAAACAAGACGAGACGAGGAGTTAGCTAATCCAGCTGCCGCTGCAGCCCTTGAAGCGGCGGGTCACAATTTCGTCGCATGGGTCAGCTGATCCATACGGATGCGGCCTTTCTATATGCGGCGAGCAGGTGGTTCCGCGTCCCGGCAGCCAGCCCTGTGTGTGCCGAGGAGTCGCCGGCGTACGGCCGTCGGGGAGGGGCGATCGACCCCCTGCGACGGCCTCCGCCATAACGCTGACACGTCCTAGCACTTCCTCTCGGGGCTTTGGGGAGAATCACGCAAGCGATCGCTATTTTCCACCCGGCAGCTGAGCTACACATGTCTACATATGCACCTGTGCACGTCTGCATGTATATATGTATATATCTATCTATCTATATATATATATATATTATGATCATCGCCTCCTCCCGAAATTACCTTCGCGCTGACATCGGAACTGACTGAGGATCTGCTGAGCCTGCAGAAAAGTGGATTCCATGGAACCCGTCAGGAAAGCATCATCAATCCCAGCCGACAGTTGGCAGTAATAGCAGAAGTATGTGGCATGCGAGTCGTGTGTGCATACCTTCTCCTTCGCCCTTGGCGTGCCCGAGTGAGACAACGCAATTAAGGGCGGCACGACTCCTTCCTGAAGCACCAGGCTGCAGAACTTGTGGTTGTTCATGCACAACTGCAGCAAAGCGGAAGCCGCGTTTTCCTTTCCCTTCTCTGACCCGGCTTCCACCACCTCAACCAGCAAGGGTATACCTCCTACCTGAGCAATGGCCTGGCAACCCTCACTTATCGTCGACAAATTGGCCACGAGTGCCACCGATTTGTCGACCATTCCGCCGTCGGGATCCATCAACTGGACAAGATGTCTTACAGCCCCGGCTTGGACTATGCGTGCTTTATTCTCATGGATAATCGAAAGGCTGAACAGTGCAGTGGCCGCATCTTTCTTACCTCTGAGATTTCCAGAGCCTAGAAGGTCGACCAGAGCTTTAACCGCCTCGGTGCGCCCGATCCTGATCTTGTATTCTTCCAGCACGGCGAGACTGGACAGCGTCGCCGCTGCATTCTCCCTGGCCACCATGCTCCCGCATTTCAGAACGTGGATGAGCGGTTCGACGGCTCCTGCCTCTGCTACAGCAACCTTATTCCTGTTGTTGATCGACAAATTCAACAGCGCTGTAACAGCATGCTCCTGCGTCTGGGTCGGCCCTGAATCCAGCAAGGAAACCAAGGGCGGAATAGCCCCACATCTTGCTATCAGAATGCGGTTGTCTGCACTGTGCCTTGCGAGGAGTCTCAGCTCCAACGCAGCTGCGGCTCTCACTTCCTCGTCTGGACTTTTTAGATCGTCCACCAGTCTCTCAACAAGAGAATAATCCGCCGGATCGTCCGATCTAGATCCCGGGGTTGAAGAAGGGGTCCTGACGTCGTGGCCATCATATCCATAGTTGGAGCAGCCTTGACTCCACGGAGAAAAACTCGAATGATTTGGTGAGGGAGACTGTGCTGCAGGTAACACGACTGTCTTGTCATCCGATCTGCTCATTACGTCGAGCGTAGAGATGGCACTTGAGGCAGACTCACTCCGACAATGATCAGATGGCTGTCGCCCAAGAAAAGGATCGCATTTAAACGCCTCATTTGAGAGTATCCTGTAACAACTCTTAAAACTGCTATCTTCTTCTGCTTCTTCTTCTTCTTCTTCTTCTTCTTCTTCTTCTTCACTGTCTTGTGCCGAAACTTCAGCTCGTTGCCGTTCGGGAGAATCCCCAAGCTCGGAAGGCCTTAAAGCGGAACCAGTATGAATTGGTCCACGAAGATTACGTCCAACCCCTGGACCTCCTGAAGTTAAATGGCACGAAGAGGGAGATAAAACGGCCTCAGCGTCAGCAGAATGACTAATCCTCACGCCATTTTCCTCGCACCAATTTGTAATCAGCACTTTGACTGTGTAATTAGGAACAAGATTGGTATGAGCAAGTATCTGACGAGTGCTGGGACAGATCCTGAGTCCACTGTCAAGCCACTTCCGTATGAAAGATCTTTCGAACGTCTGTCCCGATGCCAAGATTACTGGATCCAGCATAAGCTCCGAAGATAGAGGACAGCGAAAATATGAAGGGACAGGCAATCGATCTTTCACCTCACATTGCTTTTGTTTCTCGAGGCAAGGGCCGATGACCCTCACAAGCTCAATCACCTGGTCGATGAGGCTTGAATCTCCTTGGCTTCCCACGAGTTCGATCCTTGTCTTCTCCTTCTCTAGAGCTATCCTTTCCACCAAGAGTTCCTCGTTAGATGCAAAACCAAGAGATTCTGCAATCTTGATGATACGTTCGGGAGAGGAAATGCCGTAATCCCTTTGATCCCTCAAAGAAACCTCGATAAGCTCTGATGTGTTGCCCTGATTAGTACACTCAAGTTCCTGTATGCAGTGCTAAAACACATTGCAGAGTATAAGGCCCCTTGTTCTTACAAAATCGCTTATTTTAACGAAAAAACGCAACCTAAAATACAGTGATTATCAACCCTGGACCGATTAGGTACCTGTATACAGGCGTAGAGCGAACTTGGAGGAAAAGGCTGCAGTGATTTGATCAAAATCCGGCAAATTTCCATTGAAGAATTCTGGACCTTGATTACTAGCGGTTCACATTGTAGAACCTGAAAAATTCCAGGAGGAAGAATCATGGAAGAAAAGTTAACCGGACAATGTATATGGCATCGTTCTCGATAAAAATTGACCTTCGAGTACAAGTAAGCATCGCAATGAATCTGTTTTTTTTCATGAACATGCAAGTGAATACGTCCGGCCGATAATCCTGTGGATGGCGTTAAATCTTACAGCACATCAATACTGTTGTAGAATTACAAAGCCCTTGAATCTTATATCCAGCAGCGAGAAAATTTCGCATGTTACTACAGCACATCAACGCTGTTGTAGAATTAATAAACTATTTCCACATAAGAGACACACATGAAGTTTCAAAATTAGTTTGGATTTATAGTGCCAGTTTTATCTCCCGTCCTGTCTTCGGTCAGATGTCCCACTACATAGATGACCTTGGTGCCTCTCTTGTCATGTATGTGGGGTTGAAGAGAAAGGCATGGATCGCTTTCTCCCTGGGGGCTCCTAGGCAGAGGATCTTCAGGACAGTGAGCACCAGGAGCTGCACTCATGCTGGTCCGAATGTGTTGCGGAGAAGATGGAAGCTGAGCTGGAACGTCAGAGGGAATGAGGCAGTGCAGTCCATGCATACCGCATGCTGCCCCTTGGACTATTTTCAAGGAATACGCGAGAGCGGGGCAAACATTTGGTAATGCGAGGAGGCATGGGTCATCCATTTCGGAAATTCTGAGTTCTCAGAACTGCAGGCAACCTACTTTCTTACTAAATGTATACAAGTTTTTTTTCTCTTTTGTGAGAAGAATGCACATGAGCGAGAAAATCTTCTTGGACAAAATGAAAAGGGATCATGTGGCACAATCCACTCTCTAAAAGACAATCGAGGGAATATGAATTCAAGAGAATTCCAATGGATGCTTCTCAGTCAGAATCGAGAAAAAAACCCTTTTCAATCGGGGGGAGGGGGGAGGCCACGGGCAGAACTCCAAGTTCAGGGTCATCAAAGCTGAGGTTCATTAATCCAAACGAGAAAAAAAAAACCCTTTTCAACAGCAGATGCGCCTTTGTGCACTCCCGTAACTAGAAATCTTGAAGCCAAACCTAAACGATCACACCGGATATGGGGAGTCTATCGAGCTTTACTGCGCAGTAAGGAATGAGGGTGTCAAGATGGCACTCACATTGCATATTTTGCTTATCCTGTGTGCCTGCTTCTCCGCAATCTCTCTTGCCTGGTTGACTAGTGCATCCAATTCCTCAAATAAGTTAGCAAGTTCTTTGCTAAAGTTCACATGGGAATCAATTACCCCGTCGAGTACAGGCTTCAAAAGTTTCATTGCTGCTACAGTGTTCCTCAGGTATTTCATAACTGGAGCGTTTTTCATTGTCTGGCAAGAAACGAGATGAATAAATCGAGCAACACTGTTGACCAGACCTCCTACCACCCCGCTGCCCATCGCACCTGTTTTCATAACAAGGAATGAGGTCATAGAAACAGGCCCTCGTGGGAAGATTGTAACTCACTAGTAACCTTGTACCACTGATCCTGACCACTGAATTCAAAACGACGACGGCACTGAAAGCTGGGTAGCTACTTCGGCATCGCATCCTCTCCTTGGAGCTTACCGAATTTCGTGTTAGAGTGGCAAACATAAATCCGGCTGTTGTAAACGTCTTAATTGCATGCATTCACGAGAGTAGAGGCTGAGTATCTCTTTTTAAGCATCTGCATTATCGTATTAGGTAAATTTCATAGCGCAGTTCACGTGACGCAATATGTCAAACACCTTGAAATATTGATGGCAAGCCTTCGTGATGAAAGATAACCAGAATAGTCCATTGCGATTCATATGTAGCGTCAATAGCATGCATCGAACCAATCACCTGGAGTTCTTTGAACAGCCAGGGAGAGAATACGAGGGAATTCTTCGTGAAAAAAACCAGAAGAAGCCCAAACCCACGCCGCAAAATCACATCACAATGACTAAAAAAGGATAAAGGAGGAAGTTTGATGAATACATAGAGACGCTGCGCAGAGAAAAAAGAGGCGTATTACCCCCGCATAGAAGCATTCTAGAAGCATTCCCCGCAGTTCTGATACACTAACAAAAAAATGTGTACAAATTGCAGCCAGCTAATCAAATTGACGAATCGGACTTCCTCCGCTACAGAGATGAGTTGCAACCGCATTTTTCTTTTGGCGAAAGCGACCATGTACATGCAGCTTTGAAAGCATGGGAGAAGAGAACAAGGTCTTTTGATCCTCTGAATGCACACGGGGGACAAGGAACAGCCGACGTTTAAGCAGATCTCTTGCAGAACCACTCACGGCGGGGGTCTTCCGTCATGGCATGCAAACGATTAGATAGGCGTATCGGAAGCAAAACTCGACCCAGTGAAAATAAGCGGAGCTGACCGATCCCTCATCTTCTTCTCGTGTGAAAACAAAAGACCGAATCATACAGAAAACCCGGAAACCAACTAGATGCTTTCAAAATCGCGAAAGTCGTAAGGTGAGAGAACCCAACCCACTGTCGTCCGCGCATCTGCCGAAGAGAAAGGCCTGAGGCAGGGCGTCGGGCGCAACTGCATCACATCTTAGTCATGTGACTCCCCCCTCATCAGACCAGTACAACAAGTCCCTCCGAAGAGAAAGCCCTAGATTTCCAGCGCGACGGGGAACTCGCTGGGGCCCCGGGTGTTGGGGGGGTGGGGAGGGGATGAGGTTGGGGGGTGAGGACCCGGAAGTTGAGGGTGTTTGCTGGGGAGACGGGTAAAAGCGGGGATGGGGTTAGTGAAAACATGCAGAGAGGAGTTGCTGAGTGAGAAAACCTGTTCGATGGGAAAGAGAAGTCCTCTTTACTTTCCGTTTATTTTACGTTCCGTGCAAGGGTGGCGATGGAATGGCCCGATGGCATCCAAAACAACCCTTGTCCGAGATCCCACAATGTATCGTCGAGCGCCATGATTAGGGACGAGCGAGGATGAGCGCATCCTGCGTCTGTTCCCAGCGAGAGGCAAGCCGTTTGCTTGCAGGTCAGCTGGAAGAAGTGGGAAGCTGACTCGATAAACCTATTGACCCCCGGGTGGACCCTTGACGAATAGGGCAACACAGGGCAGGGACCAGTGCCCGCTAATCGGCAGTTATGGCTGCGAGTCATCACAACTGTCCCTGTTTGACAGGGTCATCGCCACCGGGCTTATCCAAGGGTGAGGAAAGTATGAGGTATGACAGCGCCATCGCCACCGGGGACTATCTCGGAAAAATAACTGGCCTTAGCCGGGCGCTATCTCTCTCTCTCTCTCTCTCATGCCGTCGCGAGCGAACGCAAACCTCCCTTCCGGCCGAGCCCCGCGGCGTTTTCACTTAGAGTATTATCATACCCACGATCCGACAGTCTCAATCCGACCCCCCGCGCAGCACCGGAAGCCACGAAGCCTGCCGAGCCCGGAGCACAGTGAATGAGTCGAGTCGCAAGCGCACCAGTTTACATATGGCATTGGTGCAACAGAGCCTGTTTTTTAGCTGGTCTGACCCCGGGCCTCGCATGCTCTGTGAAGGAGGGTCCGGGCGAGGCCATCTACCATTCCCGACCACTCCACTCTATTCATCTCGCTGGGCTCGGGCCATAACGTAATAGTAATGACAAGTCCACGCGAGCATCGGGGGTTCAATCGGGCAGGGTGTCCGCACCCCCGAATCTTCACTTCTTCCTTCCCACTCTGCCGGGAACATTACTCATCTTCCTTTCCTCTGGTGAGTGACGTAAGGTGCCCGGCTCGTTGCCGGGTCTCCGCTGGTGGCCTCCCCGAGTGATGTGGACAGGAGCTTGGTTGGGACGGGCGGATTGATGCCCCCCCTTCCCCACAACTAGGGAGCTGACTGTGCCCTTCGCTAGGCGGCGCCACCTAATTCGTCGATTCCTGCTGAGTAACTGGAGAGATGTGACCGCCTCGCCTGACGACAGTTCTTTGGTACGCCCCCCACCCCCTGTCCGCTTCCGACAACATGGAGAAGCGTTCTTGCTCATCTTGTTTCCGCTTACAGGGCGATGCAACCTCGACGTGTAACGCCGGTGCCTCCCCCTCCCCACCACCACCCGTCTCTCTCTCCATCGAGACGGCAAGCAATAATGTCGGCCAAGTATCCGCCCGATGAAAGAAAAAAAAATGTCAAACAACAGTAAACGGGGGTGGGTTCAGCTTCTCCCGGTCATCCTCGTCTAGAGCAAAACCATTCGTCGCAGCAAGGTGACGACCAACTCATTCGTCAAAGCTTAAGCCGGGGCTTGGTTGGGTGCCGTTCACGGCAAGAACGGTTTAATGCGCGGTAGGCCATGTTACAGGCCGCGGCCATGCCCTGTTCCGCCTATTCGAGTGCAGTCAGCGAGGGCTAAGGAGCGGTCGTCGTTTAATGACATCGAGGAAGCTCTATGGAGAATCGTGCACGGAGGACCATTCGGGACGGCTCCACTTCTTATGCGGCTGAGAAAGGGGATGGGCGAGGCGGACCTCCCACCTTGAATTGGATCGCCGTTCCCTGATTAATAATCAAGATCAAAGTCTCGTGAGTAGCCGGGCAACCTAAATCGAGGGCATCTGAAAGAGGGGTCTGGCCCTTGGAACTGCCTTCCTTCACGAGCTCTGGGGAGCCGTCTTTAAGATCAGGAATCCGGCTGCAGACTGGCTGCATTCCGTCCTTCACAGCCCGCCATCAATTGAACGCTCGCTGCACCTCCCTTCTCGGCCGAGCACTCACTGAACACTTTTCCTGGAAAGACATCACGCGGGGGCTGTGAGTGTTCTGGAAGAGAGACCCCACTTGAACGTCGGTGACGTCATCCTCACGGGGGAGTGGGTTGGCGTAGGGTGGCGCGGCAGCGACGCATCTACAGACGGTGTTTCCGCCCTTGTAGTCGCCCCCTTTTGTTCATTTGAGAGGTGCTCACGGCAAGTCCGAAGCAGGACAAAACTCTCGACCACCGGACTAAGCAACCAGAGGGATGCCGTAGTCGTCTCTGGGAGTAGTCCTCGTTGGCCGTGGGCGAGCGCGTCGGTGAAAGAGAGTCGGGGGTAGGAAATGGAGACACTTTGTGGGGCCGTGGCCCTCTTGCTTCTCGTGCGTGGGTGTGAAAGCGCAACAACTGCAGCGGCTGGCGGAGAAGAAGGGACGTGGAGAATGGTACCTGGGAGGAGCACGCAGCCGCTTTCAGAAATGAGAGGGGGATTCCTTTATACCAGAGGCAGAGGAAGATGCACTCCCCAGTTAGGCCCCTCTTCGCTCTCCCTCTCTCTCTCTCTCTCTCCCCCCCACCCCACCCCCCCGGTTTTTTTTCTCTCTTTTAGGGTCTCACATTGCCGCTAAGTTACGAAGATTCCATTCCTCCCCCCTGCTCCCATAGGGGAGGAAAGAGAGTATGGAGTGTTTAATCTTCACATGGCCATTCCTGAAGAAGCGGTAGGTGCTCCGCTGGAGAAGCCTCTCCCAGAGTTCAACCACACTCCCATAGTGAAAAAGTGGACATAGAGCTCAGAGGATTTATAGTGCGTCTTTGAATGGGATCCGTACGGGTTGAGTGGTCGTGCCCTCGTTGTTTTGTTGAGAGGAACAAGGGATCTGGACTCCCAAATTGACTACACACGCAGAGAGAAGAGAAAGGCAGAAGGATGAATACACATATCTGTTCGATTTTGCTCGTCCATAGGGGAAGATAATCAGAAGTTCGTTGCGAAACAGTGATTGCCACAGACAGGAGCGCCGTCTCAGACCCCTAGTGGTGATCTATCATTCTCCGTATTTCAATGATTCACATTAGGAAATCCTTGGTCACAGCCCCAATTAGCTGTGTCGTGGGCTCCGTGCCTATCAAGTCCCTACACCCACCACCTCTGCAACCCCTGCGAAAGGTTCTTAATTTTTTTTATTCGTTTTTCATTCTTCGGTGACAATGGAGACCATTAGATGAGGCCAACCGCGGGGCTCCAACCATGTCCAACGCCTAGTGATCTCATGTATCCCCTGAGGCAACTTTCTGGGAAGATGCTCTTCTCATTATCTCGCCCCACCCTGTGAGCTCTGTGCAGCTCACATTGCACCACCTGACAAGGGTGAAAGACTTTGCATTTTCCTCGTCATCATGCCTGCTAACAAATTTCACGGCAGAGAGGGAAATGAAGATGCCGTTTTTATCTTAAGTGTCAGTTGATGGGGTATTTCCACTCCCCTCACGGCAAAGGTAACATTTTAACTGTGGACAACCTGCGGGGTTCCAGCCAGCAAGGATTTCAGTTGCTTTTGGGAGTTGTTAAACCTATGGCTTCTGCTCCATTTTAGACACAAATTGGACGTGTTCAAGGCTACATAATTAGATGTCTGCAGACTCTTTAGGATTCTACTTGCGTGCAGGATTCTATTCCCTTCTGTACAGAATATGTTGCTTACTTTGCACAGAATAATGGTCGACCCATTCTCTTCTGTACTTGTGTGTAGGATTCTACTTACTTCAGTATTTCTCTCTCCCACGGTAATTGTACAGTTCTACAGAAGCTTATCCTCCACGGATCCAACTCATTAGTCTCACATCATGGGCACGGGATGCATGTTTGTTGCAATGTTGGGCTTGCTACCTAGGTGGCTGACTCGTGCCCTGTTCAGGTTCTGGAGTGCAAGAGAAGAAGCATGGCCAATGATGGTCCCCCAGGAGGCTTCGGTCTGGAAAGTTTTTGGGTCACCGGCTTTGGAGCGCTATGAACCACAACTGACTGTGTTAGAGGCGATGGAGAGGAATGATGACATTGATGGGAGTGCCTTCTCTCAGTTGGTGAAGCAATCTAGTGCGGCTCTGCTTAATGCCTATACCAGGGAAGGATTTCCATACACTCCATGGGAAATTAAGACACTGCTCTTACAAGCCCTTGTTTCGGAGGAAGCTGCTACATCCCAGGCAAGATGCTTTGCAGATGTCAACCACGCATGTAGTTGATCAGAAGAGTGCAAACGCTGATCTCTCTGCTCTGTATGCAGAGAGATTCACATCAGAAAGTGTCACTTGCTGTTGCCTATGATGCATTGTCGTTCCACTTAGCCAGATGCATGCTTTGTGCCATTTGCGAATTAGTGGGGAGGATGTCGCTCTTCCATCTGTGTGTAGATGACTCTGAAAACCTTTTGAGTGTCAAGCCTCTCAGTTGGGCACTTATGCTATTTGATCTTTCATGTCTGTAGAGTTTCCTATTTTGTGGTTGGATGAAAGGTCCCTGATGTAGGGACATTTATCAACCATGGATTCTCCATCTGCCTTGCCAAATGCTTTCTGACACACCACAATTTTTTTTTTTTGATATTTGCATTAGTTTTGTTGTTAAACCATATAGAATACATGCACAATATTTTGATAGATTTACTTATGCTCCAACATTAGGTTGCCTATGAATTTGATTATCTTAGTAATGGTGTATCTCACTATGTCAACCTTGATGTGTACTTGATATAGTGAAGTATCAACCTCTTTGTACACTCATATCATCCAACATGATACTACATTTTTGTTGTTGTGTTCTTCTGTCAACTCCAAAACTCAACATGTGGGACATTGCTCACTCCTTGTGCACAAAAAAAATCCACAAAGCATGGGAGAAGTTGTGTACACACAAGAGAAGAAGACTCTTCTGAATGCACAAGGATATCCATTCTAAATGAAAGAAGACAACAATGTCTTCCATGATAACATTATTGACAACTTGAGAAACTCTACAGAACTATAACCTACTCTAATATCAAGTAGAAATTTAGGATTAAAAGGGCTTAGATAATTTTGAAGTGATGTAAGTTGACATCAATCGCCCATGGTGCATCATGTGACAAAATAAGCACGTCTAAACATTTACACATATAGACAAATCATTAGAAAGGACTAGTTACAGGCATAATTCACAATATCTACTCATATAAAGTTAACTTCTACTGTGAGAAGGAATAAAGACATAAGTTTTACTTGGTTTTGACTCGGTTGTGACATCTGCTCATGGCCTTTGTTGCACATGTGTATCACGTCATATCATTGTCTGTATCTGCAGAATACTCCTATGTGCATGTTGTACAATGTCATATTGACGTGCACCACCTCACATATCACCACGTGACCTCATACTAGTAGTGAGGCTCTACTCTTGGAACCTTGTGCTTCCCCATGAAGGGTGTCACAAATGAAGTGTTGAAGGGTCTCATGCTTTGAGGAGATAAGAGTATGCCATAAGGGTAGTATGCTAATCAGCATATTCTTACGTCAAGTTTGTTGTTTGATCCCTTCTTTATTATTGAATGGAACATGCTGATATTAGTATTTATGGCTCATTTCTTCCACATATTAATGAGGAACCGTGATATTCTTCAAAAATGTAAACTATTTTGCACAAAAGTTATCAGAGGGGGAGAGGGAGGGAAGAGTTTAAACCAGACTAATCGAACAATCAACTAATTAGAAGTCTTCAACAATTAGTGAGCTTTGAACTAGGAGAGGATCAAGAACTCAAGATCAATCATTTGTCATCTTCTTTGAAATCCAGCTCATCATAAAATGTTTCTTAGAGACAAGAACCTAGTGAATTTTTTTTAGTTATTTGTGGGTAAGTTTGCACTAAGTGCTGCTCATAATTGAAGGGAGGTGATCAGCACTAAGTGCTGCTTATAAATAATAATTTATTTTTTCAGATGGGGTGATCTACAGTGAGTTTCAAGGGAAACTCAGCGGGAGCTGGGCCCTTTTAATTAGTGAAAAAATAGTAAGCATTTAGTGGAAGCCAATAACATGATGCTCTTGACAAAGTGGATGTAGGTCAAGGAGACCAAATGACTCTAAAACTGGTCTCTTGGTCGTACCACAAGCTAGAAGAGCATCACATGAATGCGTTTTGAATGAAATTACTATGGTCAATTCAACCCTCTTTTTTGGTCTAGACGTTGCCATAAATCGAACATTATATGCTTGAGAGAAAAGAAAATGATCATTTTTGAAGAAATAAAATGCTGAAATTAATTATGTCATGCACATAATCAGTTCTTCTTGTATACATCTTCTTTATATTTGGAAAAACCTGTAATTATGACTTGATTTTTACACATTCAACTTAAAAGAAGGTATTATGTGAAGGAGTCAAGGAGGGCTAAATAAGTCTAGAGAGAGAGAGGAGGGTGAATAGATCTAATTGCATGAATCATTAGGTGGGCTAATCTACTTTGTATTTAAATATAATTTAAAAATAAAATAAACATAAGAAATGAAATAGCTTAATTAGACTACTAAATAGGAATAAAAAAATTCATCAAATCAAGAAGATCTGATTAACATCAATCAAGAGACTAAACACATAGATATATCAAGGTAAAGATGGATATTTCAGAGTATCAATATAGAAATTTTAGAGTGGTTATGCATGTGGCTTACATTGACTTTCCATAATCAGAAATCTTGGAAAGATTATGATGTTTTATCATATAAAGAATAGTTCTCCTTAATAAACAGTCCTCCAAAATATGCATGTAATTTCATGTTCATGCTTCAAGATTTATGTGAAATGATGTCTAATTTTAGTTACATACCACCAACAGTATACTTCATGGTTCATATTTCATGTGAGAAATGAAATATTCAATGATTGGACTTAAAGTATATACTTCTGATATTAATGAGTCAAAGGGTGAGGTTGTTAGTCATGTTTTTAACATATTCATCAAACTATGTGATCAATTTTGTAGAGCCTACACACATTTGCACATAAAATTTAATGTGTCATTGATGTGAACCATGAGATATTTAACATTAGATGGCTAATTAATATTCTGCACTCCCAATGAATAGGCAATTGTGAGGAAAAAGCTACTTGCCAAAAAAAAAAAGAAGAGGGTAGAGTGAAGCTCCAAAAAGTGAGTATCATATTTGAGGCATGTAGAGTTCATATTTTACACTTCCAATGAAGAAGCAAACATCGAGAATTTGATTTGGGGAGTGTATAGTTGATATCATGCATCCACTTGTTGATATTTTTTAGAAACTTGCACAAGGGGATATGAAAGTTTAAATGTATTTTAAGGAATTCTCAAATTACGTAATATTACACCTTTCTTCTTAATTTTAAATAATTATGCTTGCTAATTTTACTATTACCTTGTTCTCATGAAATATGATGCATTTAAACTTTTGTTAGTTCTAGGTATTTATTTGTGTGCACTACTAACAGACTAATAATGAGTGCATTTGGGTGTGTGATAACATGATATTTTAAAGTAAAATTAACACAAAGGTGTTTAATCTTATCATTATTTCATGAATAAATAGTATGAAAAAATAATGTGTACTTAATTTTAAATATCATAATTATTTTTCTATGGATAATAATTTTCGGTGCTTAATAATTTATTTTTCTATATTTATGAGACAAAAATTACTTTGGCTATAAGATAAGGGTAATTTAGTCTTTATTCCCTCATGAGCCAACCCTAGGTCATCACATCCCCATTCACTACTACCAAATATATATATATATATGTGTGTATATATATATATATTTCATGCACCTCTTTTCTAAAAAAATAATTTTCTTCTACACCTTTCTTCTCCCTCTTGTTTTCTCTCTTTTCTTTCCTATGCTCTCCTTTCTCTTTGAGCTCCACTCTTCTCTCTGCATCTTTCCCTATGTCACAAGAAAGAATAATTCTCTACCTCGTCTTCAACATTTTAGATCTTTAGTTTTTGCATTTTTAGTTACTTTCCATGACTTTCTAACTCTCCCTCTTGATCTTTATTACAAGGTGATAGATAGGAGTTTCCTTCATTTACAACATCTTCTTCTAATGTTTCATGCAGTTTTTTTAACATTCTCAATTTCTCATTTTTTCTCTCCCATTGGTGTTCTCTTTTCCCGATGAGTTTTCTCCTTCCTAGTATACTTTTCTCTCATTGTTCCCCCTTCCTTCCCTTTTTTGATTTTTTAAAATTATGTATATTATTTAACCTACAACAATCAGTGTGCATCACTACCTATAAGTAGATGGGCTTCAAAATTGTGTTAGTGCGAGACCAAGTGATCTTGCTGTCGTGCACAAGCGTCATGCCGTCACATGCAAGTGTCATGATGTGATGCATAGGCCTCGTGCTGCCGTGTGTAGTTGTCGTGTTGCATGCCAATGTGTAGTGTTGTCATGCCAGCATGTGCCGCAATGTTGTTGCTAGGGATGGTTATTGTGGAGGGACCCTGATAATATTGTCCTCCTCCCATGAGATTTGATGTCCTAGTCGGATGATGTCAACCATGATAAACTTAGATTTAGTCCTCAAAATTACCACAAGTCCATGTCCTTTTCCTACATAGTCACCTCTCTTGGTTGTCCTATCCACTTAATAAAGTAAAAAGTTTATGGTGGACATGATTGTGCCCACCTTTGTCAACCACCTAATGATTTAATATTGTCAATGCTGAGTTGGAGTAGTGCATCTAGATCATTGGTAGATGTATGTGTGGTATGTTCTACTCTAAATTGTCATCATATGTATAATAAGCTTTTAATAGAGATACATAGAAGATCATGTGTATTGAGATGTGTGTGAAAAGTTGTGGTCGGTAGGCTAATTGCTTTACTTAGCCCACTATTTGAAAAGGTCTATCAAAGCAAGAAATTAATTAATTATTTTGCTTCTACTTTTGGAGGCTCTTGTAGGTAGGGTATACAAAATAGTACACAGTCTCCTATTGCATATTATATTCGACCTCTCATTAGTGTTGATCAATATTTTTCTTCATCCTCTAGGTTGCTTTTGTCAATGTCACTTGGTTCTCTTCAATGAGGTCATTGCCGTTTTTAGCAAAGCAGTAGGTAGCTGGCAAGGATCCTTGACCTCATTGTTTCACAAGCTCAAGGGGTATTAGTAGTTGCTTACCAATGACAAGTTCAAATAGTGAGTGTCCCGTGGACATGTATTATTAGATGTTATAGACAAATTAAGCTACATCTAGTAAATCGACTTAGTTGTCCTATCATGCCGTGACATAATGTTTGAGGTGATATTCCAACATTTCATTTACTCTATTTGTTTGGCCACTTGTATGTGGATGAAAAGCAGTGGAGAAGTTAAGCTTAGCGCTAAGAAGAGTGAAGAGAGTTGACTAGAATCATCTTGTAAAGTAGGGATCACAATCAAATACAATGTCGCGTGATCTCTCTCATAATTTGACTGTGTGCATCAAGAAGTGCCTTACCATCTTTTTTGCCTTACACTATGACCGTGTTGATATAAAGGTTGCATACTTTGAGAATTTATCCACTACCACCAAGATGGCATTATGGTCGCCCACCTATGTCTGTGTTTATAGATAAAGATTCTCATGGTCCTTCCGAAATAAGTAGTGGCTCCAATGTCCCTATGACATTCCATCATTCCATTTTGTCTTATTAGTAGAGTAGGTAGGAGTGGACATAGGTCTCTATGTCTTGCTCCATGTTGGGTCAATAGTACTTGTTAGCCAACAATCTTTGTCTCCGTTGTTATCTAGAGTGTCCTACATGTGGTGTGTCATGGTTCTCTCAAAGAAGGCATCACCATAGTTGGCCCCCCTATGGTACATAAGGTCTTTGGTCTTATATGTATTAGATGTCATTGTCCATCTAGAATCCTTGGGTTTCTTTCATCTCCATCTACTAAATGAGGTATTTGGCTACTAAATATGTAGAATATGTCATCCTTATTTCATCTAATAAGATACTTTAGCTTGTTGAGAGGGCAGCCACAACCTTAGTGGTTCTTCATCGGCTCAAGGGGTCAGCTACTATATTAGTCTATCATGGTTTGTACTTGAGTGAGAAGTCATACTTGACTAAGAAGTCCTACCATTAGGTTTGCGTGGGAGATAATTTAGGTACTTATTCCTCACCATGATCTTGTTCAAAGCTCACTAATCCACACAAAGCATTAATATATTATCTTTCTTTCTTTCTTGTAAGGGGGCTTGGTTAATGATATCTCCCTCGGTAGTAATTTAGTAACATATTTAATGTCCTACTTTGATGCTAAATTTGCATGAAGTTTTTTAGGCAATGGTATGAAACTCTTTGAGTAGGGCAATACCTACAGTTGGCCCACCAGTTTTCCTTCTCCTTCCACCTCCCATAAGGTGACAAGGTAGGTGTTTACATCCTTTTACAAGTCAGAATTCAATTGTATTACAAAAATAATTGAAACTTTGTTGTCTCTTGCACAAAATAGAATTGCTCTCCCCTACATATGAGAATTCTATTTTAGTGGAAGAAAATTTCCACCTTCACCTTAATCGTAAAATTGGCCCCCAACATGATATCAAAATCATCTATTTTCAGGATTAGAAAATCCAACTTGTCTCTCTAAGTACTAATTTAGACATTCACCTATTCAACCAATTCTACAGATGTATGGGCTTCAAAATTGACAGCTTTGATTCTTTTACTAGTATGAATCAGCTGCAAACCTAACAAGTGGGCCTCTCCTTCAGATAAGAAGTTGTGGCTTGTCTTGGAATCTATTAAGGCCCTTGCTAAGATATTTGTGATTGTGGTATCCCTGATTGCCCAAACCAAGCACTCTCACTAGTGGTGGTTGCTCCTACGAATGATAGAGTTGAGTCAGGCCCTCGCCATACAACGGTCTGCTTAATTTAGGCAATCAGTACTACAGTGTAGGCACCCGCAAACTTGGCAACCCATCTACTTTGAGCCCTCAATTTTCAAGGTGTCCCAATTCTGGGCTCTATTGGCTTGTCCCTAGCTTCTCCTTGTCCTAGTTGGTCATCTCTGTCCTCTATTGTTGTTGTGACCTCTATTCCCCTAGGGTACCTCGCCATTGCTGTCTTGTTGTTGGTACTGGTTGTCAACTAACCCATTTGCCACAATCATAGCTCCTTGAATGTCCTAGACACCTTGTCTCCAAATTTCACTATGGGCCCACATCCATAGTCCCTCCATGAAATAATTAAATTTATCCTTTTTATCCATTATGGATACCTCTAGTACATGGATTAAAAATTGTTACACATTCTCAAATGGCTCTATTGTGCTTTAGCTACCTCATGGCTGTCAAAGTGGCTTGTATTGAATTCGTCAGGCATAATTGCTCTCAAATCTTCCTAACAAATTCGTCTCACCCTGTCATCGTTGGTCTCAAATAATCTTTAGTCCAGAACTTCCACCATGTCTTAGCATGTCATACCAAAAATAAATTGTTAAGGAAAACCTTCTCTTCCTTAAAAGAGGTATTAGCATTGAGGTACCTTTCTAGGTCCTAGAAAATTCTTAATTAACATAGCATCCCACTCCCCTAAGAATGATTTGGGTTTAGGAGCCTTGATTCAAGATGGTCTAGGTCCTAGGTCATAACCCAGAGGTCTTTAGATGTTGTCAATTATAATTTGGATGTTGCTCACAGCCTCCTCCATCTATTGCCACAACCTTAACATCTGTTGGGTAAATTCTACTCGTAGTGTCAAAATGTCTACTTTTTAGGCTTTATAAGATGTGGCCATTTCCCCATCTGAATGTAAATTGACCGAGTTTCCCCATTGAATCTCTCTATTAAAACATCAATAGCCACACAAGTTTTTTCTTCTCTTTGGGCCATCTATCCCACCATATACTCCTGTAGACTACTAGAATCATCCTACAACTGACCCGTAAGACACTCAATGGCTCTAGCTAAACTTTCTTATTGTTCTACTTGTTGATTAATTATCTGCCCTAGTATGCCACTCAGTCCCTATTCTACCCTCCGCCTTTATGGCATCATACAAAATATTGAAGAAGGAGAAGGGGTAGAAGAGTCTAACCTTTTTTGTAACCTGATTTTGATACTACTATAATATTGGCCACTCTACACAAAATTATTACTAAGCATTTAGGTAATTAGATCCCCAATTAGACCATGTATGACTAATATGAATATTCTTGGTAACCAAAGGTGCCTCATACATGGCCCAAGGGTCCTTTATAGATGGTCTACACGAGTAATGAGGTCCTCTACTCCTCCTTCAGATGATGTCATGTTCGTGACATCATCATATGTTCTCATGGCTTTGGGTTGTCATGTTAGAATCGTACGCAACGTCGTCATGCCTCCTAGTCCATGCGGTGCATCTACATGTATAGTCGTCATGTCAGTGCACAGGTGTTATGTGCCGTCGGACATATCACACATGCAACGCACGTGCTCATGGGACCATGCGCCCGTTCGCGTCATCGCACATGGGCGCCGTGTCAACACGCGCCGACCATTGTGCCGACAGGCACGGGTGTCGTGCTGCCGCATGCGGGTGTCATGTAAGTGCGCGCCGGCATCGTGCCGGTGCGTGCTTCAGTGTTATTGCCAGAGGTGGTTCCTGTGGAAGGACCCTGGTAACATACTTCCTTGGCGGCGCCTCCAGCAGACGTGGCTGCATCGGTGATGCTTCGGTCTTTGTTCTCAAGGTTCTGGTTCAGCTGAAGGCACGGCTGCACACAGAAATGCATAAAAGGATGGAATAGGAATTGTAGAGTGGGAGGTAATCATTTTGAGGGAATAGATGTTGTACCAATCATTTATCAGGTGTCTGAGTGCCGTAAGAGCGGCTGCACCACATCTCATTTCAGCCATTGGAGACGAGTGTAGGCTTATTCCCCCACCCTCTCTCTCTCTCTCTCTCTCGTTAGGACACTTCTAGGTCGATGCAATGTCACCCAAAAGGTTCGGAAAAAACCTTATGGACCTGTCTGATGTCTGCATATGTGTATGGATATATCTCTCTAAGCCCTCTAAAGATGTATGGATGGCCAGTCAACCGGCCTGCGCAAGAAGGCTAATGAACTTTAGTGCGTGCATTGACTCAATTTCGAACCCCTTGTATAGTTGGGATGATTATCAGCGGACCCAAATGAAAGAAAAGCAAAAAAATAACCGCACTAGGGATCAACACCTCGTGAGGCATGGATTTAAACAACCAATGTTCTTTACTTTCATTTTCTTTTATGTAAGCTTTTTCTCCGAGCAGGTAAAAAAGTGTTCACAAGAGGCTGGACATTGATGATCATGGAAGGTCAGGAAGGAAGATCTACTCCTCTATCTCCTCCCTGTCTCCTGGGTCCGCAGCTTATTTGCTTCGAGAGGCCCTCAGGCAAGGAGATTAGAGCTACCAGGCCAGAGGCCAGCTCTTCCTGATGCACACTCTCTTCCAGGCCTTGCCGGCTGTCACGGCAGAGATAATTATCGTCCTGATTGAACGAGGTCCTTCTAGAAAGTGTTGGCAGTCATCGGGACCTTCTTTCAGGCCTGTGCCGGCTTCGGCAAGTGCCAGTTGACGGTGGTCTGGACGGGGAAGTTGGAGAGTGATGAAGACCGGAGTGAGAACCATCATCCACGTCGCCAATGCATCGGCCTAAGCCCATTGCGCAATGAATTCCTGTATTATTAAAATTTTATTTATTTTATCATATAAATAACCTCTTGCACCCTAGAGACGGAGAAGAAAAATATTTTGATTTTGTTGGATCATCCACCATCTCTCTGTTAGGGAGAAGCTGTGAGAGACACCATCGCTCTATGAGGAGAGGTCGTGAAGGTCATTTATCCAATGTCGTCTATCACCGCTATCCACTACCCACCATTTGTTCTTTGCCCTCCGCCTCATCACCCTCTGTTTGTCAGTCATCTGCTTTTGTATTTTATCCATAGATTGGTTCACACTATTATAGCCGGTGGAGAGTGTTGTGAAAAGCCCTTGATTTTCAACAAATCAATTTATTTTGAGTGGAGTGCCGTAATCTTGACGGTTTCTTAACTACGTTGATCCGATCTGTTTCAATTTTTGCATGAAACCACCCATACATCTCTTAGTCAATTCTCCTAAGCTCAAGGACCTATTGTGAGAGTCAATTTTTGGTCACTTGTCCTGCATCAAAGAGCTTATGTGACCAAGTGAAACTAATGAGGTAGAGTGTGGCCATCGCCTTTCGCTACTGATAACTGGATCGCATATTCCTTGTTGTCTGCCCTCATCATGGCCAGAGCTTCGATAGGCGGCAAAGTCGTCATCCTCTCTCTCTCTCGCTCGCTATATTCTTTGGAACTTCCCGCAGTGGCCGAAGTAAGCATTTTAAAGAACGAAGCTCACAAGTTTAGGAGAATCGGAGAGCCGACAGGTGTGCATCTCGTACTCTTCTTCCGCAGGGAACGGTCAGGATTACAAACAAGGGCAAAAACACGCTGTCATACTGGCGTCTGACGACTAACAGCCGAAGAAACCACGGCAGATTTCCCCACAACGACCAGTTCAGAGTCAACAGTACCCGAGGATTGTCCTATTCCTTCAGGTCAAATGCATGGTGAGAACGGTGGCAGAAAGTGGATGGGAGAGAGAGAGAGAGAGAGAAGAGATCACGTGCATGACATGTTATCAAAAAAAATCTCATCGTCCATAATAGTTATCCTAAAACATTCAGCGCAGGTTCCCCACACCAGTGCCTGTGTATATAACTATGGAACCAAAATCTAATACCACCCCACACAACCAAGCGAACTATCTTCTCTCTCCTCAACTAATGCCAAAAAGGCTAATAATGCCTCCTCCCCCTCGTCTACTGAGCTCAAAGGGTGGGTCGATCCGCGTCTCTAACATGAGATACTTACTGGGAGCCAACCCTCTGTGGCTCCTGCAGTCGCTGCTGCTCTTCGCTGCTGCTCGTGAGGGTCGGCTTCTTTCGGCTGAATTTGCTGTACCTGTTTGCAATGGATGCGTCCGACAGGGTGTCCCAGACCTGCGAGGATTCGCAGAGGACCATCAGCGAGGGTGTTGTTATCGATGATGATGATAATGAATAATAGCTGGCGGAGCTTGACGTGGGGAAAACACGCAGGCAGCGCCTGAGCGCGCACCTTCAGTTTCCCCTTGGAACCTCCGATCGCCAGTGAGAACGGGCTATCATCTGAGAAGCTGATGGAGAAGATGGCCCCCTGATTGCAGTCCAGAATTAAAAAATAGATAAGAAAACGGTACTAAGTAGCAAAAAAACATTCAGCAAGTCCCTCCCGCTTCATGAATAAACCAAGCCTCATTACACAATTTCATAAGAGTAAAAGAAGCATTCAACTCCTCTCTTCTTTGGCCCAAAGTCGGATTAAGAAAAGAAAAAAAAGCATTCAAGAGTGAGAGGACCAGACTTACAGCTTTAGGGTTCTTAGACGTCACACATGAAGGTTGGTTGTTGGATAAATCCCAGAGCTTCACCTGGTGGGAGGCCACAACATCATAGCAATCACATTATCAGGAATAAGGAGGGGCAAAAAGCGACGGCCAATCAAAAATTGACAATAATAATAATAACAATAATACTGAAACCATTACAAGAGCACGTACCATTTTATCCATCGACCCAGTAGCCAGCAGCTACACACAGACACCCATGCCCCCCACCCCCCAAAAAAAAGAAAGTTAAAGGTAAGTGCTAGTCAAGAGTAGCAGTAGTAGTTCAAGAGTTGCCACCATACATACATTAGGTGCGGACGGATGGTAGGAAACAGAGCAAACGGCTTTGTCGTGTGCGTGAAGGGTGAAGCATGAATTAGAAGAGCCCGCATCTTGACCACTGCTGGCGGCACGGATGTCAAAGCCTTGAACTGTACCATCTTCAAGACTGACCTGGCAGCATCAACACCGAGCAAGAACAGCAGGTGTTATGAAAGAGTACTTCGCATGGGTCGTAAGACAGAGAGAGAGAGAGGCTAAAGCGAAACCCAACAGCAAAATTTCCATTTTCCGGCAGAACAACATCTTCAGAATTGAGCATTTTTGGAGCTTTACAGTTTTGGACAACTGACCACAAAATAATGTTCGTCGTGGGGATCCCATTTAATGCTCTCCACCTGAGCTGAAACAGACCATTTACTAGCAGGACGTTCTCTGCACTTCATGTCAGCCTACAAGAGTTTTTAACAAAATATTAGCAAGTGCATGACGAGTCCCAAATTATGAAATTATACAAGATTTTAGACTACATTACTGTACACTATGAGTGCGATCGGCATGAATACATTGAATGATGCATTACACTATACACTTTTTGCAAATTATAATGATTGATAAAATGAACATCTGAACGATAAAAGTAACCGAGGTAAAACCGTATAAATGAACAGGATGTGACCAAAGAGAACAAAATGCAAAAAAGAAAGCAATTGCAATCATATGGAACAGAATCGCAAACTCACAGCTTTTTGATGTTCAATCTGTCATTAGAAAAAGTGGCAACGACTACATAAGTCACATCCACCAGATTAAAAGCGGACCTGAGAACTTAGGATGGCCATGACAGATGGGAACTTAAATCTCTCTGATTACCGAACGAATTGAACATTAATTGGAGAATAAGGTATATCCTGGCCTATCTGAAATCTCAGAACCAGCCTCTTTCCTTGACCTTAAATGTACACCTTTTTTTTTTCTTCTTCTCATATTGTTAAAGATTTGTGCTCATCGGTGCTCCCCTTCCAGATGATATATCTGTGTAATGGGCTGACTTGGGAATGATGAGCCCTGATTTGAAATATCTTACAAAATAAAAATAATTGAACTTCCACAACGAAAATATGGTCTATCTCGAGCTCTCTAGGGACGAAGGACTGACCTCTTCCTTTAATCTCCTACAGATATCTTTCTTCTCATTCTTATATTCCCAGTTATCGCTGCTTATCCTTCATTGCATTAAGATCAGTTCATCTCTTTAACTTACCGTATCATGTCATCACCTCACAATATTCGTCCAGAAATCACCACTATATAGCATGTCTCAGTAGTCAAGACTAGACAGCAACATCTATGAACGATATATATTGCCATTTCTCGAAAGGCAGTCCTCCCAAACCCAACAAATGGCATTTGGAAGATTTCTCACATCGCAATAAAATAGTGTTGATTGGTTTCTGACTGCCAACCAGAGAAAAATGTCCAATTTTTGGCGTTTGGTGTTCTAACTCCAAATAAAACGTATATTCTGGGGATAACGCATTCGAGTGCTAACGATGACAACGTTCAGCTTATTTCATATTTTAATAGCTCCTGTGATAAAGTCAAACTTAAGCGCAACAATCTTCACTTGGTTATTCACTGCTTAAAAGCAGAAGCCATATGCTTATTAGTAAAACGGTTCCTTTTTCATTAAACAGGCTACGCTCAGTCATAATTTTTTTACAGTTTCGAGGGAGAGTACGACTTTCAACCAGGTCATAAGCTAAAAATCTTAGAAGAGCATTATTATTGTAGTGCTTAGACTTTTCTTCGCATTTTCATTTGACTTCTTTAATGCGAGCATCAACCAAGGCTAATCTTCCCTCCCTCCAAGTCATAAGCTAAAAATCTTATAAGAGCACTATTACTGTAGTTGCTGAACTTTTCTTCTCATTTCATCTGACTTCTTTATTGAAAGCATCAACCAGCCCAATCTCCCCCCCTCCCTCCATCGACAAGGAGATTGGGCTGGTTGATGCTCTATAAAAGTGAAATGGAGCTGTTTGCACATACGAAAGACCAAGTACTCAAATTTTCATTGGGGATTAAAGTACAAAAAGCAAAATCCCAATCATACGGTCAAGATATCATGAGATTCTAAGACTCATGTTTCCTTTGTATATAAAATTAAGCAGTTTGCCGAGATATCGCACGAATGGATCTTAAGAGAAAACCTACGTGAAACTGCAAATACAATTCAATAAAAAAGGATGGAAATGCTAATGAGTCTTACCATGACAACCGATTGATCAAACGATCCACTCAGAAGAATTTCGGGGGAATGACGACTCCATTCAACAGCTTGAACCTGCAACAGGGAAAAGAAACATATATAGGTTCGGAGAAAAAAAATATTATTCTCTGTGAGTCAACTGACTTTCATGCACTTTGACAGAAAGAAATAGGATTGTTAGTCTCTAGATGAGACATAAATGCAAACGTTCCTTCTTTATCCCAATAAGTTCAGGAAAGTACTAAATTTTTATTCATACTTCTTATTAAAACCAATTCACATGTTTTCCGATTCTACATGTTTGACGACATGATGATTTTCTCCAAAAATTGCTAGATACAATGTATGGACTATTAGTGCTTCATATAGTAAAAAAATAGAAACCTTAAAATTTGACAAAAAGATATGAACAGTAATTTACATAGATTTAACAACGAAAAATAGACTCATCGCTATATACATCAATATATCTAGAACACGTTCTCCATTATAGAAACAAAATCACGTATCAAACAGAATTTTCTGTTTCTACAAGAGATGCTTTTGTCAGACATTTTTACCCCAAAGCTTTGAGGGACAACCATCGGCATGTCTAACGTCAACAATTGGTAAAATCATGCAGAGAATAACCAAATTATTGAGTAATTTTTTAGAAGTTCCGTCAGTAAATGGAAAGTCTTTCGATCCCTGACATTCCTCAATGACATAAAAATATGTTTGCGGTAATTAGTTAGATTTACATTTTGCATGAGGATCCCAGGATCTTGAGCTGATCTGACCTGGGATTGCAATTCTGCAAAGTTATTTATAAAGGGCTAATATAATTGTTTTAGTTTCTATAATGCGTCTCTTCTACGTAAGATACGGTTTTGCTGATAAGTCCTATGACCAAGTCTAATGTTGACATGAACAAATCGTCACATAATGCAGGAGCTGAAAAATCAAAGAGTTTTTTAGTCTACGTTTTGTGAGTTAGGGGTTAGGGACATCATTTTTCAAACAGGGCTATTTATGAATATACTAAAAAAAATTAACATTTTCAAAGAAACCAAGATGATAAAGACACTATGTACATGATTTATCCAAAGACAACCTACACAATTTGCCCACAGAAGAAACATTGGAACTAAAATCAGCAACATTAACAGAAAAAATGTAATATTAACCTTATCCGAGTGATGTTGTAAAGTGAGAGCACATTGTGTAGTAACAACATCCCAGACTTTTACAAAAGTGTCAGCACTTGCACTAGCTAAAACGTTCCTGGACATTTGAGTGTTACAAGCACGTAAGCAGAAATTAAGAAAATTAAAAAGGAAACTACCGAAAAGTATTATGTATTAAAAAATGTTCCTACCTAACCTCCTTGTTCCATGAAAGACCAAGGACAGAATCTCTATGACTTCCTTTCTTGTATTTGACTGATGACTGTTAGTCAAAAAAAGGTCAAGGGAAAATCTCTCAATGGGATCTCCAAGTTCTATAGCTTTAGAAATATAAAATGAGGTTTAAGGAAGAACTGTGATTTGTGAAACGACTGTGTCACCAAAATAGCGGATTGTAAAGCTAAATGCATAATTAAGTATGGCATTGTTTGGCAACAAAGTTTTCAAGAAATTCATGAGCTCAATAAAGGCGGTAAGAAATTTATTTCCAGCAATTGTCAATGCTTAACTGATTTTTCAAGGAAACATAAGGCTGACATACATTTATCACTTTAACACAACCAGCAAACAAGATAGCTACTTCACTTGTCTGTCTCCCAAGGCAACAATCTCAATCACCATTTACTGAAGAGTTGAAATTATAGAATGAATTCAACCTGCTTTGAGAACTGCTTTTCGTTTTTGTTCAGGTCTTGTTTGAAATCCAGTTATGATCATGACATTAGAAGTTTAGCAACCAATTATAACATTTAAACAATCAGTTAAGTATAGTATACAAATTTAAGAATAAAATGACCAAGATGGAGATCATCTGGGATAAACAAATACAAGCATGGCACCGAAAAAAATGTGGCTCAAGAATGCCCCAACAATGATACCAATTAACAGAAAAAACTTATGCCTACAAATTGAGAATCAAAGAACGCCTCCAAATAAAGATTTTAATATTAGTGGGATCAAACAAAAGTAGGTATACAGAACTAGTCAAACGACAATGAGAAAGAATACAAAAAATCAAAAGTTACCCTAAAAAACCACCTTGAGTGTATCTAAACAAAGGATATTAACACAGATGCCATCTCAAAAGGAAGAGAGCTATAGTAGCATTGTAAGATCATAACTTTTATAAAATTTAAAAGGCAATTTCCACAAAACACTGAGTATATGGTTATGTTGTTTGGAGCAGATTGTGGTCCTATTATCCAAAGAAATATCAACAAGTATGATCCATCTAAAGGCAAAATTTAAGGTGCATTGCCATATATAAAAAAATCAATCAAAACAATTGGGATTAAGGGCATGAAAGTCAATTTAAGGTCATATGGACAAGTGCAAAAATAGTCTTGAGTCCAACAAAGAGATATGCACACGATATGGAAAGGGAAGTTTTAGGCTATATGGAATTGTATGGACAAAAGAAACAAAAGATAAAATCGAGTACACTTTAAAATATACTATAGAATAAAGTGGGATAAGAGTTTGTAAGTCATGTGCTACGTACAACCACTTATAATCTGAACGATGATGATGAAGATACCTTTTCAAAGTAGCTAAAAAATGAAGAGAAATATTCTATATAACAAAGTGGAATAACAATATGAGAGCCAAGTGCTATATATAACCACTTGTAATATGGCTTATGATGACAATGCCAACTTTTCAAAGTTGCTAAGAAATGAAGGCATATGAAGGATGCCTTCACGATGACAAGGTAGACAACTCGCAATGATGGGAAGTGAGACACGCACATAAGAGGTTGTTGGCACTGGTACTATGAGGTTTTTGAATTTAAAACGAGGGTTTTAAGAAATCCCATGACTTCTGATTGGAAACGACCACCTTCCTTCCAAATAAGTTGATTCCACAACACGATTTTTTAGTTGCTGCATATTTTTAATGAATAAACTACAAAACGACTACCAATTAAATAATTAATCATCAGATGAGTACAGAAGAAAATCGATCACTTGGGAAATCATTCTTCTGTGATACAACAAAACGAAACATTCCCTAGTCAAGTTGCATTCTCTGGTGCCCCAAACATATTGACCAAGCATATGAATCCAAATTGATTGGCAATTCATTTCTAAGAATAATCCTTTTCAGAAGTTGCTTTTGTGGATTTAAAATTGAAAATTAGATGAAGTTCAAAATAATTTAGGAAAAACGTGTCTACAGTGTAGTTAACATCAAGAAGAAATTTGAGCACAAGTGGGGCATGGTGTCAGAATTGTAAGTAAAATCGTCAGTATGAATGAAGGAGAAACATAAGCATGTTGACAAACCTTTTTTCCTTTTCTCTTCTCAATGGTCCCCCCCAATATAACACATGGCTGGACCTCGTCAAGCTGTTAGAAAAGAAAACCAAAAATGTAGAAAAAAAATTATTCAAGGCTATGAGCTGCTAAAACCAAGGAAATCCGAATCAGCATATCAAGGTATAGACAACATACAAGATCAAGGTCCCAAATTTCAATCCCAGCCTCCATTGAGCCGACAGCCATGAAATTTCCTATACACGCCAAGAAGGAATGGAAAAATTCACCCATCTAATGCAAAAAAAGCTACACAAGAAGCTAACAGAGTCTGCAAAACATATTCTCTACTCTCAGGGATAGTGAATGCATCCATGAGAGAGAAACCGACGAGATACAAGAAAAACAGCTAAGATTTGGATAGACCCTATATTTCCAAAACTATCTAGGGAAATAGCCCATCATCTTACCCCTAGGCAATTGTATTAATGATGCCTTTTTGTCGTTTCTTGGGCACTGCTACAATCAGGATGTCTTAATCTAAAATAGAACACTATGAAAGGCTATTTTACCTGACATCATGGTGAAAGGATACTAGAATGGCAGAATGCTTTCACTATGGCTTTGAGAACACCACTTCAGTAGATAAAAAATAGTTTCCTTAAAAAAAAATTCTAAATGGCATCACAAATAGAAAATTTAATCACTCACGGAATTGATTTCACTTTTGTAACTTTGAAAGAGCCTAAACGAAGTTATTATTACAAAAAGAAAATGAGGGGAAGAAGATTTTAGCGTAATTTAAAGTTATCTGATACTTGTTACGAACATGATGCTAAGAAGATTGGAAAGATCCAAAACTCAAAGTTTCTAACACTCTCCCTCGTAAATTAATATCGCCAAAAACTCAATAATCGAATTACAAAACACTTGAAAAATAACACAACACTAATTAAGAGAGATTTTACTAATTTTGCCCAGAAATAAAAAATCATATTACACCTGTTTCTCCTAAAGTATAAAAAAGCAGGACTAAATTGCATACCAGATATTATTACTACTTCCAATTTCTTCCTCATTAAACCAGTAAGACGTTTTAGGGACATGACAAACAACACCCAGTACAATGACAAAATGATGACCGAATTTTTCATTCTAAACAAGAAATTTAGCTGTGATAGAGATCTACTCAAGAAGTAGGCAATCCATCAAAGTTGAATTGAATAGCGACTCAACTGGGATTCAATGCTGTTACCTAAAGGAGAAAACAATGACATGTCCTGGCATATATTAAGAATGGGGAAGACGAATGGAATTCTTCATTTAGAAACAAGGAAAATGAAGGAGGTATGCAAAGCAATAAACATAAGCTAAAACACAAGTTTTCAATAAAGGAGGTCTGCATCCATCATTCACCTTTATCGCCACTTTTAGGGTTACAATCTAGCCAAGCTGTGCACAGAGGAAAAGCTGGAAGAATGATATCATGATGAACATACATGTTTGGCTCATCCTCTACTTCTTCATACACCCAAACCTGTCATAGGTTGACGAACTGAAGATGTCAACAGCACAGTATAAAGAGAGGCAAGAAAAAACATGAAATGTTGGCGCACCCATCCTCATCTAAAAAAAAGACAGCATGCTGCCGAAATGAAAATACGATAAAAATTAAACATGAAACATATAAAACATTATCTTGATGGGGAATCATTAAGAAGCACGAGATACTTGGGAAAAAAAGGGGAGGGAAAGGAAAGTTCAGCAAAGTAGAGAGAAGAGTCCACAACACAAAACGATTGAAATGGTACAAATAAGAGTAATCAGGGAGCTTTCCTTTAATAGTTAGCATAACTGTAGATTTACAAAAGAAAAACTACAAAAGTTGAAGCCTCCTAAATAACAAAATGACCTAAAGGTAGGCCACTGGAATTTTTCTCAGAAAAACTACAAAAATAACACTAACGAGATAATGGATATTCCAGGCGGGCGCTTAGGTGATTGATGAGCACTAGGAAGATGAATATATGATTGAGTTAAAGAAGATTAATGTTTTTCAATATTAAGGACCAAGAAGACGTACAATGAATAGAGCCAGGCATGAAGTATCTTTATAAGGTGCAGGACTTACAGTAGCAGAATAAAATATTTCCAATCATGGATCATGGATTGCACGTTAAGAGGAGATTGATACTCTCTTAGGTAAGGAGAAGAAACAAAAGTGCCAAATAACTCCTCATGAAACTAAACCAAGGCAATTCAAAATTGAAGTGAACAGATAACACTTTGTCACAGATCAAAGGTAATGATGTGATTGGGACCCTGATCAGATACCCCATTGTCAAATCTGATAAACAAGATTGATACAGGATACCTTTGAATGGAGAGAAGTGATGATTCACATAATAAAACATGGAATGCACGTGATTTTCGATCAAAAAAGCATAAACCATGGTCAGAATAAGTAAAATTAGCCTCACGACCATGAGGAACCTAGTCCAAAGTTATGTGAAAAAGATACGAAGCAACAAGAACGAATTATGATCCCTTATGCATTTTCCAAAACTGAAAATTTTTGTCAAGTATTTACCTCAAGATGGCCAACTTCGTCTTCATTACGTGCACATACAATGACTGCATCCGTCTGCTTTATGGTGATGTCCTCGACCTCTTCATCATCCTGATCTTCATCATCCTGACCACAACCAACGTGCATTTAATGGGCGTCTTCGCATTGACAAAGCATAGCCAAGAAAGCAAATCACATACCTCATTGTTCTTCAAATATGGGTCCATATCGTTACTGGCATAGTATGCATCACCAAGCCCCGTGCCAAACAGTTCAATGCCTGATGAAACACCAAAGAAGAATGGCAGGGCAGTTACAATGGTTAAAAACTCTAAAGCAAACTATGATAAAAAGCCACAGAAAAATTAAAATAAAACCATCTACAGGAATGAAGATACCGTCGCCTTCGTCGTCATAATGTTCCATGTCTAGCTCGTGGAGGGCATCAGTTATATCCTGAAAACCACTGGAGCTCGTGTTTCCCTTTTTCTGACCAAGAGCCTTGGCAGTAGCCATCGCATTGGCTGCTTCCTCAGACTGCTTAGACGTGTCAACATCCATGTCCTCGTCTCCCTCATCTTCACTATCTCCACTGCATAATCGGTAGAAAATCCCAAAAGATGTCAATTTCGGTCGAAAAAACTAAATTAATCACGGGCAGGTCAAAGAAATCACGTGCCGCCAGGGTCGCTGAATTGATGATAGGCAATCCTTCTGTTATGAGAACCGTTGCCTATCTCAAAGTTCATCACCGGGCGAGAAAGAAAGACGAAAGGTCATACCTTCTTTCTAGAATTCCGCTCTTCACAATCTCCTCGATTTCCTCTTTTGAGGGCGGCTCGGTGACCACCGGCGTGACCTTAGGAGCTCCCTGAGGCACCCAGCACAACGAAGAAATCATTGTGAAGCCTACGATCCCTCTTTTGAGCACCTCCGCTCTGCCTGGCGGGCAACAACACTGGACTCTGGCCTGGTTGGACGCCCCGCGGCGCCGCCCTTCTCCCGGGCCTGACTTTCGTGTCCTTCTCCCGCCGACTGAGCTCCTACGTCCCCTTCCCTTTGTGCTCCCTCAAATCCCGCTTCTTTTTCCTTATATAATATTGTGGTATTATTAGGCTGTCTCCAGCCGCTCGGTTTCTTACCGGACCGAATAAAAACCGAATAAAACAACCCTAAGCCCAAATTTTCTCAGCCCACTTAGATGAGTCCGTAACGTTGGCCCACGGCTGAAATGGCGTTCTTTTAAATCCCAGTCGATGCCGATTGTCGGCGCCGCCACCACCCTGTCCTCTCTGAGAGGAGGGTGGCTTGGGCCAGTTCCTCCTGATCTGCTGCTGCGTCCTCTCGTCCTTACCGGCCAGCTCGACACCGCTCTCAAGCTCCTGCTCGATGAGATCGTCATCGTCGATCAAGTCAACAGCGCTTTTGGCAAAGTTGCTGCTGGACTGTTCTAACAACCCAAAGGGGCTCACAGGGAAAGAGGTCTCAAAGAGGCCGGTTCAGCCCAGATCTAACGTGGAGGACAACTGCACATGAGAGCCTGCAGGACTGAAGAAGTGTGCGGCAGATGGAATTCAGCGGGGAACCATGGCAGACCCGACACTGATGGAGCACGACAAGTCTCAGGTCTCATAGGACCGGATTGAAATGAGAAGGGAGGCGGTTGCCGATGCTAGAAGACTTTGGCTATAAAGAGGAGCTGAGAAGCCATGGAGGAAAGAGGTCGAGAGAACCTTGTGAAAAACTCTGTATGGGGTAGAGACTCACAATCTTGAATTGGTGACCCCAAGACTCAAAGAGTACTTGGTTACTGTATTCTCTCTCTCTCTCTCTCTCTCTCTCTCTCTCTCCCTCTCGATGGTAGCTCAGTTGTTCACGGCCTTCTAGTAGAAGCCCTCTGGAGTCCTGGCTCACAGAGTTTTGTACGAAATAGATTTATTTTATTAAATCAGTTCATGTTTTGGCGCCTCAGTCCAAGGGACCTCATCAATTGGTATTAGAGCCAAATCACGCTTTCATGGGACCCAAACCCTCCGGCCCCAAGCTGACTCTCACGAGAAAGAGCTGGAGGCGTTTCGACACCTCACTAGCAATGATCTTGTGGCTCACAATGAGCAGCTCCAAGTAATATGGGCGGAGCAGGTCGACGTGTGACAAAGACTAGATTCAATCTCTCACCAACTATGGCCGGTGGCCCATTTCTTAGCTAATATTCAGCGCCAGGTAGGCATCTCTCTTAGTCGAGCTGGCAAGACCAAGTTTTTTCTGGAGACATCAGAGGAGTGGCCCCCTAGAGAAACTAGTGCAGGACAACCTCCAGCTCCGCCTGGTAACCTTTATTACTAGGAAGAAGATTCGTTTGTCAACTCATACCCTCCTGATGGACTGCCTGACTGCCGCCACCCACGAGGGCCTCTGGAACCCAACCCTTGATGGCAACTTGAGTTTCCTATCTTCACAGGTTCTGATCCAAAAAATTGAATATATTGCATGGAGATATATTTCTCCACGTATCGGCTAACAGCACCTGAACAACTAGTGGGGGCATGCATCAGCATGCATGAGAAGGCCTTCCACTAGCTCTAGTGGGTTGAATCCTAATAATTGTTCTGCAGTTGGGAAGATCTAAAGTATAAGCTGCTGGAATGGAGATAAACATTTTAGTTTCCTCAACCAATAGTTCCTTGAACTCGAGCAAATAGGGTCGGTGAAAGATTATTGAGAGCAATTCAAACTACTGTCCTGTATACTTTGCAACGTGCTAGATGTCATTCTAGAAGGATACTTCTTTAAGGGTCTATGGTGGGAGATACAAGTAAAGGTGATCATCTTCAACCCACATGACCTTGAAACGATAATGCAAACAGTCCAGAGGGTTGAAACCAAGCTGGTGATATTGATGAATGAAGGTCAACCATGACAAGATAGAAGGGTGAAGAAAGGGTCTTCGATATATGTTGGGCATTAGATATGCCCACCACCACATAGTGCAAGTAATCGTGAGGAATACCAATGTCCCAGTCCAACGGTGATAAGCCCACGTATCTCTGCCATTGAAGCACCTCAAATCGATTGTGGTCAATGCCTACACCTCACGGCTGTCAAAATTTGAGCCCAACGGACCCAAGGCTTGTGTTTCCAATGCGATGGGAAATTCGTGCTCAGTCACTGGTGCAAACAAGAGCTGATTATTCTCTTTGCTCCCCCTAACTCTGACTTCGCATGCTTCCCCATGATCCATCACCAAATGAAGGTGAGATAGTCTAGCTTAAAGTATCCCTCCACTTGTTTTCCGGTCACCTCCTTCGGTGAGCTATAGACTTCAAGGGAATGATTTAAGGGCGTCAAGTGTTCACTCTAGATGATACAAGAGCAAAGTTTAACTCTGTTAGTAGTCGCCTGGTCTAAGAGCAATAATTTCCGACCATCAAGACGACACCCTATCGAGTAGCCACAGCATGGGCGAGATGATCCTTGACTCAAAAATGTGTCGCAGCCTTGTCATCGGTCTCTCAAATATTATCATCTTGGACAACTTCATCCTCCTCCCTCTTGCCTAAGTCAACATCATCTTGAGGATGCATTGGATCGAAGTGAGGCACAAGTTGAAACTCGATTTAGATGACTAGACACTATCATTCCTTATTAGTAAGGAAAAGGTGACGATCGTGGCAAAACCTCTCGACTAGGAAAAATGACACCAATTGGATACCTTAATCAGGAGTGTTTTTCGTAGATTTTTGTGGACATCATTGACCTTCCTCTGGCCCAAAAATAAGAGCATCACATCGTCACGGAGCTTAGCAATCAGACAATCCACACTCGTCCTTTTCACTATCCTCACTTTTAATATTCTCTAGAAAAGTGAACTAGAGAAATAGATGGTGACCATGCTAACAATTAGACTCATTCAATATTCTCACAGCCCCTTCTCTAGCCTAACACTTCTCATCTGCAAAAAAGATGGCTCGTGGTATTTTTGTGTAGATTATTGTGCACTGAATAAGATAACCATTCCAGATCAATTCTCACCACAATCATAAATGAGCTCATTGACGAGTTGCACAGAGCCACATCTCAACCTATGATCCGACTATCACCAGATCTATATCCAAATTGAAGACATGTCGAAGATGGCCTTCTGAATGCATAACAAGCATTATGAATTCCTAGTCATGCCTTTTGGATTATCTAATGCCCTAACAACATTCTAGGCCACCATGAATTATATATTCACTTCATTCTTGCAAAAATTTGTGCTAATATTCTTCAACAACATCCTCATCTACAACCGACAAGAAGGAACACGAGGGTCATCTCATCTAGGTATTTCTTGTTCTCCACGAACACCAATTTCACATTCACCCAAAGAAGTGTCTGTTCAACTAGATGAGGATCGCGTACTTGGGCCACGAAATATCAGTGGAAAGAGTCATTGTAGACCCCAACAAGATTGCCGCTATCCATCGGTGGTCATCTCTCACGACCCTCTAAGATCTCCGAGGTTTCTTTGGCATGGTAAGATATTACCACTACTTTGTCCATGGCTTCGAATATATTATCTAGTCTTTGACACAACAACTGAAAAAGGAGGCCTTCGACTCAAACCTAATAGCTGAAGAAGCTTTCCAACAACTCAAACAAACCATAATGATAGTTCTAGTACTGATTTTACTAGATTTCTCTATCACGTTTGAGCTTGAGGTAGACACCTCTAGTTGTGGAGTAGGAGTTGTCCTCATGCAAACATTGGGGAACTGTGTTTTTTTAAGCCAAGCTCTTGTGCCGACCCATTTGTAGAAACCAACTTACAAGCGCGAGATGATAACCATAGTCTTTACCATTCTCAAGTGATGACATTACCTTCTTGGCCACATGTTCTAGATTTTTACAAATCAATAGAGTCTGAAATACCTTATGGAGTAGCGACAGGTTCTCCCTGATTATCAAAAGTGGCTGGTGAAGATTATCTCATTTGACTTTGAGATACACTTTAAAATCAAGCCACGAGAATCAAGCAGCAGATGCCTTGTCTCACACCCTAAAACAAGTATAGCTCCAGACATTATCTACTAAGCTAACAAAATGGAGACACTATTCACTAGAATAAGGAATGGGCATCTCTTATGGCTAGAAGGAGTCTAAATATAGGTAGAGAAATGGGCAATCTCTACTTGTTGAGCCTCTATCTATCTCCTATGATTGGAATGCCATATTGATTGTTGTTGATCGTCTCAATAAGTATGCTCATTTTTCTATTCTTCGTCACCACTTCACAACATAGATGGTGGTGGATGTGGTCATTCACAATATTGTTCGATTGTACAGATTTCCAGCATCTATCCTAACTGATCAAGATAGGATCTTCATGAGTGGCTTCTAGTAGGCTCTCTTCTATCAACAAGGGACGACACTTAGGTGGACCAACACTTTAAATCTGCAAACTAACAATCAGTCGGAGGTGGTCAGCCATGGGCTCAAAACATACTTCTATTGTTTCACAAGCGAGCGTTCGAAATAATTGTACCAGTGGCTTCCATGGGCAAAATTTTGATACAACATGAACTTCAACTGCTCCACAAGGATGACCCCGTTTCAAATAGTCTATAGACAAATCCTACCCACCCTAATTTATTTCAGTGACCCAACAACATTGGATGATCTAGAGCAACAATTGTAAGAAAGGGAGGAGATCTTCGCACAGCTCAAATAAAATCTAGTACATGTCTAAGAGCAGATGAAACACTTTATCAACCGCAAGCGAAGGGAACTTGAGTTCTAGGAAGGCGAATAGGTCTACCTTCGTTTACAATGCTATTGCCAAACCATAGTTGTGCGAAGACCTTGCACAAAGCTTGCCCCTTGTTTTAATGGTTTGTTTAAAATACTCCACCGTATTAGACCAATAGCATATCATTTGGACTTTTTCATCTTAGCCCAAGTCCAACCAATATTCCATGTGTCTCAGTTATAGAAGGCAGAGCAACAAGAGGAGCTCATAACAATGCCTAAGTTATTGGTGGATAGTGATTTGTGTTGGACGGCAGTTCCGGGTTGGGCCGTGGACGTCTGCTATCACAGTCCCGAGATATTGTTGCATTGGGACGAGCTGCCACCTAGGAGAATGCCGACGACATTCTGTGGTAATTTCTCGATTTTCACCTTGAAGACAAGGTGCGTAAATGTGGGGGGAGTATTGTTGAGTCCGTGACAACCTAAAGGGGTTAACGGAGAAAGAGATCTCGAAGAAGTTGGCCCAGCTAAGATCCAGACAACGAGGGGGACAACCGCACTAATAGACCCGACACTAATAGAACACGGCAAGTCTCGGGTCCCATCGGACCCGATCGGAACAAGCCGAGAAGTCACGGAAGGAGGTCGAGAGAATCTCGTGAAGAACTCCGTGCAGAGCACAGATTCGGCATCTCGAATCGGCAACCCCAAGACTTGAGGAGGATTTGGTTACTATATTTTCTTTACCTCTCTCTCTCTCTAGCAGCTCAGCCGTTCACAGCCTTCCGACGGAAGCCCTATGGAGCCCTAGCTCCCAAAGTTTTATACATAACAGGTTTATTTTATTAAATCAGTTCGTATTTTGACGCCTCAGTCCAAGTGACCTCATCAAACTGCTTCCTCTTTTCTAGCGCGGCCTTGATCTTTTCCTTGTCGATACTCTTGATGGCATCCGGTAGGCAGCGGCCCTTGCCAGCTTGGCAGCCTCCCAGTCGGCTTCTGCGTGAGGCTGGGGCTTGCTTGAGGCCTCCGCCGCTTCGCTGTCCAGGTTGTGGTCTGAGACCCCACTCAACGCCTCGGGGGCATTCCTCGGATTGTTGCCCTGGGTTAACGCATGCTGGCTGTGGGGGGCCTGTTGGCCGTCCCCGTGTGACTGCTCTGGCAGAAATCTCGTGGGTGATTGGGCCGGGGCTCTATGCTTGGTGTCTGCCCCTGTGCCCTAGCCTCGAGTGGGAAGAAAAAAAGAAAAAAATGGGCAATTAATCTTTGTAACTAACCCTTGAAAAAAAGGGTCAACGAAGTGATTGGTCTTTTTTCCTCCTCTTCCCATTGAAAAGGGTCTTCCGCCGCTATCAGTTGACCCAAAAAAAAGGAAAAAAACAGTGAAAATTGCGGCTTTGGTTTACTAGAGCCATCGGCATATTGTTTCAGCTCGGTGGAAACAAAATCCATTTTTTTTCTCAGGATTCCGCGAGTCGAAATAAAGAACGAAGTAACTAGACAGGTTTGGTAAAATTTGCCTCTTCTAGAAGGATTATCTATGAAGCGAGTAAAAGAAGCTGACATAGATGTTATGGATCTCATTTTTCAGATTTACGATGACGTTGACCCGGAACGGCAGACTCTTTTGAATGGGAAGAAAGAAAAAAATGGCCAAGCGATCGTTGGAACTAACACAAGAAATAAAAATGTCAATCAGCTGGGTTCATAAATTCAAAGTCACGTGGCCTTCCACGGGCCCACATCCTCGGGACGAGACGTGGAATACTCAAACGGCTCTTTCGGGGAAAACGATCGGGCATAACAGGACAACGAGGAAAGCCCCTGCAGGTACAGGGCTTTTTTTCCACGTGCCGATCTCAAAGTAGGCCCAATGGGCTCATCCCGTTCGCCAGCTCACAGATATGGGCCTCTACTGGCCTTATCTGTATAATGGGCCCATCAATGGGAGTGATCTCCGGTCCTCTCTCTCTCTCGCTGCTTCACATAGCCGGTCTTAAACGTGCCGCCGGCGCGGGCCACGGCGGGCGCATGAGCGTCTTGAAAGCGAAGTACAGAGGGCCAAAGGACATTGCCGGTCGCTGTAGGCGGCGGCGGAGGTGCTGTGCTGGAAGGGAAGACCTTTTACAGAGGCGTGCGCTGGAGCTTCCCGGCGAAAGCGAAGCGTGGCGGCGGCAGTTGGGAACGGCGGTGTGGGAGGGGATTTGACGGTGGAAGAGATCACGTGAGGATCTCCTGCGCTGGATTGGCGGTCTACCATGTAACATGAGCCTCATTTTTTATCATTTTCTTTCTCTAACACAAACCCTAAAACATGAGCCCTAAAACCTAAGAACTTGGTATGAAACTAAAACTGTTACACCCAAAGCTTCTCGGTTCCGAGCTCGTGGAGTAGATCCGCGGCAATAGCATGTGGCTCAAGCTACAGTTTATGATGGAGCAATAGATCGGGCATCAAATCACACAAACCAGATGATCAGCCGACTGGACGACTGTTGTGAGTTGGAAAATTATTCAATGCACATTCTCCCATTGTGGAGTGGAGAAAATGGAAGCGCAGTAGAATTTCTAAGCTGGGCCAAATCATGGCACATTAGCGTAAAAATGAGGAAGTCTTGGGAGGACCCCGAAGAGGGAATTTGAGCATGAAAATGCGAAGCAAGGTCTACTTGCTAGACAAATTTGCATGTCTATGAAAGGAGCTTCCTAAAAATACTATTTGATTAATGTTGATTAATGAGGTAGACAAATTCTTGTATTTTTTTGTTGCTTAATGTTGGATGCATTGTATGAGGATATAGTCTTGTTTTGACTTAAAAATACTATTTGATTATTTTCTTTAATTGTTAATTAAAGATTTTTTTTGCATGCTATAACAATAATTTTGTTTAAAAGGTATAATTGTGCTACTAATCCATTGGTAATATCTGTTTTTTATGATATTTATATCTTAACTTTCTTGTAAAATTTGCGTCCAACTCAGTTTGTATAAAGAAAATTAGCAGGAGGAAAACGTTAGTAGTACAAGATGGGATTAATATATTGAAGCAAACTAGCCATTAATAAGCTTGGAACTAATTTTGATTTTTGGCACTAATGTTTAAGGTGCAGCATTAATAAAATGATATTGACCTCTGAAATTACGGCATAATGTCATATTGGGTACTCTTATTGTAGGTTGCACCTAACATCTGTGTTTTCAAAACAATCTGTTTGCTAACTAAGTTGTTCCGTTGCCTCTGATGATTTTGTTCAAATCCATTTAGGTTTCAGCTGTGAACAACGATGTCATGTGGATCTTCCGCGCACCCGTCCACCCCATAGAGTGCTTCTTCATTCACCCAACGCATGCGCCACCACTCGCCCTCTAGCGCAGACTGTTACGGGTGTGGGGAGGGGACTCGCACACTACCGAAGCGTACATTCTTGGTTGGTTTCTTCTGGGCGAGCGATGTCACTGTCGCGGGCCGACGTGGCTGGTAGATGCCGTTTGCCACGCGTCAGAAACCTGAGGATAGTAGTATGCCTCGTCGACGTCCTTGCTCCACGAATACGATCCACATGAGCTCTCTCTCTCTCTCTCTCTGCTTTTGGTATTGTCGAGCTGAACTCGAGAGTGATGGCCGGGGCAAATAGTGAGAGGGGCGAGAAGGCGATCCGATGCCGTGGTTCCGATCGTGGCAGAAAGGTTCTGTCTGGCCTCCGAGGAGAGGCAGCTGACGGTACAGAAGACGTCCCTCTTCTACCCAGGCGATGGATTCCCGGTCTATGAGCACCACCGTCGGCGACACGTCGAGAGTCCAGACGGGGATCGCCATCTGAGCGAGGGGAAAGTAAGTGAGGGGGAGGAGATGGGGGAGCTTGTGTTTCGGGTGGACTCGTATGACTACGATTCTCACCACGTCATGGGGAGGCGAGCTCCGGCGAGAGACGAGGTCGTCCTTCTGGGACCCTGCGGCGACTGTATTCTCACCGTTCGCAGGAAGGTGAGTTGCTTACCGACTCCTTCGCCGTCTTATCTTTTCCGGTTTCTACTATTTCGCTCTCTTAAATCTTCATCATTGGCAGGGCCAGCGGTTAGTGTTTACGAGCACGGTTATATATTCTTCCGTCATTTAAAAAATTAATTCCAGATCGGGGAAGAATCTGGGATTTTAAATTTTCTGGTTCGATGATGTAGTGGCGAGCCTGCACCAGAGATGGGTGTTGGCTTCGCAAAGCTAGATCCGCTCCAAGAACTTCCGGATAAAGGAAGAATCAAGAAGGAGAAATCGTCGTAGGAGAGAATGTTCCGCATGTCAATACGTCGAACACAGCCCATTATATAGGGGAGCCAATCGTCGTAGGAGAGAGAGAGCACGCAACTAACTCCTGACTGAGCTGGCTTGGTGTCCGAGGTGGCACCATCCTCGCCGTTATAACTCCTGATGATGGACGGCCCCCGATCAATCCTGCAAACAGAAAATAATCACCCGAAAGAAGGAAAACGCCCAAATCAGTCTCGCCAGAGAATTTGCCGGAGACGACAATCCACGGCGGTGCACGATGGGGCTGGATCAAGCCCTTCAATCTCCTCCTTGCTCCAGCTCCTCCATATGGACATCCTTGATCCCAGGCGCTCTCACATCTCCACAAATTTTAGTTTTCCCAGTGACTTGGTGAGGATATCTGTCAGCTGATCCTCTGTCTTCACATAGTCCACTGAGATCTTCTTGTCTTCTACACACTGACGAATAAAGTGAAAACGAATGTCAATGTGCTTCATTCCGGTATAATGCACCGGATTCTTGCTTAGGATAATGGTAGATTTGTTATCTACAAGGAGTTTCATACTCCCCTCTTCTACTCTTCTTAATTCGCTAATGAGACGATTTAGCCACACGCCCTGACATGCAGTAGTAAGAGCAGCAATATACTCCACTTCACACGAAGATAAGGCTACTGAATTTTTCTTTTATGAAGCCCAGTTAATCACCATTTTACCAAGGAAAAAGACCTGCCCTGAGGTGCTTTTCCTGTCTTGCACAACACTAGTAAAATTGTTATCACTGTAGCCAATTAATTTTGCCCCTGTCTGTCTTTTTTCATAGACTAAATCATAGTGAATAGTACCTTTTAGGTACCTCAAAACTCACTTGATCGCCGTGAGATGTTTTGAAGTAGGGTGCTCCATAAACCTACTCAGAAATCCCACAAAATATGTCAAATCAGGATGGGTGTGAGTCAAATACCTTAAGCTTCCAATGAGGCTTCGAAAGTAGGTAGAGTCAACTGATGGCCCTGAATTTGATTGACTAAATTTGACTCTAGCTTCAAGTGGAGCTTGCATTGGATTACAATCGCCCATCTTTGCAAAATCCAGTATTGTTAGCGCATAAGTTCTCTAAAACAAAGTAATGCAAGCTTCTTTTTGAACCATTTCAATGCCCAAATAAGAGCAAAGGTGCCCGATGTCACTCATCTCAAAGAAATGTTTTATTTGACCTTTGAACTCACTAATGTCACTATCATTCTCACCTATGACAATAAGATCATCCACATAGACTTCGATGATCAAGTGAACTCTATTTGAAGACTTCAAGTAGACAACTTACTCATGTTTGCTTCTCTTGAAACCGAGTGAGACTAAGCAATTATGCAGTTTGAAATACCATACACGTGGGGCTTTCTTCAGCTTCAGAACACAACCCTTTTTATCCTTCACAATAAATCCCTCAAGTTACTTGAGATGTAGCTCTTCATCCACATCTCCATTTAGAAAGGCAGATTTCACATCTAGATGATGTAATGCCCAACTATTTTGAGCTGAAATTGTAATCAGCACACAAATTGTCTCAAATTGAACCACTGGAGCAAATATCTCATCATAGTCTATGCCTTGCTTCTTTAAGTAACCCTTTACAACAGGTCTTGCCTTGTGTCTCAAAACTTCTCCTCGAGCATTCTTCTTGAGCTCAAAGATCCACTTAAGCCCAATTGGCCTGCAACTAGTTGGGGTTGTGACTAACTCCCAAGTTTGACTTTGATCTATAGCTTCCATCTCATCTCTCATAGCCTTCCTCCATGCTTCCTCTCATGAAGCTTCAGCATAGGTCACAAGCTCATCACTAGAAAGCAAGCAATGTCCCATCTCATAGCGTATTGGGCCGGTCTCACTATACAATTTAGCTAAGGACTTGAATCTTGCAGGTTGAATTTCTTCAGAATCCGAGTGTGCGACCGGAAATGACTCTTAAGTCTCAGAGTCTCTCTCTTCATCTTCATCCTCGAGGACAATTGGCTCATCCATCCCTTGGTCAGCAGAAAAAATTAGGAAAAAATGTGAGCTCAAGAATATTCTCACCTCTTTTTTCCCAATTCCACTGAGCATCTTCTTCAAAAACAACATCTCGGCTGATATGGACTGTATCGTTGACCGGGTCAAAGCAGCGGTAAGCCTTTGAGCTAACTTCATAGCCTATGAACACCATAGGGGTGCTGCAATCTTCAAGCTTTTTTTGTGGAGATTTAGTGCATTTCACATGAACAATTAAGCCAAACACTTGTAAATGCTAAATTGAGGGCTTTTTGCCATTCCACTTGTCATTAAGGGTCAACATCTGCAGATTGTGAGTAGACGACTGATTAAGAAGATAAACTACCGTACTTACAGCCTCTCCCCATAATTCTTGAGGTAGTGCTTTTTCCTTCAACATGCTCCGGACTAAGGACATAATTGTCCAATTCTTTCTTTACACAACTCCATTTTGCTGTTGGGAGTAGGGGGCAGTCAACTGCCATTTGATGCCCTAAGAAGTACAAAAAGAATTAAATTCATCAAAATTAAATTCTCTACCTTTGTCTATCTAAAGACACTTGAGCTTTGTCCCCTTCTCAGCTTCAGCCAGCATTTTGAACTTCTTAAATTGACTAAATGCTTCAAATTTATGCTTGAGCATAGCCACCCACATTAGCCTCGAGCAGTCATCAACAATGAGGAGGAAATACTGGCTTCCCCCTAATGTGGGTGGGCTAATTGGGCCATAGATGTTCGCTAACACCAACTCAAGAGGTTCAGTAGCTCTGTAAGCAGATGCTTTAAGGAATGGAGTGCGAGATTGCTTGCCTACTAAGCAACTTCGGCAGATGTGATCAAGTACCCTAATCAGTGGAAGTCCCTCCACTAGTGCTCTACTCGACATTTCCCTTAATGAATGAAAAGTCAAATGGCCAAACCTTCGGTGCCACAGTCGACTTGAATTCTCATCCTCTTTAGTGAGTAAACACTCTTCTTCCATTTTGAGCTTGAGTAAATAGAGCCACCCTTCCGTGCGATGAACTTCTGCTAGGAGTGCTCCATCCTAGTCATAAATGGTCAAGCGTCCCCCATGCGTGATCATCTTGCATCCTTCATCAAGTCTGCCCAGACTGAGAATATTAGCACATAATTTAGGGACAAAGAGAACATTACCAAAGTGAATTTGCTCCCCATCTTACCGAAGAACCACCACATTGTCTCAGCAATGGATTTTCACATGGAAATTGTCCCTAAATCTGACAAAGCCAGATGTTGTTTCTTCATTCACCCATAGAGTGCTTCTTCATTCACCCAACGCATGCGCCACCACTCGCCCTCTAGCGCAGACTGTTACGGGTGTGGGGAGGGGACTCGCACACTACCGAAGCGTACATTCTTGGTTGGTTTCTTCTGGGCGAGCGATGTCACTGTCGCGGGCCGACGTGGCTGGTAGATGCCGTTTGCCACGCGTCAGAAACCTGAGGATAGTAGTATGCCTCGTCGACGTCCTTGCTCCACGAATACGATCCACATGAGCTCTCTCTCTCTCTCTCTCTGCTTTTGGTATTGTCGAGCTGAACTCGAGAGTGATGGCCGGGGCAAATAGTGAGAGGGGCGAGAAGGCGATCCGATGCCGTGGTTCCGATCGTGGCAGAAAGGTTCTGTCTGGCCTCCGAGGAGAGGCAGCTGACGGTACAGAAGACGTCCCTCTTCTACCCAGGCGATGGATTCCCGGTCTATGAGCACCACCGTCGGCGACACGTCGAGAGTCCAGACGGGGATCGCCATCTGAGCGAGGGGAAAGTAAGTGAGGGGGAGGAGATGGGGGAGCTTGTGTTTCGGGTGGACTCGTATGACTACGATTCTCACCACGTCATGGGGAGGCGAGCTCCGGCGAGAGACGAGGTCGTCCTTCTGGGACCCTGCGGCGACTGTATTCTCACCGTTCGCAGGAAGGTGAGTTGCTTACCGACTCCTTCGCCGTCTTATCTTTTCCGGTTTCTACTATTTCGCTCTCTTAAATCTTCATCATTGGCAGGGCCAGCGGTTAGTGTTTACGAGCACGGTTATATATTCTTCCGTCATTTAAAAAATTAATTCCAGATCGGGGAAGAATCTGGGATTTTAAATTTTCTGGTTCGATGATGTAGTGGCGAGCCTGCACCAGAGATGGGTGTTGGCTTCGCAAAGCTAGATCCGCTCCAAGAACTTCCGGATAAAGGAAGAATCAAGAAGGAGAAATCGTCGTAGGAGAGAATGTTCCGCATGTCAATACGTCGAACACAGCCCATTATATAGGGGAGCCAATCGTCGTAGGAGAGAGAGAGCACGCAACTAACTCCTGACTGAGCTGGCTTGGTGTCCGAGGTGGCACCATCCTCGCCGTTATAACTCCTGATGATGGACGGCCCCCGATCAATCCTGCAAACAGAAAATAATCACCCGAAAGAAGGAAAACGCCCAAATCAGTCTCGCCAGAGAATTTGCCGGAGACGACAATCCACGGCGGTGCACGATGGGGCTGGATCAAGCCCTTCAATCTCCTCCTTGCTCCAGCTCCTCCATATGGACATCCTTGATCCCAGGCGCTCTCACATCTCCACAAATTTTAGTTTTCCCAGTGACTTGGTGAGGATATCTGTCAGCTGATCCTCTGTCTTCACATAGTCCACTGAGATCTTCTTGTCTTCTACACACTGACGAATAAAGTGAAAACGAATGTCAATGTGCTTCATTCCGGTATAATGCACCGGATTCTTGCTTAGGATAATGGTAGATTTGTTATCTACAAGGAGTTTCATACTCCCCTCTTCTACTCTTCTTAATTCGCTAATGAGACGATTTAGCCACACGCCCTGACATGCAGTAGTAAGAGCAGCAATATACTCCACTTCACACGAAGATAAGGCTACTGAATTTTTCTTTTATGAAGCCCAGTTAATCACCATTTTACCAAGGAAAAAGACCTGCCCTGAGGTGCTTTTCCTGTCTTGCACAACACTAGTAAAATTGTTATCACTGTAGCCAATTAATTTTGCCCCTGTCTGTCTTTTTTCATAGACTAAATCATAGTGAATAGTACCTTTTAGGTACCTCAAAACTCACTTGATCGCCGTGAGATGTTTTGAAGTAGGGTGCTCCATAAACCTACTCAGAAATCCCACAAAATATGTCAAATCAGGATGGGTGTGAGTCAAATACCTTAAGCTTCCAATGAGGCTTCGAAAGTAGGTAGAGTCAACTGATGGCCCTGAATTTGATTGACTAAATTTGACTCTAGCTTCAAGTGGAGCTTGCATTGGATTACAATCGCCCATCTTTGCAAAATCCAGTATTGTTAGCGCATAAGTTCTCTAAAACAAAGTAATGCAAGCTTCTTTTTGAACCATTTCAATGCCCAAATAAGAGCAAAGGTGCCCGATGTCACTCATCTCAAAGAAATGTTTTATTTGACCTTTGAACTCACTAATGTCACTATCATTCTCACCTATGACAATAAGATCATCCACATAGACTTCGATGATCAAGTGAACTCTATTTGAAGACTTCAAGTAGACAACTTACTCATGTTTGCTTCTCTTGAAACCGAGTGAGACTAAGCAATTATGCAGTTTGAAATACCATACACGTGGGGCTTTCTTCAGCTTCAGAACACAACCCTTTTTATCCTTCACAATAAATCCCTCAAGTTACTTGAGATGTAGCTCTTCATCCACATCTCCATTTAGAAAGGCAGATTTCACATCTAGATGATGTAATGCCCAACTATTTTGAGCTGAAATTGTAATCAGCACACAAATTGTCTCAAATTGAACCACTGGAGCAAATATCTCATCATAGTCTATGCCTTGCTTCTTTAAGTAACCCTTTACAACAGGTCTTGCCTTGTGTCTCAAAACTTCTCCTCGAGCATTCTTCTTGAGCTCAAAGATCCACTTAAGCCCAATTGGCCTGCAACTAGTTGGGGTTGTGACTAACTCCCAAGTTTGACTTTGATCTATAGCTTCCATCTCATCTCTCATAGCCTTCCTCCATGCTTCCTCTCATGAAGCTTCAGCATAGGTCACAAGCTCATCACTAGAAAGCAAGCAATGTCCCATCTCATAGCGTATTGGGCCGGTCTCACTATACAATTTAGCTAAGGACTTGAATCTTGCAGGTTGAATTTCTTCAGAATCCGAGTGTGCGACCGGAAATGACTCTTAAGTCTCAGAGTCTCTCTCTTCATCTTCATCCTCGAGGACAATTGGCTCATCCATCCCTTGGTCAGCAGAAAAAATTAGGAAAAAATGTGAGCTCAAGAATATTCTCACCTCTTTTTTCCCAATTCCACTGAGCATCTTCTTCAAAAACAACATCTCGGCTGATATGGACTGTATCGTTGACCGGGTCAAAGCAGCGGTAAGCCTTTGAGCTAACTTCATAGCCTATGAACACCATAGGGGTGCTGCAATCTTCAAGCTTTTTTTGTGGAGATTTAGTGCATTTCACATGAACAATTAAGCCAAACACTTGTAAATGCTAAATTGAGGGCTTTTTGCCATTCCACTTGTCATTAAGGGTCAACATCTGCAGATTGTGAGTAGACGACTGATTAAGAAGATAAACTACCGTACTTACAGCCTCTCCCCATAATTCTTGAGGTAGTGCTTTTTCCTTCAACATGCTCCGGACTAAGGACATAATTGTCCAATTCTTTCTTTACACAACTCCATTTTGCTGTTGGGAGTAGGGGGCAGTCAACTGCCATTTGATGCCCTAAGAAGTACAAAAAGAATTAAATTCATCAAAATTAAATTCTCTACCTTTGTCTATCTAAAGACACTTGAGCTTTGTCCCCTTCTCAGCTTCAGCCAGCATTTTGAACTTCTTAAATTGACTAAATGCTTCAAATTTATGCTTGAGCATAGCCACCCACATTAGCCTCGAGCAGTCATCAACAATGAGGAGGAAATACTGGCTTCCCCCTAATGTGGGTGGGCTAATTGGGCCATAGATGTTCGCTAACACCAACTCAAGAGGTTCAGTAGCTCTGTAAGCAGATGCTTTAAGGAATGGAGTGCGAGATTGCTTGCCTACTAAGCAACTTCGGCAGATGTGATCAAGTACCCTAATCAGTGGAAGTCCCTCCACTAGTGCTCTACTCGACATTTCCCTTAATGAATGAAAAGTCAAATGGCCAAACCTTCGGTGCCACAGTCGACTTGAATTCTCATCCTCTTTAGTGAGTAAACACTCTTCTTCCATTTTGAGCTTGAGTAAATAGAGCCACCCTTCCGTGCGATGAACTTCTGCTAGGAGTGCTCCATCCTAGTCATAAATGGTCAAGCGTCCCCCATGCGTGATCATCTTGCATCCTTCATCAAGTCTGCCCAGACTGAGAATATTAGCACATAATTTAGGGACAAAGAGAACATTACCAAAGTGAATTTGCTCCCCATCTTACCGAAGAACCACCACATTGTCTCAGCAATGGATTTTCACATGGAAATTGTCCCTAAATCTGACAAAGCCAGATGTTGTTTCTTCATTCACCCATAGAGTGCTTCTTCATTCACCCAACGCATGCGCCACCACTCGCCCTCTAGCGCAGACTGTTACGGGTGTGGGGAGGGGACTCGCACACTACCGAAGCGTACATTCTTGGTTGGTTTCTTCTGGGCGAGCGATGTCACTGTCGCGGGCCGACGTGGCTGGTAGATGCCGTTTGCCACGCGTCAGAAACCTGAGGATAGTAGTATGCCTCGTCGACGTCCTTGCTCCACGAATACGATCCACATGAGCTCTCTCTCTCTCTCTCTCTGCTTTTGGTATTGTCGAGCTGAACTCGAGAGTGATGGCCGGGGCAAATAGTGAGAGGGGCGAGAAGGCGATCCGATGCCGTGGTTCCGATCGTGGCAGAAAGGTTCTGTCTGGCCTCCGAGGAGAGGCAGCTGACGGTACAGAAGACGTCCCTCTTCTACCCAGGCGATGGATTCCCGGTCTATGAGCACCACCGTCGGCGACACGTCGAGAGTCCAGACGGGGATCGCCATCTGAGCGAGGGGAAAGTAAGTGAGGGGGAGGAGATGGGGGAGCTTGTGTTTCGGGTGGACTCGTATGACTACGATTCTCACCACGTCATGGGGAGGCGAGCTCCGGCGAGAGACGAGGTCGTCCTTCTGGGACCCTGCGGCGACTGTATTCTCACCGTTCGCAGGAAGGTGAGTTGCTTACCGACTCCTTCGCCGTCTTATCTTTTCCGGTTTCTACTATTTCGCTCTCTTAAATCTTCATCATTGGCAGGGCCAGCGGTTAGTGTTTACGAGCACGGTTATATATTCTTCCGTCATTTAAAAAATTAATTCCAGATCGGGGAAGAATCTGGGATTTTAAATTTTCTGGTTCGATGATGTAGTGGCGAGCCTGCACCAGAGATGGGTGTTGGCTTCGCAAAGCTAGATCCGCTCCAAGAACTTCCGGATAAAGGAAGAATCAAGAAGGAGAAATCGTCGTAGGAGAGAATGTTCCGCATGTCAATACGTCGAACACAGCCCATTATATAGGGGAGCCAATCGTCGTAGGAGAGAGAGAGCACGCAACTAACTCCTGACTGAGCTGGCTTGGTGTCCGAGGTGGCACCATCCTCGCCGTTATAACTCCTGATGATGGACGGCCCCCGATCAATCCTGCAAACAGAAAATAATCACCCGAAAGAAGGAAAACGCCCAAATCAGTCTCGCCAGAGAATTTGCCGGAGACGACAATCCACGGCGGTGCACGATGGGGCTGGATCAAGCCCTTCAATCTCCTCCTTGCTCCAGCTCCTCCATATGGACATCCTTGATCCCAGGCGCTCTCACATCTCCACAAATTTTAGTTTTCCCAGTGACTTGGTGAGGATATCTGTCAGCTGATCCTCTGTCTTCACATAGTCCACTGAGATCTTCTTGTCTTCTACACACTGACGAATAAAGTGAAAACGAATGTCAATGTGCTTCATTCCGGTATAATGCACCGGATTCTTGCTTAGGATAATGGTAGATTTGTTATCTACAAGGAGTTTCATACTCCCCTCTTCTACTCTTCTTAATTCGCTAATGAGACGATTTAGCCACACGCCCTGACATGCAGTAGTAAGAGCAGCAATATACTCCACTTCACACGAAGATAAGGCTACTGAATTTTTCTTTTATGAAGCCCAGTTAATCACCATTTTACCAAGGAAAAAGACCTGCCCTGAGGTGCTTTTCCTGTCTTGCACAACACTAGTAAAATTGTTATCACTGTAGCCAATTAATTTTGCCCCTGTCTGTCTTTTTTCATAGACTAAATCATAGTGAATAGTACCTTTTAGGTACCTCAAAACTCACTTGATCGCCGTGAGATGTTTTGAAGTAGGGTGCTCCATAAACCTACTCAGAAATCCCACAAAATATGTCAAATCAGGATGGGTGTGAGTCAAATACCTTAAGCTTCCAATGAGGCTTCGAAAGTAGGTAGAGTCAACTGATGGCCCTGAATTTGATTGACTAAATTTGACTCTAGCTTCAAGTGGAGCTTGCATTGGATTACAATCGCCCATCTTTGCAAAATCCAGTATTGTTAGCGCATAAGTTCTCTAAAACAAAGTAATGCAAGCTTCTTTTTGAACCATTTCAATGCCCAAATAAGAGCAAAGGTGCCCGATGTCACTCATCTCAAAGAAATGTTTTATTTGACCTTTGAACTCACTAATGTCACTATCATTCTCACCTATGACAATAAGATCATCCACATAGACTTCGATGATCAAGTGAACTCTATTTGAAGACTTCAAGTAGACAACTTACTCATGTTTGCTTCTCTTGAAACCGAGTGAGACTAAGCAATTATGCAGTTTGAAATACCATACACGTGGGGCTTTCTTCAGCTTCAGAACACAACCCTTTTTATCCTTCACAATAAATCCCTCAAGTTACTTGAGATGTAGCTCTTCATCCACATCTCCATTTAGAAAGGCAGATTTCACATCTAGATGATGTAATGCCCAACTATTTTGAGCTGAAATTGTAATCAGCACACAAATTGTCTCAAATTGAACCACTGGAGCAAATATCTCATCATAGTCTATGCCTTGCTTCTTTAAGTAACCCTTTACAACAGGTCTTGCCTTGTGTCTCAAAACTTCTCCTCGAGCATTCTTCTTGAGCTCAAAGATCCACTTAAGCCCAATTGGCCTGCAACTAGTTGGGGTTGTGACTAACTCCCAAGTTTGACTTTGATCTATAGCTTCCATCTCATCTCTCATAGCCTTCCTCCATGCTTCCTCTCATGAAGCTTCAGCATAGGTCACAAGCTCATCACTAGAAAGCAAGCAATGTCCCATCTCATAGCGTATTGGGCCGGTCTCACTATACAATTTAGCTAAGGACTTGAATCTTGCAGGTTGAATTTCTTCAGAATCCGAGTGTGCGACCGGAAATGACTCTTAAGTCTCAGAGTCTCTCTCTTCATCTTCATCCTCGAGGACAATTGGCTCATCCATCCCTTGGTCAGCAGAAAAAATTAGGAAAAAATGTGAGCTCAAGAATATTCTCACCTCTTTTTTCCCAATTCCACTGAGCATCTTCTTCAAAAACAACATCTCGGCTGATATGGACTGTATCGTTGACCGGGTCAAAGCAGCGGTAAGCCTTTGAGCTAACTTCATAGCCTATGAACACCATAGGGGTGCTGCAATCTTCAAGCTTTTTTTGTGGAGATTTAGTGCATTTCACATGAACAATTAAGCCAAACACTTGTAAATGCTAAATTGAGGGCTTTTTGCCATTCCACTTGTCATTAAGGGTCAACATCTGCAGATTGTGAGTAGACGACTGATTAAGAAGATAAACTACCGTACTTACAGCCTCTCCCCATAATTCTTGAGGTAGTGCTTTTTCCTTCAACATGCTCCGGACTAAGGACATAATTGTCCAATTCTTTCTTTACACAACTCCATTTTGCTGTTGGGAGTAGGGGGCAGTCAACTGCCATTTGATGCCCTAAGAAGTACAAAAAGAATTAAATTCATCAAAATTAAATTCTCTACCTTTGTCTATCTAAAGACACTTGAGCTTTGTCCCCTTCTCAGCTTCAGCCAGCATTTTGAACTTCTTAAATTGACTAAATGCTTCAAATTTATGCTTGAGCATAGCCACCCACATTAGCCTCGAGCAGTCATCAACAATGAGGAGGAAATACTGGCTTCCCCCTAATGTGGGTGGGCTAATTGGGCCATAGATGTTCGCTAACACCAACTCAAGAGGTTCAGTAGCTCTGTAAGCAGATGCTTTAAGGAATGGAGTGCGAGATTGCTTGCCTACTAAGCAACTTCGGCAGATGTGATCAAGTACCCTAATCAGTGGAAGTCCCTCCACTAGTGCTCTACTCGACATTTCCCTTAATGAATGAAAAGTCAAATGGCCAAACCTTCGGTGCCACAGTCGACTTGAATTCTCATCCTCTTTAGTGAGTAAACACTCTTCTTCCATTTTGAGCTTGAGTAAATAGAGCCACCCTTCCGTGCGATGAACTTCTGCTAGGAGTGCTCCATCCTAGTCATAAATGGTCAAGCGTCCCCCATGCGTGATCATCTTGCATCCTTCATCAAGTCTGCCCAGACTGAGAATATTAGCACATAATTTAGGGACAAAGAGAACATTACCAAAGTGAATTTGCTCCCCATCTTACCGAAGAACCACCACATTGTCTCAGCAATGGATTTTCACATGGAAATTGTCCCTAAATCTGACAAAGCCAGATGTTGTTTCATCTAGATTCGTGAAGAAACTTCTCCTCCTAGTCATGTGGTTTGTGGCCCCAGTGTCAAGTTATCACAAGTCTAGATTGCTGAGATCACCCTTGGAGCCTTGAAGGAGGAAGTCACTCTGTGCATCTTCAATTGCCATCAGAAGAGATGACGTAGCAGCAGGGGCAGAAGGAGTGCTTACCACTGCCGAGGCTGAGTCCACCACATAAGCCCAGACTTCTTTCTCTTTCTTAGCACTTCTGCATTCATATGCAAAGTGGCCGAACTTCTGAAAGTTATAGCATTGAATTGCCGACTTGTTGAAAGTCTTCTTATCTTCTTCTGGAGGCTGATTTTGTCCTCGGCCTCTGCCTCTGCCTCGCCCCGCGGCTGCAATGACGGCCTCTTCCATGAGATGAGGACTCCTCCTCACTCGTTAGTTTCGCTTTGCTCATCGCCTTGGCCAATGATGCCTACTCTTCTTCATGAGATTCCCGTTCCTTGAGCTGCAGCTCATGAACAGTGAGAGAGCCAATTACCTTGTCAAGGCTCACCTTGTCCAAATCACTATACTGCTCTAGTGGCAAGGTAAGTGTGTCGAATTTCGAAGGCATCACCCTCAGAAAATGCTGCACAATCTCTCGCTCTTCCATCGCCTCTCCCAAATTCCGCAATTTGGAAACGATTTGCGTGAATTTCATCGTGAAATCCACAATTGAGTCAGTCTTGGCCATATGAAAAGCAACTCAAATTCTCGTTTCAATCCTTGAATGTGAGACTGAATCACTCGGTCCATGCCGAGGTTCCATTGCCGTAGAATCTCCCAATTTTCTTTCGCCGTCTTCTTGGCGTCAAGAATTGTCAGCAGGTCTTCTGAAACCGCACTGATGATTGTCGATAATACCAAGTGATCTTTATTTTTCGAGATGTTCTCCCCAACGATTGCCTGCCAAGGTCATGAGACTCTAAATATTCCTCCATAGACATCGACCACACTCTGTATTTGGTCTTTGAGAACTTGAGGGATGGCACCAGCGCCACCATCTCTCCCCCACGCTTGCCTGAGGTGCTCGCCTCACCTGTCTTCTCGGCCATCTTCTTGATCTCGTGGAGTCGAGTGGCTCTGATACCACTTGTTGGCTTCGCAAAACTAGATCCGCTCCAAGAACTTCCGGATAAAGAAAAAATCAAGAAGGAGAAATCGTCGTAGGAGAGAATGTTCCGCATGTCAATACGTCGAACACAGCCCCTTATATCGGGGAGCCAATCGTCGTAGGAGAGAGAGAGCACGCAACTAACTCCTTGCTGAGCTAGCTTGGTGTCCGAGGTGGCACCATCCTCGCCGTTATAACTCCTGATGATGGACTGCCCGATCAATCCTGCAAACAGAAAATAATCACCCGGAAGAAGTAAAACGCCCAAATCAGTCTCGCCAGAGAATTTGCCGGAGACGGCAATCCACGGCGGTGGTGGGGCTGGATCAAGCCCCTTCAATGGGAAGGGCTACTGGGGGAAAAGGTGGACGGGGAAGGCGCTCAATCGTCGGGAACTCCGCTGGGATCTTCGTGGAGGTCTACGGAATCGGAGGAACGGGACACCGCGAGACGAGTGGAAGGCTCCTTCTCCCAGAGGTGCTGCACAGTCTACGACGCCCACTCTGAGAAAGGTAGCACGCTCGGGGAAGCTGAGGAAGGCAGCGCCGCGGTGGTGGCGGAGATCAGGAGGAAAGTGGTGTCTTCAGCTTCATCGGCGGCAGACGTGATGTCCGACAGCATGGTACTTGGTAGGGACGTGTTTTGCCTGCGGCTGGCTCCGGGGTTCGATGCCGCCTTCTCGATGGGACTAGTCCTCGTGCTTGACCAGATCACGGGCGACAAACAATAAGAGGGGAGAGACATGGGTCTTCTGGCTATGTCCCACATTCCGCCCTTCCCTCTGTTTCTCTGATCACTCGGCTCCATCCTTTTGTTTCATTAGGTGGTGGATGTCGCTGACTCCATGCTCCCTTTCCCCGCACTGCACTTCAGTGCTTGTCATGTTTTCAAAAGGCCTGTTTGACTGTGACTTGCGATCCCCGTGACGCAGAGAAGGTCCGAGATAGATAGTGTCTGGCTCCTCCACTGCCGACAGTGGAGGAGAGTCGTGCAACCTCAGCGGAACCTGCCCGCTAAGAAGGTGAGTGAGCGTCATGCAAAATCCCAGTATAGGAGCGTATAGGTGCCCCTCACAGCGCTGGATTTTGCTCTTATGGCTAACTACCGGAGAAAAAGCACGACAGTAATCCATCTGCTGATGAAACCTTCTGATAGTTATCGAAGGTTATCGAAGAAACGGCCCATCATCGGCAAGGAGAGGCCGTGAGGGTCATCGCTCCGCATGGAAAGGCCGTGAGGGTCTTATCCATCCCCACCGCCGCCAACCGCTGCCGCCTTCTTCCACCGCCTCCATCCGCTGCCTCCGCACGAAATTGCTAAAAGGTTATGAACTAGATGTTAGGTAACTCTGGAATAGCTCTTAGAACAATTGTACCTTTTTGAGAACAGTACAATATGAAACATGGTCCATTATCAGAATAAATTCAATCATTACTAAACATACATAAATAAACTCAATTGGTAACTGATCATGTATTTGTTAGTTTTAATGCATATAAATTTAATAATATTGATAATTGAACTCTCAAAATAAATTCTAATATTAGTGCAAGTTCAGGTTGATCCTCAAAGATGGTGAATATTAGTTTTGATGATTTTTTTAATTTTTCTAACATAAAAGATGATACAAAGAAAAGAACAAAATGAAATGAGATGAGATAAATGATAAAATGTTTTCTTCATTTATTACTAGCCTTATTTACTTATTAATTTCGTATATTTAATTATCTTGTAAGTTCTAGATAATAAGAAATAAAGTTTTAATGATGAGATGATTAAATCATTAATAGAAGAAAATAAATTAGAGATTATGATGTAGAAAGATGATAAGGGTGGTTGTCAATAGAATGACTTCTACTGACATGGGGAATGCTTTGAAATAATTAAAAATAAGATCCAAAATAAAGTGAAATAAATAAACTACAAGAATATACTTGGCAGTAATCAAGGATAAACTAAAATAATTAAAATCATGATAAAAAATAAATTCTAAAACTAAAATCAGACTCTACTATTCATCATGCAGCAAAGTCCTATAGAATTAAAAAACTTATAATTAAAATATAAAATATAAATTAAACCTTATAACTTCATTTTTTTTATTTTCCTTGTCTGTCACCTAAGGATGAAAAATGCAGTTACCAGTAATTATAATCAAAATCTTAATTAAATTCATGATGATTGAAACTAAGAACAGAAAATAAAGTTATCTTATTTCTTTATTTTTCACCCAAGAAAATGAGAAGAAAAAATACTTAAATTAAATAAATTTCAAAATAAGGTCTCTTTGATCATTATTTATCACTCAAAAAATATAAAATAAATAAAATAAGACAATAATAAAAATATGAAACATAAAGAACTCTATTGATTTGCAACCATCTAAGTCTTTTGATCCTCCTTCCCTTACTCTCCAGCCTTGTTCCATGTCTTCCGACCTCTTGCCCTATGGTCCACCATTTGTATGATCTCTTAGAGGAGCAATGAGCCTCCTTTCTCTTACCTACATCCAAATATATATTTTTTTCATTTCGATTTAATTGTTTCCTTTATTTTTTTTCTTGAGTCTTTGACTTCTATTTCCCACTCCAATGCTTGTCAAAAATGACATTTTTAGTATATAACATCATTCAAACAATGACATTATTGAGTAACGAAACTTCATTTGAAATTTCAGATCAATTAAACAAGTATTTGCTGAGAAATTAGGATTTTTAGATCAAGTTTTGTTTAGCTCTTTATTTTTCAGTTTTTTCTTTATTTTCCAACATTTTCCTGAAAATTTCCAATTGATTTATGTCATTTCGAGTGGCATTTTTGCCATCTTCCTTTTGTTTTCTGTTGGATTAACTTGTGGAAGACACATGAATCAAACTCAGCCACTTGCATGACAAGCAGGTCAATGGTCAATTGGTGCTCTATCAGATCGACAATCATGTAGGTTTATTCTCAATTCGAGTTTTTTCGAGATTTTTACAAGTATATATGATAGAGCATTTTATGTATATTGATTCCTACCCCTTAGGAGCATAATGACTAGGAAAGAGAGAGAGAGAACTAATGATCTGACCCCATGCAACATATGTGATGATATCATACCCTAGCTCATGGGCCAACTCTTGTGGGTGACATGGAAGGGGAGTGACACACATGTGCTTGTGATGGATACTTGAGCCACTTGAGTTGCCAACTCTTGATCTCTCATAACTAAGTTACCCACCGAGTAGTCAACTACTTGCCAATAGGCCCCTCTATTTTACTTTATTATTTTTGTCATAATAAACTTATGAAACTCTAAGAAACATATTAATTTTTTTGAATTTTTTTTAAAAACTCATATTGATGTGACTTATCATTGTATAGTAAATCATGTAAATTTAAAATTTATAAAACTAAAGAATACTAATTTTTAGATATTTAGAATTATTTTTGAACAAATAAATCAATTATAATTAAATAAAAGTTTCAAAAATAGTAGAAATCCTCCAAGTTTATCATTGAGATGTAATATAATATTGGGTAATATTTCAGAATTTTTTTTGAAGAATGTAATTTTTTATAAATTTTAGATTAAGAAATAAAAATAAAATATATTTAAAATTCATGAAAAAGAGAAATAAAGGTGTGGGCATTAATTGCCATCAGCACCTAACGAATATGAATCGGGCAAAAATAGAGTTTCACCTAAAAATTCTTATGTAAATGATTACATATGATTTAATTAGTAAAATTAAGATCTGTGAAACTCGAAAGAATTATAATTGAATGAAGAGTAGTTTAGAAAATTTAAATCATATAAATTATCACTAAATGAAGTAAAAATTAAGTCAAAAATAGGAAAGTCAAAGTTTCGTATTTGCGACAATGATTGTCAAAGTTCTGTGTGTTTAGAAGGGTCATAAAATGATATCTACAGTCTCAAAAGCTCTCTTTAGACATGAACGACTTGTGCATTCGTTGAATCTTCTTTTGAAGTCTAGAAAATGATAGTGAAAGTTAAACTAATTAAAAAATAGTAAAATAGAGTTTTGACATCACCACGGTGATGCGTTGAGGATGTATCAAAATCTTAAGTATTCGGCAAGATTGTCATACAATGTCTATAGCCTAGATGACTCTTTTTGGATAAAGATAATATGAGTAATCTTTAGATCTGTTTGTGAAGTTTAGAGATTAATGGAATAGGTCGTCAAATCGTCTTTAGTGGTTGTCACTCGACATAGTAGAAAAATAGTGAGTTTGTGGCTTTCCGATGACTATCACCCAATGAAAATGAGCTAGATGGAGGTGGAACATGTGTTAGAGAGCTTCATCTTTAAGTTCGTGTAGCAAGAGGAATCTTTATTGCATTTGGTATGCTCTTAAGAGGTGGTAACTCATCTCTTAGTGGATTGTCTTCTTCCCAACGATAATTTACTCGTTGATCAATCAAAGATGATTTACTCCATAAATTTGTGATCCTTTTATTACGAATCATTTAAAATTTTTAGTAATAATGCTCCATAAATTGTATTGATGAGATTTTACTAATGATTGAGTAATTTTGTCAGCTTAATCTTTTATTAGTGATTTGTAAGAAAGTCGTAATTTAATTAAATAAAAATATAAATTTCACCTCTAGTAGGATTTGAATCTATGTCGATCGTTTGCTTGCATGAGAGAGAGTAAATAAGTATTCGAATACTCTTATAAAGTAACGTTATCATGATATCTCATTGTTATAAATAAGGAGTATTTTTGGTATTATAATCATCGAAACATTCTTGAGGAAGTGTGATTGTTGGTTTAGTCTCAAATATATTATACACCAAATGTTGAAACGGATATGTACCAATGCTATATTTAGAAGTATTGAGTCCTTTTCTCGCATGTGTAAGATTATTCCTTACCCAATAGCCAACTAACCACAGGTGATGTAGAAGGTGAGTGACGCACATGTGCCCTTATCAATCTATAACCACTCGAGCCCTTACTCGCGGCTCTACCTTGTTTGTGCTTCTCACTCACTTCCAAGCTTGGCTGGCCAATGAGTCCCCCTCTTTTTCTATCTTTTTCTTTTAATTTCTTTTTCTTTATTTATCTCAAAAATAAGATTATAAGAATTCTATAAAATCACATAATTAGCCAAAAAATTACATTAATTAACTAAAATCACTCTTCACAATTTAACATAAATATAAGTCTATTTTTCATGAGTTAAGGTTAAAACTATATTATTTATTAATTATTAACTCATGATAATGAAGACTTATCACATATCATCTTAAAATTTTAAATCTTAAGTCTTATTATTTAACTTCCATAATCACAATCACTTTAAATTTTTTATTTTAAAAAATATATCAATAAATCAATGTTAATATTTTTTTTTCTAAAAATTATATCATTGTGTATCTTTTTAAAAAATAAGGTGTAAACACAAATAAAAATTGACATCTTAGTCATATAATTTAGAGAATTATTAGTAACCTATTCAAATGTGACAAATGAAATAGACTTCCAATTTTATATAAAGCTAGAATAATGAAGAATTCATTACCTTGGATTAGATTATTCATTTAATTTTTGCTTCTGATATCAACATAATTTTTTGGAATTATAGAAGTTTGAAACCAACCCTTTAATGTGTAGACCATCTACTTTCAAAGTAGACATATTTTGTACCTTGACAAAAATAAACAGTACCATCGAATTTTTAGTTTTTTACATCATTAAAATAACAATTGGTTACAACTAAGTTACTAGTAAAAATAAAAAAAATTAGTTTGACATAACCTTGCAAGAAATTGAACTTTTATCAAGATCAACAATAATGATTTATAAGAGTATTCACAAAATAAGAAAAACTATAAATAGTTATAAAATTAATTACGTGCAAAGCAATTGAGGTAATGTGATGGATGAAATAGGGACTTGATGGGTAGGGGAGAGAGAGAGAGAGAGAGAGATGTCATCCACATTGGTAGTATAAAACTGGAATTTACGTATCTAGTGAGAGACTTGACCGTGATGAACTAATGATGAATTCCAAAATAATTTTTACGAAGTAGGAATTAATAGAATTATTGAAAACTTATTTTCTCTTGAATTTAAAATAAGATAAAAGATTATTGATTACTTTTAATAAAAATAATAAATAGTGAAATATAAAATGATTCATAATTTATAGAAAATTAGCGACTTGGAATTTCCACCGGTATGAAACGTCCTCGTGAACAGAGTATGGAAACAGCATATGCATTGCTCGACCTACGGTCCGTAGATGTGCGAGATCCGATCCCCTGCAACTACCGGCGGCGCCGCTTGATGCTGGCACCGTGGACTTCGTGGTGGTGCGCGCTCGTCCCCCGGCTGGGCGCGGCGTAGCTGCTCGGAGTGAAGATGGAGAGCGGGGTTCGAGCCGGCAGCGAAGACGCTGATGATGAGATCGTCCAGATGGTGGCTGAACTCACCTTCCAGAAAGAATACCTGAAGGCCCAGTTTATAGAATTGAATGAGAGCAGAATTGGCATCGGAATTGGTCAGGGGGTGGGCGTGCAGGCAGGAGATTCACCTTCAGAAGATTTGTCACGGCTTCGGGAGGAAATAAGGACTCTGAGTGTAGAGATCCAGGAGAGGAGGGAGACTCAGAAAGCCGCTGAGGATGCCCTGGCGAATCTGAGAGTCCTGTACTCAGAGCTGGATGCGCGGGCCGAGGAGCTCTCTGCCCAGCTAGCAGAAGGTTGACTTTTTCTGCACTTGTATGTTTCTTTTGTAGTGGGAACTATGTTGCCGTCTTTAATTCGGAACAAGTGCCCAGAGCTGTCATAAAACTTCAGATGGGAAAATGCGTTGGGGATTGAACAAGGCTGCAGTTTGTCCAGGACATAATTAACGAATCCTCCTGTCCCAATTCTCAACCCAAGTAACCTTCAGTGAGCAAATTGTCTGTTCTTCTGCTTAGTTGCCTTCCTGTTGGGCTCTGGAATGCCACGTATGGGCCCCATTTTAAGGTATAATGAGCCGGTACTGACATCCGCTTCCATCTTACTTTCCAGTTTTGGGTCCTAGTAACAATCAGCCTTTCTTGAAGCCTATTTATTCCTTATAAAACACAGACTAGCTTCCTAAGTCGGGCTTCTGTAGACCATTCCATCAAATCTTTATTGATCCAGAATTTAGCGGCTGAAACACACCCTCTTGTTTCTGGATAATTCCTGTTTTAAACGAAAATTTGTTCAACTGGCTGACAAAAAATTAACTCCTGTTCACACTAGTACAGAACATCACTTTTTGTCACTATCTAAAAAATACGCTATAATTTCCAAGGAATAGGAGGGTTGAACAGAAAAACAAAAGCCCTTTGCTGCAGCAGAGATAGCATTATTAGCTGTCTTGTTTGAGACATTGCCCAGCAATCTGCATTTTCTGCTGATATAGGCTGTTCTTAGGTTTTAAATTTCCTTCAGGACATAGTCATCCAGTCTGTCCCTCTACTTATGATGGTGAAGTAAATCTCAGGTCTGAATGATCCCTGGACATTTTCCTGGTGGGCTTTTAAGGTTTTTGCCTTTCTGATCTTGTAGAGGTTATTGGGAATCATAGAATTATGGACATAGTTTTCTCTGACTTTTTTTAGAATGGATCAGGCAAAAAGTCTACGTATGAAAGAATTTCTTTAGTACTGCAGTGGGCTGCTTGCAAAATTTGGTTGAGTTAGTGTCAATAGTGAGTTCATTCAACCCTTCAAATTGAGGTTCCATCCTATGAATCACCTGAAAAGTTTAATTCTTACAAGCCTTCTCAAAATCAACCTTGAGAGCCATTCCTCTATCATGTTGTCTCTGACTCGGATATATACTTTTAAACTGTAGCATCATGGTCGCTGTCACAGAAGATGAGACTGCCATCTTAGAGAGTAGATGTGCCTCACTATGTATGATGATTAAATTTCTATTCCCATTTTGTCATCGCTTGTTTTTCTTGTTTCCAAAAGGTAGTCTTGCTTCCTATGTTTTGTAGCAGCCTTCATCAAGATTTGAATTGCACTCTGTCTTGTCACACAATTGATGTCATGTCCAAAATGTACTCATAATTTTCGGTGCATTTTATATCTCCTATTGTTCTAATCATAATCATAGTCATATTCATTTACCTCATTCCTCGAACTAATAATTTGAATCCGTGGTTTCTGTAGCATGTGCCAAGTGGAGACTACCTACTGAAAACAAGCCTTCCATTTTTTCCTTCGTCAACGAAGTCCACAGTATCATAGGGACATGAGTCGTATATGCAAAAGAAAACCTTGTTCTGAAGGCAGAAGAAAAAGAAAAACGTAAATTATCTAGCTTGGCATTTAATCATTAAGTTGTCCTATCTTTACTATCCTCTTATGGTTCTGGACATCATTTCTCATTGATTCTGTTTCCTTTTTCCTTATTATCTAAGTTTGATTTGTTTCACCATGACCTTTAAGTGAAGTATGACTTTCTTTTGTTTCCCTCAGCTTCTGTGATCATTCTTGTATGCTATCAATCTTACCATTATGTTCCACTTCTCTAAAAAGAGTGGTCTTTGATCGACAGTGTGGGTCCAATCATCAGTACCCTCCCTAATCATCTTTTGGGCGTATTTTTCCTTCACTGGTTCCGGAAAAGCAATGTCTTTATTCTCCACTCTTGTCTGTTGTTGTTGTTTTATTCTCCATCTTTTGTAATGCCATCTCAAATGGTGACTCTAATTCATGAATAATGCTAGTTCAAACCCCTTAAGTGAATTATTGTGGACCATGATTTCTCAAAATAATAGTCATACAGTGAAGAACGATAGAGACCTAGATTTTCGTAAAGATGAAAATATCATGTACCGTGGTGCCAAATTATGATCAATCTGTTTTCAACTTTTCCTGTGGCACTCAACTGTAGCTTTTTCTACATTAGAAGTTACAAAACTGTATCCTACTTGGAACAGACTGAAGATTTATAAGCTTATTCTTTCTGTTGGTAATTTTCAGTCTGCTGGTGAGATGCATCAGCTTTTTATTATATTTTTTTCCGGTGATCGTCTAATTTTCTTGTTTTGCATATTACCTTGTTCATCATTTTGTTGATTTCTTATGTAGCTCAACAGAAGATGGAACAGGAAATAAAAGTGCGTGATGAAAAGTATATGGATCTTGATTCCAAGTTTGGGAGGCTTCACAAACGTGCAAAGCAAAAGATTCAAGAGATACAAAAGGTATGATGGATGTCTGTGCAACTTGTTAATTTTAATTCCGATGTTTATGTCACATAGAATTTGGGGTGAAAATTATCAATGTGATTGTTATTTGACGTAATGGTTCTGCCCATCAATGGTTTGTCTGGTGAGTGATGAGTTTGTTTTTCTGAGAGTGTTGGATACTATCATGTACGAAGATCAGGAGGAGAAAATATTGTGCAGTGGAATTAAAATTTAAAATGAATACCTTTATGTATGGCGCGAAGACATATGATGCTGACTTGATGAAAGACAGTTGAAAAATAGGTTTCACAAATTAAAATGTTCTTACAGAATGCTGCAATTAGAGGCTTTCCAATGTGTGACAATTCCGATCATCAAACCAGATTTGGTCTCAGTTGGCGTCTGTGCTATGCACAGTCAGACTAGAGTTAATCCTTTTTGTATTGTGGCATTGTTGCTGTGGTTCTGACGCTTGATTTTCTATGAGAAATACATTGTAGATTTTTCTTCCTGGTTTGTTGAGTGGTTCAAGCTTTTTTTCAGCCATCTCTAAACTGATTGGGGGGAGGGAACTAATTTAGATTTTATTTGATGCATTGTGTTATGTAGCCTTGGTGAATTTTATGTCCAAATTCAGATATGCGCGGGATATCAGTAATAGGCTATTGGTTTTGATGCTGACTCAACTAAAGAATGGACATTAATGACTCTGTCAGGATTTGTATCTTCTGTACAGGTTAAAGGCAAGAAGGAATGATTATTATAACTGTCATGGCTCTTATGAGAGCTCTTTTCTTATGACTCTGATTTTACTTGGATTCTTTCATAGTTATTTGCCCTATCACTTGATGCGTATTTGCCTCATTCACTTTAATCGCATTTTTGGTTTGATTCATACCATATTTCGATAAAAAATGAAAAATAATATCTATTCAGGAAAAAGATGATCTTGAAGTGCATCTTCATGAGGTCAAAGAGAAGGCTGAGCAGGCAGCTGCACAGCAGTCATTAGCACAGCAGGAATTAGAGCGCACTCTTCAGCATGCCAATGAAGCTCTAAGGTCGATGGAGTTTGAAAAAAAACAACTGAGGACATCCAATAGCAAGTAAATACATCTTTAATCTCATTTTCTTGTTAAATATGAGTTTCTGCAAATTTAGCTGACGCAAACCATACAAGAATAAACAGTCAGGAAAAATATTTTATTCATCTCAAATCATAGAACAATGGCTAGTTGTGTATAGTTACCTTGACCACAGAAAAACGTAACTACTTTGGTTAAAGAAGCTGACCAACTAGGAGGCTAACAAACTAGGAAACTGTCCCACTAGAAAACTGACCCACATAAACTAACTCCGAAGTACACGTTTTTCCCAAGTAACCTTTATGATCTTCACCGTTCTTGTGAGAGTGAGTAGTGTCAATTTCAAAACTAAGAAAAAAGAATCTCTGATACAGAGTTCATCGTCGGGAACAAGGTTTAGAGACTGAACTATTGGTATCAGGCCATCATCTGGATCGTGCCTAGGGACTTAGAAATCGTGTCAACTTTGTATGTTGTTGGCATGACTGATATCAGCTTTGTACTGTATCATATTTTAGAGCCAATTGAATTTATTTTAATTAGAAAAACAATTCTTTTTTAGCAAGTTTAAGGATACATGCTTTTAGGTTTTTTTTTATAGAAAGTTTAAGGATATATGCTTACTTAAATCGATTTTTCTTATGACATTTATTCCATCCTTAATAACATTTGTACAGTTGAGGTTAGCTTGACTTTTTCAGATTTACAAGCTGGGCAGGAGTTCAAGTTAGTGTACACTGTCTCTAATCAGATGCTGTGCACATCAAATCTGGGGATGGATTATGCTACCTTCAATCTGAAATGCTGCATGTATCAACTATGCTGCATTAACCCATTTTTCATGGACTTATCCTTCCCACCTTTCATTTTAAATGTGTTTGACAGAAAGTACTTGCATACATGAATGATAGTTCAAAGACGAGATGGAACATATTCTAACTACATAAAATACTACAAGGCAAACGATCATGATGATAGTTCAAAGACGAGATGGAACCCTGTGATCTGTCTCAGAGTAAATCCATTAAATAAATTATTGGATGTACATTCGGTTTCCCAAACGACTGCTAGAAGCTCCAGTTTGATCTTGTTAGAGTAATGCTGTTGTAATATATTCTAACTACACTTCTTTTATCTTTTTTTTGTTCCGGAGTGTTCTCTTGTCTGTTCTTCTACGAGCAGCATTCTTTTTTCTAATGCTATGTTGACATGCTAAGAATTTTTTTGCTCCATGTCCAGTTTTCATCTCATTCCATATCCTAATCTTCATAGAAGCTAAAATAGAAAAAAAATATAATTTTTATGCATACTTGAATTTTTGTTTCTGCCTTGGTTCTAACCGTATGTACCTTTTCACAGACTCCGAGAAAATATGGATGAGTTGTGTCGTGCCTTGGAAACCAAGGAAAATTCTTTTGAGGAGTTACAACAGTCACTTTTAAAAAAAGAACAGGTGCTACTGCAATTTTATATTTTTTTACTTAATGATGATCGGAATGCTTTCGTCTAATACTTTTGAACTTTTCTTTGCTCTTTTAGCTGGATTACCGTGCTTTTAAAGTTAAAATTTTTATTTGTATAAAATATATTTTTAGTTATTTAACGGTCACCTGATGCCATCCACTTTCCAACAAAAACAAATCTGACCAATGTTTCATGGAAAGAATTTCCTTGGTACTATCACATTCTGGATGGTGTATCGGCCATCATCATGCTATATCTTCTGACTTGACTGGAACTTTGCACTCATCCCAGGTGTGATATACATATTATACTGCATTAGTTCATTATTACAGGAGGGTGGTTCATGCTAATGGATTTGCATAAACCCACTGGGGCATGTCGTACTTTAGGCATATGATGACTACCCTGTGGAGATGGAGATATTATGGTGAGGTAGGAACATACGTTGGACACTCTGATAAAACTGCAGTGTGTGGTAACATAACATTTCTGTGACCCTGTGGCCCAGGTGGAGTGTGAAAATGGGTATATATGCGCGGGACGAAGCTCTTCAGTAGAAAGTACTCTTGATTTACATTAGATGAGGCCTTTTGTGATGAGAAATGATGTAGCAACATTTGGTAACAAAAATAGTTTATAATATCTTGGTGAATCGGTGCTCAATTTCACTCATGATTACAAGATTATGTTACTTTGGATTCCAAGGTAGATAGACTACCTTTGTATACACAGTAGTTGATGTTTGAGAGCTTTTCCTGGGAGCACATAGAAATCAATCTAATAGCATGTGTAAAATTATGACATCAACAGATCACCAACAATAAAACGTTCGAATGACTGTACAGAAGAATCGAGGAAGTGCATGTATTTTCCTTGATTTTCTGTTGCATTGTTACCAAAGGAAGTCCTGTCTTTTCTTTACCTCCATTCTTTCACTAGTCCTGCAAGGATCACTATTCTCTGACCAGTTCCTTCCAACGTAGCATGTTTTTGAACGTCAAAGATATCATGTGAAGTTAGTGATCTAATGCATCAGATTGGGGGATGGTCAATGTATAAAGTGGGAACCAAATCTTTTTTTCCTCGTTATTTTTTCCCTATGTTCCTACCTTTCTGTATTCTAGATTCAATTATCCTTTACACAGTATTAGAATAGGTTTCTTGTTGATTAAAAGTGATAACAAGGAGAAAGGAGTTCTACTTTGTAGAAGTGGCTACATTCATACCGTAAATGGTCACAGTATCTCTGGGAAGTGAAAACCCTCAGTAATGGAAGTGTATCTAGATGCATTAGCTTCTGTGGGGACAGCAGCTGATACAAAAAGTTCATTTTGAGGCTTTAAACAATTAATCATTTGTATGGGGTTCTGGGGTGATGGTCACTTCCTATCTCCTGTGGATGTGGCTGGGATCCTTGTAATTCTACCCAACCCTTCTGTCTTCTCCTACGCCCTACTTAATAAGCACTTCGGTAACCAACCAAGCATGAGAGGAGAGGGGATAAGATTTTGTCAAGTCAACAACTGGAACCTGCATGAGAGGAGAGGAGAGGAGAGGGGGTTTGCACATTGCTGCAAAGTGTACTAGATCCTGAAGCTGGGATTGGCTAATCTTGTGTCATGAGTTATCTCTCAGGAGTTGCAATATTGTATCCTTTTACACTGTCAAAATTGAGTATATCACTGTAGATGACTTTTGACAGTGATGGAAGAGAGCCTACCTTTGATGAAGAGGGCTTGGTTTCAATTGCACTCATGTTCATATTCGAAGTAGTATCATAGTTTCTCTTCATCAAGTTCTCTGTTCTTGTAGTTGCTGGAAGATACACAAAGATTGCTTCAAGCTGCAGAGGAAAAGAAACAAGCGTCAATTGCTGATCTCTCTTCTAAACACCACAAGGTATTGTGAATAATTCGACAAACATTTATTTTTTTCAATCTTCCTATTATTCTGAATAAGTACTTTTCTTGATTGTTTTCCTTTTTTAAGTCAAATGACTCTTTCATCATTTTTAATGCCTTGTCAGATATTAGAAAGTATGCAAGCACAACTTGCGGATGCATTATCTGACAGAAGTAACGCGGCTGAGGCCATTGCTTCTCTCCAGGTACACACATTCTCATATAGTTTTATTTCCCTACCGTCCCAGCATTTGAATAGGCTGGAAATGTTGTTATTTTCATTACAAGCCTAAAAGTTTTTATTTTTCTCGTTTATCATGAAAGTATCCATGTGTCATGTTGGAATTAAAAAAAATCTATTGACTTGGATTTAACTTGATCTTGGCCAATCAATTTAAAGGGGCTAAGTTACCTCTTGAAACTGGGGACATTTAAGAAGGCTACAAGTTATTCAATTTCAACACCAATGAATATCTATTCCCTCCTATGGAAGAGATGACGTTGATTCCATGCAGCTGAATGCACTGGCCTTTTAGGAGAAAAAGACAAAATCTCATCCGTCACTCTATGTGGGGAAGACAAAGAAAAAGTTAAAATGTTGCAGAAGGTGAAACAGATTCATATCTTGGTCATCAATGATCAAAATTTGTCCATTTCTTGGCTTAGCGTGCTTGCTAGAGTATCTTGAGGCTTGGGAAAATGATTTTATGAGAGTATCGAGTGGATGATGCACATGGGCATCAAATTAATTTTTGAAGTTGCTTGTGCTAAAACTGAAGCAAAATATAGGGTTACCTATGCCCCCCCAGTCTCATCTATTTATGCATAGAGAGGGGAGTGAGGATTACACGATGATACCTATTTATGCATAGAGAGGCTCGTCTATAGTCTAAGTCACTCACTAACATGCAGCGATAGTGGGCCCGTTACACTCATATTCTAACGGACTCTCCGGTGATGGTCCTGTCCTGATCTGTTTAACTCAATCTACCTTTTTTGCAGGTGCTGATTATTGAGAAAGATTCCAGAATTGCAGAACTTGATGCTGCTTCAACAGGTGAGATCGCACGACTTGGAGCTGCTGTGGAGGCTGCAAAACAGGAGTTAAATCTTTTGAAAAATGAGCATGTATGGATTTTTTATTTTTTTTTGTTCTTATGGGTTTTTTTGTCCTTATGACATCCAATATGTGGTTTAAAGCACTTTGGATTATAGGTAGTCAACTTATTTGGTAAAAGGTATCTTTATCAAGACCTATATGATTGCTGGGTTCAGATATAGTTAGCAAACTCTCTTATCAATTCAGTACTCTCTGTCTGGACTGTGGATACATGAACTTTTTACTCTTTTGACTTATCCTGACAGGTCCAAAAGTTGGCTTGTACGTGAGGGTGTATGTTAAAAATGTTTGCCTATTTGTTACTAAAAGAGGTTTGTGATTATAGAGGCAGATCCACTTCACTCCCTAGCCAAATGGTTTTGAGTTAAAACAGAATAACATCAACATGATATTAGCGCTGATGGTTAATCTTCGGTTACATGCACCCACTCTATAATGTCTGAGTGACACTTTTGAGTCCAAAAGTCGCACATGATGAGGGAGTCACAATAGTTATGTATTGGGTAATACAAAAGTATACTTATAATGGTTTAATATGGACTATTCGACACTCTGAACTGTTTTTAGACTGCATGGTTCAGTAAGCTAATAATAATTTTAATGCTCATGATTGTTCCTGAGATAGGCTCAAATTAGGTATCAGTGGAGTAGCTCAACCTTGTAATTAAATACTTACTTATTGTCTATATAGGACTCCTCATCTCGTCCCTCACATGCAGGCAACTTTTGGGTTGACATAGAGACCGGATAAATTGGGTGTATATGGTCCAAGGGCAATCATTTATCTCCCAGACTACTTTATATTTGTTTGGTCTTCCAGCTTAAAATGAATTGGCCTCAATAAAGAGGGTTCATAATTATTTTAATAGGTTATGTTTTTTTCATAGTTGGAACTGAGCTTGATGTTTCACAGTTTTTGGCTGGGCCAAATATTCTTATGCTAAATTATTCTGCTTGCCCATATCTGCATCTCTTTTTATTTTTCTAAGTAAAGGATTGTTGCAGAATCTTTATGTTGTACAATATTTACATACATAGCTGTAGAATATTTACATACATAGCTGTAGAATCTTTTTGTTGATATATTCTATTCTCCATGGTATGCTCCGTTGCATATTTAAAATTCTGATTTACAACATATCTTTAGTCGCATGTCGTTCAGATTTTTGACATGATCAGTTTGACATCAGGGCTTCCTTTTGTGTGACAAAAATGGAATCATATTTTATTTTTGCTTGAAAATTCTAAAGTCAAATGCACACTACATACCAAAAAGTTGCATATTTTTTGCTTGTGCATACTGTTTTGCTAAGAACTGAAGTATGGAATAAGGCCTAGTCGCATTTCTGTTTTTAGAATCAAAGAGAGATGTAAAGCAGAAATCAGCCCAGTTGTATTTCTGTTTTTATGTATAATCGTTTCTACAGATTTCTGAAGACGTACTTTTTATTTTAGATTTTTTTCTCTGTGCCCTTTTATGGTTTCAGCGCTCTCCTTTTCAGAGATTTACAACCTTTCAGTTATTATGAAAAGAAAGCTTTTAAGTTTTTCAGAGGGATATATCCTGATGGATATCTCCTAAATTAATGCGAAATATATGCCTTCTTTCAGGAAAAAGAAAGAGAGAGTTGGGAGGCGAACTGCCAAGCCCTTAGGAATAAGGTGGAGGCATCTGAGAGCGCCCGTCTTTCTTTTGAAATTGAAGCAGCAAAAACGAAATGTATTTTCTCTTCTATAAATAACTTCCTCCGATATATTTTTGATTATTTAGGTGGCGATAATTATTTTTCTAATTTTTTCTCATGATATGATCGTGTACAGCCCAACTGGAGTTAGAATTGTCCTTGCAAAACCAGATGCTGAATTCACGCGAGGCTGACCTCACAGCTGCTAAAGAAGAGGTAATTTTCAGTCACCTTATTAATTGAATATTTACCACAAATTTAGTATCTCGATTTTCAATAGGGAAGCACGTACCAGAAACCTGTTACTTATTACCAATATTATTTTAATATGTTATTTTGAAAAAATGAACCTTAGCTTTGTCAAACACGACCATCTTGAAGTCATACCTCTGTTTTAGATTTCAAATGATAATGCTATCATCATGAAGCTAAGCTGGAGATTACTGTCACAGAAGATGCTGTGTACTTCTTAAAAAGAAGAATCGTCAGTGATCTTCACATGATGAGTAATAACATAAGAATGAGGCGAATATTGTAGATATCAAGTAATATCATAATGTATTATTAGTACAGTGAAAGTGGCGTACGGTGGTCCGTTTGGAGGGTTTATACCGAGCTTCAGGCTTCAAAATCGAACTTGGATGATCGAATGGTTTTGTTGGCTGACACCCAATCTATAAAGTTGCACATGTATTCTTAGCAAAAATAATGCATTTGGAGTGAGCTTTTACACACCAGGTTTTAAGTAGTTTGTCGGTAAATTGGATCGTCATCCAACTGTGCTTGTTATTTCTGGATGACATGGTTTGCTACTTACTAATGTGTATAAAGGTACCCTTTATGTAGTCATTTACTATAAATGACCATATGTTCGTTGACAAATGGGAATTTGTATACCCATTCTTTCTCGCGCATTTTTTTAATATGTTTCTAATGTTTTAATATTCTCATGAAAGATAGCTGCAGCAATCATTTGGTTTCTATAATGTGAACAGATATCTGTGCGAGGGCCAATTAATTTTGTTTTGCCATGCAGATCAGTCGCTTGGAAAGTGAATTCTCATCTTATAAAGTGCGTGCACATGCACTTCTCCAGAAGAAGGAAGCTGAGATATCTGCAGCTAAAGACAATGAATTGATAAAGGCCTACGAGGAAGCAGTCAAAGTACAAGTTCTCCAGCTTCCAGGAATCACTATCCACATTATTTTTTTTTACGGAAATTAACTTTTTGGATATTGCTATCTTTTCTTTAGGAAGCTGAGAGAGAAGCTTCAATGGCTTTGGCTGAAAGGGACAAGGCACTTCATGATCTTCAAGTTGCTTTGGATAGACATGATAATAAAATTGCAGCAAGGTCTAACCTAATATACTCGATACATCTTTGTTTTTGGTCATTGTTTGTCTAGGTTTTTTTGTCATGTCCTGAAATATTTTAACATTAGACTGCTGCCGTTAGTAAATATTGTTGGATCAAGTGTTGGGCTTGACTGTCAAACTGGGTCGAAAACCTCATCTCTGGTCGTGGTTCGTTTGGATAACCTGTCAGGTGTTACTAATCTGGGAGACCTGGTCTGGTTGCAAGGAATGTCCCAACGTGAGATGTATGACCACAGCAAGTTCCACTTCTCTCTTGCCCTCTCTGTCTCCCTCCCCTGCCTTAAATTTCGAGGGAATAAGTTTGCCCCCTATGAAAATCAGAATGGGAGAGCATGCACACCAAACATAATCCGAAATGAATGATTTGGATTGCTATCTGCTATCTTTTTCCGTAATATACTTGATAACAACTTTTTCATCAACTCTAGCGTCTGTATTTGATATTTAAACCTGGGTTAAGCCTAGGGAAGGCTGCTCTCCAAAGTTTGGCATCATGACCCTTATGGCGATGTTCCTCTCCATTTTTCTGCTTATGGAATACTTTTCCTTCTGTTGTCGTATCCAACAACCCCCCCCCCCCTCCCGCTATCTTCTGGCATGAACTATTTCTAGGAGTTGACAATGAGGAAGATACAAATTTATGGAATTTAACTCTACATTCCATTTCTACTTCAGGGATGCAGCTCTAGCTGATGCACAGCAACGAATCAAAAGTATCTCTCTGAAACTCGATTCCATTAGCATTCAATATCAATCAGACAGAGAATTGTGGCAAAAGAACCTTGAAGATCTGGAAGAAAGTTCGAGCTGTAATAATCCATTGCGGGCATTTTTTTTCAAGTGATTGGTTCGTTTTCTTTTGAAGGGTTCCTGTTACTGCTAATGAATGTAATGACATTGGCAGTGAGATATCGTGCCCTGGAGGCCCAAGCTAGTACGTATAATGGGGATGATCTGCAGAAGCAGCTGGAAGAACTTAGGCTCGAACATAGGAAATTGAAGGTGACCTGAAAATGTTCCTTTCATCCAAAATATTTATTTGACATGACATCTCTGACGGGTTACATTTTTGGGTGTGCTGTTACAGGAGGAGCACGATACCTTTTGTGACATTTCTGATCGCATGATGGAAGAGAAGGAAAAGGAGATCATAAAGCTCAAGGAAGAGAACAGAAATCTCTCCCGTGTTTTAGAACAGAGACAACACGTATGTTTTTCCTCCATATCAACTTATTCTTAAATCCACGGTAATTTCATCGATATTTTTATTAGAAAGTTACGACGTTGATTCTATTAACATTCTTTAATGCTAATGCATTCTTTCACGTGCAAATCGGATGCCAACCAACCACCACAAGTCCACGCAGTATCTCTTCTCTTTACCTCCGTCTGATTGGAACTTTTTTCAGCTCTCAATAGACACTCATAAAAAATATGGAATGATGATGACTGTAGCTTCTTTTTCCCCCCATCTGCTCTGAGTTCTTCCTAAATTATCCATCTTCAACATGAGTCATCCTAAATTATAAAGTTAATCTCCTCAGATCTTTGGCCAAGTAATACTGTATTTACGTCCTATAGAATTTGGTAGGTGCACGCTACCTGCTTTTGGGAGGAGATTTATCCTAATTGATTAGGTTACTCCCCTATCCAGCCCGCTCCTGCACTTTTTCTATGGTTTCTATGCGTGCTTTCCACTTAGCACTCTCTTTTTGGTTAAACATGAGAGTCAATAGTTGTTCATATTGGATGAAATTGACTCCGGTAGGATCCATCTCTTAATTTTTTTTCAAATGGGTCAGTAGTGCTCTTCTGACCATCTAGAGTGGATCATCCGTAATAACCAAGCCCAAGTATTGTAGGATCCGTGTGTTACAGTATCTTTCTTTTCTCTTGCTCTCTAGACCTGTACTGTCTTGGGACATCAGGTCATTAGTCTTGGATCTGAAAATGAAGAATTAAATTTCTTTGAATTTCGAGTCCATGATAACTGTTCTTCTATCTTAAACTTGGCAGATTTCTATAATCTTTTACTAGATTCTTTTCGTCACTATCGCGTTTTCCTCATATGGTTGACCTGTTTTTCTTTTCACATATGTTTCAGCTCACCGATGGCAGCAACAGCGGCACAGGTAGCCAAAAACGTGACACTCTTTTGATTAATGGTCCTGTTTGATTTATCTTTTAGCTGCTTCCATCTTCCTCGGGAATGGTGATGCGACCCAACTCATCTAAGTTTGTCTTTTCACCAAATTCGTCTCTTAGATTATGTGAAACAGGATCCCCAAGGTCCCAACGTGGCAGCAGCAGAACAACAAATCTTGGTAATATTCTTGTGCCCCTCCACCTTAAAGTTCAATGAATAGCACGCTGGGCTCCAATGGAGCCCAGTTAGGGAAGTTTAGAGCACTCGTAGGTCATGCTCGTCATTAGGGAAGTGTTTTGCTCACCAACGGTTCCCACAGCCTGCACAGCAGTCCGGATTAGGGCTACATAGGAAGTGAATGCATGGCGAGTTTTGGTTTAGCAGGACGAATGCTAAAGCGGGTTATGCATGTTTCGTATTTCTCACCTCGGCCGCCTAGGGATATTAACAGTGAAAAGTGATCATTTGAATTTGCAGCTTCTGGCCAGGCAGCAGGCGCAGAGAGAGGAGGAACTTGCACAGTCACAGCGTCACATTTTGGCGTTGCAGGCGGGTCTCTTTGTATCAAGCGTGCCACTCAGTCGTACGGGTTTGCACTGACGTCTTGTATCACCTTGTCCAGGAGGAGATTGAGGAGCTGGAACGCGAAAATCGGCTTCACAGTCAACAGGTAGGGAGCTTCTGGGGGACCCCGGTTCAATAGATTCTGGGACCATTTTGGTGCAGGTCCATTTTTCGTTCGCTAAATCTCGGCCTAGGGATGAATCTTATCGTGGGCTCTTTCCCTCTCCAGGAAGCTATGCTGAAGGAGGAACTCAGGAACATGGAGCGGAAGCACAAGCGTGATGGCGTGGACATGACGTACCTCAAGAATGTCATTCTGAAGCTTCTTGAGACTGGTACTCGAGAGAGAGATAGAAAAGCAGCCTTTTCACCGTTCTTTCTTCGCATTTGGGCACCCCTCGCCTAATAAGCGTGGTGATAAATGGAGAACAACAATCAGAGGAGGTGGCTGATCTGACTCCCTTTCTGTTTCGTTCAGGTGAAGTGGAGGCTCTGCTCCCCGTTGTCGGAATGCTACTGCAATTTAGCCCGGAAGAGGTGAATTTTGACACTCTCCCCCTGTTATTCTTATTCTTTTTCTTATTTTGACACTCCCCCTCATTCTTGAGAAATCCTGAGGCTTCTTCCTCAGTTAGTTGGCCTTTGAGAGCTGAACGTCTCCTCCCGCTTTGTGACCCGGCCGCAGATGAGGAAGTGCCAGCAAGCGTACAGCGCCACGAACAACGCCACAGCTGCTCCCTTGGCGGGGCCTCCAACGGACATGACTGCATCGGCGACGCCTCGGTCTTTGTTCTCGAGGTTCTCGTTCAGCTAAGGTCTCGGCCGCGCACAGAAATGCATAAAAGGATGAAATGGGAAATTGTAGAGTGGGAAGTAATCATTTTGAGGGAATACTTGTTTTGTTTTACCTATCATTAATCAGGTGCCTGAGTGCCGTCAGAGCGGCTGCACCACATCTCATTTCAGCCATTGGAGACGAGGGCAGGCTTATACCCCCCCCCCCCTCCCCCCCTCCCACTCTCTCTCTCTCGTTAGAACACTTCTAGGCAGAAGCAATGTCACCCAAAAGGTTCCGAAAGAACCTTCTGGACCCGGCCGATGTCTGCATATTTGCATGGATCTCTCTCTAAGCCCTCTAAAGATGCATGGATCGTCTGTCAACCGAGAAGGCAAAGGAACTCTAGTGTGACCATCGACTCAATTTCGAACACCCTTTCTAAAGTTAGGTTCATTATCAGTGGATCAATATGAAACAAAAACAAAAAAAACCGCACTGGGTATCAACACCACGTGAGGCATGGATTTAGACCACCAATGTTCTTTCCTTTCATTTTCTTTTCTGTAAGCTTTTTCTGTGTTTGGACATCGATGATGATGGAAGGTCAGGAAGGAAGATCTGCCCTCGTCTCCTCCCCGCCTCTTGGGTCTGCAGCTTATTTGCTTTGAGAGGCCCTCAGGCTAGGAGATTAAAGCAACCATGCAGAGGCCAGCTCTTGCTGATGCACACTCTTCGCACAGGGCAGGGATAATTATTGTCCACATGAAATCGTAGGATAGAACGAGGTCCTTCAAGAATGAGTTGGTAGTCATCAGGACCTTTTGTCAGGCTGGTGCTGAGCTTCAGTAAGTGCCAGTTGACAGTGGCCTAGGCAGGAATCTGGAGAGTGATAAAGACCAGAGGAGTGGGAACCATCATCCACGTTGCCAATGCATCAGCCCAAGCCCGTTGTGCAATGAATTATTTTATTATTAATAATTTATTTATTCTATCATATAAACAACCTCTTGTAGCCTTGAACCTGCAATGGCTCTAACCTCTCATTCCTCAGGTGTGGATTCTCTAGAAGCTAATGTCATGGATCTAACCACCCCTTCCTTAAAAAGACAGTTGGTTGGCACCTATAAAAAAAGTAGATTTAGAGGTTTAAGTGAACATCATCAGAGGCTAGAGCTAGATTATGAACCATGATGTACCTATTCCTTTTGAATAGATGTGTGGGAGTTTTGTTCTGTTAGTAAAGGATTCATTCTCGTAGGTCATTTTATTTGCAATTAATTCAAGTGTGATTTGTTCATTGTAAGTCATTGTAAGATGAGGAGGGGGACGTGGACAAAGTGGGTAATTCGAAGGTAGATGGAGCCTCCTGCTGAGTGGGATACACGAGACCAGATGAAGCTCATTTTAATTGTACGTCTGCCTGTCTCTCTCTCTCCCTACCGAGGCTCCGTATCGTCTCCCACCTCCTCTGTAACCCTCTGTAAGCCCTTCTGCGCCTGTAACCCGGCGGGCGGCACCAGGATAGCGAGGTTCTTGAATAGGATAGAAGCACAAGAAAACTCATGTAAAGGGTTTTTATGAAATTGCTGTAACGGAAATGCCATACAGGGCAAAAAAGGATCCGACCCCGTAGGATGAAAAATGGGCCGAGTAAAATAGGCTGAAGTGAATGGGTGGGTGGGCGGGCTTTGCCGGGCAGGATTGGTAAAGGCCAACTATGGCTTCCATCGAGCCTCTCTTGTACCCACAGTGGACCGTTTCGGCAGATTGATCGAGGCTCTTGGAAAGAGGTCGTCAGTACTGTGGCCAAACCCAGCTTGAAAGCTCAGCAGATCCTCTTCTCACTTGTTTCGACACATGCAATTATCTCGATTTAGTTGCAGAGAATTTCGAATTAAAAATACCCTCTACAAGCGTGCCAAATTTGGCGGCCACACCTGGAAAACTACTAAACTTCGTGAGTCACATTATTTTTCACCGCACGAACCATCTCTTGTCTACAAGACCTGGGTTTCACCAAAAAGCCCAGTAAAGGTGATCGATCGAACCAATGATAAAGCAATTTTCAGTGGAGCTAAATAAATCCCAATCTTTCATGGCCTCATTTAATAGAGTAACAAGATGCAAAGCACAAGGAGAGAGAGAAAGGGGGAGGGAGAGAGGAACAACTTAGGTCAGCTCAATTATTGGGAGATTTGGAGTATGGATCATAGATTCCCCATTAATCATAACATAGTTGAGGGGAGGAAGTGGGGATATTGAAACCACTCAAGTTTGATATGTTACAAAAAAAATAATGAAGATGTTCCAAAAACATAAAGATAGAAGATTCAAGAGATATCACGGCTGATCCAAAATCTTCATGTCGTGGTGAAACAACAATTTACACCAAGCTAGCCCAACTAATTCCAACTCGAGCATCAACATGTAGCTAACCTAACATGTAGTCCAACATGTGAACTAATGGGCCAATGGGCCATGTGTATTCTCTAAAGAGAAAAGGAAAGCAAGCCTGTAGTGGGGGCCTGTTATCTACAAAACGCTCTCTCTCTCTCTCTCTCTCTCTCTCGCCCCTGGAACCCTAGACCATATGTAGGTAAAGGTGAGAGACATGGGGACGTAGGAGTTTTATTTTGTCTGAAATAAGGTGAACCAGCATGGCTTTGGAACCACTCCGCATCTGACATCAGGACTCCTATTAAAAATGTACCTCTTTCTCTCATTTTGTTTCTCTCTTTGTCTCACCTCGCTCCCCTTCCTCTTACACATCGGAAGCCCTCGACGTTTCTTCATTTTTTGATGTGCAGCAACCAGTAAAATGTGACAGCGTACTAGAACCGTTCTCATCAATTCTCTTAATGTGAATACATGTTCTTAGAATTTTCATCTCTTTCTTCTTCTCCTTCTTCGCTCTTCTTATAGAAAGCACTTAGCTTTTTCCCCTCATTCCTATAGCTAGAAGCAACGTGTCACATTCCTGAGAACGGGTCGTTTTCTAAAACGGGCACTGTTCAGTCCATTCTTCTCCCTTTTTGTGTACATTATATCATCATGGAAGATGGAGCTTTGGTATCGGTGACTTGGCTTTGCTCTTTCTGAGAGGGAGAAGGCAATGTAGTGTTCATGTGGATTTGTGCACAACGACAGATTTATTCATTTGTATCCTCTAATCAAGTACCCGTTTTCTATGTTGTACTACTTGAGAAACTGCTACAGACCGGTGAGGAATTTTCCTGTCCTATGAATTCATTCTTCGAGGGGAAGTTCACAATTGACATGGAGTTCTTAGATTTGAACTTATCTTCTGTCAATGTACTAGTCAACCTATGCCATTTTTTCGCCACAAGTTTCGTTTCTTAAAGGCATGCAATGAGTCTAATTTTTTTGGATAAACTATTTAAGTATTATTCTTGACCCATTATGAAATGTTGTCCAAGATGAATTTCGTTGAGAATCCAACTGGTAAGGAGGAAGTTCAGTAGATTTGAAAATTTGACAAGATCCATATAATTCTTTTTCATACATGATCGCCCCAATGATGTTTGCTCCAATTTCAATCTAATCTATAGATGTATATATATTCTTAGAACTTCTCCCGGTGTTTAGGATTGAAATACGATCATCGATCGCTAAACGTGGTCTGCTGCTCTTTTCTTTCTTTCTTCTTCCCGTAGAACCAAGGCGGAGAGGCATCTTCAATTTGGCGCTTCGAGCAGTCGATGCAGTCTCTGGCTACATAGTCCTCACTCTTGCGCCTCTCTCACATGCTGGAAGAGGATATCCACTCGGACATCACCATGAACACGGCCGGCGGCACGTTGCACGCACACAAGGCCGTCCTGACGGCGAGGTCACCTGTCTTGAAGAGAATGTTGCTGGACGACGACCGGGAAGAGAAGTCCTCCGTCAAGAGGTGGGAGACGATCCGGAGCCCTAGTAGAGAGAGAGAGAGAGAGAGAGAGAGAGAGAGAGAGAGAGAGAGAGAGAGAGAGAGAGAGAGAGAGAGAGAGAGAGATAGGCGGAGGTAGAGTTCAAATGAGCTTCCTCCGGTCTCTGGTATCCCGCTCGGCAGGAGGCTCCTTCTACCTTCGAATCACCCACTTTTTCCACGTCCCCCTCCTCATCTTCTTGCCACCCTGCAGAGCCAAGATCGACGCACAAATCAGCCGAACTAGACAATTGCTCACCCTCGGAAAGCCGGCGATGGTATGCACGCTCACCCATCCGTCGTCGTCCTTCTGCATCTTCAGATGGACATTTCTCGCCAGATTATCATCGCTGCGCAGATTCCAGTCCGTCGGCAATCGATCCACGCGCAAGAAATGTCCACCTGAAAATCTGGCGACGGGCTGGAATCTACGCAGCTATGACAATCTGGCGAGAAATGTCAACCTGAAGATGCAGATGGATGACAACGGACGGGTGAGCGTGCATACCATCGCCGGCCTCCCGAGGGTGAGCAATTGTGATTCCGACAGCTACCGTCGATCTGTCTCCCCTTGGATCTCCATGTGGGGTTGAACCAAGCCTTTTCCTCGCAGGTGAAACGGCTCGGCCGCTGCAGCCTTCTCCCACCGTGGAGGTTATGATGAGTCTTCCGACCTTGGATCTGAATGCATGGTTGAACCTGTGGATTTTTTGTCTAGTTTGGCTGATGTGTGCGCCGATCTTGGCTCCGCAGGGTGGCAAGATGAGGAGGAGGGGGACGTGGAAAAAGTTTATCCAGCGGGATACCGAGCGGGATACCGGAGACCAGAGGAAGCTCATTTGAATTCTGCCTCCGCCTATCCGACATTGAGATTGAGGCATGTCCTTGGAAGCCTGCGGGGCCCTCTTGGACTACCTCTTGACGGAGGACTTCTCTTCCCAGTCGTCGTCCAGCAACATTCTCTTCAAGACAGGTGACCTCGCCATCAGGACGGCCTTGTGTGCGTGCAACGTGCCGCCGGCCGTGTTCATGGTGATGTCCGAGTGGATATCCTCTTCCAGCATGTGAGAGAGGCGCAAGAGTGAGGACTATGTAGCCAGAGACTACATCGATTGCTCGAAGCGCCAAATTGATTTAGGGTTTAGGGTTTAGGGTTTGGGGTTTAGGGTTTAGGGTTTAGGGTTTTAGGGTTTAGGGTTTAGGGTTTAGGGTTTAGGGTTTAGGGTTTAGGGTTTAGGGTTTAGGGTTTTTTTTGACTCCATGACGTTCATCATATTTGAGGAAGGTGATTGATTTGCAGTGGGTTGAAAAAGCCTTTGAGTTTATGAAAGTTGGAAGATCTGCTCAACAGGAGTAGGACGAGAGCTCCATGTTGTGCGCCATGCAATGTTCCTGCAAGACAAGAGTTTGCTGCAGTAAGTGGTTCTAAGAGATAAATACATTGATATAAAGTGGTGAGAAAAGAGTGATTAGGGCAGTGAGGAGGATAGAACTATGCTGAAGCATGACAATAAGCCCAAATATGAACTTGCCTTGCTAGTGTTGCACGCGCCTAATCCCTCTGGCCAAGATCTTGTTAGTATCATCAGTTGCCGTACTTCCTCTAAGTAGGTAAGGGACCTTTCACCCCACGAGGAATGACTTGGTCTCTAGTTCTAACTCTTTTCTTTTCTCTTATTCTCTCTCTCTTCTTTCTCTCTCCTTGAGGGCCTCTTCTTTTACCCTCCACTAATGCCCATTATTTGGTGTACATTAGGCTAGTGATTAAGGGAAGGGAAAAAGGTTGCCCTTTTTTTTTTTTTTTTTTGTTTTTTGGTTTTAGGGCCCTTTCCCTCACCCTCCACTAATTGTCTATGATGGGCTAGTGATTCCGGGAAAAGAAGTAGGCTGTCTTTTTTTTTTTTTTTTTTTTTTTTTCCTAGAGAGAGAAAGGGAGGGAGAAAGAAATAGAGAATCGAGAGAGAGAGAGAGGAGAGAGGGTCAATCCTATGGATATAGATCTTTACCTTCTCATGGGTTCAAGCTGGCTGATGGTACTAATAAGATCTTGAGAGAGGTGCTAGGTTGCCGATTCACAACTAGTTTGGCAGGTCTGATGTGCTATAGACCTATAGTTCAAAAGTGGGCCGATGCCAACATATGCTGATAGTTCTATGTCCTCACTACTTGAGCATGATAGATAGTAGATGTGATGTGATTATGAGGAGAGTAATGATTGGAAGTAATGTACCCGAGTGGATTACGATGTGCCTTGTTGTCCGTGTTGTGTTGTATCTCCATTGTGGTCTTCAGCGGCCAATAGTAACCACCCCTGATCTCCTCCAAGCAATACGCCACTGTCGTGGAGAGGCCGGTAGTGGAGTGCGGTGTATGCGTAAAGAGGGTATGCCGAGTCGCTCAAGTCTATGAGCACCTCGGGCTTCCAGGGGCATGTCCTGCCAAAAAGAGAAGACTGTCCTCCGACGCGATCTGACTCCATGCGCAGCAAGGGCGTCAGCTGTCTGATTCCCTTCTCGGAATTGATGCGTAATAGTTGTGATGCGTCCTCGACATCGCATGATGTCTGCCCAGATATTCTTGAGCCTCCAATGAGGACAAGAGTCTGCACGTAACATGTCCACTAACACTTTGGAATCAGATTCTAAGACAATGTTAGTAATATTTTGCTCCTCACAAAGAAACAAACCATCCCGTATTGCCATAGCCTCTGCCACAGTATTAGTTTGTATATTATAAAAGTTCGAAAAGGCAAAGAGAATGCATCCTGTACTATCGCGTAAGATACCGCCTCCTCCAGATGATCCTGGGTTGCCTTGAGATGCTCCGTCGACGTTGAGTTTCCACTGTCCAGCCCTCGGTGGTGTCCATCTAACAGATCGGACAGTAGTCCAGGTCTGTGTAGGTATGATATGGAGTCCCCAAAGCCCAAAAGCCTCACAAACAGAACGCGAGCGTTTCGTTTTATTTGGCACTAAGGAATGAGTACTCCGAAGCCATTGTGTTACGTGCCTCATAATCTCTGTGGCACGCATCACTTGGCCTGCATATCGAGATGAGTTACGTCCCTTCCATATTTCCCATAACATATATGCTATGGAGATACGGATGAAAGGACAAACATTGACACTCGTCGGTGAGTCAAAGACTCTCCTAAAGACCTCTAGTGGTGGTCTCGTAGATCTGTACGAGAGCATTGGAAGCCAATTCGCTAGAAGTTGACGCCAACACTCGACAGCGATATCACTATGGAAAAATAAATGTTCCATACTTTCGTCTGTCGTGATGGAGCAACAATGACATTTCCTTTCCACCTCCTGATCGGTGACAATCACTCGATCGTCGGTGGGTAGTCCTCGGTGCATGAACTTCCACAGGAAGAACGAAACACGAGGTGTGATGGCCGGATGCCATATGAGATTTCCCCAAAATGTCTTTGGGGAGCGGTTTCTAAAGTGCTCCCAAGAGGAGCTACAAGAGAAACTACCATCTATGGTAAGTGTCCAGATGGGTTGGTCCTCAATAAAACTCATCTCAGTCATGGTGATGGCTGGTAACAAGTCCGACGGTAGTCCATGCCTCTCAATAAGTAGACGAGTGTCTCCTTGGAGAAGCTGGGCTACCGTCAAGCGAGGCCAAGAAGATGTGAAAGTGGTAAAACAGGCCAATGGTATGTCATCTAGCCAAGTGTCGTACCAGGCACTGATCTCGCCTCTCCCCACTCGCCAACGAATAAGAGGCATCATCTCTAACCAATGTCGCTGCCAGTCTGCCCATCGTTTGACTCCTTTGATGTCGGCCGGCTGTCGAGCCCACTCACCATATTTGGCTGTCACAAAAGTACCTAGCACCGATGGTGTGGTCCTCATCCTCCAAACGAGTTTCTTTTGAAGCATGTTAAGTACATCTTGAGGGCGCCTAATACCTAGGCCACCCTCATCCGTAGGTCGACATGCTTTCTCCCAAGAAACTCGGCGTTGACGACGAGGTCCCTCAAGTTGTCTATCCCAAAGGAAGGACGTACATATCCGTCCAATAGTCTGTAAGACGGTGTCTGGTACCTCATGGACTGCCAAAAGGTGTAATGGCATGCTCATGAGGACATGACGTATCAACTGGATCCGTCCTCCAGGGGATAGAAGTTGTAACTTCCATCCTGCTAGTTTCTTCCTCAACTTGCCCACTAGGGCGTCAAAATAGTGTATGCGCCTACGGCCGAGGAAGATAGGACATCCTAGATAGTCAAAAGGTAAGTGTCCACGAGAGAACCCTATTAGGCCCTGGATGCGTCGTATGGTCCCTATGGGGGTAGAAGGGCCTACTATGAAGCTACTCTTCGAGGCATTTACGAGTTGACCTGTAGCTCGCTCATACCTCGAGATAATACTCATGAGCCCTCTAATGGATGTCTCACATCCATTGAGGAAGAGTATCGCATCATCAGCAAAGAGGGAGTGTGAGATGATCGGGCAACCCCTCTTCGAGTAGTATGGTCGGATAAGTCCTTGATTGATCGCTCGGGTGAGGGATCGACTGAGGACTTCTTCAACTAAGATGAAGAGGGTGGGTGATAGTGGATCGCCCTGTCGTAGACCTCTCGTGGCCGTGAAGAATGGTGTGGAGCTACCGTTCACTAATAAAGAGAAGTGATTCTCCCTAACACATGCATCGACTAAGTCAATGAAGTCATCGGTGAACCCAAAGCGTCTAAGAACCTTAATGAGGAAACTCCACTCTATCCTATCAAAGGCCTTCTCCATGTCTAATTTGATGATGATGTTAGAGCCTCGACAATCATGGCCAAGGGACTGTGCTAGTTCATGTACTAGCATGATGTTATCGTGAATGTACCGTCCCTTGACAAATCCACATTGTTCTGGAGATATAAGTCTATCAAGGAAACTACTCAATCTACGTGTAACGATCTTAGATACAACTTTATAACACACGTTACACAAACTGATAGGTCGAAAGTCTCTAAATGAGGTTGGGGTAGTCACCTTCGGTATAAGTGCAAGGAAGGTGGCCTTCCAACTTCGTGTAAAGAGTTTACGACGAAAGATTTCCTTGATGGCCTGGATGAGATCAGTGCCAACAATATCCCAACATGAAATGTAAAAATCAACTGGGAAACCATCTGGCCCGGGTGCACGATGTCTACTCATAGAAAAAACTACTTCCTTGATCTCTTCTCCCGTGGGTATGGCTGTTATGAGAGAATTCTCACGGTGAGTGACCAATGACGGGATCGAAGTGAGCATATCATCAGAAATCTCAATCGACTGAGAGGTTAAGAGAGTACGAAAGTACTCAACCCCTGCCTCCTGCATGCGGGAAAGGTTATGATCATATGTCTCTAAAAGAGAGGTATAATCTGAACGTGAGCGATGAGCGACCGAGGCATGAAAGAAACGAGTGTTTCTATCACCCTCTTGTAACCACTTGATGCGTGATTTCTGGAGATAGAATAACTCCTGTCGTCGCACAACCTCATCAAGCTGGTCACTCACTCTACTCCTCCTTTCCCAAGCAGCATCTGAATATCTAGCTTGCAGTAGTCTTTCAACTTCTGCTAACTCTTTTTGCAATGCATCAACTTGGGTATGGACATTCCCGTAGATATGTCGGTTCCACCATTTAAGGTGGAGTTTGAGATTCCTTAACCTATAGCTAAGGTTCTCCATAGGAGAATCTGAGATCTGTCCGTACCAGTGATTCCGTACGAAACTCTGAAAGTTTTCATGTTGGAGCCACATGGTTTGAAATCTGAAGGGGGGTCTGTGGGTGCTCATACTCTGTTTAGGGAGTATGAGGATCGGGGTGTGATCTGACCTATAACGGGGTAATATCGTGACTAATATGGGATGTCGCATCATGGCGATGCTGTTGATGAAACAACGATCGATACGCTCATAAATCAAAGCGTCCCCTCGATTGTTGCTCCACGTCCATGCCTCGCCTGATGTAGGTGGCTCAATGAGAGCTAATCGAAAAATACAATCATTGAACATCTCCATATTACGGGCCCTAGGGATTCGCCCACCTTGACGTTCACTAGTATTACGGACACAGTTGAAGTCACCTGCTAGGTACCAAGGAGACTCAACTAGTGTAGGGTAGTCCCTCACGTATTGAACTAGGTCTGCCCAAAGAGTTTCTCTTTCTTCGGATCTATGTGATGCATAGATGACCGAGAAGGTGAACTCTTGGGTGAGATCTCGAGCCGTCATAGTGATATGCTGGGGTCCCTCGACTAGCAACTCCATAGAGTATGGTCTAGTCCAAAAGATCCAAATATGATTCGTGGGGTTGGAGTGAAAATGATCCATACCTAACCTCCTAAGTAAGGGTTGGATACGATCTGATGATATCATAGGCTCAATGAGGCCTACTATACCTAGTCGATACTGTCTGATAAGGCTAGCGATATAGAATTGGGTTTCGAGGTTGCCTATACCTCGACAATTCCATATGATGCTAGGTATCATGATCTAGTGAGTGGCCCCACGAGTCCTAGATCTCGTGGAGTAAGGTGAGCGTCTAGTGAGTCGTGTGGTCCTAACCTCCGTCTGATATCCCTCCTCTAGGTAGGTAGTCTCAATGTCAGTCTCAGAGCTACCATCCTCATGGGTACTAGTCGTGTGGCCCGTAGTATCATGAGCACTAGATGAGGAGGATGGGTGTGGTGCTTGACGATTCGTTAAGCACTGTCCTCTATCGGGGCTCTCCCTAGAATCAACGGGTGGTGGATCAAGTATAGGAAACTGATCTGACGGTTGTAATAGGGGAGAGGGGGGGAGGGTATAAGAATCAGAATGGGGGGCTACGTAAGATGTACTAATAGGAAGTATGCTGGGGGTAGACCCTCCTAATAGATCATCAACAGGGATTTGAGGGGGATGGATAGGGCCCAAGCCTATACCCTCAAAGAAAGGGGTAGACCTCGGTCGGTGGGGACTAAGAGGTGAAGGACTCCTACTACGTGGGGACGAGTGAATGGGCGGGGAGGAGTTGGGTGGTGGAGAGACACTAATGGGTGGAGTGGGGTGGGTGAGTATGGGGGGTCGGATAACCCGGGGGGATCTAGTATGGGGGGTTGGACTAGGTGAGTCCCTCGTAGTGGAGGATGCTAGCCCTTTGGAAGGCCTAGTTCCCCTTTGTGCAGGTCCCTCAACGTCTCTCTCATCTAAAGCCCCTAAGACCTCGAAGGTGTTTGAGGTTAGGGGTTGCTTTCCCTTGCTCAAGGGGGAAGGTGTAGCCTCTCGTGTTCCTTTCTTCCCCCCTGTGTAGGTGGAAGAAGGGCGTCCAGCTGCCGGCTTTCGCCGTGTATGCTGTGTCTCAATCAGTGAGCTAGGCTTCTCCTGTGCCTTCCGAGGTAAGGAAGGTGGAGCCGCCATAGGGGCAATCGACCTCTGAGGATGACGAGCACTCTGAGCATCCTTTCTCATTTCGACGAGGTAATCGTCATATGAGATCGGTACTAGAAAGGCTCGTGTAGTCGTCTGTGGTGTACATGCCTTCTGACGGCATGTGCTGACAGTGTGGCCCAAGATCGCACAGTGTGTGCAGAAATACGGTAGTCTCTCATAAATGATGGGCTGATAAAGTTCATCATCTCCACTACGTATAACGAGAGTCCTCTGGAGGGGGGCCATTAGGTCCACCTCTATACAAACTCGTGCATATCCGGGTCGGTTGAACATTTTTACGCCTGGATCAAGGCATATGAATGTTCCCACCGCATTTGCCAAAGACTCAAGTGCCTTTGGCGTAAATAAATGGGCAGGTAGGCCAGGGAAGCCCACCCATAATGGAACCACATGAGACTGATGTGCTTGGTGCCCTATGTCATTTTGTGGTGTCCATCTGTGGGTATGGAGGGTAGACTCTCCCATTCTCCAAGTGGGTCGGCTCCATGCTCGGCGATAATCCGCTTCTAGCTCAAAGCGGATGTATATGCTACGATAGTCTCGAGCTCCGATGGAGACTCGGCCCTGAAAATTTCCAGGTGCCATGTAAATCTTCTCTATGTCACCTATGGTTGGTCGTTTCGTAGTGAAACGACCAACTAAGGTATATTGGAATGCGGCTGCCATCTGGGAGACCTCCTCATAAGTAAAAGCTATTGTCCTCCTCCCATCATCATCGCTATAGCTTCGCACTGGGACAGTGGTATCATAGATTGGGAATAGTACATGACGTAGCGGTTCCTGTGGTGTGACAGTCTCTGTGGAGGGGACAAAGGGGTTAGACACTCGTTGCGCCCATGATAGGTGTCTAGTGGGTATAGTCGGGTTTGGCCTATGGGGCACAGTAGAGTCTAGCCCACTAGGTGTAATAGTGTGCCCAATGGATGCGTTTGGGGTCAATATAGGGGTCTCAACTAGTGTTGGGATCCTAGTTGGTTCGATTTGTTGACTCGAGGTAGGCTTAGAGGACGTGGCCGAGGGGGGACGTAAAAGTCGGCGTCCTATCTTCTTTTTGGGCCGCAGGCTCTTGCCCCTTGCCTGGGCAAGAGATTGGACCGGTGCAGCCTGAGCCGGCTGTTCAGGCTTGGCCTGGGTCACCTGGGCCTGTGCCTGTACGTCCTGAGCCAGCGCAGCCTCGCTGGGCTGGGCCGGCATGACCTGGGCTAAAGCGACCTCAGGTGGCGCTACGTCCACGGTGTCTGACGTTGATGACGTCACCAGCGTCCCAGCCGAGGCATCGGCGATCGCAAAAAGTTGCGGCGCCTTTATGGCCACGTGATCCCCTCCGTTGATCTCAAGATCAACGGTTGGATCTGGTTCGGCGTTATGGCCGTGGCCGTCCGAGGGCGGTGCCTCGGTAACGGCTGTTGACGCCTTTATAGCCGGCTGATTCTGACCATTGATCATACGATCAATGGTTGGATCAGAGGGGGCCTCTTCGCCTGCCGTCGCCTCGTTCCCGGAAGGAGAGTGGACGGCGTCAACTGCTGTCCCCTCCGATTCGGGTCTCGGGAAGACGCCAGCTGATGGCGAATCACGGACGTCCGTGGTTCGACCGTTCAGCTCCTCGGTTACGGCCGTCTCCTCGGTTACATCAACCGGCGGAGAGAGAAGGCGAGGACAGGAGGCCGTTACTGCCACGTGTCGGCCTCCTGTTCGCTCGCATTCGTCGGGCGATTTTTCATCTGGGCGACGGAGGTCACCCGATGAAATCTGTGAACTACTCATCATCTAAGCATCAAATAAAAATGATATAGAAGAGAGAATGGTAAACGAGGCAAATACGATTCTATTGAACAAAAAATAATGAAATTTCACCCAGTCAATAGAAAGATATTACCTTTGGAGTGAAAACTCCAGTAGTTTACCTTCGCGATGAGGAAATTGCAAAACAAAGGCTTTAATCCACCGTTTTCGATGCGTAAAGGCTCGAAACCGATAGCTGTCCGCCTTCCGAATCGAATGGAAAAGGTTTCAGCGCGATCTGAGGTCACACGAAGGAGATCTCACCATTTGCGCTGATCGTGAGGAGAGAGAAGCTCTCGCGAGGAGAGAGAAAAAAGTTGAGCAAATGGTTTGGGTTTTTGGGGTTTAGGGTTTAGGGTTTAGGGTTTAGGGTTTAGGGTTTTAGGGTTTAGGGTTTAGGGTTTAGGGTTTAGGGTTTAGGGTTTAGGGTTTAGGGTTTAGGGTTTAGGGTTTAGGGTTTAGGGTTTAGGGTTTAGGGTTTAGGGTTTAGGGTTTAGGGTTTAGGGTTTAGGGTTTAGGGTTTAGGGTTTAGGGTTTAGGGTTTAGGGTTTAGGGTTTAGGGTTTAGGGTTTAGGGTTTAGGGTTTAGGGTTTAGGGTTTAGGGTTTAGGGTTTAGGGTTTAGGGTTTAGGGTTTAGGGTTTAGGGTTTAGGGTTTAGGGTTTAGGGTTTAGGGTTTAGGGTTTAGGGTTTAGGGTTTAGGGTTTAGGGTTTAGGGTTTAGGGTTTAGGGTTTAGGGTTTAGGGTTTAGGGTTTAGGGTTTAGGGTTTAGGGTTTAGGGTTTAGGGTTTAGGGTTTAGGGTTTAGGGTTTAGGGTTTAGGGTTTAGGGTTTAGGGTTTAGGGTTTAGGGTTTAGGGTTTAGGGTTTAGGGTTTAGGGTTTAGGGTTTAGGGTTTAG